AGCAGCCAGTGTGGATCCTAATGCTCGAGCTTTAGGAATGGGAGTACCCATAGGTCTTGTAACAAATTGCATGATTGATTGAACATGCTTAGAAATACGCTCATGGCCCATAGCAATAGAGTGATTCTTGATTTTTCGAAAAAAGGCGTTGATGAGGATTTCTGGAAAAATTGGATGAGGTGTAGATGCCACCGAGTAAGCCACCCTAAGTAAATATGACTTGTATGCTTGTACTGGACATAAGAGAGGATTGTCGTGTGGATGAATTGTAATTGCTTTGGTGATGCGAGAACCAGCGCGTTTCTCCTTTGGTGCCACGACTACCAGTTTGAGAATATTATTGTCGGAAACGGAGCACTGATTGAGATCGATGCGTTCAACATCCGAAGGACGAAGAAAGCCAACCATAGAAAGCAGCCATGCGGTCTTAGCGGTAAGAAGGTCAATAGGCATTTTGTCATTAGTACCCAAGGACAGCAAGTGTGTGATTGCAGGCGTTATGTCATAGTCCCAAGATTTGAGAGGTAAAACGTTGATTGCTTTGAGGCTCTTGTAGAATTGTTGAAATTCGTCGGTTTGACGAATAGTTTGCTGATCAGTAGTTGAGTACAGTTGAAGAATCAAAGATGTGTAGGTGAGTGTAGTCGAGACCTTCCATTTCTTAATGGCCTTTTGTTCAGCAAGGAAATTCAGGATAGGAAACACTGAAGGTGTTTGAGTATCAATATCATGCTCATGACACCAGTCTATATATGAGTTTTGTATGTAAGCGTAATGTCTTGAAGAGTTTACTATCGCATAGGCCGACTCGGAAAGGCGGAGGCGCTTTAAACCATGTTCCATGCTAGTGGAGTCCATTCCTTGTTCTTCTTCAAGATGAGTGGCTCTTGATCGCTTGTGTCCTGCGTCGGAACCTGAAGGAGTCTCGGTGGGCAGGCTGCTAGTTGTAATGCTAGAAGATACCAGGGTGCCGTTGGCCAGTTCGGCGTGATAAGTGTGGCAGGACGTCGGTGTTGAAGGAGAGTTTTCAACGTTGGTAAGATAAGGTTCCATGGTGGGGCTAGATACAGGCGACCTGGAAGATGATGCCACAGCCGACTGAAGGCATTTGTCCACAGAGCTTGAGATTGGTAGTTCCATGATACGAAGTGTGGGAGATGGTGACGCTTCGCTGAGACAAAGAGATCGATATGGTGGGGGCCCATATTTGATTGAGATAATTGAATGTTTTCGCCGGAATTGACCATTCTGTTTGAGATTGAAGAGATCGTGACGGAGCATCTGCTGGATTCATCTTGGATGGGACGTATAACGTCGACAGCTGTATATGATTCTGGAAGCAATAGGTCCAAATGTCGAGAGCTATTTGATTCAATTTTTCTGATTTTGTGCCGCCAAAATGTTTGATATAAGCAATGGCTGAGGTATTGTCGATGCATAATTGAAGATGGTGATGAGTTGGAACAGGAATAAATTGGAATATTTTCTGGAAGACTAGCAGTTCCTTCTGATTGATGTGCAAGGACTGTTCCTCCGCAGACCATGCTCCCTGAATCGATTTGTGACCCCAAACAATACCATAACCTTGGTCTGACGCATCCGTGAAAACTTGAGTGATAAGTAGCGTGGAAAGAAGGTGGCGTCCATTCCATTTGGTCAACTCGGTTGTCCACCACAAAAGTTCCTTCTGCATTTGGGCGTTGATCTCGGAGAACGGCTGATTACGTGTTTTGTTCAATTGGGCCAACAGATGACGAGTCAGAAATCGAGCTTGAACATTCCCAAGTGAGTATCCATGGCTGTGCCAATGAACCAGGCTAAGCTGATTCAGCAGGCCTTCGTTTGCTTCAGTAAAGAATAAGCCATGCGTCGAAGTGTCTAGTTTAGTTTTATTTTATATATATTTTAAGTAGTACAAGTTCGAATTTAACCAATAAAAGAAAGATAACAACAAAAAGCACAAGGCTCGAAGTGTAATAACAGGTATGCCGAAATTACAAGTATGCCATTTGCGTACTCAAAAAATATTTTTTGAAAATAATAAAAACTGCTTTTTTAAGACGAAACCTACTGTTTTAAGACAAATCATTCTGCAATGACAAAAAAATAAAATAAAATAAAAAGAAAATTTCTGTTTCTTTTGTTTAAAATTAGAAAAAAAGCTTGTTTTTCGATTTTTCTGTTTCAAAATAAAAAACGAATCTACTAGGCAGTAATCTCTTCTCTAAGCTAAAACACTGGAATTATTATTTGGTAGACTCATTTATTTATTTAAAACAGAAAAATTGAAAAACAGGCTTTTTTTATTAATTTAAAACAGAAATATTAGAGATATTCTTCTTTTTTGTTTTTTTTTATTACAAAAAACATTTCTGTTCTATTTTAGAGTAGTGTTTTTTTTTTTTTTTTTTTTTTTTTTTTTTTTTTTTTTTTTTTTGAGTAGACAATTGGCATACTTGCAAGTCGGCATAAATGCTGTCAGAATTTAAATAGTTTTTGTGAATCCATTACATTCATAAGTTCCTGACATGTACGGTTATTACTGTGATTCTTTTATGGCTCTAGCTTTACTTTTTGTATGAATATCACAAATTCTAGTAGTCTCATGATTCTATATATTTTTGATCTGTGCTGGCTTTGGCCATACACACCTCATTGTTGACGAGTCGCACAAATAGTCCCAATTCATGAGAAAGGCAACCCGACTGATCCGGTCAATTACTATCTAATTAGTCCGACTATTACTTTCAAAAGAAAAAAAAAAGAAAAGCGCTCAAAAAATGCATCAAGAAACTTCTTCAAAGCCAAGCATTGTCATTAGACACTACTGAAGGTAGTTTTGGAGAATGCAAAAGTGTATTTGACCAGCCTCTTTGACTTTCAGAGATTTGTAGATCGCTTCTTTACAGAAATGTTCAAGACTGTCCGCTATGTAGTCTATTGGGGTACCAATTGGACCTCTATACATTCGCTTTTATCCCGAATCACCTCTATGTAACATGCAATCATAAACAGTCATAAACAATCACAAACAATCTATTCCTTCCAACATCCAATCAATCCCACTGCAACGTAAGCGATGGAAGAATTATGCGCTCAGAAATGAAAGAAATTTTTTACCTACGGAAGAAAAATGCAATCACTTACGCTGTGGTGCAAATGTTTTTTTTTTAATGATTTTATTTGCCGCACGTATTAGTGGTCTCGAGAGGGACCCACTAAAAGAGGTGCTCGACAATTATTTATTATAAGAGGATTAAAAGAAACAAAAAGGGTACTACAATTTCAAAAAACAAAGAAATCAAGAAAAAAAAAAGGGCAGCTACTGCGAGAAAAGACCTCTCAAGATGAAAGGTCATTTTCAGCAGCTATACGCATAATTTGATAGCGAGTGCTATGGAGGGTGCAGATGTTTCCATTTCTTCTCTGGCTACAAACCCATTCTCAAACACACCATTAGATCAACACTCTCATCTCTATTCCTTTTTGGCTCTTGTTCTCTTAAAATATTTTTAGCTTAGTATAGCCATTCGTTCTTGTGAATTGATCGAGTCCGAACAGTCAAAAACTACATTAGATTATATATTCAAAAGGACCTTTTCTATAGAATTAATAAAGTAACAAAATTAACACCAATGCGCAAGTATGCTATTTGTGACAACAGAAAAAAAATACACTCTCATCATGACGTAAACGATTGCGTTTTTCTTCCATCAATGAAAGACATTTTCCATGTCAGAGCGCAAAATTCTTCCATTTTTTATGGAGGATTTCTGCATTCACTAGAAGATTTCTTCCATCGTTTGCGCCTTTGTCTTTAACTTTAAAGAAATAGATTGAATTAAGAAAAAAAGATAATAAATGATAAAATCAGAAAATGAAAAATAGAAAATTAAAACAGATGTTTTTTTTAATTTCGAAAATTCAAAACACTTGTATATTCTCTATTATTCCGCCCATCCATGCTCATCTATGGTCCTCCTTGCTATTCTTGTTATTCTTGCTATTTCTTGATTATTTTGGTCATTTTGATTTTCTTGGTTATTTTGCTCTTAACGCAGTTTTTGATCCTGAAAGTGTTTGGTGTCTTACTTAGCCTTTATTTTGCTCAAAAAACAAACAATCGCTTAGAGATGTCTAAAGACGCAAATGTTCGGTTCTTGTGCAACAATGGAAGTTATGTATACTTGCTTTCTGAGTCTGCCAATGAAAATAATACAGTGACTCTGTTAGAAAAATATTGAGGTGAGTTTGAAAGTTTAGATACTGTTGCACAGTCAAGTTTTGTACTTTTCTTAGAAAAAAGTCTGATCGGGAGTTTCCTGATATTCCAAATGACGCTATGTGTGATCTATACATGTCTTTTTTTCGTTTTTGATGCTTGAAGAAGAATATATGCAAACCGAAATAGATAAACAGTTACCAGTAATAGTACATAAAGCAATGGTTTTTATCATCTATGCCTTCTTATTTTCCATGTATTAATGATTCGCAAAATTTTCCTGTGCGACGAACGAGTATCAAGTGCAAACAATTTTGAGTTTGTCATGCTTTGTAAGCTACTACACATTACTCTCAGTGATACGAAACGTAAATCAAATCACAAGCGCAACGTGGGCTTAATTTGGGGCAGAAAAGTAGAATTACATACAATACTTGTGTTACATGTTGATTCAATGTTAATAGTTAATACAATGCTTCCTTTTTTTTACGTGTTTTTTTATGTATGAATACGATGTAAGCAATGCAATTCTATTTTTTCCTTTTTAAACATGTATTATATATTGATGTTTAGCAATGTTTAACAAACAAAAAGAATCATTAGTCATTTATGCATAAACAACAAAAAGATAAGGTGTAACTGCAATCGATTATAAATCCTGACAAATGCTTAGGAGAGAATACAAACATTACCAAATCGAGTAATTTCAGTAAGCATATAAATACACTGTCATTTTGTCAATTCTTACCATCTTCATTGCCATCTGTATTAAATCAATATGCGTTTCTCTCTTACTGCTGCTTTCATTGGCGCTGCTGCCTTGATCTCTTCTGTCTCTGCTGATCTCTACAACCGCCTTGATTTGAGTGATAGTGTCTTCTTGTTTGTTGATCACCAAACTGGTCTTTTCAACTTGGTTCAAGACTACAATCCTGACACTTACCTCAACAATGTTATGGGTCTTGCTGAAACTGCTAAATACTTTAATGCTACCACTATTCTCACTACTTCTCGTGAAGATGGCCCTAATGGTCCTATGCTTCCTGCAATTAAGACTTTGTTCCCCAACGCTCCTTACATTGCTCGTCCTGGTCAAATCAATGCTTGGGATGATGAAGATTTTGTCAAGGCCATCAAGAAGACTGGCAAGAAGCAATTGATCGTCTCTGGTATTGTTACTGATGTTTGTGTGACCTTTGTTGCTCTTTCTGCTAGAAAAGCTGGTTATGAAGTCTTTGTTGTTACTGATGCCTCTGGTACCTTCTCTGAAGCTGTGCGCGATGCTTCTTGGTTGAGAATGCAACAAGCTGGCGTTCAACTCATGAACTGGTTCGGTGTTGCTTGTGAATTGGGTCGTGACTGGCGCAGAGACATTGAAGGTATGGCAGCCTTGTTTGCTAAGCGTTTGCCTAGTTATGCTCATGTCATGGACTCCTACAATGGTGCCCAAGCTGCTCTTAAGGCTCAATAGATACATTTAATTTAGACCTATTTACATCTTATTTATTTACATATATAATAAATACTTCAATCTTCACCATATTCTATTAAATACTAAAAAGAAAAAAGCAAGTATTGTGCTTACTACTCAAGTATTTTATTCGAATGCAAAAAGGTGCAAACGTGGCATCCACCAAGGTTTCTTGCAGTTCGTATTAGATTTTTCACATAGCTACCTTTTGTTTATTAATGCACAAAATTCCACTCTTTAGAATGCGAGTATCAAGACAAAAAATTGCATGACTAGAACAATTATTTTCTAATGTTACAAGACTTTTTATTATCAAAACAGTAATTGTAAGGGGTATAAATGTATTAAGTAATATGATCTAAGCATAAACATCAGTGCCATTCCAGTTGGCTGTAGCCAATGGGCATTGATCAACGGTTTCTGAACCATTGCCCCACCAAGTTGGAAATTGAATATTTGAATATTGGAAGGCGAAAAAGATGACAATAGCAGAAATAGCAACGCCAGAATCTAGTGCTGAAGACAAAACGTAATTGTATTTTTTCCACCAGGCACTAGCTCTTCTCTTGACTACAAAGTTGAATATGAAACCAATAAATGTCCAGCAAGGCATGACGTTGGTGGGTGCAGGTGGATAGGGGGTAGGACCCAGCATGAACACAGGAACATTAATCTTGGCAACCCATGAATTAGGATATCTTCTAGCTAAGAGATACACGGGAATGGGTGCTAAGAAACCACACAGAAAAAAGTAAGGAAGACCGCGGTAAAGTGAATCATGAGCAAAGAACTTATTGGGACCAATAAGACCCCAAATGACAGAAGAAGCGCCGAAAAGACCAGCATTAGGACAAGTCCATGGATAAGCAGCATTTGTACAGATATTAGGAATTGAGTTCATCAAATAGTTTGTAGTTCCAAGAGAAACAAAAGAGGCAATGATAGTCCCTACGATTTGGAAAGTAAACATTTCACGGGGAGGAATCTTCATATAATGACCAAGCTTTAAATCTTGTGCAAACAAAAGAGCTTGACGTACAGTGATGTAACCATATGTCTTGAACATCATATTTCCAATAGGGTTTCCTGGTCTGATTACACCAAAAATCCATTCGGAAATCATGGAAATAGAAGGCGATTGAGATGTGATGGCAGTGATAATACCAATAGGTAAAAGCCATACAAATGCAAGGATAACGGCAATGATCAAAGTCCACCATGGCATATTGGAAGGCCAAAGAATAATGGTAACAAAACTCAAAGCAAGAGCGATAATAAATAAGATGGCATACCAGAGATCAGGCACTTCTTTATATTTGTCCATGAGTTTAGCATGAATGTCATCTGTATCTTGACGGGCACTTTTGATACGTGCCCAAACCTCTTTGCCATTGTAAAGAATAGTGTGTGTAATAATAGCACCGAGAGCAGCTAAACCTTGGCCATAGCAAACAGCAAAGAAACCAGTAATACGAATGGGAGAATAATCAGCATAGGCCTGCTCATCCAAGTATTGATCAGGCGTTAAGACACGGGTACGATTGAAAGGGTTACCCCAGATATCATATTGATGAGTATTGTAAAAAGGAAACTTTTTACTTTCCCAAGTATCTGTGTAGTAAATGATAGGAACTAGGATCCAAATAAAGAATACAAAGCCTGCCAACATATTCGCTTGCACGACCCATGGAATGGCCAAAGGACTAGGATACCAAGCAGCAAGAGTACTCCAGTCAAGAGTAAAACTACCAATACCAAGACCATGAACACCACTACCAATTTGAGAAACAAGAACAGAATCCTTCTTAATCCAGCAGATCCAAGAGATTGAAGTGATGATGGGAATGATGTAACCAGGAAAAAAGTACCATAAAAAGGAGGCTGTAAAAGCAATCAAGAAAAACTTGTTACGAGATAATCCCAAGCCGGGAGTAACAGCTTCAGCGTCTTGAACTTCTTTAGGCACTTCTTTATGTAAGGTATGGAAAAGAGTGGCATTGACTAAGTTAATTGGCCAGACCATAGCAGCAGGTCGGACAAGAAAACGTCTCAAGATACCAGCAAAACCAAAACCAAGTATACTAGTAGTTAACACTAAAAGAATACCACCACCGAAACCCCAGTCTTGGCTGTAATAAAGTTTTTGAACAACAATGATATCAATTGCATCAAATGAGGTGGCTGCAGCATTAGTCATGACTGTAATCAAAACGTGTTCTTTGACACTGAATGGACAGGGATTCAAATTAAAGCTGAAGCGACCAAGAGGAACAGTAAAGTTGGGAAGAATTTTGGCAGATAGTTTTCCAGCAGGAAAAGCCAATAGTTGTACGACAATAACTTTAATAGTCAAAGGATTAGCACGGAACCAAAAGAACTAGATAACGCATTAATAATTATTGTTTGGACCAATTGTTTCTTACCTGATTCGTAAAAGAAATAGCGGCTGAAAAGATAACACCCCAAAACCAAGCACGGAATGTTGCTGTTGGTAAAGAAGGATCGTCGGTAGAGGGTATACTCGATCTGACTTCTTCAATAGGTGAGTCTCCTTCGATAGGTGGGTTTTCTTCATAAAAGCTTTCACTAACAAATGCTTTATCAAAAGAATTACTGCTGCTACTTGTATACAACTCTTCGTTTGTGCCATAATTAGAATGGTTTTTTTTATCCAGCTCCATTGTAGAGTTTAGTAATAAAAAGAAAAAGAGTGAATCGATTCGATGATCTTAAAAAAAGGGTTCATTTTTATACTACTGACGGGATTACACAAAGTAAAATCTTAGCCAATTATGGATTATGAGTGCTACTTGGAACCTGAGTACGCCATCGTTTGCGAATGAGCATTGTTTAAAAACAGACACTTAAAGAAATGTTCACTTTTCGAAGTATGGCAAGCTATCTTGTGGAAGTCAACTTAGAAAAATCTTTGAATAGAACGGCACAATAACTAAGATCATCCTATAGATTTATTTAGCAGTATAAAAGAGAAGTATACAACTTTTGAGAGCTCTTTTTTTAGTGGTCTTTGACAGCATAATTACATTATTCATTTTTCGTAGCTGTATTATTAATTATTTATGATTTAATAATAGATAAGTTATTTTTCTTCGCCTGTCTAATAGTTCAATAAAAGGTGTACTTCGGTTCAGAGCTGCGATATCGCAGCGCTTTGAGTCTCTTGAAGAGAAGCAGTATGTCATAGCAAGCTTTTTGCGTATGTACATTACTAAAAATGGTTTTTAGAAATCTAAACGTTGTATTGCGTCTTATTTTGCTTCATTTGAAGCACAGTCTACATTGTCCAAAGAAAAAAGGCTGTCGGATTCTGAGCATAAGAGTCCAAGCTCAGTAATTGCATTAGAATGGGGAGAAAAGACGCAACTTGTACTACAATACAAAAAGATCTCATTCTTTTTTAACTGTCGTGATGCTCTAGGCGCACTCCACAACAAGTTGTACAAATGTAAGGCATGGTATTTTTATAAGACATAATTGAAAATAGTTTATCATATGAACCCAACATTCAAGTTTGAAACTTTATTTTGTAACTCGTTCTATCTAAAAATGCCTTTAAATAAAAGAAAGCAGGAGGAAAAAGAAAAAGGATATACCTACCTTGGAGTAACGTAAGTAGGTCACTTTAGAAAAATCTGCACTCCTAAAAAAGAAGGCTTGTTGTGTATAACAATTTGTATAAAGGATGCGTGCATCCCTTTAAATGGTTTACACAAAGCGCATTAAGATACATACTAACAAATTGATCCAAAAGTTGTTATTACTAAAGAAAGCAAAAGAGTGATAATTCCGTAAGCTTTTGTCGACTGATTACAAGTAGAATAACAGAAACAAGTTTGGTTTATTGATATTAGCTTGCTGCTTCATTTTCGCACTTTTCTAAAAGAGTATTCATCCACTCCTTTTTTTTTTATTGCATAAAGTGGTTGTGCTCTTCTTTTCCTCTATTATCATTGTCTCAAATAAGCGAAAGTATTTATACAACTATTGTCCAAGAAGAGGATAAAACATCAAGACTTACAATGGCGTTTTATAGTTTGAGTAGCGTTCAATAACCTTAAATATTTTGATTATCTTAATAAAGATCAGTTGCTACACAATTGTTTTCACACCCAATTGTAAGAGATGGCAAAGGGGATGAAGGGGCTATATACATTTATTGCAACGATTTTCCTGTAAACTCCTGAGCTTTGTTCGTAAATAAATTAGTACATCAGTTGTTGTTGTTTTCACAACAATTGCTTTTATCGTTTTTCTCTTTCTCTTTTCTATTTCTTGCCAATGTCACTCGTAAAACGAGATGGTTCTGCCACTACTACAGAGAATGGCAGTATTACAACTACCGTATATGGGTCTGCCACAACCAATACCAATACCAACAACAACAACAATAATAATAATAACAATAACAATGTTCAGCCTTACAACCAAAATCAAAACAACAACGGCCAAACATTCAACCAAAACAACAGCCAAAACAACGGCAATAATGGTCTACCTTTTAACAACAATCAAAATACCAACAACGGTTACAACACAAACAGCAATACTCCAACATACACTAATGGAAACACCAATAATTTTCCTAACAACAATAATAATGGCAACGTAAACACTAACACTAATAATGGCTACAATAATAACGCACCAAATAACAACAACAACAACAACAACAACAGCAATGGATATGGCAATAACAATGTCAATGTCCCGATCAACCCGGGAAATAATGGTGTCAATGGTAACAGTGGAACCAACTATGGTGCTACCAGCAATAATGGCAATAGTAATGTGCCTTATAACAGTGGTTACAACATTCCTAGTGGAGGTAATGGTTATAGTAACACAAATGGTATCAACAGTGGCTATAACAATAATGGTCCATCTTTTTCATCAAATGGTTATAGCGATCAGGGAGGAAGCAAGGTTATCATTATTGTAGTCTGTGTTATTGTTGGTGTTGCTTTGATGGCAGGTGGTGGTTTATTCTTCTTCTGCAAGAGGAAGAGGGAGAAGAAGAAGGAGAACATGGCAGATGCTTTCTTTGAGTTCTCTGCTGATAAAATGAGTGATCATAAAGTATGAATGAAAGAAAAAAGAGTTTCTTTTTATCAAGCTCTCTATTTATCCTTTTTGTTTGTGTGTTGGTTGTTCTTATTTTAATTTAAATACTAATGCTCAAAGAAATATGGATAATTTTCGTCTCCCTTTCTCTTTTACTTGAACATATGCTAAAGTTTAATTGGTGATGGTGATGCTCAATATTGAAATAATTCATGTTTTTTCCGGATATAGTAAAGAGCAACAACTTTTGTATATAAAGTGTATAACAATAATAAAACACAAGTTTAATTTATAGTTTGTTTAGCCAAAAATACAAGAAATACAAATAATAAGAGTCAAAGTAGTTGGCATTGTGACTAAATTGCGAACAGCATCGGATTCTTTACGCTCAGAAGCAGATTTAGGCTTAGCACTCTTGTCCTTAACATCTACCTTATCGTAGTTATTGGGATCCCAGTTGTGCTGAGTTGTGTAAGGTCCCAAAACAGGTAAGTCGTCTACATCATTAAAGTTGAGTTGTTGTTGAACAGCAACAGAACGAGTGTTGATCCATTCAATGATGCCCATACTTTCACCGTCTGTGTTATTCATGTTGTTTTCAAAGTTCCAAAGAGTCCATTGGGGCTTGATGCCTACAGATTTAGGCTCAAGAGATAAGTCCCAATCAACATCTTCGCGTAACATTTGTCTCCAAGCTTCAATACGGGAAGTAATGGCACTTGCTTTAAAGAATCGCTTAACCAGAGTTTGAATCACCTTTTCAAATTCAGCCTTGTAGTAAGGGGAAGCAATAAAAGCGTTTACCAATGGACGCTGAGAATCAGGACGAGAAAAGTTGGCATAAGGAGTAGTGGCCATGTAACGAGGAGCACCGAGACCAAATGTTTCATCGAAATCGTAAGTAATTAATACCCATTGGTTAGAACTAGTTTCTTTAGTGAGGTAGTAGTTACTTGCTTGATGCCAGATACCGTCCAAGAGCCAGAGAGAAAGTTCATGGCAAGATGAATCATAGTGTGTTGTGGATCAACCAGTTTTTCCAGATTACCCTTATCATTAGCATCTGTAGTTTGAGCAGGATTAATCAGGCTGAGTTCCTTGATAAATTCAATCAGTGGTGTCTTTTCATTGGTATTGTTTGTTTCCTTCTTCATGTTGCCTTCATCTTCAAGTTTGTAAACAGTGTCATTGTAGGATTCTTGTAAATCGTCCTTGTAGACCAAATTGCCTTCAAACTGAGGATTCAAAGCATTACCCTTGTATGTAGGACCTGTGTGTTCGTAATTTTGATTACCACCGCGTAAAGCATTATTAATAAAGTTGGTGGTTGAATCATCAATCATCAAGTACAAGCCAAAGGGCTCATTGTTAATGTATAGACGCACGTAATTGCCTTGCACTGTAGCAACACCGGCTGCTGACAAGCAATCAAGCATCAGTTTTTCACGACTGCATGTCATCATTAGTGTTCATATTTGCATGAAATTTGAATTGTCACTTACACGAATGTAGGATCCGTTTCATGAGCTCTTAGTTTAAATGTAGTTCGACCATACAAGAGTTCTTTAGTGCCAGTCTTTTTGAATTCATTCAGCTTGACTTTGTAAGATTGCTTGGCAAATTCTTTAGTAGACTTGCCACTGTTCTTGATGCCAGCTTCAGTAAAAGAATAGATTTCTTGATTTGAAATGTAAGTTACTATAGAAACGAGTGTATAGTCCGAACTTTCAAGGGGATTAGTCAAGATTTTATTGAGACCAGTAGCATTTGCTTCCAATATAACAGTTGCAATCTCATTTGAGCGATTCATGTTGCTCATAAGAGCTAAAATTCATATGTTAATTACATTAAAGTCCGGGTTTTACTTACGTTGGTAAATAGGATGATAAGCCTGAGGGAGAGGAGGAACATTAAATACAGTCTGGCTTCTGTTGAAGAATTCATTGCCTGTGGAAGTGATACCAACTTGCTGTCTACGAGTTACAGGTTCCAATAAGTTGTCAAGTGAGTACTGGTATTGTTCAGCAGAAGGTGCAATGCCCTTGTAGATATAAGGCGAATCAGTAGACTGAGTTAATGGATACGACTGGCCACCTATAACTACAGCTACAGCTTGTTGATTTTTAGGAAATCCAACTACTGAATATTCAACATCAGCAGCATAAACTAGATTGAAGGAGAGTATAGCTAAACCAACGTAGCCTAAAAGTAATTTCATGTTTTTCTTTTGCAATGCATTTAAAAATGAATAGTAAATGTCCCTTATATACAAAAAAGAAACAAGTAGAGTAGAATATTCAGAATGGTAAGATTAGAGGCTCGTTTTCCTAGTCTTCGAAACTGTCTTCACAGCTTGGTCATTGCAAGTACGTATGTAACACTATTTTATTACTATTTTTAAGCACTTTTTTCTCGGCTATTACGAAACAAACAATGACAATTGATACTTCTTTTTTTTGCTTTTAGTCTGTTGTATTACGAAAATACAAGAGATAGGTGAACATAAAGCACTTAGCTATAATATTCATTTTTTTTTCTTTTGGCTTCTTTTTACACAAGTCTTTATAATATCAGGCTGCTTGTTGCAATAATATTCCTATATTATTGACATCAATAATCCAAGATTCACGGAACGTCTGAGTTTTCGATTACTTCCAACAAGTCTGTATCATCTAAAAATAACCCTCCATTTTCTTTTTTATTAATTTGACTATATGGCTAAGAAAAGACAACTCTAATGATATATGCTATTTGATAATTATATTTTCTGTAGAATATTTGTCTTTTCTTGCTTATGATTGTGACACCACAGGATTAGTGTAACACATTATGCGCCTTATTAATTAAAAGCAGATCAGGTTGCGCACCGAGAAATGCTTCTTTCTTGTCTTGACTCGGTCCTCTTCTTTCATTAAATTGTTTTTAGAATCAAGCATTTGTTTTTGGTTATGAGCCTTATCTTTGAGTGCCAGTTCTGGTATATGAATAGCATATCTTTTGGTACCTTTTGTTCCTGGAATAATTTCTACATGCAACTCAATTATGATGGCGTCCATGGCTTGATCATAGCTACCTATACAGTAATTGCGTGAGCCCATTAATTTCTTGTTGATTGTCTAAAATATACTGAAGCTTAATATTCTTTTTTTCCCTATTTGTTTGCTTACATGTTGTCCCTCCGGTGTTGTGTCAAACAGGTCGTATATGTCTTCAGTCACATCTTGGCTAAAAGCAATAGGCACATAATACTGATCTAAAATACTCAATAGTATCTGAGGAGGGGGTATATTGACAATAGCACTGGATATAATTTGGATCATAAAGTTAGGATCCTTTTCTGGTAGAGTGTTGTTTGAATACAATCGCCCAGTACAGCAACAATGAACATCTCCACCAAAGAAAGAGACACGAATAGATGTATTTTGTGCAAAAGATTGTAATCTTTCTATAAAATGCCTTCTTTCACCTTCATGGTTGGTTGATGTCCAATCTATAACAAATATATAAGCAACATATTTGGTATTTAATACATACGATCATTCACATCGTCTAGTAGCTCAGGATCGCCATTCCAACTGTTCAAAAATTGAGTAATAATGCATCCCAATGTCCCTATTCTTCCAACCAATGTTGCTAAATTCAAATGAGCAATAGCTTCCATGGCTTTCTCGAACAAGGTCAAGCGAGGATAGATAAGAGGCACACCAGTCAAGACTATCAAATGTTTGACAGTAGGTGGTAATTCATTGATGGCTTTAAATACAGCATCATAAGATGCTTGAGTACATATTTGATATTTAGTACGTTCACCACGAGCATCAAGTGCCAAGAACCCAATGGATGAACCCAATGTAGTGACAATATGGTTGCAGGTGGCCAGCTCGCCTTTGATCATGCCATGTGTCTCTTCAATGGTTGTATGCTGTTGGAACAGATAATAGAAACGTGCTCCATTGGCAAACAAAACTATGCCCAATGAAGTCAATTACCTCTTGTTACATTTTTTTAGTTACCTTGAAAGCAGTCTGATGACTGAAGATCAGCTGGATATGAGCCATAGCCATCAATAATGTCCTAGCAATAATATTAGCCATAACTCAATATCACAAGTTAAATGCACTACATGATCATCCCACATATTGACCGAAGGAATGGTTGCAAAGACCAACGTTTGTGCAGGGCTTGCAGCACACCTATCATTCTGCATTAACCTAATGTATGTATGTCATTTAAGTTTACCCAAAATGTTTGATATAGTTCCAGAAGTAATAGTTTTCAAGTGCATTTTTCATGTTCTCGGACAATTGCATTGAGATACGTTTTGTTGGATCTTTTTCGAGTACCCAAGGCTTCATAAAATCTTTAGAAATCAGATCGTCTTGATACAATTGATCGCCACCTCCTAGCAAGACATTAAAGGGAGACTGTTGGTGCTTATCCAACACATCTTGCCAAAGTGGAGCTTCTTTCTCATTGTATCTTTCTCGAACAGTTTCTGGAACATTGGAGAAGCCATTACAAGAATAAAACATGAACCGCATTGAGTCTTGAATAGCCGGTAGATGGAATTGAAATGTTCTGTCTAGACAATGACTTGTATAAGAAACACATTGAGGTCTGTTTAATAAAGGCAAGGCTAGTTTATATCGCCAAAAGTAATATGTATTGCAAAAATTATCCAACATGTCAATTTGAATGGGTTCGCATGGAATAATGGATATAGACAAAGTAGGAGGTTGACATGAATTGACAACAAGAAGACAAGAACCATACCAAATTCGCTTAGTATAGTCAATCTCTATGTATCGTAATAAAGGACCACAAACAACATCCATTTTAGACTTCTTTGGTACAAAGTTCACTCAATTTCTCTTTAAATACTTTTTTCCCTTAACCTGTGATTGACACTTGATTTTATCCACATGCAAAATGATATCTATGACAAATGCAAAAAAAAGGGGTTTCTTTTTTTTTATTTAAATATCGACAAGTGCAACAACTTATTGAGAAGCTTCGAAAGCAGCCTTGGCTTCCTTGATCTTGGTGAGACGTTGCTTCTTGTTGAGGGCAACAGCTCTGCGGTAAGGCTTGGCGGACTTACCCTTCTTTTCAGTGGGCTTGTGAGAGGGATCAGCACGGATAGCTTCGTGAGCTTCGGCGTACATGTCTTCAACCTTGTCAGAAGTGATACCAGCCTTGATGAAAGTAGAGAATTGCTTCTTGTAACGTTCTTCATCTTCTTCTTCGAGGTATTCCATGTATTCAGCGACGTGAATACCGTAGATGTAGTTACGGAGGAGTTCATCATCGTTGGTCTTGGATTCGATATCGAAACCAGGGAAACGGTTACCACTGTGGGGAACAAAGATACCACCATCAGAAGCACCCTTCATGGCGCCGAAAACACGGGCACCAGTGGAGGTACGGGCAAGACCAACATCGAGGAAAGCCTTGAAGGGACGAGGAGCATCTTCAGCGGCTTCAATCATTTGGACAGTACCATCAGGTTCAGCGAAACCTTCATACTTGTCAGCAAGACCGAGCTTGGCAAGGGTACGACGAGCAAGGAGGAGACCAGTGGCATAAGCAGAAGCCCAGTTGGTCAAACCACCCTTGACACCATAACGAGGGAGTTCGTGAGCGTAAGCAGCAGCAAGGACAAAGTCACCTTGGAGCTTAGCGTAGATGATTTGACAGATAATGTCCTTGTTGGTGAAACGAACAACCAATCTGTACTTGGGAGAGTTGTACTTGTTCTTGGCTTGAACGACGAGTCTCTTACGAGCATAGTAGTCGGTCTTACCCTCTATAGGTATGAATTAGTTGTCATTCGTCATAAGATCTTGACATTTACCTCTTCTTCTACGGTACTTGACTTGGTAACGCTTGAAGTAAGCCTTGTTCTTTTGTTGCTTGACGAAAGGCTAAATCAAGAATGCAAAATCGTTAGTCCATGCTCATTGCATCCATTTCATCCATCCATTCATCCGTTCATCCATCCATGTAGATGTGTATCTCCCTACATGCATCATGATGACTGCATGCAATGGAATGATATGAGCACATACCATTGTTCGACGTTGCTATGTAAAGGAAGGATCTCTCAACTTCAGAGAACAACAACCCAAATGAGGACCAATTTTTGATCTGAGTTTGAATATATGCAATTCTGATCAGCTTTCTTTTTTTCTTTTTGACAGTTGCTCTTTTGGTATGGAACAGGATCGCATGCCACGTTGGCAATTTCGGAAAAAGAAAAAGATTGAGAAGAGACGTGCAGAACGACAAAAATTAGCTAAAGAGAAAGAGAGTGTCAAGCCCAACATAAGTCTTGAAGAATCGATCGCAGAGAAAGAAACGTACAAAAGGCAGAAAGCACAATGGGAAGCGAATGAGAAGAAGTTTGAGCTACTTGAACTAGCAAAAAAGAAAACAAAAGAAAAACAAGAGCAAGAAAAACTAGAGGCTGAGGTAGAGTCAAAAGATATAGAAATTATGTTACTTAATTGATATCAGAAACGTTGGAAAGAGGCTCTACTTAACTTGCCTTTAACCAATGTATCTCGGATAGAAACAAAGGTAAAGTTATTGAGAATAAACATGTTTGCTCATAAGGATTATAGAAGTCAACGTTCAAGACATTTGTTCAGCCTCAAGATATACCCTCAGCACGAAAAACATACCGAGAAAGATTTAACGAAGCAAAAGCAAACAGAAAGTCTAGTTAATTTATCCTTTTTTCTTCCTAATTGCCTAAATTATCCTTAAAAACCCCTTTATTTTCTCTCAAATTGTAGATTATTGTGCTGGATCTAGAGCCTAGGTAATAAAAGAGTTTATTGATGAGAAAAAAAACTCCAACCTGATGAAGCCAGCACATAAATTTTGTCTGTTCGTTTCAACACAAGCGAAGAAACAGGATTGGTATACACAAAAGAAAGCTCATTACCCATGTTTTCATCAGGTGCTCTCAAGATACCTAGAGGAAGTACTTCATGATCCATGATAAGAGTTTCAAACAAAAAAGCAAATGTCTTGTTAATAAAGCAAGGTGGCATCACAATCAATGTCAAATGGCGTGAGCTAGGGAATAAGCGAGGTTTTGTTTTGTCATTGCACATAAGTACATGCGCAGTGTCTTTGTCGTAAAGAGGACCAGGCATGCCACAGAGCGCTTTGATGACAGACACAATGTCTGGTTTGTAATATGTCTGACTTAAGAGAACGTTGCTTAATAGACTATCGACGACTACATTCCCAGCAGCATAAGCAGGTGTGTAAAAGACATCGACTTCTTCAGCCACATCCTTGCCCTGAAGTAAATGCATAAATCGAATGTTGGATTTCTCAACTGTTTAACATTAGTCAACGCATTCTGTAGAAAAAAAGGAAAAAAGGTTTTTTACCTAAATTAACAATGCGAGATGCATCTTGAGGTTTGTCTTGAAGTAATAAATCAAGTAAATGACTTGTCATGCTACGAAAGAAAGAATAAGCATGTGTCTTCTTTCTTAAATTACACTTACACAGCAGGGCTATCTGAACTCCTTTCATATTGATCTAAGCACTCTCTTTCACTATAAACAAGTAAATGAGATGGGGGTTGTTACCAAGATAGCGAATAATTTACCTCATCACAACAACTTGCTTTGCTCTCTTAACACCGGCCTTGATCAAATCTTCAGGATGTTGACAATTACCCTAATAGAAAGGTTGATTTAGCCTTTATACAATCTCTTGCTTCTTTACTTACCACCATAAAATACACTCTTGGAAATCGCTTTACCATTTCAAATTGCTTGTCACTCGGTAAAGACGTACATAAAAACACAATATCTTGCAATTCATTCGATTTCAATTGAGGAGATCTAATCAATTGATATAAGTACTCACATTTTCATTGTGATGTTGAACTTGCCTGAGATTATAGATAAATTTGAAAATGTTGGATACTTTATGATGCATACACACTAAAATATGGCCATTCATGCATTCTGCAGACTCAAGTGTCAATTCATCCAATGTCGCAGGTTTTTCCAGCAAATAGCATAGAGGTGAAGCCTCAGTAACTGCATCTGGGTGATCTAAAAGAGGCAATTTACCGAGTCGACTAATTAACTTTCTACTGCCTGTTAACATGGCAAGTCGAGGTGTAGGTAACTTGGCTAAGTCAAACTGTTGGCGAGGGGGTGGTTGAGAATAATGATGAACAGAAGAAGATCTAGATCGAGTAGAATCATTTGAAGTTGAATGTGCAAGAGGTTCAGCAGGATGAAGTACAGGTGACGAAGGATGAGAACAGAAAGTGTTGGATTGTGGTTGCGGTAGTTCTAAATGGCTCACTTCACAATGTGTATTAGATGCATTAGAATGAGGAGAAGTAGGTGCAGATTGAGTTGTTTCTTGTTGCTTGGAATTATTTCTAATGGAGCTCAAGAGTTCATTACGAAGAGAAGATGAGCGAGACTTGGTAGGTACTAGAGGTTCTTGGCATCGTGTCTGTCTCTTTTCTGCTTCTTTTTGACGTCTTGATTTCATGACATCCATTTTTTCTTTTACATAATCATATTGCTATCAATAACTCAATTAGTCTATTGAGATGGGCAATAAGTTATCTTACCAAGGTATTCACATCTTCTACTTCTCTAGGACTTTCACATGTGTAGACGCAAAGATCGTCTGGTTTCAGTATATAATGGTTCCCTGGGTTGAGAAGGATTTCTCGTTGTTCACAATTATCCAGACATGTCTTAACACCAAACAATATCACTTGACATTCTGTATAGACAACCCAGGCTGCCTCTTTAAATGTCATACCTACAAGGGCTGTAGGTGGTCTATCCATATAGATTTCATTACAGGAACCATCATCTAATTTGAACATGTCAATAATGAGATAGACATGCTATGGGCTTACCATATTGTGCTTGCCATGATTCATCGTAATGATCCATAGGTCGCCTTTGGTGCAACAGGTTTGTCAAGAGAGTAGAAGCGCCACGACAACGACAGTTCATTGCTAGTAAATATTGTTTGAATTCGCGGACACAAATGATTTCTTTAGCCATTTTCTGGTAGATACTGGTGGAAGGTGATAAATTATAGGTATAAATATCTACATTATGGCTGACTGTAAAACAATGAAGCGACCATAGTCGAACTGTGTTTCGCTCGTCTTCTTTTGTGGGGTCAATGGCATGTTGATCTATAGACAATGTGAATTTGAGATATTTATCATGCAGATATCTTACCTGAAAGAGTAAAAATAGCAGAAGCTGATCTTGCTTGCTGTTATTTAATATGTTAGTCATGAAACACTGACTATATTTAGCTTACAACTCGCTTTAATGTTTGTTCATCCTACATAAACTGTTTTAGTCTATAGTAACACTACATATATATATATATTTCTCACCAAGACAGATCCATGAATAAACTGAATACGATGTCCCCACATTGAGTTTCTTTCTAGGAATTTGAGCTCTTCATTAGGACGATTGATATCCAAAAAGACGACATTTAAATGAGGTTCTGTATTTTCCTATTCAATTATGAGTACATAAGAGTCAATTGTTTTGCTAACTTGCCGTATTTAAAAAGCCGTCAAGGATCTCTGTCACTTGTTCTGGTCTAAATGATCCCACTAAAAGAATAAAAGGTTTGGCAGAGTCTGATACATGGCCACCCCAATCTAGTCAACCAATATAAGCCAATGTTGTTTTAGAAAAGTATTATTTACCATTTCGTTTTCTGAGTGTATTCAAGACATCAGCCAACAAGTTGGGCAATACAGCCAAGGATATAACAATCAGTAACATCATGACAATTCGACTGCCTTCTGTATGTGGCGTAATGTCACCATAACCTACTGTTGATAGTGTGACCATAACGACGTAGAGAGAGTCTAGAATAGAATAGTTGATGTCTCCAAATGTTACCTCGCAGTATTGAAATGCAGACATGCCGTTATATAATAAGGCAACAAGTGTACCAACCAAATAAACCAATTTGGATTTCAATGGGTCCACAGGTTTATCTATAAACGATGAATTGTCTCGAAGCACAACCAAACTGTACCTGTCATCAAGAGATTTGTCTTGATCTTCAAGACACTTTTAATGCGTAACAGCAAAACCCAACTTCTCAAAAAATAAGGTACTATCCAAGTCATAAATAAGTTTAAGCATTTACTGGTATATTTACCATATAGATATTGTCCATTATCGATAAAAATAGATACAATAAATGGTATTGTTGTGAATGTTTCAATAAAAGATCGAAAACTAAATAACACAGAAAATGGTCTTCCCGTCAAAAATATACCTGTACAACATCATTAATTTTTTTTTTTGGCTTGTATTAAATGAAATTTACGCATTATAAATGAACCTAAATTCCACAAGCTCAATATAGTACAGTAAAACCTATATAAAAGTATGAATACAAGGTTGTTGATGACTATGGTTTACCAAAGATCATATGATCTCCACTTAAACATCCAAGGTGGTGTTGCATGAATGTCAGCTTCTTGTTTCATTTCAACAAGATAAGCCAAGCACAACAAAATATCAACAATCAAATCAGTGTAGACCTTGCCATTATCAGTAATCATATTTTTTTTGTTTACGATAAACTTACAAATAAGATAATACTGCGGTTGGCAAACAAGATGCGTTTTGCTTCAGATACATAGACATTGTACTTCAACATATTTTCAAACTGCTGAAAAGGAGTCAATGGTATATTGCCATTTCTAATGAAATAAGTAAATCATACTCAATAAAGGAATTGTATCTACCTAGCACGAATACGCGTATCACGATATTTTTCTCGGATATTGCTTAGGTTGACTCGACATTTCTTATTTGTAGTTGCAGGAACATACTCTCTGACCTCATCAGCACTAAATAATTGTATAGACAATAAGCATCCAAAATCTATATAAAATAACGTACTTTGGATCTAATTCAGGTATAATGAGATTATCAGTTGGCATCTGTATGATATCGTCTGTATCTCCTTCGTCTTCGGACGGTCTTGCACTTCGAACAATATGTGATAATTTACTGACCAACTTGGGTCGAGAAGGTCTATGGTGCTTTTGAAGACGCTTCTTTTTGCGGTTCGCTAGTTTGGCTGTCGCTATGACTTCTTCACTGCTTCCTCCATCTGAATAAGGATCTTCAAAATGTGAAGAGGAAGTAGCCGAAGTATTCGAAGAAGTCGTAGTAAGCCGGTTTGTGCTTCCATAGTTTTGCTGATCAGAACTTATTAGCTGACAATTCTCTCCATTTTGACTAGTCTTTGAGCTGTTTTCCAGAGTCATTGGAAACTCGAAACTAAAACGAGAGAAAAATGCAATTATGGTGAGACTGTCAACTTTTTTTTGTTCTACTTACCAAACACGGAGATCAAATTACATGCTGTCTTTTTTTTCTCTTGCTTATGGAGAATGGTTTGTTGCTTGTTGTTCTTACTTTATCACTCCTTCTTCTCCCTATGTATAAAACACCACTGTGGAATGGTTAGTCCTTCAAAAAAAAACAAATGCATTTACGGGTCCTCGATCCGAGAAAGGTAGGACAAAGGCGGAGTATATATATATTGTATCACCCTCGAAACCATAGCAACAGACTTTCGAGCTTTGAAGACTTTTTGTCCCTTTTTCATTAAACCATTCCCTACCCCTCTTTAAGAATCCTTGAAATTCGATTGGCCATTTTTAATTGCAGTTGTATATCGCAAAAGAGCAAACGATGTATCTTTTTTTAAGCCAAATAAAACTTTCTTGCCAAGACCTAGAGCTGTTTCATTTTCGACCTGGGAAAATATCAATTTTAGTTTCTTTTCTTCTTCATTTTGTGCAATGTCTTCTAATCAAGCTAACGATCCACTCGTGAATCGCTTTTCTTTTCAACATTTCGATCAGGAATCGGATTTTGGCATCGAGACCGCATCAGGCGAACGTATCCGAAAGAAAAAGAAACCTGGTCGTAAACCTAACCCACCCAGTATTCAAGAACGACGAGCTCAAAATCGAGCTGCTCAGAAAGCCTTTCGAGAAAGAGAACAGCAAAGGAAGGAAGAAAAAGAAAAACAATGGCATGAATATAGTGAAGAGATCAAAAGGCTTCGCAAACAACTTTCTGTCGTGAATTATGAAAACAAATACTTGAAAGCCTGTGTACTTCATCTCACACTGGCTTTTCTGATCCATAGAGGGTCTGTGCCTCATATCTGGACAGAATCTCGGATCATTCCTAGCAATAGTCATGGTGAATACAAGAAAGCAGTTTTTGCACCTTATGGTCAAAATATTGATAATGAAGCATATCAAATACCTGCATTGTTGGATATGATTTTAGAAAACCAGCATGTTGTTGATTTTGATAAGGCTTTGTTCATGACTTCACAATATAATGCTTTTATGAATTATAAGAAAAGGAGAGGAGTTAGTCCTGATCTTTCTTTTGCACACTACCAAGAATATATCAACCAGGATGTGATCACACTCAATAGAGGTTCTCAGGAACCTAAAAAGAACTTTCCCAAAAAACGAAGCAACAGCAATGTCTCTAGTAAACCATCCACATCGTCCGTATCTTCACCGCAAGTACCTCGTCCTCCTGCATCAATCTCTAATTCATCTTCCTTATCTCAAACAAGCGAAAAAAATTCTGTTAAATCTGATGGACCTCCTCTCAATAGCAATTTCTCAGATTCTTCTTCCACTAGTTCAGTCAATAACAATCAAGCCCTGACTATCCAGCAAAAACCAATAAAAGGTGTCCTTTTTGAGCCACCACCACTAAGAACGTCTGAAGATTTTGCCAATATGCCTACACTTCAAGCACTTCACATCCTTCGGCTTCAAATGAAACTCGGTAGCATTCTTGGCAGCATGACACCTGCCTCATTGTTACCTAGTAAGTATCTTGTGTGACATGAATGTTCTAGTTATTTATGTCTCTTAGCTGCCCTACAACGTGTGGTTCCTCATGATATACGTATTGATTATGTTCCTGGTGCTTCCATTCGAGATAGAATGATTATATTTCAAGACTATTATGACATTGATGAATGCTTTCAGTATCTTACACAACAGACTGTATTTTTAGGTGGTGATGTGCGAAATTCACGTAATTGGTCAGTAGGAGCAGATTATTCTGTTAAGTTTTGGTATTTGTCACATTTAGTGGTTGACCAGACATACAATGATTGCATTGATGCAAAAGAGTCACAGATTATTGCAGAGGAATTTTGTAATATGAGTGATACAGAAGAAATGCCGATTTATCCACCCCAATTACAACAACAGCAACAAGATTTAGCTATATCGGATATAAATCCCATTAATTTTGGTTCTATTCTACTAGATTAACACATTTTATTTGCCTGTATGATCATTTTTTTTATAAATACATGCTTCTTTTCATTTGCATATTCATATATACATATTATCATCTAATAAGGACTCACTAACACAAACCCATGACATTCTTTAGAACAATGAAACAAAATGCACCAGCCTTTTTTTTTCTTAATGTGCATTACAGCCACGTTTGTTTTCAAACCTTCGTCATTTGACGGCTTTTGAATATTCATAAAGTTTTGATCTAAACGTATGCAAGTTCGTGTACACAAGTTGTACAAGAAAAAGAATTCAATATTCATGTTTGGGGCTTTTATTATGCAAAAAGTAAATTCTGCTTTGTTCGGCGTTTGTGGTACACTGTATTTCGACATATAAGGGCTTCATTTACATATTTTGTTTTGCAATAAAAAAAAGAGGGGGTGAAATTTCTACAATGCCACGAATAAGCGCTCCTTGTTTGATGTGCTATTGAACGTTCTTTCTTTTTACATAAGAATTATGTTGTAGGGCAGCTGTAGTACAATATCCAGATTATTGGTGTCAGCAAAGCTTAATTGTTTTCAGGCACAGATCTTCTTAACTAAACAAAAAAATACAAAAGAACAGATATGGCTTTGAAAGTTTGATTAAATTCAATACCTACGTTTGGAAATCAACCAAACGTTTAATTACAAAAGCAAATATGCGCTACAAAATTTCAAAAAGAGAGTTATGAAAAAAGACAGTGCATACACGATAAAGAAGAACGGAACTTAAAACAAAACTTTCCTATTCATGCGAAGACACTTGTTCCTAATATAGCTTATGCAAGTTCTATCTTCTTTCTTTTTTTTTTAAAAGAAAACTGTGATATACTGAACAGAATGGCTTAGAGAACTCAACAGTTAGGTTGAAGGAATCTGTGTCTGAGAATAAAAATGGGTGTAATCCGAAAAATGTTGTTTTTGGATAATGGAAATAAAAATAGTACATGTTGTGTGATCCATTGGAATTTTCTGTATTTATTGCTAAATGTGTATATATCAGCCCATTGCTATGAAGAGAGAAAGAGAGAGCCTGTCAAATGACGTATTAAAGACAGAAAAAAAAAGGTATAAAAGTAACTGGAATGCCTTGTCTTTTTTTTCTCTACTCTATTCTACTTCTTTCATAAAATGGTTGCTTTTACTCTTTTCAAGTCTGCTTCTCTTTTGGCTTTGGTCTCTTCTTTAGTCTCTGCTGCTCCTTTAGACACCTGTGACTACTTCCGTGTCACCTCTCCTAATACTTATTTCACTACTACCGCTGGTGAATGTCAACAAGTGTCTTATGACTACAGTGGACCTGCTCCTGCTCCTCTTGTCTCTATTGATCTTTATGAATACAGTACTGATAAATTCATCAGTTCTTTGGTTCAAAATGTTACTGGTACTGGTCCTGCTAGTCCTTGGTTCAACATCAACTTGAATGGCTACAATACTACTGCTGATTACTATTTCCTTGTCAGTTATGGTCCTGGTTGTGATGCTATCAAGACACAGAATTTCCATGTTTTGTATAATCCCAACTCTCCTCCCGCTGTTTGCCCTCAACAATAAGAATACCCTTCCCCTTAACTCCTAATTATTTTTTTGTGTGTATAAAATCATTTTGTATAATAACAAATGAATTGTTTTGAAGAAAGTTAAGTGTGCAAATATAAGTTTATTCTTGATGTTTCCATTGATGTATACGCAGCGGAGTCGCCATAGTAAGAGGTTTTTTTGGTTCATTATTATTTACAATATTATTCGCTATAGAGGATAAAGAGGGTAGTCGCTGAAGCGATGGTTGGGTATAATACAAGCGGTTATTAGTATATGGTTTCTCTTCAAATACGATCTTGGTGGGATTGTTAGCAGACGATGTTTGTTTTGGGTCCATCAGGACAAAAGGATAATTAATGGCATGTTCTATCCCGCTTGATTGTCTGAGTACATTTGCAGTAATGCCATTTGCAGATGATGACACTCTAGGTGATCCACCTGTGATCAAGTAATTTTGTGTCTGTACGCCAATGGATCCCTTTTTTAATAGCTTAGAATAATCTAAGTACTCATGAGTCTTCTTTTTTTTTCTATTCAAAATAATACTTACGCAGGCCACATGCATTGCAAAGCGTTCTTGCTCCATCAGGGCCACGTCTCCATTCAGGAGTTTCTGTTGTACTGCAAGAATGACATTTTTGACCTATCATACTTCGTTTCTATGGAGATGGTTATCATCGCTGTTATGGTTATCCTTACATTTCTTCGACGATATTTCGGTCTCAAATGACTATTGTTGTTCTGAATGTTTCTCGCTTGTCGGATGAGTTCGTATTCGGCATGATCCTAAAAAGAGAGTTGAATACAAATTATGCAAACACACAAGCTTACATTCACAACCGTATGGTGCTGGCTTTCCTCATCTAAATCTTCGTCCTCTAGATCATCCTCATCTTCCTCATCTTCCTGATGCACGGTGGAACACAAATGGCGTTTTTTATTATTGGTAGTTGAGTGATCAACGGATTGAATACTCTTGTAGACTATTTTGGCTGATTCTGATAAATTATCAATCACTCTATCTCGCTCATTTTCTGTCATGGACTTGTTCCCAAGCTTTAGTTGACATATGTCTTTGCAGAGTTTTGCACACTGAACAAGCACCTATATACATCAAAGAAAATGAATGAGCACATGGAATGACTATATAGACTCAATTACGTCGGTTATTGATTCAGGATGTTCTATTGTTTTTGTAGCAGTAGTAGCAGCAGTAGGTTCTTGATCATCAGAAAGCAAAAAGTCGATCTTGCGAACTTTAGCTGATGGATGCTTCAATGGTATGTCATTATTGTCTACATGATGACTATTATTGAACGGAATGAGTAAAACATGTTTACTAGATTTTCTATTACTTGCTTTGCAGGTATATGAGATGATGCTGGATTTAAAGTATCAGAACATAATTGAGATACATCCATAATGAACTAGCGAGATTGGGAAATATGAAGGTGGAGAAAAAACGAATGGAAAAGGAAATACACACCAAGTTAAAAGAAGAAAAAAATGAATGTTACACACTCAAGTCCTCTTTTTTTTTTGACATGTACTTTATTTATTTAGGCCTTGAAATAGGCTTACCGGCCAAAACATCGATGATCTCCTGATAGTCCAAGGTTTCATATTCAACTAGAGCATTTGCTAATCTATCTAATTCTTCGCGGTGTTCAACGAGGATATGTTTGGCTCTTTTTTCAGAAGATTCAATTAGGCTCAAGATTTCACTTTCAATCAATTGCTTTGTTTGAGCACTCAGCAATTGCATGTCTTCATCGTCATGGTTGACAGGACCCACTTTTTCACTCATACCATAATAGCGTACCATTCTTTTGGCAACGTCTGTAGCTTTCATGATGTCACTACTGGCGCCACTGGTTACATTATCTTGGCCGAAAATCAGTTCTTCTGCTACTCTGCCTCCCATGCACACATCAATTTGTGCAGTAAACTCTTTTTTAGTAAAAGAATCCTGTGGGGTAAACATGAGTTATCTGAACAGAGAAATATGATATACGTTACCTTGTCCATCTCTGGTAACTGCACAGTCATGCCTAGTGCAGATCCTCGAGGCATAATAGTAGCTTTATGTAAAGGCATAGCACCAGGTGTATAGTAAGCAACAAGAGCATGACCTCCTTCGTGGTATGCAGTCAAACGCTTATTTTCTTCTGTCAGCACAGCGGATTTACGCTCTGCGCCCATAATAATCTTGTCTTTTGAATATTCAAGGTGGCACAAATGAACTTCTTTAGAATTTTCACGACTGGCCTGGATGGCTGCTTGATTGACCAAATTGGCTAAATCTGCACCGCTAAAGCCAGGCGTGCCTCTTGCCACTACACTTACATCAACCTCTTTTGCTACTTGAATCTTCTTCATATGATGCTTCAAGATCTCAATTCTACCACGTACATCGGGTAAGGGCACATTCACAAGTCGGTCAAATCGACCAGGACGCACAAGAGCCTTATCAAGAAGTTCAGGGAAATTAGTAGCAGCAATAAAGATGACGCCTTCTGTTTGTGAGAAACCATCTAGATCAACTAGAAGTTGGTTGAGTGTTTGTTTCATGTATGATTGGTCTTTGGGATTTCTTTTTGAGCCGATGGCATCAATTTCATCTATAAACACAATACTGGGCGCCTTTGCTCTAGCAGCAGCAAACAATTCTCTCACTCTTCGAGCACCAACACCAACATACATTTCATCAAATTCACTGCCACTCATGAAAAAGAAGGGTACATTGGCTTCACCAGCAACAGCTCTGGCCAACATGGTTTTACCTGTACCTGGAGGACCTGTCAATAACACACCCTTGGGTAGCTTGCCACCCAGCTCTGTGAAACGATGAGGGTTCTTTAAGAACTCGACAATTTCTTCTAGTTCTTGCTTTGCTTCATCCACACCTTGTACATCTTCAAACTTAACAGTTGATTGTGTGACAGGCTCGTATTCTGTTTGTGAACTGGTTGTCTTGAGCAATCCAGAGTTTTCAAGTGCCAAGGATAAGATGGTCAAGATACAGAAAGCATAAGTAAGCGTGACACCCACCCATCGAAGTGCTTTCCAAAACATATATTTGCGTGCTTCCTCTACAACCACGTAGATAGGATTTGATTTATTACCAGAACCACCCAAGGAAGACGACGAGATGGCTTGACCGCCCTGTCGACTAGCAATCACTTGTTGAATGATTTCTTTTGTGGCTGCTGGGTTATCAAGTACTTTTCCGCCTGATTCTTCTAATTTCTGCATAATGCGGGGCAAAATGGTTTCTGATTTGCCTGTTTGTGCTAATGCTGCAATGTAGTATTGCCAAGCTTCTTCATTGTGTGTGAAATTACCACGTTCAAATCGATGAATGACAGCTTGTGGATTATTTGATCTTAACCATTCCTAACACACAATAAGACTTTTTTTTTTAAAAAAAAAAAAGAGGCATTCACAAACCTTGTAGAGAAGAGCTTGTTTAGCAACGTCAGTAGGAGAAGCATTCGCTTCTTGTTCTAATTTGTTCAAGCGGCGATGATTGACGAATCGATTTGTGTTGCTGCTTGAGAACAAAGTGCGTGATTGCTTGGATGGTATACGGGCCATAGTGAAGGCTATAGTGGGATGTGTATTCAAGATACGTGTTGCATTTGTAACTGCTCTGTTGAGTTGACCGAGGTTAGCGTTACGTATTGAAGAAGGAAGCTAACAAAAAAAATCATTCAATAAAATTCTAATGAAAAAATTCAACATACGTACAGTATGTTTGTTTAGTCTTATCCACTGTTCATAGTCGTGACACAAGTGTGCTGAAGGAGCTCGTAAATAAGAGTTGCAGTGCTGAAAAAGTCGTGTTGCTTCTACAGTGATATGAAAAAGCTACGTATATATATATGTATATAAAAAGAGGAAGCTTTAAGTATATATGAAACATAACGTGTATGTGCCTAACCCTTTGCGAAAAAGCTCCATATGGACTCATAGCTGGTTAAATAAAAATAAAAAAAGAAAAAGAAAAATGGAAGAAAGGGAGAAAAAAAAAAGCTTTCGCAGCAAAGCAGTTACGTGATTACATCACCCTCTTAGAGATGACGGAGCCTAAAGTCGCGCTTGAAATGCTGTGATAGTCAACTTGTAGCATGAATGATATGTATTCAAAAAGAGAAAGTGTTCAGTCGAGAGCTGAAAGAATGCATTGATTGTAATTGATTATCAGATCGTGACGCATGATGATTTTGAAAAGAGCATAGAAGTGAGTTACTCTTTTTAAAGTAAATCACATGATATCTGAAGCGATTATTATGCAGCTTTTTTATACATGTCCCTTTTTTACTTGAAAATCATGTTGAATTGACGTCATTTTTATAGCAAAACTTGTAAAGTTCCATAGGATAGACAATGCGTTAACTTTACGTCACTTACCAATATGCAAGTCGGAAGTCAAACAGGATGATTTCATAGCTTATTTGGAACGAGTATAAAAAGCGAAACAAAACAGAGGTTATCCATTCATTATATCTCTTTTCTATAATTATATAAACATGTTCTCTTCTGCTATTCGTACCGCTGCTCGTCGTAACATTGCCAACAAGCGTTTTGCTTCCACTGCTTCTGAATCTTCTGCTAACCAACCTGGTCCCAACAACAATGGCCCTATGATCCTTGCTGTCTTGGCTGCCGGTGGTGCTGGTTATTACTTGTACAAGACCTCAATGGGTAAGTAAAGATATGGCAATTTGGGATTTTGTCATTGACTTTTGTGTATAGAAGCTAAGAAGGGCCCTATCCAAAGAAAGGGTGAAGAGATGGATGCTAAATACCAAGAAACAAAGCAAGCCGCCAAGGACAAGTATGAAGAAGGCAAGGATGCTGCTAGTGCCAAGGCTGAAGAAGTGAAGCAAAAGGGTGCTGAAAAATATGAAGCTGCTAAGGATGCCGCTGCTCAAAAGAAGGAAGAAATCCAAAAGAACGTTGGTGAAAAGATCAGCGAAGCTGGTGACAAGGTTCAAAAGAACGCTTAAATTTGCACATAATCTGTAGTTGATAATCTGTACATAATAAATCTCGTTCAATTTTTTTGATAGAAATTATTTATAATTGTATAACTTGTATTAAAAAAACAGCGAGTAGCTTTATAAGAAAGAAACTAGCTGATTAATATTGACACAATTGTATTCACTTGTTTGGAAAAAAAAAAAAACGGAGATTATGTTGAATTGACTTTGTTTGATATGTTTATTTTTTATCAAAATTCGCGATTTTTAATAAAAAGCATTCAAAAATTATGTAAAAAAGTGGAGCAGCAAGGATTTTGTGCTGACAGAATTAAAACATGTAGAAAAGCTTCATCTGATGGTGGAAAAAAGATGGTGGGTTCACTATCCAGATTTTGAGCAATTTAATAGAGATGTTTTTACTATTTCTGGGCTATAGCATACACTTTTTATAGTGATTTTGCAAATCCGACACTTTCTACGTATTTTTTAGCCTTAGACAAACATTTCTTTCTAATATATATCATATAAAAAAGTTTCTCTATCACTCTCAAATTGCAATTTTGTGAAAATTGAGAAAATCCTCGAGGAGTAGTAAGGGTACTTCTTGATCATTTTAAAAATTAACATGTTTTTGCATAGATACGTTCTTTTAGGACCATTTTCACGTGGAGCACCTGAAAAAGGCGCATAAGAGGCATTTTCGAGGCATTTATGTACGAGAATTTATTTGATTTAGAGCTTTCATGAATAAAACGCAGCGCATTGGTAAAAAAAAAAATACAAGAGCATTTTATTGGTTCCAATAAAAGAGAGGGGAGCAAGTATTAAAGTGGGCGTTTTCAAGTCCAAGATAACAAGGAGCACTTTTCTTGGTTGAGACGTGTAACTTTATTACGTAAATTAATATGTAGACATGATCAACATATATCTGGTTGTTTGGAGCACATTTAATTTATAAACATGCTAAAGATAGATGACGCACCGTAATTAGAAATCTCTACAACCCTCGGCAATGATATTTTATATTGACGCGTAACAATGATTCATATGGGCACACAAAAAAAAAAAAAAAAAAAAAAAAAAAAAAAAAAAAAAACAATCGCTTATGTTCTGTAGTACTTTGCAAAGACGTATTTGATACATAAAGTATAAACTGCCCATAAAATAAATTTGATCTCCCTTTCTCTTTCTTCTCCTTTACGAAACGATTTACATGCATTGAAACAAGCATCGATCTCTATAAAAAAAAAAAAGAAAATGCCATTGTTTTCGCTGTTGTAACACAATATCGCTTGACCTTTTCTTTATTTTGTTATCAATAACATCAAATAAAACGTATGACAATTAGGGTCATTGTCAAAGAATGTCTCCCGTGAACAAGGTAGCTGCGCAATCTGAAAACATATTACTTTAAAAAAATTGACAGGCGGAGTGTCTTCCCCTTTCCTTTTTTTTCTTCTGCAGAGAAAAAAAAAGATCGACAGGCATGTTAATCAAATGGTTTTTTTATTACTAGAAGGGAATATTACAGAGTCTTTAATTTTCTTTTTCTTTTTTTAAGGATAAATGGGGGGTATCATTTTTCTTTAAAAGCTCAGTATCGAATTGAGGCATTATTGGACGAAGAATTCAGTTGTTTTCTTGTTGATGCAAGTGGCGAGACAATCATTTCCGTCTCAGGATTGACATTACCCATATAATCTCGAGGGGTATTTTGTTGAAAATCGCTACTTGGGCTATCGGCGTCGTCGGGTGTTTGATTGTCAGGTGTGATCACTAATGTGTTTATTTTATTGTCAAACATATTCGTTTCTTCAGCAGGTGTTAACATGGGCGTAGAAGGGCTTTGATGAGTCGTATTGTTAGCTAGACTCTGAGCCAGCAGAGCTTCATTCACGTTCAATAAAGATTGCAAATATTCAGGCGAAGGACCTGTTGTTTGTGAGAGAATATTGGTGAATAATGGCTGATGAGACAGGGTTAATAAGTCAGATTTGGGTGAGTTGCAATGGCTGATATCATCCTTGCTACTAGTGGTATCTGGTATCGATGGTGAGATAGTTGCATCAAGCACAGTCTCATTAGTGAGTTCACTAAGAGATGTTTCTGTCACTGTTGTACTAGGTGTATTGGTTGTATCAGAAGATACTGAATCGACAGTAGGAAGATCTAAAGATCCTAGCCAGCCTATGCCTGCACCACTATAATATGTATGAGTATTTGCCCTGAAAAATATATGGTTATGTACCTCTCTTCCCACTCTTGTCCCATTTTTTGCATGACCAGTTCAAGCTGTTCACGTTGACGTTCTAAGTCTTGTAAATTTTTATCGTATTCAATTAATGTTTTATCCATTGTCAAGTAAAGAAAAAAAAGAATGAGGAAAGAGAAAGAGAAAGAAAAAAAGGGGGGAGAAGGAAAAAGGGAGGATTTTAAAATTATAAAAAAATTTACAACAAATATTATTAAGCGGTGTTTATATGATAAAAAAAACCTTTTTTCTTTCTCTTTTTTTGTAAACATTTATCAAACACAAGCAATTAAAGATATATTTATTACACTCCTTTACAAAATAAAAAAAAAAAAAGAAAAAGAAACTCCTACTTTTTCCTTTTAAATGCAGTGATCGAGGTTATTGGTTCTGTATGTAAAGTTTCTTTGGAAAAAAATTTATTGCTCTTTAGAGATTTAAGACTCAATTTAACACAATGTATTACCGAGTACTGGCGGAAAAAAAAAGTGGGTCCCGGAAGAACCCAAATTCAGTATCGGTTGTTCAACGCATCGAATCTGAATAGTATAGAGAGAAGCATAAAGATTAAATTAATTGATCTATAGGTATATTCTGTTGAATTAGAATATAGTCTTACTGTTGATAAATGACTTGACAGTTTAGCATCTCTGCATGTGTTTCTTTAATCCTATTGGTTTTCCAGACGCATGAACTTTCCAATGTGAAAGCGTTTCATTTTCCAACTTTCTGGTATACATCTATTTTGATGTGTTGATTTTACAGTTTTACTATTCATGTATATATATATATATCTGTGTGTGTGTATGCATTTAAAATAATAAGGCGACATAACATGGTTTTACATTAATTTACTGGCATCATATTGAACATGGAGTGGCGTGTGTTTATTAACTATTCTTTGACACTCTTTTTCTCAGGACCAATAAAGAGCCACAAGGGTATTAGATCCATAGTTTCAGTTTAAACCCTGTTTTTTATTCTCTACTTCTTGTTATATAAAGAAGTACAAGAGACAACTGATCCAAATACAAAAAAAAAAATTAACTAGGCGCATTTACAGTTAAGAAAACAAAAGAGTCAGGCGATACTTCTTTAGCATTATTTGACTGCTTTTGAAAGCTTATTATTTTTGCATAAATTCCCATCCTCTAAAACATCACAAGATTTATGTGAAAATAAACAAAAGTGTCTATATAAACCCATTCACTTCTTTGTAATTTTTTTTATATCATATTTCTCACATAACAAAAAAAAATGCCTATGGTTAAGCGCCTTGAAGATGTTCACCAAGAATTGATGGAAATTGCCAAAGAATCCAATCGTCTCTCTTATACCAAATACTCTCTGGACGATGTTGAAAAGCTACAAGACAGACTTCGTAAAATTGATTCTCAATATAATGAAGGCGCATTTAGAAATACAGAAATGAACTCTGTCATTTATGAAGAAGAAGGACAGGCTCAAGTTTCTGATGAATTAGAAAAAGTACATCGCACTTTACACTGTATGCTTTCCCGTATTGACAATTAATCACTGTAAATAAAATCGCGCTTAAAAAAAGTCCTTTTCTCTCTCCTTTTTTGTTTTCTTATTTGCATTATGAGTCAGTGGCGAAATCAAAAACTAGTAGAATCCTTTGGTATTTGCTTTGTATGATTTCTATGCGTGCATATTTAAACCGTCTTGTAGACAGCGACGAGTGGAACAAACCTGTCAAATCAGATCCCAATGATCAAAGGCAAGACATAGTGCTCTTGTTTTTTTTTTCTTTATTAATTCTATCTTAGATGGAATACACAAGTAGAAAGAGCAGGTGGTTGGGGAAATCGTACACATAAAATGAATGATTTCGAGACTCGAAAAACGCGTGGAAGAGGTGGTTATCAGTCAGGCAGAGGTCATGGATGTGGAGGACACCAACAACAGAGACAAAACACTAGTTGGCATCAACAAAAGTCACTGAATGCTACTTGGGGGAATCAACTGCAATCCAGTACTAGTGATTGGAGTAATGCAGCCAATGCTTGGGATCAAAAGCCTCAGAAGGTAGAGAACAGTGCCAAACCAAATGGCTGGAGTACAGTTGCCTCAACTAAACCCAATGCTTGGAACCAAAAGCCTGAGATCAAGCAAAAGAATGAAGCGGCATCTAATTATCGGAACATTGCTTCCTCATCAACAAATGACTGGAATACTGCTTGCTCATCAACAAATGATTGGCATCAAGAGTCAAAGACAGAACAAAAGAATGATGGCTGGAACACTACGACTTCCAATGCCTGGGATCAAAACTCAAAGACAAAACCATCAGTCAACACTTGGCAGCAGCAAGAGCCTAAAAAAGAACCAGCTTCTGAAGGCTGGGACGCACCTGCTAAAGCAAGTAAAGTAGGTGAATGGGGCACAGTCACATTAGAGAACTTGGGTTGGAATGAATCTGGCAAACGACCCAAAGACACCAAAGAAGCTGGCAGAGGTATTTGGAAAGATGGCAAGCATGAACTTGGTGAAGAATATGAAGAAATAAAACTCAAGCTATTTGGTACAGCCACAAATACAGAAACTATTCACTCTGGTATCAATTTTGATAAATATGACAACATCCCTGTTGAGGTTGTTGGCCATGATCCTTCAGACGCTTTGACTACGTTTGAAGATACACAACTAGATAACCATTTACGTACCAATATCCAATTAGCTCGTTACAAAGTTCCCACACCCGTTCAAAAGCATTCTGTGCCTATTGTTCTGAAAGGAAACGACTTGATGGCTTGTGCTCAAACAGGTTCTGGTAAGACAGCCGGGTTCTTGTTTCCTATTTTATCAGCCATGTTTTCTCGTGGTCCTAAGCCAGATCCTCAAGAACCTCCTATTAAAAAAGGTTACCAGAGTTACAGAAAATCCTATCCTCAAGCATTGATTCTTGTTCCTACTCGAGAACTCGCTTCTCAGATCTTTAATGAGGCTAGAAAATTCTGCTATCGTTCCTATGTTCGTCCTTGTGTAGCCTATGGTGGTGCAGATATTCAACAACAGCTGCGTTTGATTGATCGTGGCTGTCACCTGTTGGTTGCTACACCTGGTCGATTGGTAGATATTCTAGAACGTCGCCGAGTGTCTTTCCAAAATATTCAATACTTGGTCTTGGATGAAGCAGATCGTATGCTTGACATGGGTTTTGAACCTCAAGTCAGACGTATCGTCGAGGGTGAAGATATGCCATCTCCTGCTGATCGTCAAACACTCATGTTCTCTGCTACATTCCCTGAAAATATTCAAGCCCTTGCTCGTGACTTTATGAAAGAATACGTGTTCTTGTCTGTGGGTCGTGTTGGTGCTACATCAGAAAATATTACTCAAAACATTGTGTTGCTTAGAGAAGATGAAAAGCGCGCAAGACTAATTCAAGTGCTTGAAGAGCACAAAGACGAAAGTGGCTTGACGTTGATCTTTACAGAGACAAAACGCATGGCAGATACTGTATGTGACTTTTTAAATGAAAACAACCATGCTGCTACAGCTATTCATGGTGACCGTGTACAAAGTGAGCGTGAAGCTGCTCTTGATATGTTTAGGAAAGGAACAACACCTATCATGGTTGCCACAGCTGTTGCTGCCCGAGGTCTTGATATTCCTAATGTAAAGCATGTTATTTCGTATGATTTACCTAGCGACATTGATGACTATGTTCATCGTATTGGTCGTACAGGACGTGCGGGTAACACAGGTATTGCTACTGCATTTTTCACCCATGGTAACCGATTCCTTTCAAGTGAATTAGTCAAATTACTGCAAGGTGCTAGTCAACAAGTTCCTGGCTGGTTACAATCCAAAGCAGATGATCCTGAAAATTCTCCTTCAAATGCATCGCCTGCTCCTAACAGAAGAAACAGACGCCCTAACCGTGATGACAATATTGGCCCTCGTGTAAGTTCTTTTAAAAGCTCGTAAAGTTACGTTTGTATATATATATCACAAATAAAATGTTTGACTCTAAAATAATTCCCGTAAGAAAGGAAGTTTTTTTTTTATGTTTATATATGAAGAATGTATAATCTAAAGCTTTTTATCTCGTTTCTATAACAACATGAAGTATTGCAAACGATTAGGTAGATAAAGCACAATGTGTGAAACATAAATTCATTGCTTTAAGCAGGCATCTTCTCTTTTATTTTATTGCAGGCAGTCACTGCTCAAGCTCCTCATACAAGCACTAGGACAGTAACAGTCTCGGATGCTATTGAGACGCCTTTACCACTTTCTGCATTAGCAAGTATTATCTTCAAAGATGAACTTAAAGAAGGCGATGTTATTCAAGTAGAAAAGAAGCAAGTAAATATTCAAGCAATACCCAATCGTGTTGAAGACATGGAAGAAGATATGCCACTATCTCCTCCACCTCCACAACAAGAAGAAGAAGAGGAACCACCACAGGAAGAAGAACAAGAAGAAGCCGATACAGCTGAACAAGGTTTAGAAGAACAAGAAGAAATTGAACAAAGACCAGACCGAAACACAGAGTTTCCTATAAACCATGGTCCACCAACAGACATGAACGCTAATAATGCGATTGAAGCTCAAAATGGTAAGTTATAAAAATACGCTTTTGATCGGAAATTAATGTGTATAAAGCTACTTTGACTGCTGCTTCTCATGAAGAGAATAGTTCGGCTCAATCTCAAATTACTGGATGCAAAACACAAGGACAAATTGCTTTAACTTATGTAAGCGTTCTCTTATTCTAATTTGCATAAGCTTATAGTCATAATAGAGTGAAGGACCGAGTGATGTTAGTGCTAAAATTGCTCGTCAATTAAACAAGGCGGATGCTCGTGCCAATTTCTTTGTGAATGCTACATGGCTTTACACTCAACAATATGCAATGGTCCTTCAAAACATCTACAATGCTGGCCACTTTATTGGTATGACGTATCGCGTTCCTGGTGATAATCCCTCTGCTTTATCTGATGAAGAACTCCGTAACGATATCTTAAATAATGCTCATACTGTTGAAAGTGTCATTCAGGTAGCGCCCAAATACGTGCGTCTTCATTATACTGAAGAAAAAGATGTACGTACCGAGAACATGTTGAGAGAGCTTGGGTTTGTTATTGTCAACTATAATCTGGATAGTCTTGATTACCTCAAGAAGGATGCTACAGGGCCCAATTCCATTCAACAAGTCTATTCAGACACATTTAAGAAATACAAGGATACATACGATGCCAAGGGCTCATTTATCTCAATTCAATACGACTTGCCCTTTACAGGGTCATTGGATGCTGTACCTCATATCATCAATACGATTGCTGAAGAAGGCTACAGTATGGTTCGAATGGATGGCTGCTTAAACGATCCTACTCCCTACAAGAAATGTAAGTAGATTTGAAAGATACAAAAGAAGTCTGATGTTGCTGTATAGCTGCCAGTAGCACTGAATATGTGCATGATAAATTCTCATTAAACCAAGCTGGATATCGCCAAGGACAAAAAGCTGTAATCATTGACAGTTCTCCCAAACCAAAAGATGAACAAGAAAATGCTGATGGAGAACTTGTTGACATGCTCAAGAAGCAAGGATTAGAAAGTAGCGCTCATAGTCAATACACAGCATCCTTCTTGTTTGTTGCTGTTACTGTGAGCATAATTTTCAACTTATAATTAATTCTTTTTTTTTTATTATACATTCCTTTGTTTCTATTTTCTTGTTGTCATGGCTGCCGAGACGTATAAAACATCTGTAGACTTTTATCGCTTTTTCTGTATTATCTTGATTTCTTTGGACCAATTGATTATGTTTACAAAAGAATCTCGTGTCTTTAATTTTAGGGAGGCTTGCTAAAACAATAAGGGCATCTACTGTTTAATTGATATGGCAAAATGATATTTTGTCTACGTTATGGAACCTTAATAATATACCCAGCAATGTTAATCAGTACATAAATAACGCGTACAATAGGATTATGATTAAAAGTCATATCAATGTGACAAAAAGTAAATGCCACCCAAAGTGTGTCTGTTTGTTTATAATCGTATTACGAAAAAAAAAAAGGGAATATCAAAAAATCTTTACAAGTAATAATTAAAAGGTGTTTTTTTTTCTATGTGTTAAAAAAAAGGAATAAGAGGTATAAATAGATATAGTACACATATTAGGACAATAATAGTAAAATAAACAAGAAAGTCAATGATAAAAACCAGCTTTTATCATGACCAAGAGATACACTAGACGATGTAGCGTTAGCTGTATTGGTAGCAGCATTTGTTGGTGTACAAGCAGGTCCGCTCGTATCTACAGAAAGAGCAGGGGAAGGATTCGAATTGGTTCCTACTAAGCCATCACTAGGATTCCAATAAGACAAAGAAGGTCTAGATGCAGTCATGTTGTAGTTTGAATGAACAGCATAACCAAGCTGGGTAAGCACTTTTAACAGCTTTGGGCCAAAAGGACCACCAGAGTACATCTTGTTGAGTTGCTCCAAGTTTACACCAGTATTGGCTGTGTAGACCATAAGGTATTCTATTGTATTCAAGTAATTTGATTGACTGACGTGACACAATGACGATCCTGCTGAAAATGGGTTTAAAGATGTTTCAAGGTACAGCACCGGCTCATTGTTGACGACTGCCAAGACATCGAGGTTGGTCACCGACTTTGTGTAAGCTTGTGATGCAACTGTATATTCGTCAGATTTGTACCATGCATTAGCAAAATCGACCATGCTTCTGAAAGTTGTATTCGAGTTGGCGAAATGATTGAGTGAGCGTGTCAAATCCGAAAAAGGCTTGAACGTATTGCTATCGACATAATTAAGGAGCTTGTCAAATGGGAATTCAACAAAGCCCCAAAATGGTTGATTGTTATTATAGTCAGACATGATCTTGTTATTGTTAATTGTAGAGAGAGAAATGGGAGTAATAAAGCGATTCAAACTGTCTGGAAATAAAGGAGACAGACATGTATAGAGTTCATCTGACCAAGCGGTCATAAACCCAAGGCCATGCATTAGTTCGTGCACAACATTGCGTAGAAAGTCAGTCTGACTGCTTTTGATATCATCAGAAGTATTCTATGACATTTTAGTAAAAAAAAAAGGATAATCTACATAGAAAAGATGTATATTTACCACAAAATACCAGCTGATTTCATTGTTGAACTCTGCATTGATATCATATTGTACCCAGTTTGGCTTGACGGCTAGATCTGTAAACTGCTTCAATAGTGCCTGAGGGTACATGCGTGTCATATTATCGGTTGAGTCTACCATGATATAAGAGAGTGTTGGGTAAGCCTGACCAATGGAAGTCATAGTACTATCGTGGTTACAATCGTTATGTTCTTGGCAAAAGCTGACAAAAGATGCATTGATATATAAAGGCGCTTCAAATTCAAACACAGAAGTGATAATGTCAATTGCTTTGTCAAAGGTTGCTCGCACTCCAGCACAGTCAGAGTCGCTTGCTTTACAGTTCAAATCGTAATAAATGGCATTTTGATTGATAGTAATCGATGTCGAATTAGTCAGTGTGGCTACTGAAATCGGTCGACTTCTCGAACCTAAACAAGTCTGCAATGAGCTATTGTGAGGGTCCGAGTCATGTTGGACACAATATAGCTTTCTACAAAAAGCGCTGAGAAAAAGTTGTGAAAATATGCCAAAAAACAACAGTTGTCTCCAGGTGCATATGTGTAGCATGAAGTTTAAAGAAAAGTAATAACAGAAGAAAAAAAAAAAAAAGAAAGAAAGAGACAAGACAAAAATTAAATAAGCCCTTATTCCATTAGTTACGTTACACCAATTCAATCCCAGTTTATTCTGAACAAGCAATGCGCGCAACTATAAAAAAAATTAGTGGCTGCCAAGACTTTTTTTAAGTTCTTAAACATAACAAAGAAAACACAAAAATAAACAACAGGAAGTTAAATACAGAAAGATAAACAAAACAACCAAGACTAAAAAAACAAATAATGTGTTAAGCAGCAAAAAAAAAAAAAAAAAATTAATTAAATAAAGAAAAAATGACAATACAATGATAGCTAAAAATAATGCGGATGTTCAAACTATTATTACAATAAAAAAATTAACTTTTTGCCATGCTCTCATTTGAGTAATTGACAAATGCCACAATACCGTAGCTGGATGCTGCTGCAACTGCCCCTATAAGCAGCGTCTGAATAGCCCCAATGAGTGCTTGTTTGGGCCTTAAATAAATACTTTTTAGATAGCCAAAGCAGAATAATGTAAGAGAAGTAACAAAGCAAGATGTATACAATGCATTCACCGTATTGCTGATAAATAAATAAGGAAGTAGAGGAATCACACCGCCAAGCAAATAAGACAGACCAATAGTTAAAGCAGAGATCTGCAAATCATTAGTCATCTAAACAACCTAACAAAGCTTATACGTACCCAACTTCGATTAGGATCAGGCAGTTCGAGGTTTAGTTCAAATCGCATCATAAAATCAACAAACTTTTCTGTATTTTGTCTAAAGCGTACCATCATGGGTTCCATAGATTCGCGGTCTAAGCCATAAGGTTCAAATAACTCTATGATTTCCTCTTCTTCTTCCTTAGGATATAATTCGACTTCTCGTGCTACGATCATTAAATACCAAAATAAGAAAAAAATAACTTAAAAAGGCCAAGTTGTTTGTATTACCTTCTCTCTCACGCTCTGTATGATAATGATCAGCCTCAGATTTTGCTGCTAAATAACCACCAAGTCCCATAGATATAGCACCAGAAACCAGCTCTGATATCATTAGTCATGGCATAATAAAAATATGATTTACCTGCTAAACCACCATATATCACAATGCGACTATCACCTAGACTCGAGAGACCAGCTGCAAGAGCAAAAGGAACAGTCAAACCATCTGATAAACCTAGAATACAGTCTCGGACAAGTTCAGGCCGATCAAAATGTTCTTCAACATGCTCTTTGACACCCTTTAATAGTGTTCTATGAGGTATTCTTTCTCGAATGCCATCATCATCGGTAGAATTAGAAGAAGACGATGTGCCACTGCTCAACATGAACTCTTCATCATATCTGGACTTTTCATCTGACGCGTTATGTTTGGGCAACAAATGGTATTCTTGTTCTTTAAAAGTGGGAAGCATTGTGAAAAAGTAAATTAAGAAAAGAAAAGAAAAAAGTAAGAAATCACAAATTTATAACATATTCTATACAGTCTGTAGCATAAAAAGGGTGCCAAATCAGAGCCCTTCATTGATGTGCATGAGCGTCTATAGACAGAAATTTCTTATTTAGAGATAACGATTGATTAATGCGTTTTTACCAAATCAGAATTCCTTATATTGCCCATGCGTTACACAAAGTCAGGTTCAACTTGAATTCTATCAAACAGAATAAAACCATTCACCACACGTGTGTAAGTCTGTTTGAAAAATATACATTTAAAGAGAAAATATACGTTTTTGATAGTCGAAAGACTTGGAATTGGGATATATGTATTTGATAGTTTGTTTATATTAAGTCTATGACATAAAAGGCATATATGCAATTATCGTCATTTTGCCTTTGTATACACATCACTTAATTGTCTGCTAGTCATGCTATATACTTGTACTTAAGATATTAGTGCACTAGTCTAATTGGTAAACAAAGTATGAATATAAGCAACATTCTGTTTAAGCGGCAATTTTTGATTTATATAGAGATGCTATTAATGACAATTAGTAATCGGAAGAGAAGACATACTCTTGTTTGAAGCAATTGAAGCACTATGGTACTCAAAAAGATGTAGATGGGGAAGTATATGCCGCCCCAAGATCTTGTAAGACTCAATCTTTAGTCTTGTCTTGCCAAAATGCTGACTTGACAAATCAATATATTCCTTAATGACCATGCGTTACACAGTCTAAGTTCTCCCCTGGGCTCTTCATACCATGATGATTGTCATACACAAAACCACTCAAATCCGATCGTATAAAGAAACCAATTTTTGTTCAATACGAGCTAGCAAAAATGTGTATGTAGTATGCGGTCTAGTTTGGTGATATTTATTTCAAGCGAAACAAAAGCGAAGAGTTAAAAAAGAGAGAGAGAATACAACAATTCTATGATAAAGCTATAGTTACACCATTAGTGAACAAAAATGTATTAATGTTGCTCGGATGAAAATACTATAGATAGTAAGATTATGTCTAGAATACAACAAAACGCATAGTTCAAATAACGCTTTATCCGTTTGTTTTTTATTTTTTGAGCTAGAGAATCATTCATTAACACCCACTGACCTGTTACATTCATATATACTTGAGTCTTTTTTTTTTTTTTTTTTTTTTTTTTTTTTTTTTGGTAATCTTTGTATTGTCATGACTAAGTCAAATGGCATAACAGTCTATCCATGGCGTCATCATTAATAAATGAAAAAAAAAATGTTGCTACAGTAAGACGACATTATAGTTTCTGTAAAACATTACTTGATTTCTCTCTTCGATAGATTAAACCAAGTTAGTATTCGACTAGAAACATAACCAAAGAGACATTATACTAGCTTGTGATTCCTATGCAGGTCAATTGAAAACAAAAAAGAGTTACTGCTTAAATACAGGGAAAGAAACCATTTATCAAAACGAGACATATTTAAACATTTAATGCTTACTAGACAAAAATGCTACAAAGAGCCAATCATTGTATAGCATCATTGACATGCATTGACACTTGATACAAATAGTATTCACTCAATTGAGAGCTATTATGCAGAAATGAACTGTATTCCTACACTATTCAATCATAATTCATTAAACATCCATGATGTTGAACCATTTATATTGTAAAGTTAAAATGGACAAGTATAAATACAAGGATGAAGAACAGAATGCAAATCCAATTCAACCTATTTCTCTAATGCATCTTGCTTCAATTACTGGCGCTGCTATCTTGTTGATGGCTTCATTCATTGAAGCTGCACCTGCTTTATCAAAGGCTACTGATTCCAAAGTCACTCGCATTCCCGGTCTTGAAAAGATTAAGCATGTTGTTTATTTCATGCAGGTATAAAGCGCAAATGTATACATGTGTATACATGTCAATTAATCACCGTTTCTATAGGAAAATCGTTCTTTTGACAACTATTATGGTACCATGTCAGGTGTTCGTGGTTTTACTGATCCTAACATCGGTATACAGTCTAATGGTTTGAATCTACTGTATCAACCTTGTTCCAAAAGCACTGATATTAAGAATGGCACCAAGTATCTCTTACCTTTTCAATTTAAAGGAAAGCGAGCAGGTTGTACTGCTGGTGGCTCTAATGGCTGGACTGCTAACCACAATGCATTGAACAATGGTAAAAACAACAACTGGCCAGATGGTAACTCCCCCAATTCTATGGGCTACTTGAACCGAACTCAAATTCCATTCCTTTACAGCCTTGCTGATGAATTCACTATTGCTGATATGTATTTCCAATCTGTGATTGGTTCTACTGATCCTAATCGTGCTGTCTGGGTGTCTGGTACTAATCATGGTCCTCCCAATAACTTTGTGATGGAAGACAATTCTCAAAATATACGCTATGAATGGCAAACCTATCCCGAGGTCTTGACTGCAGCTAACGTAACATGGCAGGTGTATCAAGACAAAGACAATTTTGATGACAATGCTTTGGCTTGGTTCAAGTACTGGAGAGATCTTCCTGACGGCCCAGAAAAAACCAAAGGTCTTGGATTTTTAGGTCTTGATGCGTTTTACAAAGCTGCCAAGGAAGGTACTCTTCCACAATTCAGTATCATTGTTGGCCCGAGAGAACTCTCTGAACATCCTACCAATACTCCTTTGGCTGGTTCCTGGCTTCAACAACAAGTAGTGAATGCTGTCACTCACGGTGCTAACTGGAAAGAAACTGCTCTCTTTATCAACTATGATGAATCTGGAGGTTACTTTGACCATGTCATTCCACCACAAGCCCCTGCCAATGAATGGGTAACAGACAAGTTTGTAGGCGGAAAGGTGCCTATTGGTTTTGGTCCTCGTGTTCCTATGGTTATTATCTCCCCTTATACTCGTGGTGGTAACGTATTTAGTGAAACGTCAGATCATACATCTACACTAAAGTTTATGGAAGAATGGGTCGGCAAAAACGGCAATGGTCAATATATTGCTCCTGCCAATAATATTTCGCCTTGGGCTCGCAAGACAGCATCTAACCTTATCAATGCTTTTGACTTTGACAATCCTGACTTCTCTATTCCTGAATTCGCTCCTGTCCAAAAGCCTGCTCAAATCCTTGGTGTCTGGGATTCGACTGAGATGTGTGAAGCACTTATTCTTGAGCCCAAGACAACCCCTCCTTATGGTAAACAAGTCTATCCTGTTGTCGAAGCTGGTTCTCGTCGAATTCGTGGTGCTGTTACTGAGGGTCGTAAATTAGCATTCAAGACAATAGACGGTCAAGTCATTCAGTTCTCTTCTACTGCTAAACAACTCAAGGCTGTTCAGACAAAGAACACTTTTGCAAAAGAATCTCTTTTCAAGTTGCTTCCAACCGGCGACAGCAGCCAATTCAAGGTTCAAAGCGTTGCTGATCCCAACACTTGCCTCAACATTTGGGGTAACGGCCTTGAGTTAGGTGAATGTAAAGGCACTGTTTGGTACTTTGAACAACATGGAAGTCATCATCATATTCGCGAGGCCGGTAGTGATGGTTATCTTTCTGTTAGTGCCTCAGGAACAGTTTCTCTAGAGAAAGATCATCAAACACATTATGAAATTTATTCTGTTACTGAATAATAATTTGAATTATATTGAATAAAGATAAATACATTTTTAATCAGAGGGCAACTGTTCTTTTTTCCAAACTTTAGTAGAGTTGGAATCAATAAAAAAAATAGTAAATTATGTACAGTACAAGTTGATACCACCAACAACAAGAGCAGTTTGGTCTGGTCTTTTATATTTTATTTTTTGGGTATTGAAATTTGATCAAGAATGTCTCTAAGTGTATCAACTAAACTTGTAAAGCCTGTTTCACCTATAGCTTTTGTTAAAGAAGACTCTAGTCCTTCCTGACTGAAAAAAAGAAAAGCATTAGATAATTGTAAAATCAGGATTCAAGCTTACGTAATATCGCCATAATGTAATTTGACTTCCAATGTATTTAAATCCAGTGCAGGATAATTAAGCACGTCTTTTGGTTTGACTTGAAATGCGACTGTAAACTTTGCTTTTCCTATAAAACTCGTCATGCAAATCTCACAAGAAAAGCCTGAATCATCCACTAGGCTAGCAAACTCTAATGCTTCTATCTTGACCCAAAACCTTCGTTGCAGCTCTTTTAGTTCATATTGCATCATTCCTACTCGATTCCAGTATATAGCAATATCTTGTGTGATCTATGCAACTTGTAAATACATATAGACAACATCAAAAACACCTACCTCATTGATGTCCCATTTGTTTCGAACAACTATTTTGAGACCATGCACAAGTTCGGCCAAAGGACCTAATTCTCGTTCTCGACTGTCCAGCAATTGAATCAAGACGGCCTTTTCGCCTCTATTTTGTAATTGTATGCGATCACAAGTGATATGGATTCCACCACTCATACTGAACTGCATGATGCGATCATTATGTTGTTCTAATTGGTAATCATGAATTTCTATACATCGATTGTATGTGTCAGCAGCAGCCACAAATTCTTTTTCTGTCACATAAGGATGTTCACGCAACGTAACGTTTGAGTTTTCGATAGACTCAAGTAAATATTGCTTTTGTTCATTTAGTGATACTGTCTTTTCCTCAAGCTCATGTTCTTCACTTTCAAGCGTCGCAATTTGTTTCTCGTAACTTTGCATTGTATTGCTAGATCAACATTATGAGTAACACATACTTTTTTTTGTAGAATTGTTTACCGCTGTTGTTCAATCTCTTCTTGTAGTTTTTTTAATCGTTTACTGTCCAGCGAATTATGCTTAATCTCTTTTTCCTGTAATTCCTTCAATACTCGTAACAATTCCGTATGATAAGCACCAATATCTGCCACTCTTTCTCGAATTATGTCTTCAAATTGACGTATCGATTCCTGGTCTTTTTCTAAGCTATTACGATGCTCTTCAAGTGTATCTATCAGTGGCGTCCATGTATTGGAAAACCATTCCAGCCATGCAATTGTGGCTTTTAAACGAGCATATTCTTTAAGCTTTTCAAATCGACGCTCCATTGTTAACCGGAGTTCTACACTGCCTTCTCTAAATTCCGAAAAGAATTGAGGATTGGCTTGATTGATATCTTGTTCAATGCCTTCAATCTTTTCTTTGGATCGTTCAATTAGACTGTTGATCTGAACAATTGCCTAATCAATCTGTCAATCAAGCCAGTATCTCTATTCTCATATCCTACCGATTCAAAAAATTCAAGTTGCGGTAATATACATGTATATGCAATAGCTTGTTGCGCTTCAGATGTACTTTCTATGCATAGCCATCATGATCAACTAATGTCTCGTTACAAATTCCACTTACTGTCATCTGCATCAAAATCAGTTTCACGTATAGATAGTTTTGGAACCACAGGCTCTGGAAAATCAATGCCGACGTATCTAAGAAAATCTAGCAAGCTAATGTTTGTGTCTACTACAGTCTATCAAGTTGAGGTTTAGTATAGTAGATTGTATGTAACTATAAATTACATTGTCGATAGATGAATCGTAAAGGCCAGAAAACTCTTCTTCTAAAAGGTCTGAAAATAATCAGTCATAATATCAAGAAGTTGTATACGTACTTGTATTATTATCATGAGAAAAGACATGGTCTGATTCAACGCTTAGACTACGTCTAGAGTGTAAACTAGGTGATTTATCATGTAAATAAAACGATTTGCTAGGAGAATATGCAGATGAGGGGCTTTTGGCTGAAAAGGCCTTGGATGGTGATGCTGTCAATGCTGTGGATGAAGGACGAAGTGGGCTGTATGGCATGGATTGTGAACGAAGTGAATGATTGGAAATGGAGGGCGGACGGAAAGGGCTGTAAGAGATTGAAGATGACCGTGAACGCATAGGCGATGCAGATGGAGAGTCTTGTGGTAAAGATGGGCGAAGTGGGCTGAATGTGATGCTGGGTTCTCTATGAAAGGACGATATTTCTTGTGTAATCTGCATTGAATCGTCGTCTCCTTCGGGTGCCAGTGGTACATCATACTCTTCAACAACTTCCATTTGATCATCAGACGGTGCTGAGGCTCTTTTTTCTACTTTAGGGGGTTTAATGACTTGAGTGATCATCATACTATCTGTTGTCATGTCTTCCTGAGAGGGTTTTTCTAGCTTGTTTTGTTCCTCCTCTTCCTCTTCTTCCTCTTCATCAAACAAACCACGTGACACTTGTTGATGTTGAAGACCGAGATACTGCATTAAATCAGATTCACCTTGATTACTGACTGTCACATTCGTCTCGTCTTCATGATCATCTTCATACATCCTCTGCAACAAACTTGGTGGATGGCCACCTGTTCTTTGTCGAATACTTCTTGTGCTACTAGGTGGACTTCCAAATAAATCAGGTCGTCTATATCTAATAAGTTTGTTGTGTCGTTTCATTCTGAATTACCTTTTTCTTTGATCCAAAGGTGATCCTATAATTCTCGAAACAGGGCTTTTGGTATCTTGGTGGTTGAATAAAGGAGAAGAACCAAACACGTCACTCATTAACATGGAAGGCTCTGTTTCTTCAATGATGTTGGGTACATTACGAGTGTTGATATCAGGTGAATCTTCTCTAAATACTCTATATGCAAAGCATGAACACAAACAAATAAATTCAGTGTGTAACCTTACCTTAAGTGAGCATCAGGTGCAAAGCTTACTCTTTTTTTTTCTTCTAGTCGTTCACGTCTCTTTCTAGCAAATAATGATAAGAAGATACAAAGATAAAGATGAACTTACTCTTGTTCGTGTTGAAATAATGGTGAATTATATCTAAGTGGTGTATGTGCCTTGAGAATACTTCTTCTTCCTGGAGTCTAAAGTATGCTATTAGTTCTATATCAAATAAACTTAATTCTTACGTCTAATAAACGTTGGTATCTACTTTCGGTATTATCTACTGTCCACCTCGCACTATCTAGGTAAGTTTCATATATTCTTTTTCCATTGATAGGTGAGTGAATAGGTGGTGGAAAGGACATTATTTAAAAAGTAAAAAAAAAAAAAAAAAAAAAAAAAAAAAAAAAAAAAAAAAAAAAAAAAAACATAACAAAGGCTCACACGCGTAACTGAAGGCCATTGTGCACTTGGAAAAAAATTGACAGTCTCTGAACAGCTGTCACAAGCCCACTTCAATAAGTGGATACCTGAATACTTTCAATGCTTTATATAAAAGTTGTCATCATAGTAACCTGTCTCGCTAACCTTGTTTGATTTTGTAGATTCTATTGTTCATGAGCTATAGTGAATATCAATGGACTTCTGTATTTATTACAATACATTTTTTGAGTTAATGATGCATAACAATTCTTGAGTGGTTACTGGCTCTAATAACTTTGTATTTGAGGTTGACTTGTCCTGATCTTGAGCATTTTATAGCCCAAAACTATAGAGATATAGCAAGTGTGTATTTCTATAGTCTACCTTACGCTTCGACTGTTGATCTCTTGATTCGATGTGATCCAAATATAGTCTTAGTCACACCATTATATTTCATAAATAATGAGCTTTCAAGTGATACATAAAGATTGCTCTTCCTTCAATTGAAGCGTGATTATTGCAGCATGACAAATTCTTAAGTCTCTGATTTTTTAACCAATATTAGGTCAATTCAAGGTCTATTTGAACTGTTCAATGAAGCTTACAAAGAACTATCAAAATACACCATGCTTACGTTCGCAACTCCTGATTAGAAGTTTAAGTTTAAGTTACTTGTCGTATGTAGTATATATGCTTTTTTATGCTCATAAATGAACTTTGATTCTCAGTTTGTAGATCAATACTGATCCAAATCAAGATTGGTTTATATTGGCAGAGACACCCTAAATGAAGCTTTTAAAAATAATATTATTGGTACTGATCTATCATCAACTGGCAGCAAAGAGTACTATCAATTAGAGTAGCTATATCATTTTCACAGCTAAAAAGCTATTATTTTGGTCTCTGAGGACGGTAATCTTGTCGTTTTTGTGAGTTAGATACCATCTTAACATTAGACCTTGTATACAGAATACATTGGCTATCTGAAAATCACTTTTATAGCACTTTTTGATGTTGAAGCTGTTGAGTGTCTTTTGGGCTGTATTTCGCTCAAAAAACAAGAAGCCATCTAGAAATACATCAAGATCAAGTCTAATCAATTTGGCGCCTTAAGAAAAGTGGGGGGGGGGTTAGTACTTAGAGCCCAAAGATGCAATAGAAACGCGCTGTTTACTATGAGTATTCATGAGATAACGCGTAAAATAGTTTACAGGGTTTTACACGCGTTGTGTACTTTTTTTAAAATGCTTTTTTCAAATTCAACACTTGGAGCATGTTTAGTAATGCAAGAGGAACATTTTTTGCCATAGATTGTCATAATAAAAGTTGCTTGTATGATGAGCTACAGATCATTTTCTGATTTTGATGTAAAATCGTAAGGGTATCATAAGGCATAATGGGTCGAAAATTGCATTCATGTTTTCATGAGCCAAACATGTCTCAATGATTACTGATGCTAAAAAAAAAACATATTTTGTAGACTGATGCTAGCTTGGTTTGTTCAAAAATGAGCATAACAAACTGCCTTTACTAGTAAAATCATTCTCACTTTTTTCATTCATCAGTAGTTGATTCAAAACATGTCAAAATACTCTCTTAACTATACATCAGTTTATTTCATTTGAATTGTCGACATCGTGCTTTTAAATAGCCTCGGAAAAGGTGACTTGTGACACTAAAGTTCATACATGTTATAGTTTTATCATGGTTGGTATCAGTATCAATCATGTATACATTTCTAATACTCTTAGCCCGTATCACTAGGATACTACTATAGATAGACAGCTCTTTATGTCTCCTCAAAGATACATCTATCAAAACCCCATAAAAAAAGCCCAATGAATTCTGATGTCATTTTCGTAATGGTCTGAGAAAATGCCTGCATGAATTTTCCTTTAGAAATAGAAAGCCCCGGGAATAACCGTATTTTCTTTTTCTTCTTTTTCTTATTCTTAAAAACAATGAATAGTGAACTTCCTAACCATATGCCTGTGGATATGGCATTAGCACCCAACCAAAAACCTTATGAACATACGCACGTTATCCATACACCTCCTGTTGAACATGACCATAAATTATCTCAACACAGTCTTTCTCCCGAGAAATTAGGGTTAGTAGGCTATGTCAAAGATGTAGCTGGATTTGTCAAGGACGCTGTTCATGAACGAAGAGAGAAAAGGATCACTCGCCGTAACTCTGCAACAGAAGAAGAAAGACCTAAACAAGAAGAGAAACAAAGACGAAGATCGTCTGCTGAAGTACCTCAAGAACAAGTCTCTGTTCCCCCATTGGCAGGTGTTGTCAAAGGCTTATTTCCTGGTGTAGAAACCAATGCAGTGGGTTGTACACATGCAGATGATCTTCGCACACAAATGATGCATGTGAATGATGATCATAAACTCTTGTAATTTTATTCAATAAACCGTTATTTCTTTTTTCGTTTACTGCTTGCTTCTTCCTGAATGTCTTTGGCTGCTTCTGAGATCATGGCATACTATCAAAGTCAATACGTAAACCGGCTAATTATTCATTTTTACCAGACTATCATTACGTCGAGCACACAGCTGATTTATTTTATTTTTATTTGCATGAAAATTAGTACGACCACTCTCAACTTGTAATTTTACCTTCACATCGTCCATAGATATAACAGCACGTCTTGCATGTCTAGTACAGCATCAATATCTATATTCTCAATCGTTGTATACTTACGTTGCAAAGGCTTCTAGGTCCATTGCCATGGTTTCTATGAAGAGTTACTAACAAAAAAAAAAAACGCGTGATTTCTGTTATTTACGCATTTGTTCAAGTACTATCTCTGCTAATGAAGCTACAAAGGCTTCAGAGACTTCTTTTCCTAATGATTGTGCTATTCTTGAGTCAGAATATCAAGTAAAATTCTAGATTTGCTTACCTTCATGTTTTGCTATCTCATTGACCGAGTACCAAATAGCTGTTAATAATTGCTATAGAGAACTGAGTATGTGTACTGATCAACCATGATCTTACTTGTTTTTGATCATCGTCTTCCATCGTGGTGCCGCTTCGTGAAAACAAAAAAAAAAGCTTAAAAAAATAATAAGACTGGTGACTTGAAAGGTTGCATTAAAAAATTGTGCGTGGGTATGCTTATGCACCAATAAAGTTATTTTCTCCCAAACAATCCTTTATTTTATTCTTCTTGTTCATCTTACAACATTATGCCAATACCTTCTACTTTTCAAACTACTCAAATCAAAACTAAACCACAACAGTTAAAAGAAACGTCATGTATTATGCATGACGCTATAGAAACCAATCTACTTTGTAAAAAGAGTTCATTGCTTCATGCCAGAAGAGAACATGAAGACAAGCCTGTCAGTATTTCAGAAACAAGATTGCGTCCTATAAGCATGACGGGTCTTTATGCTGGCTCCATGTTTCATGGTACGCAGAAATGTGGAACAGCCAGTTATGAAGTCAATGTGGAATTATTAGTAAGTGGTAAACAACATAGCATGAACTTATGAATCCATAGCATGTTGATATAAAGGAGAGCACTTTATGTGGTTATCTCAAGATCAAGGGACTAACAAGTGAGTTCCCCGAATTGACTGCAAGTACATCAAGACAACAACCGACATGCTGATTTTTTATTTTTGTTTTGTTTAGACTTTCTTTGGGGCAGAAATCATTGGTCCCAAGCATTCTTTCCATACTAGGAAATGGCAAGCAGATCAACAGAGTGATTTATTGCATTGGGTAAAGTTGTATCTTTGATCATGATGATGATGACTGACATGGCAATTAGAAAAAATTCCCTTCATTTAAGCCCTATATAGATGTGTTTAATCAAGATAGTTTTGTATTTGACAGTACAAAAGCAGATGATGATTTTATCTATATGCGCTGGAAAGAATTGTTTTTGGTGCCTAACCATCATGTCAGTGCCATTCACGGTGCAAGCTTTGCTGGTTTCTATTATATTTGCTATCAACGCTCTACCAATCGTATCAAGGGCTTTTATTTCTTTCGCCATCATAAAGATTGGTTTCAAGAACTTACATTGGATCATGTCTCTGATCATGGTTCTACAAGCTATGAATTCCGTTAATTTCATATCTATATACCACTTTTTTCTTTTGTTTATATATATATATGATTACACAAATAGTACATATTGTTCTATCATGTTAATTTCACTGTAGAATGATATATATATATATACACTTGAAATTCAAACAATCGTTACAATGATACCAAGCAACGGATAAAGCGAAATAAATAATTTATTACAAAAATAACTTAAGCTCTAACAGGAGCAATCTGGACTTGAGGCACTTGTTGGTTAAAGACAACATAGTTGTTCTTCAAGAAAGTATCACCCAAGATAGCAAAGCTAAGACCACCCTTGGCAAAGGAAGCGAAACAGGTACTGCCGCTCTTTTCATACACCAAGTCAGAGGCAGGGATCTGGAAAGTAGCACCGTTGATGGTAAACACAAGAGGAGCAAAGTTGGCTGTGTTACAGTTGATAAGGTAAGTACCGTCGCTGTTGGCAGTAGCACCATAGGCAGCAGCAACTCGGTCAGCAACAGCATCCGTCAAGAGCAAGAGAGTGGTACCAGTGTCAAGAATACCAGAGAAAGAACTAGCCACGCTCTTACCACCAGCAGTAAGACCGCCTACAGTGATACCCCAGTAACCTTGAGACTTGTTGACAGGCACAGTCTTCAAACTACCGCTGAACTTGGAGGAATCGTAGCCACCAAAGAGATATTCACCTCCACCGCCTCTGGAGGCCTTGCCGAGGTAGACACCGTAGATGGGAGAAGAAATCAAGCCTTGGCTGATCAAGTTGTCAACAGGCGTCTTGATGCCACGGACAGTAGTGATCGTGTTGAAACCGAGACCCAAGAGACCGTCAATGGGGTCGCTGGCAAAAGAGCTGGATTCTTTCTTGGCCAATTCGATCGTTTGACCTTGGATCTTGAGACCACCCAAGTTGACAGTGTCAGTAGCAAGAATACCGCTGGCAGTAGAACCATCACCGTAAGAGATAGACCAAGCACGGCCATCGGCCTTGTAGGTGCTAGACTTGGTAGAGTCGTAACGAGTGTGAGTTGTGCAAGAGGCACACAAGGTAGAAGCTACATACATACAACATGAGAAAACTAGGTGCCATGGTTTTTTTTTTTTTTTTTTTTTTTTTTTTTTTTTTTTTTTTTTTTTTTCGTTGCTTACCAATCCAGAGATCACTAGAACCAGTGTCAAAGTCCAACTTGAACTTTTGTTCTGGGGTACCAATGCCAACAACACCATAGTATTCGAGATCATTTCCATAGTCAACAACAGGAACAGAGCCAGTAGCATCAGTGGTAACGTTGGCAGGAGTACCATGGAGAGGGTTAATGATGTGCTTGATGTACTTTGCTCTAGCTTTGGCAAGGGAGGCTCTGGCATTGGGCTTGAAGTTCTCATTTTTGGTCAAAGGAATGGAAAGCTTGTTACCGGAAGGAGCAGCTTCAGCTGCCATAGCCATGACAACGAGGGCAACGCAAGAGGAAACGAGAGAGAACTTCATAAGGAAAGTACTGTTGTTTGGATAAAGAAAAAAGAGACAGGCTCTTGAAGTGTTCTTTTATATGTATTTCTCTTTTTCAGGTCCTTTTTCTTTTTTTGACATCTTTTAACTTGTTATAGACTTTTTGGCCTCAAACAGAAATCATTTATTTGTGTTTGTATTAAATTGCATGATCTCGTACGACCTTTAATAAAGTACAAAAACCAGGTATTTACACATACACACACACACATACACATATACGATAAAGTGGTAATTTATTCTAAATAATTTGAATTCTGAAATGCTTTTGTAGTCTGTTTTGATTAATACCAACGCGTGTCGTGTATTCGTGTTGGTTACGGAGGTCTTTAAAGGCTTCTGTTGGACGCATGTTTCTACGACCACCATCTGTGATCAATAATCTTTGGTTGTTGTTACGCATGGATTCAAAAGCAGGCGACTCCGAATATTGACCGATCAATTTGTTGATCAAAATGGAATCCCGTGTCTATATAGAGTGTATGAGTTTTTTTTTTTTCTGGGTGCTTAAGCTGTGTTACTCGCTTACCTCTTCTGGCTTCAATTTTTGATCATAGTAACGTTTCATATGACGATGTCCAACAACATTACCATTAGGCAAGACCAATGACATTTCATCATCAGCTAAGCTCAATTGTGCTGTAAGTCCTTCCAACTCCGCATCAATGTCGACATTCTCTTGTTCTTCCACTTGAGGATAAGAAGAAGAAAAGTCATAGAAATCAACCAATTCAGCAGCATCATCATCTTCATCATAAGCAATTTTACAATGACCTTTGTCATTCTAGAACAACAATGCTTAGCTATTGATTGAACCGCATTCACTTACCATATGTTTTCGAACAGCATCCACAGAACGCATATTCTTTCCTTTACCATTACAAAAGATACACACATTACCAACAGTGATCTTTTCACCCAAATAACGAATCAAACCCCTTAAATCTACCAAGTATTCAATATCAGGAATAAAAAGACTGTGGACGTTTGTCATATGTGTCATGTTCTCTTCAAATGTATTTGATTGGTATGTACAAAAGAGACAGTCTGTTTCTTCTAAACGGGGTGCTGTCTTGATCTTTTCATCAATCATGGCCAACATTTCCTCTTCTGTTGTTTCCTCTGTAATGCGAAGATCGACTTCTTTTTCCTTAGGTGTGCTGGTGGTAGCCTTGGCGGGTCTAGATGCTTGCTTGGTGACCATTTCCTTGTGTTTCTTGGATTGAATGTGGTTCTCATATTGGTTACTTGAGCCAAACGATTTACGGCAAGTTGCACAATAATTGTTAGTGGTTTCGATTGCTTTTTGTTGTTCTGTTTCTTGTACTTCTTGAGCTAATAGGCTATAAGTGACCCTATATAGGCGGATATGCTTACCTTTTGTCTTGGCACTAAATTGGTCAGAAGTGACAGGAGGAAGGTTCACTACTTTTCTTTTCAGGTTATATCTGTGCCAGTCAGAACGGTAGTGGTTGCGTTGGCCTTCAGCTGACTGAAAGGCAACTTGACAAGCAAGACAGGTATAGAGTCCTGAAGAAGGTGTTGAAGTGTTTTCTTGATCAGACATAGTATCAAAGAAAAAAAAAGTTTGCATTTTTTTTTTACTAAAAAAGAAGGTATTGAGGACAGGTCTCCGCCACACAACACTAAACAGTCACTTTTGACAGATCAATGCATTCTATTGCTTATAGTTTTTTGAACATTGCATTTGTACGGAAAAAAAGGGAGAGAAAGTGCACGGATAACTCCAAAGTATCTTGTAAAATATAGCATCTATTTTTGCTTAAGAAAGAAAGATAAGGAACAGAAAACGGCCTCCTCCTCCCTTTTTTTTTGCATGTGAAAATAATTTCATTCGGTTTGTTTAGTCACTTTATGCAGTGAAATAAGCTCTTATTCTATTTAGATATATACTAAAAGCAAGAAACAAGGGCTTATTTGTCAAAGAAAAGAAAGCCTTTATATTTTTAAAACTACGATAGCTTAATAATAATTAAAAAAAAAGTACCCTTGATTATAATTATTATTATTTTTCTTCTTCTATTATGTCTACACCTGTCAAATACGAATACCTTATATCAAAGTAAACTACCATCATCATGGTAAATCACTAACCTATCTTTTAGATCAGGTGACCTTCTCTTTTCAGTCACAGTAGGTACTTTGGCTTACTTTTTAAATGAACGCGATAACCCAAGAGCACAAAATGGAAAGACATTACTTGAGCTAGTATCAAGAGCAAGACAAAGAAAGATTCAACAAAGAGAAACCAACCGAAAACTGTAAATAATAATAATAATAATAATAATAATAAAAAAGACGACAAGAACGATAAGCGGCATAAATCATATGCAACGCCTTTTTTTATTACCGAGTACATATAAATATACAGTCATTTAAAATAATAAGGAATCCATCATGAAGTGGTTGACTTTAATTGCTGTCGCTTGTTTAGTGAGTGCACAACAACAAGATAATGGTTATTTTCATTTAAATGAACATCATTTGATATATAATAAAGAGCCTAAACATATCTTGATTGCTACCCATATTGGTGGTTCTTCTGTAAGTAATGGCGTGTCATCCAAACAGAGAAATTGATTTGATATACAGCATACAAGATGGGTATTAGAGATAGGCAGGATCTTGGCTGATCGAGGTCATCATATTACCTATGTTACAAGAGACGATCAAGTCCATCTTGGTCAAGCGTATCCTGAAATCACAACTGTTTCAACAGGTGGTCCTGTCTATACCACCGATATCTTGACAGCCACGAAAGGCTTCAACTTTTATCAGATTACCAAAGTGGTCCGTCAATTCTTAAACAAGGCCTATGGTACAGATATCCAATTCTATCAACAACTGGACAAAAAACCAGACTATTTTATCTGTGATGCGTTCAATGATCCATGCATTGATACGGCTGTTCAATTCAAGGTTCCTTTTGCTATTACATGTACTGGCATGCTATACCAAGATATCAATGTGCCTTATATCAATGGGCTAGGAACGACTCACCATGCTACATCTGAGCATATGACACTTTGGGAGCGATTCCAGCATAAATATGTGGATCTCATCAAGACACTATGGTATATCTATCCTGAATTAAAAGAACTAGACCAGTATCGTCAAGCGTATGGCATGACATCTTTAGGCCTCAATCGGTTCAAACAATGGGATAACGGACTCAAGTTGATCAATACCTATTTTGGCTTCTTTCCTCCACAGATCATGAGCCCATTAACACATATGATAGGACCAGTGATTACAGCCAGACAGAGGACTTTATCTGAACAAGAAGCCGTGTTTCTCAACACACATAAGCGTGTGGCCTATGTAGCTTTTGGACAAATCATAAAACCCAGTAAGCATGAAATTGAATTGTTGTTCAGTGGACTCTTGGATCAAATGGAGCACCAACGATTGGATGGTATATTGTGGGTAGGACTCAAGAAACAAATTCAAACACTAGAGGCAGAGGATCCTCTTCTTGTCTGGCAATTCAATACCACACAGTCTGGTCATGTTATCCAACCACCTCTTTTGAGCCATGCCTTGTTTCAACGCCATGTCTTTATGCCTCCATGGGCTAGTCAATTCTCAGTACTCCAGCACAGTGCTACTGTTCTGTTTGTCAGTCATGGAGGAGCAGAAAGTGCTAATGAGGCTACGTTTAATGGTGTTCCTATCCTGGTTCATCCTTATGTGGGTGATCAGCGTCTTGTTGGACGTGCCTTGACGTTGGCTGGTGTTGCACGCACGCATGAACGTGCTGACTGTACTTTTGAGCTACTAAGACAGCATATGAATGAACTCTTGGTGGATGAAGATGGTAGTGTAGGCAGAAATCTGACACGTATGAAGACATTGGCTCAGATTGGATCAAAGAGAAAGACATTTGCAGCCGATTTAGTAGGTAAAGTACTAGCAGCAAAGCAGTAATAGATGATTAACATACATTAGAGGAACATATGTATGTAGCTAAAGAGGGTATATCCGAACATCGCCATGAACCTTCTCGAAACATGTCTAAAATCAAAGCCATGGATATTGATTTACATGCTGCAGTAATGCTCATGTTGATTTTAAGCGGCTTTAGTCTGTTGATGATATTTTAAAAAGGCGCTTTAATAAATACTTGTTTTTTCTTCTTTTTATTCCTCACTTTTCTCTCTCTCTCTTTTTCTTTTGATACTATGCAGAAAGGCGACGAAGAAGCACCCCTTTTGATCAACCAAGAGGCTCCAGATACTCCTGTACAGAGGCCTACGCCTTCTCGTTCTTTCTCACAGCGCGCTCCTCAATACAACACTTTTAATGAAAAGATCAATCGCACCACCAAACCCAAACAGCCCATGCGTACCACCAAGATATCTCAAAAACTCAAACTGTTTCCTGAAGATGAGACGATCCTGACTGAAGAAGAAGACAACGATGTCTATACACAGATAGCCAAGATTCCACATGGTATGGAACGACAAGAGGCAGAAATGTTGAACAAAATGGATCGTTCTGAACTGTCTCGAATGACGGCTTATTGCACAGCTTCGTAAGTCTAAGAATTTAAATGACAGCATAGTGTAACATGATGTTATAGTGCGTATCATATGGATAAAGTCTTCAAGTTCTTACAGAGTAAGAAGACGACCAGTGGCACAGCTCCTCGACGATTTGATGAGTGTGTCTATACACCTTATGCTTTTACTTATCCTGTTGCACCACCTACAAATGGATATGTTAAGGCACAAAAGTTGCCTGAAATGTTCTTGTTTGACTACGGTGTTGTTGTCTTTTGGGGCATGACACTGAAAGAAGAACAAAAGATACTGAAATCACTTGTAAATTTTGAAGAAGAAAAACTAGAGGTAGATGATGTTGAGACAGAAGAATTTCATTACTATTATAATGAGACCTATCAACCACGGTAAGTCATGTATGATGTTACATACAACACTGACTTAAAAACAGCATTTACAATGATATTATCACACTGCGACATCCTTCGAATTATCTGATCAAACTGACTATTTCTCATGCCATTGCTCAGAGTGTCAAAATGACCTTGTTTGAACGGTTGATTGATGATACGATTAATGAGACAAAATACATTCCTCAAGTCATGGCTGAGAGTGGTAATATTCATATGTCAAGAACAGCCATTACAAAGAAGATTGGTGAATTATTTATTATGCGTATTAATGTCAACTTGGTCTCCAATATTCTGGACACACCCGAAATCTTTTGGTCAGAACCTACACTTGAACCATTATACAGTGCAATACGCGGTTATCTGGAAATTGAACAGCGTGTGCAGTTATTGAATCAGCGTGTTGAAGTTATCAGTGATTTATTAGAAATGCTTAAAGACCATCTCAACAGTTCCCATGGTAATGAGCATAACGATGGTCTTTATATATATGTGTGCTAACATGATTCTATAGGCGAGGCTTTAGAATGGATTGTGATTTGGCTTATTGGCTTGGAAATCTTGGTGGCTGTGATTACAACTTCATTAGATGCCTTTAGTTTGTATTACAATAAGAATTAAAGCTTTCTTTTTTTATTTACGTTATCATTTTCCCAATAAATGGCTTCTTCTGATCCAGTCAATACTCGACATTTGATACAATCAACTGTCTTTGTCTCTTGGATTTTGCCTATCTTGTCCTTCTCTGTTTCTTGAACAACAGGATGTGTATCAAAATACTCACATATCTTTTGAGCATCTTTTGCATGATTTAAGCGAATATGAGTGCCTGTTAAGCCTTTCTTCTTAGTATTCATGAATGCTATTTTGATGCCTGATGTTTCCAACAAAGCCATGGCTGTTGTCTTGGGTGATTGAGGATGAAGACTATCCACATACACAATGAGTCCCTCAGTATAAGGTTTAGATGTCTTTCCTTCTTCCTTTTGTTGCTGATCTTGGTTGTATTCATCCCAGGCACGCTTTACTGCTGTCTTTTTTTCATTTAATAATGCCACATATTCATCTTTTAGTCTGTTCCAATCATGTCTACATAAGTTTGAGTTAGGCACCCTATTGTAACCTTTCTTTTTTTTTTTTTTTTTTTACTTTGACATGACACGTAAATGTAGCTTGTCTATCAGTTTGGTATGTTCATTCTCTACTGTTGTGTGTTGTACATAATACCTATTGACGTGTTCAATGGCCTTTTTGACGTGACCCTTTTGATCAAATTCAATAAAGCAATAACCAAAGAACCTTGTTTGGTTTTGTTGATTGGGTGGTATGCGGAAGAAAGAAACATGGCCCACTAGTTTGTTAAACAGCTCCTTAATGCTCTGCTCGTTATCATACGGTTTGGAAAGACCTTCTACGTAAATAGACCAGTCATCGAGTTCCTCTTTCTTGTTGGGAATATAAGGTTTAATACGGCCTATCTTTTCTTGATCCTCACTAAACTAATAGGGTATATCAGTGCCTCATTGGATTCACTCTCTCTTTTTTTTTTTTTTACTTTTAAACGAGATAAAGAATGGTTCTGTATACATCTTCTTATTTCTTCAGGTGTTGCGTCGAGTGTCTTGAGTTTACCCATGTTACAGAGTTCAAGCAAAGAAACCACTGACTTTAGTTTAGTTTGTGTCTAGAATAATAACATCATTACTGTTTTCAGCATCTGCTAGTATCTTTTTCTGCATCATTTTATCCCATAAAAGTGAGGCATCACTAAATAATGTCTCTACTATATTGACAATCTTGTGTTCTCTTTCATTCATGATGAACGCGTAAACAAGAGAAAAAAAGAATGCAACTTATCTGAGTTCATCTTTGTTTACTCTCTCTCTTTTTTTTTAGTTCTCACAGCCATGACAGAACCAAAGACAGACGAGCTACTTGTCTCACTTCATGTAAAATACATTCAGTCATTAGACACACGAAAAGATGATCTCGAGTATTGGCTTACAGAACATCTCCGTCTTAATGGCGTTTATTGGGGATTAACTGCACTTGACTTGATGGACCATGTAGATGCTTTACCAAGAGATCAAGTGATTGCTTATGTTCAGAGCTTGCAACACGAAGATGGTGGGTTTGGAGGAGACAAGCACCATGATACACACATTACACATACCTTATCAGCAGTTCAGGTGTTGATTACATTAAATGCGATCGATGCTATTGATGTAGATAAAGTTGTGACATGTAAGTCCATCCACAGCGACTGTGCTTTCATACTCTTTTAAGATATTCAGGCACTTCAAAACCAAGATGGGTCCTTTCGAGGCGATGCATGGGGCGAAGTAGACTCTCGTTTCTCTTATATTGCCCTTAACTGTCTATCTCTCTTGAAGAGACTTGATGCTATTGACGTTGACAAGACAGTCGAATGGATCCTTCAATGCAAAAATTACGACGGAGGATTTGGAAGTCGTCCAGGCTCCGAATCCCATGCAGGCCAAATCTTTTGCTGTGTCGCTGCCCTTGCCATTGCCAATGCCTTGCATCACATTGATCATGATTTACTCAGTTGGTGGCTGTGTGAGCGACAACTCAAAAACGGAGGCCTGAATGGTCGACCACAAAAACTAGAAGATGTGTGCTACTCATGGTGGGTTCTGAGCGCATTGTCTGTCTTGGGCAATGTGCATTGGATTGACAAGCACAAATTGATCCAGTTTATCTTGTCTGCACAAGATCCTGAATTGGGCGGTATTGCTGATCGACCAGGTGATATGGTGGATGTGTTCCACACCGTGTTTGGTATTACTGGTCTGTCGCTGTTGGGTTATCCTGGGTTGAAACAAGTGGATCCAGTCTATTGCATGCCTCGACATGTGATTGAGAGACTGAAGTTACCTGCCAGATATCATATTTAGAAAAAATAGTTGGATTTGTAAACTTGATCACAATGTAAATAGGTGTTCTGTTGTACAGCATAATTAACTTGTACAAGTATCACATCATTGCATTGTTAATAAAGAAATGATGTATGGTATATACATGATGTTTATATGTTCTCTCTACGTGTGTATAGAAATGAAGCATTCTATATGATAACAAAGGTAGTTCTCTATGAAGCATACCATTGATTTTCTCGGTAAATTCATCTCGATCACTTGTGCAATCTCATTCCTTATTATTTTAAACTCTTTTTTTGGAAGCCAAAAATGTGCTTGTCAACCCTATCTTGAATTGACTTACTGTTTTACCAGGATTAGTATGGTCGCATGAATGAACTTACACAAAAAGGCAATTTGATTTAGTTTATAAGCATAAGACGTTTGTACGTTGTTAATCTTAACTTTAAAAAGCTATTTCCCAACAAAAGGGAAAAACTTCTAATTAAGTGAATATTTACTATTACAGAAACACTGCAATATAGTTAGCATGGAACAGATAACCAGTTATCTTTTAGAGACAAAAAATGATACAACTGTACCTGAATATGTCACATCTATGCTTATCAAGTAGTCCTACACTTTTTTATTTTTTGGCAATGATACATTAGATACCATTCAACAGAATGGGACGAATTCAATTGGACTGTACCAAACCATCGTGTGCTTTTCTGTCCTTGATTCTCTTTACACAATCATGCTTCATACGTCAGACAGTTATACGATGGATAACGCATATAACACATGTGTCTGTTTTCGATGGAAAGAGCCATATTTGGAGTTGAGATTATTTATTCTGGTCAATAACCAAGTTCATTTTCTGCTGTACAGAGCGTGTGGTCATCGATAGGCCTAGATAAACCGAGATCTTGTCATAGTGAACTTTAATTCAAGCATGCTGGTGTTCATGAAATGAGTTCATGTTAGCAAAATTAACGCAATGGTTTTTATTGGACCTCCATTGAAAGATATTGCGTTATCAGTTTTGTACTGCCTCTCATAAACATGTAACTTTTTAGATAAATATAACTTTTTTAGGAATACAAGCTGAATCTATATTGACATGGGACAAAGATCGAGTCTGCAGAACTTCACTTTGGATTCGAGTAACATTTTCTGTGTATGTCAAATATTGGATTTTTTTTTTGTATATATAAAAGAACACTTCAAGAGCCTGTCTTTTTTTTTCTTTATCCAAACAACAGTACTTTCCTTATGAAGTTCTCTCTCGTTTCCTCTTGCGTTGCCCTCGTTGTCATGGCTATGGCAGCTGAAGCTGCTCCTTCCGGTAACAAGCTTTCCATTCCTTTGACCAAAAATGAGAACTTCAAGCCCAATGCCAGAGCCTCCCTTGCCAAAGCTAGAGCAAAGTACATCAAGCACATCATTAACCCTCTCCATGGTACTCCTGCCAACGTTACCACTGATGCTACTGGCTCTGTTCCTGTTGTTGACTATGGAAATGATCTCGAATACTATGGTGTTGTTGGCATTGGTACCCCAGAACAAAAGTTCAAGTTGGACTTTGACACTGGTTCTAGTGATCTCTGGATTGGTAAGCAACGAAAAAAAAAAAAAAAAAAAAAAAAAAAAAAAAAAAAAAAAACCATGGCACCTAGTTTTCTCATGTTGTATGTATGTAGCTTCTACCTTGTGTGCCTCTTGCACAACTCACACTCGTTACGACTCTACCAAGTCTAGCACCTACAAGGCCGATGGCCGTGCTTGGTCTATCTCTTACGGTGATGGTTCTACTGCCAGCGGTATTCTTGCTACTGACACTGTCAACTTGGGTGGTCTCAAGATCCAAGGTCAAACGATCGAATTGGCCAAGAAAGAATCCAGCTCTTTTGCCAGCGACCCCATTGACGGTCTCTTGGGTCTCGGTTTCAACACGATCACTACTGTCCGTGGCATCAAGACGCCTGTTGACAACTTGATCAGCCAAGGCTTGATTTCTTCTCCCATCTACGGTGTCTACCTCGGCAAGGCCTCCAGAGGCGGTGGAGGTGAATATCTCTTTGGTGGCTACGATTCCTCCAAGTTCAGCGGTAGTTTGAAGACTGTGCCTGTCAACAAGTCTCAAGGTTACTGGGGTATCACTGTAGGCGGTCTTACTGCTGGTGGTAAGAGCGTGGCTAGTTCTTTCTCTGGTATTCTTGACACTGGTACCACTCTCTTGCTCTTGACGGATGCTGTTGCTGACCGAGTTGCTGCTGCCTATGGTGCTACTGCCAACAGCGACGGTACTTACCTTATCAACTGTAACACAGCCAACTTTGCTCCTCTTGTGTTTACCATCAACGGTGCTACTTTCCAGATCCCTGCCTCTGACTTGGTGTATGAAAAGAGCGGCAGTACCTGTTTCGCTTCCTTTGCCAAGGGTGGTCTTAGCTTTGCTATCTTGGGTGATACTTTCTTGAAGAACAACTATGTTGTCTTTAACCAACAAGTGCCTCAAGTCCAGATTGCTCCTGTTAGAGCTTAATTCTTTTAAAATCTTATTTATTTATTCAGTTGTATCATAATAAATTTACTGATATTGAAACATTTTATTTTAGAATCCATTTGAATGAACAACTTTATGAAATAACAAGATTTGTCCAATCGGCCCAAATGGACCGATCTTTATAATGATCATTCCCCATAATAAAAAAAAAAAGAAAGTCTTTTTTTATTATTCTCTTTTTGACTGCCTCTTGTTTGACATCTCATGAGTGCTCTGTATAATTTATAAATTGAACAGACAACCTTCGTGTTACAAGTATCACTTTGCAAAATCAAGCGATTGTTGAAAAAAATCACTCGGCTCATTTGGACTGATATTTGAATTCAAATTATCATGCAAGCATTAGAAAAAAAGAGAGAAATATTCTATTACTCAAAAAAAGAAACTATTCGGGCTTGTCTTGCCAGTCCTAGACAACCTTCAAGTGCTTAAAGTAGCAGCCATTACGGATGAGTATATTTGGGTTACAAATTTTAGATGTAGTAGACGTAAAATCGAGAGGAAAAGGTGATGATGAATATGAAAATGATTCTAAACAAAGCAGAAATAACACATGAGAACCTTAATCACCTGTCTATGATGTGCGCGATTAATACGTGATAGTTTGAATAAAAAAATGTAGTTTTAGTCAGCCAATTTATTATTGTTTGAGAAACAAAGAGAAATGACGGACTTTCAGTTCCCATAGCTGCTCCTGATGTCTTTTTCGTCAAAACCAAAGAATTTTTTAGTATGTTGGCCTGGTCACTCTTGGTGGTGTTCAGGATTTTATTATAATCCCTTATGGAAGGTTGTATCCCTTAGGTATCAACAATTGTGTCAAGTACCAAGTAATTGAAGACATTTTGAAATGGTGTCCTTTACTTGTGGTACTGGTATTGCCATCTGTAGCATTGAACAAGACAAGATATAGAGTACTTACTTTCAGGAGTAACGAACGAAAAACCTAATATATCCTTTTTAGAATATATCAAAGGGGGTAGCCCAGATGACGGCTATTTTCTTTGGAATTATATAAGACTCATATAATCATACTGAATGCTTCCACAAAAGCATTGTCTTGAAAATATTTTATATGGCTAGTCACTTTGCTTCACAAACACTAGTTTCCGTTTATACATTGTTTTTTTTTCTATCCAATACATAAAAAAAATTTCGTCAAAACCTAAAATTTGAAAGAAAAAATGACAACAAAGTGCAGAAAGAAAAAGAGTAAGCAAAATACTGTCCTAACAAAGTTTGTAGATATTAACATGGTGCATCTAACAATGTAAAGAAAGTAATATGTTCTCTCATCATATTTTTGACTTTCTATCAGAAAACATGTTTCTACGTTTTTCGCTGTAGCGTATACTTTTTATAGTAGTTTTCTGAACCTAATACTTCTAATATATTCTAGAGACTCAGAGAAAAGTCTAAGGGTATCACAAGGCCAAAATGACCAAAACATGACTATCGCAAAACTTGGTCTGTTTTTACATAAAATTCTTCATTTGAGCGTGGTTTATAGGACACGCGAAAAAAGTGGATTGAAGGCGTTTATGTTATTATTGGAGGCCAAAACTGACTCTTATAATGATCATAAACTTGCTTCTGTTGCTATTGTCATGAACAAAAAGAAAAAGACACGATTAGTAATACACTTAAGAAAGTCATTGATTAGAATATATTTTTTAATGAGAAGGCGTTTTTTGAAAGAATATACAAACTTCTATCGTTCTTTAAGAGTGCTTTTAAAGTCATGAACTAGTATTTGTTAAAAACTGCGTATGATATATGAACTGGTCAATATCAAAACTCATTTAGAGCACAAATAGAAGGAATGAAAACAAAAAAGGTTAAGGATGCAAGTGTAATTTTATTTAGAAAAAGGGGACCATATTCAGAATGATATCTGGTTTACAAAGATCAAAAGTTATTGTAAGCAAATACGTGTTCATCATTTGATATGGACTAAAGCTACAGTACGTAACTTTTATCACCCTCATCAGATCCCAAAAAAATTCCCCTCGTCCAACAATATACCTAGTTAAAAGAGCCTTTCAGCTAATAGCTACTTGACTAACAAAACTTCGTAGGTTTCTCGTTCTTTGCGTATATACAATTTTACAATAATAGTTCTTTTTTCTTTTAACAAGTATATAGATACTCTGTCGCATGCAACACACAGGTGGAGCGCCATTTGCTCTAAAAGAGCCTCTATCATTTAAGCCATTTTCCGATTAAAGATGTAGCATAGGCCACTTCAGAGAAATGTGCAGTACCCTTGTATAAATAAAGGCGTAAGTGTCCCCAGTTGGTATATGAATGACCCACTTCATGAGGAAGCATCTGATTTATATCTGTCTCCTATTCACAAGAAGGTTTATTGATGACCAATCCTTGAAGAGCATCCATCAGCGCTTATGTTTTTTTATCCTAGGCTCCTTATAATGGATGTCACTAAGATCTATCATTTTTTCCCAAAAGGTATATGAATGACCCTTTTCATTAGGATGATAGTTTATATGAGGTTGTGTTAACTAGAGAAATGGCGTTTACTTTCTTCCAATAAGGTATATGAATGACCCTTTTATAATGGAGATTATTTCGCAGCATTCATTAACCAAAACAATAACGTCTGCTCTTTACATATAGAGGCTTACAACTATTTTTTTTTTTTTTTTTTTTACATCAGGTGAAAGGTGTGCAATACCCAATCGACCCTATACGACTGTAAATAAACGTGCATCCCACTGTAGGCATATGAGTGATCCTTTATAAGTGAGGTATGTTCACGCAAAGTAATTCGTTTTTGACCCAATGAAGAGATGTACAAGATAGACTCCCAACAAAGGTGTAAAGAAAAAAGAAAATCCCATTCTCTTCTCCCAATTTATATCTAAACTAGCAACCAAATCACAACCAATTAAAAAGTCGTTCGTATCCTGGGAGACACAAGGCTAAGGTGGGATTGAATCTTAGATGCCAGGTTCGATACATGACAAATGATTTATTCGCCTTCAGAGATTGATTCAGTCAAGTATTCACAGTGTTCAAGCTCTTTTAGAGCTTAGAATCATTGGGAGTATCACTATACTTCTCTAAAAGTAGATAGCATTTCTCAATGAGTTGAAGTCTTTTTTTTGGTCATTAAGCTAGCTGCACTACCTAAACATGAACACATGAGAACTATATTTAGCCGGATTTATATACTTACTAGGGGTACAGCCAATGACAAGAATGATAGCCATAAAGTAGGAGAATTGCATCGTGGTAGAGACAAGAGCTCTAGTGTCCTTTTGTGTTTATATCCTGTTAGTACTTCTTTACAAATACTATTTTTTTATATAGGAATAGGCTCGTTAAAATGGATGTTTTTTATTAGCTTTTTTTTGAGACAAGACGGAAAGTTTGGGAATCGATATATATATAATTATAATAAGTATTCTTCTGTAAGGAAAGAAAAAGCCTTTTTTTCATTCGTTTGGTATTGCGACATTACCCCTTATGAAAAATGCCTGTAATCTCTTTTGTGAAAAAAGGGAGGCATTTGTTTTATAATAAAGATAGCTTATCTACTTACATCCATCATGAAACTAGTTTGTGAATACAAATCTTGAAACAGAATATCCAAAGTCGCACACTAACACTTGTTCAGAATGTTTTTATTCAAATGGACGAGTATTGTTTAGGCTTGATCTGATAATCAACATTTTTTCTTATGCAATGTTACAACTGTTTTTTATTATCGTTAAATGACGATTGTGTTTCTTTGAAATGACTTCTTGACAAGATTGTACTTGAACAATAGAGTAACAACAAGTTCGTACAAGCCGACCAATAAGATGATTGGGGAATAAATGATGTACCAAAGTACTTGATGAGCTCTTTCAAGCCAAATGACAGGTCTATCACGTTTACATACAACACGCACAAACCAGCGCAAGACACCAAAGGTAGCATCAATAAAGACGCTAGGAATAAATGTGTTCAAAGCAGGGCGCGATCTTAAGCAGCGTTGGATAGCCCAATTATTCTTGATTGGATTCTGGCGATGATAGACATCCATAATTGTAGTCAAGAAGGAAGCAGTAAGGAGAGACCCCAAGACAATGACAGTCAAGAATAAATACATTGCAAGTAAAAGACCAGCAGTTTGAGGTTGATAGTACAAAGTATCAGCAATTTCAGGGGCGCTATAAAAGAATATCAATATACAGCACATAAGACTTTGAGTACACTTACTGAAGAGCACCAAGCACCAAAAATCGCAACATAGCAAAAGGACGAATATCGTTGATTTGCAAGGCAGCAAATGCTGTCCAAAAACCTAAAATTGTAAAAACACCAAGTCCAAACACCCAAATGCTATTCACAAGACATTCATGCATAATATAGCTTGTCTTTGCCATATTCCAGCTAATATCTGATGCCGCGTTGAAGATGCGGAAAAACATCAAGGGTGTTGCAAAGATCAACAGATTGAATGAGACACTAAGGAAATAGAGTTCATCTTCAAGAGTGTCTACAGCAATCAAGGTGAAGATACGTATGACAAAAGATGATACCAAGAGGGACACTGTTACTAGAGAAATGTATGAGGAAATCTTTTTAAGGTATACAGAAGGATACACCAACAACTTGTAGAATTCCAAGAATAAGTCTGAAATGAGAAAGAAGTAATAGACGTATTCAAATGCAAATGGAGTATCGGAAGTATAGTCTTCATTGTTGACAGTAGCCAAATGAAGACCAAGGTACACTAGAGCAGTAAAGATGCCAACCAAAAGCTGATAACGAGCGATACACCAGCGAGCCAAAAAGTCTGTAAATGTATGCCAAATAACATACCAAACAAAGTTTTTTGGCTGATCTTGCTCGTTTTCAGTCTTTCCAATCCAAATGTTGCTAGGATGAGTCGGGTCATGATGCCAATTAGGACCAGACTTCCAAAGATCCTTTCAAAAATAACTATTTTAGTACATGAAACAATAAAAAAAAACCTTTCTTACCTCAACCACAAGTTGAACTCGAGCGTCATTTAATATTATTTGGCTATCATTTTCAACAGCCCAATCCAGAGCTAATGAGATTGTAAGATTGTTGTTCAATTGACATATGAACATACCTGATTTTTCATTCACCCATTTCGTTGTCAACATTTCATATAAAACAACATGTGAAGCAGATTTTTCTTGAGCCTTCAAACCCAAACTTAATGTAGATAAAGCCAATGCTTGAAGCGAAACATCGGCTTCAGTAAAAGAACCGGATAACTTCCGTTCGTGCAACAATGCCAAAATGGCGCAAACGGAAGCGTTTTTAGCAACCTTGAAAATACTTTCCGCGTTGGAAGGGATTCCCTTAGTTCTTAAGAAATCATTTTCTTGCTTCTTGACGACGGTTGTGCCGCTGTTTGTGTTTGTTATGACGTGTGGAGTAGTATGCTCGGAATTGAATATGCTTGTAGTATCATGACTAGTGGACCATCCATGTTTTTCTTTCCATCGATCCGTAGCTAATCTAAGAGCATCCACAGCCAAATCACGTTTTCTTATATGCTTCTTGGAAGCGTTTTCATCTTCATGAGAAGACATGATGGACCATTCACTCAATTTCTTCTTTAGCAAGTGCTTTGGACTATCATTGTCATTGTCGCTATCGCTGCTGCTGCTGCTGCTGCTACTACTGCTACTGCTGCTTGAGTCATTAGGCACAGCTGCTTCTTTTTGCTTCTTTTGCTTTAAGACTTGTCGTTCTTGCTTCTTTTTTATTTCACTAAATACAAGAATGTCTTGAATCTTTTCTGTCAATTCGCTAGTAGGGACAGTAGGTTGTCCTTCTGAAATGATTTGCCGAAAGCGTTGTTTTGTCATGGCTTGATTGATGCCATTGGGTTTAGAGCCTTTTCCGTTTTCTTCTGCGCTCATGGTGATCACAGTAGGATTTTCTCGGCCATTTGATGCACTATAACTCGTAGTGGCAGTACTTAAAAGCCTGGTATTTTCATCTGTAGGTGGATTGATACTAGGTATAGGTGAGCTGGGTGTACTATCCGACATGAAACAAAAAGAAAAAAGAACAGAGAGAACAATGATGGAATGTCAAGAACTTCAAGTTTGTTTAAATAAGTCATAATATGCCGTGAAACAGAAAAAAAAGTTGGCGTATGTTTTTTTTTGTACGACTATTATGCAATTAGCCAAGAAACAAGTAGTTACTGTATTTCCGCCGCTTTACTGAAAATTTTGGTCACTTTTCTGAACGTCAATTGTTTTTTTTATAGATTGATCATGCGTTAACTGTTTTATCGCAACTCTTTTTGTTAATTAACTTGTAAATGGATTCTAATATAACCTTTTATTGCGAAGATGGAAGAGAGAACGTTTTTGACAATAAGAGTAACGAGGCAACAGCGTATGATCAAATTCCTTCTTTTCGCCTTAAAAAAAAATAACGGATCTCAAGAAGCTTGTTAAAAACAACACTTATTCAGAATTGCACACATCCGGAGAACCTGATGTTAGCTTGGGAGAAGCAACAGTTAAAAAAGAAAGAGGAAATGAATATAATACATATACAGAAAAAGATTGGTTGTTATATCTTTATTTCGTTTTTCAAAAAGGTATGAAGCATAAGCAAGCTGTGGAGGCTGCCAACGTCAACCAACATACAGCACGAAAATGAAAGCAGAAGTATCAACAGAACTCTGAAGAGTATGTGCCTTATAAATTAACAAACCTTGTGCCTTTTCGTCGCGTGAGCCAGCTAGATGATAGACACAAAGATTACTTGACCAGCTTTTTTGATGAAAACAAAAGGGCAACTATCGAAGACGCCGTCAACAGCTTGATGCAAAACTTCGCGGGTCTTCAGATAAACCCCCCCCAGGGTAGCAGAATTCATGAAAGAAGAATATAATCTTTCTATTAAAGTAGTTTCTAGACATTCCATCGAAAAAACGGGCTGTTTGGATAAAGGAATAGTTTACCTTCAGAATCGTGTGTTTATAGATGAGTCAGGATTTGACATCAATATGACCCGTGGAAGAGCTTGGTCAACACGTGGTGAACCAGCTACCGTAGAAACACCCTCAGGAAGGGCTACATCTCATACAGTATTGGGAGCTATTCCTTCTGTAGGCGTGGTAAATGTATCCATAAGAGAGCCCAGTAACCTAAAGAGAAGAAAAGTGGTCGGGCAACCAAGCGTAAGGCACCTGGTGATAAATTATCAGTACCTAACGGAGCTACTGGTTCTCATTATATGCATTTCATTATCGATACAATGGATATCATGGACATATTTCCAAGTATGCATGGATCTCACATTGTTATGGGTAATGCTCCTATACACGTTCCTGCTTTGATTAGTCCTTTAATCGAAAGCCGCGGTTATATTCTGGTTTATCTTCCTCCTTATTCGCCAGAACTTAGCCCTATCGAAAATTCTTGGTCTATTGTTAAGTCCAAAGTTAGGTGTCATGCATTGAGAGACACATAAACTCTGACCAAAAGAATAATTGAGGCTTGTGAAGAAGTTCCTCTCCAACATTTTCAAAATTTTATTCAACATCCTGTAAATTTATTTCATAAGTGCTTAAAGAAGCTATCTAACTCCCACTGAACAGAAGACATTATTGATTTATTTCAGGAAGTGACCAATTAAAATCTAAACAGCGACCAATTGACGGCAGAAATACAGTATTTATTTCTGAATACAATTATAAAGGTTATGCGTCTAAATGTATGTCTATGAGTAAATGTATAAATAATTATGTATATATGTATATGTAGAAGGGATATGTATCATGATGAAAAAGAAAGAAAAAAAGGAAAAGAGGTATAGCTTAGAGGACAGAGAAGAGCGATTTCGTCAATTTCAACTTTAAGAATACACAAATCAAGCCACCAAAAATATACACAGTACCAGAAAACATTTGTACACCAATGTATCCAGCATTTGGGGTGCTTTGCTGAATGGCTGAGGCAATAGGTGGTCCTGTGCCAGCAATAGCACTTGCAATAAACAAGATTGAAAGACCGGAAGAAATATTTTCAGGACCCACAATGGCAGCGGTGATAGGAGGTGCAAGTGCATAGTAAATACCACAAAAGAAACCAAAGAGGACAGCAAATGCCATGAGGGTGCCATAAGTATTTGCGAAAGGCCAGAGGGCCATACAGAAAATACCGGCACAGAAACAAGAAAGAATATACATGTTTAAGCGGCCCACACGATCAGCAAAGTAACCAATAACAAGGCGACCAATTGCATTCAAGGCACAGGCTACACCAACAATGTTGGAAGAATCAGCTCTGCTAATCCCAAAGCTTGCGCTATACTTTGGTAAGTAGAAGAGAGGAATCAAGTAACCTGTTAATGAAATAACAAGGCCATGCAACAAGATGACAAAGTCAAAGTTCTTAAGCATAGAAGGTTTGATGGGTGAGCGAGTAGGCTGTTTGTCTTGTCCAGGAGGCAAACGTGTGCGGATCAACAAGGAGCCAACCATACAGATACCAAAAGCCATCAAACCAACAATACGATAAGCCCAAGGAATACCATATTTCTCAATCAGAGAACTAACCATGGGACTCAAAGCTAAACCACCAAAACCAGAGCCACAAGAACTGATGCCCATTGCCATACCTCTTCTAGTAGTAAACCATTGAGGAATAACAGCTACAATAGACATGTATGTCAAAGAAGATCCGATACCAAAAAGAACACCTTGAGTAAGATAAAGATGCCATACCTCTGTACTAAACCCAGCCAAGATAAGACCAAGTGATAGCAAGAGTGTCCCAATCATCATGGTAGGACGGACACCAAAGCGAGAAGCTAACAATGGACTAGCAGGGGAAAAGATATTGAGACAGACAATAAGCACCGAGCCTACACCCATAAGCTGGACTGTTGTTGCTTTGTCTTTAAGTGTTGATGTAGCTAATGCATTTGAAAAGACACCTAGAATGATAGAAGACTAAGCATGATGATAAGACCAACGTTTTCTTTCTTACCCCAAATTGAAGCAACACCAAACATAATAAAGTTTATTAAGAACCCTACAACAGCAACAACCCTAGATCAAAAATTGTTAATAAATCAGCATGAAATTTTATCCGTGTTATGCTTACCAGCCATAACCGCCATCAGGGATACCGTTATAAAACGCATCATCTGGTAACTGGACAATGCTTGCAATAGTGGCATCTAAAAAGAAGTAGATTAGTAAAAAATTGACTTATTCAGCAGATCAAACTTTACTTGTAGCCTGAGGCTCTACAGGGTGTAGACCACCGTTTTCTACATCATAATGTTCTGTCTTTGTGGTGCCTATTTTTTCTAAACCATTGTGCTGTGGATGATTGGGTGTCAATGTCATTCCATTAAGTTCTTCATAAGTTCCGGAAGATCTAGGAGTAGCAACAATCTCCTCTTTTGTCGATGCCGTATCTTGTTGCTTGCTCATGGTATGAAATACGAAAAAGAAGGTAAAAAGTTTTTCAATTCGAAAATAAAAATAAATTTATACGTTAATCCGGTCAAATTATTAAGTCGGAAATTGATCGTTTATCCGGATGATCTAGAAAAAGGTAGAAAAAACAGCACTAAAGTATGAATAATCCAAATCTTGTTTACAAATCAATTTCATTTTCTTTCAGTTCCCTTGGTTTCCCTTTAAACTACTGCATCTTTTGAGAAGAAAAAAGGACTACAACAACATATTTGCTGATCTATTTAGTTTGTACGAAATCCCACAAATGCGGAATCGCCCGGAAATGTTAAGCAGTTAGTGGCTGGGTGTCTTTGCTTTTCATTCAATTTGTAGCACAGCTTGCTGTCAGTTTATCGAGTGACGCAAATCAAAACTTGGGCTAATTATTTATATCTAGATCAACTCCCATAATGACTTGTTGATCTAATACTATGCTTGTGTTTGTGTACGATTAGTCACAGTGATTGCAGACAAGAAACGATCGTGCTTATGGGGGATCTTTCCACCGACTTAAGGTTTTATAGTTCATTTAATTAGTTTACTAGTCTGATAGGGATTTGTCATCATGGTAACAGCAAATCGTTTCAAATGATACAAGCTTCTTTTAATGACTCGAAATTACGACAATGCTATTGTAATTGAAACTCATTCTTTTCATATAATTTAGTACGAAAAAGATTACCCGGAGTGCCCTAATATGCACTGGTGCAACCATTGCATAATAAGGCTTGTTTTTCCTTTTAACAGTAATTGCATTGTAAGCCCAGGTGGCACTGTTCTACAAATAAGGAAATTCAAGGCTATTGCCTTTCCGCTTAATCAGAGTACGTACCTTGGTATTAAAAGGCATGTATAACATAACTTATATCTTTTGAGTCGCGAGGTAGTCGTTTAAATAATATGTTCAAATGCTCAAAAAACGAGTGAAAACGAAATTCCAATGTTTATATCTATTCAAAAACATGTCATAATTGTGCAATGCCCATTCATCCTCAATTATTGACACAAGCAATCTCGAATAAAAGTAATTCGTTGAATCCACTTGCATAGCAGCTTTATTCGACCCTGTCTGTTACTTTGTTGCTATCTTTTATTTTAGTGCGAGTTGATCAGAGTACGATTCACTTGCCGAACCAAAGTGATACTGTCTTTAGTACGCTATGGCATTACGCTTTGCTTTTGTATACCTAAGGTCTGGTTACTGGGGTTTTCATTTTTTCTCCTTATTCTTCCTTACTTAAAATTAATCAGATCGTATTTACGGCTTATAGGTGCGGACATAGGGAAATAGAGCTATCTTCAAAGCAGAATACACCCAACACGCAATGTAAAAAGACAGAAGATTGGGGTTTGAAACATCAAACTCTCCTTTTGCATAGCACTCATCGTTAGTTATGCTCCGAATTGCTCTCTTTAACCCCCAAAAGTGTCATTTGTTATAGCAACTGTTACTTGCTCTCGTCTTATGTATCGAATGGTGTAGAAATAAGCGCTCGTTTACTAGCCAATATCTACTGAGATGGGCCTCTTTTCTATCAATTACAGTGTACAATGAACTCTGATTACAGATTTGAAGGCGATGTTCAAATCAAATCGACTCTCTTAGCTTAACAAAGTCGCTTTCTTTCTTTTGAAAGTAACTAGATATGGTCTTACCTGATTTCGGTTGGATCAAACCTACTTTGGGTTATTCCAGAAATTTCTGATCGAGTTTTGATTTTTCATCTTCACGGGCCATCGTGGATCCTCCATGGGTCAAAAAATGGGTTTCGCTTAACAGCCAGACCAATAATACCATTCAATTTCTCAGCTCGAGAAAACATGTTTTAAATGAAAAAACGGACTGGTTTGATGGTCTAGTTGTCGAGCAATGACCCATCAAAGAATCGTGCATTTAAGCTGTGTTTTGAGTGTTTTTGCTCTAAATCTTCAGTAAAATGTGCTATTCATGGGACTACAATAAACATCATATGCTATTTAAGGCGCCAAAGAGCATTTAGAAGTAAAAGCAGGGTCGATCTATAATACAAAGGTGGGATAAATGGATGTAGAACACACAAGTTGGCAGTTTGTGGAGATTGAAATGGGACATAAAACCAGTTCTTCGATCCCGCCGCACCCAAAAATCAAGCCTTTGCTTAGAACTCCACAAAGACGCAATTATCAGGCTTTGCTATAGTGACAAAAGTTATAAAAACCAATAGGTCTGCTGCAGAAATATTAAGCAAGTGTGCAAAAATGTAAATGAGGTTTTCCATTTACAGCAAACCATTTTCATAGTGCAATCAGTAAACGAACACATTCACCAAAAACTAGAGCGTCTGGAGGTTATTTTGAGTATTTAATCTCATTAATAGCTCCATTTTTCATCCTTTAGCGTCAAAAAGAAGACCCAAGGTTGTCAAATCGAGGTTTTTTCATGAGTAGTACTCTTTGGTCAAAAGACCAAAATGACAAATTTTACAAGTTGCTTTTTTTCGCTCAAATCAACTCCAAAGGTATTTGGAGTATTTACGAAGACCTAAACATATCTTGTACTTGTCTTATTTTGTTATTCAATCCTGCTTTTTATCCGTTCTTTTGATGAATTATTGATTCATCATAAGTGTTCCTCACAAAAATATCTATTGTTGCAATTTCGGTTACACCATTATATTTCATAAATAATGAGCTTTCAAGTGATACATACAGATTGCAGCTGTCATATCAACTGACCCTTTTGAGTGCTCTTCCTTCAATTGAAACGTGATTATTGCAGCATGACAAATTCTTAAGTCTCTGATTTTTTAACCAATATTAGGTCAATTCAAGGTCTATTTGAACTGTTCAATGAAGCTTACAAAGAACTATCAAAATACACCATGCTTACGTTCGCAGCTCCTGATTAGAAGTTTAAGTTTAAGTTACTTGTCGTATGTAGTATATATGCTTTTTTATGCTCATAAATGAACTTTGATTCTCAGTTTGTAGATCAATACTGATCCAAATCAAGATTGGTTTATATTGGCAGAGACACCCTAAATGAAGCTTTTAAAAATAATATTATTGGTACTGATCTATCATCAACTGGCAGCAAAGAGTACTATCAATTAGAGTAGCTATATCATTTTCACAGCTAAAAAGCTATTATTTTGGTCTCTGAGGACGGTAATCTTGTCGTTTTTGTGAGTTAGATACCATCTTAACATTAGACCTTGTATACAGAATACATTGGCTATCTGAAAATCACTTTTATAGCACTTTTTGATGTTGAAGCTGTTGAGTGTCTTTTGGGCTGTATTTCGCTCAAAAAACAAGAAGCCATCTAGAAATACATCAAGATCAAGTCTAATCAATTTGGCGCCTTAAGAAAAGTGGGGGGGGTTAGTACTTAGAGCCCAAAGATGCAATAGAAACGCGCTGTTTACTATGAGTATTCATGAGATAACGCGTAAAATAGTTTACAGGGTTTTACACGCGTTGTGTACTTTTTTTAAAATGCTTTTTTCAAATTCAACACTTGGAGCATGTTTAGTAATGCAAGAGGAACATTTTTTGCCATAGATTGTCATAATAAAAGTTGCTTGTATGATGAGCTACAGATCATTTTCTGATTTTGATGTAAAATCGTAAGGGTATCATAAGGCATAATGGGTCGAAAATTGCATTCATGTTTTCATGAGCCAAACATGTCTCAATGATTACTGATGCTAAAAAAAAAACATATTTTGTAGACTGATGCTAGCTTGGTTTGTTCAAAAATGAGCATAACAAACTGCCTTTACTAGTAAAATCATTCTCACTTTTTTCATTCATCAGTAGTTGATTCAAAACATGTCAAAATACTCTCTTAACTATACATCAATTCATCCACGGTTAATCGAATCCGGATATGGGGCATTTCATGCACCCTCACGTCATGTTGCGTAATGTATTGCACCGTATGTTCCCATAGAATTGGTTTGTAAATGATATTCAACGATACGTACCAAGTATTTGATGGTTTCTAGCCACAAGATTTTGTGTTTATGATTAACTTATATTCAGTTCTGAACATTGCATAGCTCAAATTAGGCTAGGATATTACTTTTTCATTCATACAGACTACCTGATGCTTTAACTGTCGATCTTTCAGCAATGAAGAAGTTCTCTTGGACCAAGCTTTTCGGTAGGATTTCACAACCAGAACAATCAAATTGCATATTTATGTTTAAAATCAAACGTTTGCTACTTTTTCATAATAAAAATCATTGCTTTTATTGCTTCATTATGTTATGATCTGAATGATAATCATTATATCATGTAAGAAAAAATAATGTGTCAGACTAATCAAGTCGAAGTAAGATTTGGTAAACTTATTAAGAGGCTTAGACTTTTAAAAAAAATGTATATTTTTATTAATTTAAAAATTTAACTAACAGCCCTGATGTATTTACCTAAACAAAAAAGAAAATTAGTTCATTGATCTTTTTTTTAGATGTGAAAAAAGAAAAAGAAAAGAAACATGAATGTTTGCCCCGTAACTAAGAAGACAACCATATGATTTAGCAATTAAGCAAGGTTGGCTTCAACTCAATCGAGACGGAATCGCTTAGATCGGACCACACCTAGAACAGGTGGATCGCAGTTAAAACAATATAATTATTATTCCACGAGTGTAACAGAGAAACATCATTGTAGATTGAGCAAGAAATAGCTCGTTGAATCTCCTGACAAAACTTGTGGTTTCCCAAATAAATGGAAAAAAAATAGAAAAAAAAACTTTTGTCAATAATTACCTTTTTCTCTAACAGAACCGAAAGTTTGAGTAAACAAAAAGAAAAGAAAATTTCGCGTCGAGAAGACTTTAAGCTTTTTAGCTTTGGATAGTCACGTAAACAAGCCACAAATTTTTCGTGGGCGGAGTGATTCATGGTCAGCATGATAGCTCCTTTCTTTTGTGTTAACATAATGCCCTGCCATTCAATAAAAGAATATTCAGCGTTGTACGAAGAGTCAGCAAAAAACAGTATTTATAGAAGCGTACCTTTGTTAGAAGAAGAATGGAAAATTGTGTCTGACAGGTGCGTTTTAAACATATTAACACGTCAAAGCTCACGTTTTTCATAGTTCTGGCTATCTTCCAGAAGAAAACAGTGTGACAGTGACTACTGGCATAAGCCAACTCAGGACACGTACCCTAGAAATATTTGAGCACATCCATTTGAGTGATGATATAAGGTACAAAAAAGGATTTATATTGAACGCTGGCATATCTATCTGGGCCATTGATTTCGTTCCTAAACAGGCCAAAGATCATACCCAATATTTGGCCATTGGAGGCTACAATACAACAAAAGAGCACTACATGATAGACGAGGATACACAAACAGATAAACGCTATAACGTAGTCCAGTTGTGGTCGTTTTCATCTTCACCAGAGCAGATGAAGCAAAACCCTAAGCTCGAGATGTGTATTTTGCATGAATATGGCGCCATTAGTGACTTGAAATGGGCTCCATTTAATGCATATGACGAGGTATAAGTACACCCATTCTTTGAGAAGATCACTAAGATGAAATGTTTCTTTAGAAAAAACTTGGCATTGCGGCTGTCTTGTTTGTTGATGGATCTATTCGTATACTTGTAGTACCACATCCAAAATTCATGCACGGCCAAGAGAAAACTGTCAAAGAAACTATGTTCTGTAAGCAGTCTACCTTTGCATTCGTATAAGATTCCTCATCAATGCTTCTATAGTAAAATTAGAAGCCTCTCGATTATTGCTAAATATGCCTAAAATGAAAGCATCATGCATTGCTTGGGGAGGGTATGGAAGATTAGCTTATGGTACAACATCTGGAAGTGTGGTTGTTTGGGATATCTTGGGATCATTATTACAAGACAAACCAAAAATCATTGCAAGTATACCGAGAGTTTCACAGCTTCCTATTCGATGTATTAGTTGGAGCTCTTTATTTAACGAAAATCTACTGCTTACGTCTGATTTGGATGGAAACATTCTTGTTCATGATTTGAGCGACCCCTTCATGACCTATAAAGTGTTCAGAAGAAGAAGTGAGTTAAAAGAGACGTGGCAAGGCAAATCTAATTCTATCGTTAGCTGCATTTACATGTATATCAGGAACAGGACATAACAGTGGCTTCTTATTCTCTGAAGCAGATGGTATGGTCAGAAGGAATTTTGGTTACGATACAAAAAAGTCTTTGAATTTAACAGCGCATAATGGTCATGTTTGGGCTATTTCAGTAAGTCCACATCATGGCATTATGGCTTCAGTGAGTTCCAACGGTAATGCTATGGTAAAAATGTTTGCATCGGATGAAGTCGAACTCACAGGCAGACACAAGGTAAATGAGAATGAAAAAGACATTATCTAATGTTATGTACATAGAACCTTGAGTATACTCTCTACAGATTGATGTTTGATAACGATACCCAAACTTTCCGTTACGTTGACGGTATAAAACCAAGTGTAAGGCATTTCTGCTTTTTATTTTGTCTCTAAGTTCTATAGTTTTCATTACCTGAACGCGAATATCATAGTGTGTTCTTAAATCCATGTGTAGCATTACAAAAAGTAACTAACACTTTATATTTCGACTGTTAAATTAATGTCTTTTAGATTGCTTGGAACTCAAATAGCAATGCTTGTGAATGGGTAGCTTCTGGAGGTAAAGCAGGACTTTGTAGAATAGAATTCACTGGCTGTAATTAACAATGTAAATATTGAAATGCATAAAGAAAATTTCACAAGATATTCATCATTGCGATTATTAAGTTCAGAATGAAACAAAGCATAAAGTATTATGATGGAAAGGCCCTAGTAAAATTAGGGTTTCGTTATTTTCACAACAATTATAATGAAAAGTTGCCGCCAAAATAGCATTTCTTGATTTTTATATGATTCACAAAGCCGCTGCCAGACAGACGGCATTCATGCAAAGTAAATAAAGAAGTTTCTCCGCAATGATACATTGTGATAAGCCTTTTATTTTTCATTCAATTAAAAAATGTCTAACACAGTCGAAAGAAGCAAGCATGGCCCTTATGCCAAGCGCGAGGAAAACAAGTACTGGGTATTTGGTGGTACCTCCACAATGGTCTTTCTCTACATGAGATTGCCGACAAGGTTGACAAGCCCTTCAAAACTGTACGAGGCATTTTCAACCACATCAAGGAATCAGAGACACCTTTGCCTCGTGCTCCTCCTGGAGTATCTACCAAGGTCGAAGAGAGAGGATCGAGACGTTTCAATCAAATTGTACTGAAGAATCCTTTTTTAAGTATTGATGGAGTGAAACTCGAGCTGCAACAATTCAGTGTCGACGTCTGTAGAGAAACTGTTGTCCATTACCTCCGTGATTTGGGCTTCCGATTGTACTATGCAGCTCACAAACCCGCTCTTACAGCCACTCATAAGAAGAATCGCTTGGAGTGGGCTCATGACATCTGATCAGATGAATCCCACTATACTGTCGAAGGAACCGATGGTGGTGCTAGAGTTCTTCGAAGACAAGGTGAGTGTTACGAAGAAGGACTCCCAATTCCTACAACTAAGTGGAGAAAGAGGAGTGTTATAGTTGGGATTGTTTCTGGAGAGGTGATGTTGGCCCTCTTGTGACTATAGAAGGTTCTATGGATCAGGCTAAATATAACGAAGTTTTGTCAGAGAAATTTCAGTATTGTCTCATAGACATACAGCCTCAGGATGGCTCGCGGTTTCTATTTCAAGAAGATGGGGTAACATGTCATACTGTTGCTGTAGCTCGTAGTTACACACGTCAAGAGGTTTGAATACTGGTCTGCTCAAAGTTCAGATTTAAATCCCATTGAGCATCTATGGTGGACGCTTGAGCAGAAGACGTAGCATCAAAAAATACTATTGAATTGAAGCAAGTGCTGTTGAAGGAATGGAGTAAGATTAGTAATGATCTGTTGATCCGTTCGGTTGATCCGTTCGGTTGACAGCATGAAAGACAGATGTTAGGCTGTCATTGATGTCAAAGGCGGTCATACTCATTGATTTTTCTACTATTTCTATTATTTCAAAACAAACATCTCAACACATCATCGACAAAGAACTGAGCGCGTTTAAGTATATTAAAGGGCTCTTGGATTATTTCAGGTCAGTGAATGACACGTACGTAGTAGTGTCCTCTTTCTCTTGTTACGCGTCTTGTTTACCTTATTTTGTACTGCGTCATGTGACCATTTCATTAAATGTTTAAATCTACATGTATGTTTTCAATTCTCACCTTACTCTTTCTTATCGCGTCTTCAAATGTTTAGTAGCTATATACACAACAACCAAACATTCAATATATACCAAATCAACAAAAAGTGCAATTATGAAGATAAAGTAGCTGACTAGTTCTTTAACAAAGTACAGATCTTAACTGATCTTGTTCTTTAGACAATCATTCTTCATCTGTCAAGTTGATATTTCCTTAAGGTTTGTGTTCAATAATACAGGTCAGGTGACGATAGAATATTTTCTAGCCAATGATATTACTGGGAAAATATTCTAGAAGGCGGTGGCGTCTGTGTTTTAATATTATAAGTCTTTGATAAATAACTTATAATCATCAACAACACGGTATTTATACTTTTCTATTCTATACTAAAATATCTATTCTATCACTAATAAAGCAGGAAGTAATTATATCCTTCAACTTGATTGATTATTTCTTTTTCGACGAATGCCACGCAAGCTCGGTGTCTCTTAAAGGCAACTTCCTTAAGCGTAATAGATTCAGTCTAAACTTCTTTCTTTTCTTGTTTGATATTTGAGGTTTAAACCTTCGCTTATTTAGATTGTAACTATAAGGAAGATTGTACTCAACTTCAATTGGTTGTTTTCGCTCTATGTCGCTTTTTTCTACGACACATCTTCTCTGTCAGATCCTGATGTTAAGCGAAAAAAAACTCAGCTACTTTGATGGTGAAATCTTGGGATTTTGTTCGGATTGGATTTTGAGATAGAATTTAACTAGTTTGTTATATTTTGTTGATAATATAGTAAAAGCTTTATTGATATAAGTATATGATATAATTGATAATGTAATATTGAGTTATCTTACTTTTTCTAATTCTCGAGTAATGCTTGAGACAAAATCCGAAGAAAAAAAATAAAGTGATAGGATAGATGATAATTATATAAAAAATTGAAGGATATGTGTAACAGGTACACAACAAAAAAAGAAAAGGGAAGACAGAGACAACTCAAAGGTATACTAAGTACACACTATTTCGCAATCTTTCAATGGAAAAGGAAACAAGTCATGGAATCCCGTAACTAGAGTAAGTCAGCCCATAGCTGTATCGGGAGTAGAGACTCACGTCTTTTTTTTTTTTGTAAGCTGTTCGTTGGTGACATAAACATTACAGATGCTTTGAATAAGTTTAGAGAGGGAAACGTACAACTTGCTGAAACAAAAAACCACCTGAACTCAATCAGGCTATTGTGAGTATCAAAAGATTTTTACGGTAAATTTTTCTTACTGATTTTGACTTGATTATGCGGGATAGGTCTCTCTCTCATATATTCCCAGTTAACAGATTCAGAAAAGACAATTGCTTGACAAGCTACTTGGACATCGAAGTAGACCATGCATTAAGGTAATTTTCTTACAAAGATGTCAGACTGGAAAAGGTATCAAGCAAGTCACTTGGTTATGTGAAGGACATACTCGATGTAAGTAGCATGCATTATTACGTTATCACAGAAAGGGTTTACTTTGACGCCTAACAATACTTGTAATACAGACCTACAATGATGGTGGTGACTTATCTAAGATCACATTTGAAGCTGAAAATGAATTGGAAGAATCCTTGGAAAACGTATGCAAAACAATGATTAGTCCTAGAAGCCGCATTAATGAAAGATCTGAAGCAAGCTTTTTCAATCAATACCTAATGCCTTTTATGAATGAAGTTGTCTTAGAAGGAACTGGCGATGATACTGTCTATTCTTTGTAAGTTTATTCTTTGTACTTCCATTTAAAATATGAAATTAATGTACTGTTTCTCTTGTAGAATTGATGGATCAGAAAAGAAAAAAGCAAAAAAGCCAGACTTTATGCTGGGTATTAAAGATCGTAAACGAGATGTTTACTTCTTCTACGTAGAGCTCAAAAGACCGGCTTGCAAAAGTGTATACCAAGAAGAAAATGACTTTGTTAAACTTTTGAAGATGATGAAGGCTTCTATAGACTATCAAATAACATTAGGGATAAGAAATCCCAAGTCTTTTGGACTCTTATGTGAAGATAAATTGGATGTTATTCATGTTTAGTAGCCTATATCATCATGTTAACCTCAATTGTGTAATCAAACACTTAAAGGCTTTAGCTGTTCCTTTTACCAAATGACTTTACTAGAAGAAGGTCTTTATATTTCCACTTGTTTGAGACGTTTTCAACTGGTTAAAAGTCAGAGCATGATCCTAAACGTGATTCCAGCAATAGAAGTCTTCCGCTTTATAAAAGTATGACAACTAACACCCATGCTAAATTTTACATTCATTTACTGACAACATTCATAATACATATTACAGGATGAATTATATCTTTTTAAAAATAAGTATAAATCCAGAAGCAAGAAAGATAAGGACGAGTTAAAGAAGTTTGTCTAGTTCTCTTTTTTTTACCAAATTCAATAAATAGTTAATCCTTTTTCTTTGTAGAGATACATTCAAAATGTTTTACTTTACCCTTTATAGAGTTTTCCTAACTGAATGTATCTCAATTGTTTTTGATCGATAACTGCCTTAGATTTATTGTTTGTGCATAAAAACTATCACTACTTGGTCAGAGGTGTTCAGAAGAGTAAATTATTTCATACCAGCGCTTTTATTGATCCCTTGTTGCCTCTTAAAAAAACCAATGAATTACTCAGTTTGCACCATTAAGAAAATGAGGCATTGAGGACGCATGTAGCTACCTTTGTTACCGCCAAAGCGAGAGCATCAAGCGCGACTTGACAGATCCTTGGGTCGACGCGCAATGACGATAGAAAAAGAGGTCAAAAAGTACATTGAAGGGTGTAGAAAAAGGGGCTCACAGGCGATACAGAGTATTCAGAAGGTGTCAGTTCTCTACAGGCAATGTCCCAACAACAACCTTTTCATCAAAAAAAATGATACCCATCTCTTCCTCTCATAGCCATGCCAGCAGAGAAGAAAGGAACCCTTGCTACTATGCAACTTGGAGCGACAAGGCCATAAATACGAATATTGGCGTTTGTGGAGAAAATAGAGAATTTCAACAATCAATTTCACTAAGTTTTTTTTTGCCTTCTCCAAATCCTTCTAATTGGCTGGAATCGAGATGAGAAAGCTCGAATCAAAAATGGCAGCTTGTTTTTAGAGGATGAAGAGTAGTAATGTTTGCTGCTTTACATTTCCAAATAGAATTAACGATTGTATTCCTTTTGGAGAAATAGTTTGAAGCTTTCACTTAGAATAGAAGCTAAATTGCTATATTGTTGATGAAATAAGTTTACAGTGCTACCAGCGGCATATGATGATGGCAAATATGTACTTGAAGAAGAAAACAAAATTATTTACTGCTGTATGCTTACAGCAACGCAGCTTTCAAGAAAAGTAACACTGTGCGAGCTCAATTTTGTGAAAGCGTAGTAGTTCACATACATGAATTGAAAGAAGCTTGACAGAAACCTCTCAAATAGGCAAGAAAGTATTAACACAAGCAAAGTTTATTGAATATGGTCAAAGCCAAGATCAATGAATTCACTGGCTGTAATTCACAATCCAGCGTAATAATGTCTATATAATATATTTCTCACGATAGCTTTACATATACTCGACATAATTTTCACTTTCGCTTTTTTGTATTTATTTTCTTCTATTCAAGATCTTAAACCATGATCAAGACAACTGTTATGAGCCACCACTCTGCAAAAGAGGAGCGAATCGAGATAGTAGAAGAACATGGTATACTTAGTCCTGAAGAAGAAGAGCTCAAAAAGCAAGAAAGCAAGCTGAATATTGTTCAGGAACTCAGAGACTCAAGCGAATGGTATGAAACAGTACCTCACAATTATCTGAGTCGCTCGGCATTCGAGCATTCTTTGACAGCAAATACACTTCGTGGACCTCATAAAATCCTACGTCGTCCACTCAAATTCTTCAATGAAAGCAAGACAGAATGTATCATTATTATTCACCTTGGAGATCACCTGTAAGTAAACCTCCATTGATAAGTACATGATTGTTGTTGCATATGGCTACTACATCCCATTACTTTTTTTTTGGGTGGTATATGTAACATGTTGGGGTAGATTGTAAAAAGATCATTGGGCAAGATTTTTTTTTTTTTTTTTTTGGATGTTAAACAGTATATAGGTGTGGAAATAATGGTATGGTTCACAATGGTCTCTTGGCTACTTTACTTGATGAACAATTGGCTTTTGTGGTAACACTTGAATTCAACAGGTCTTGAATCTCATTTTTTCATATAGACATTACCTCATTTACCCGGTTTTACAGGCTTTACAGCTAATTTAGACATCAGCTATCTACAACCTGTTTATCCAAATCAATGGATCATTATCAAAGGTATCTTGAATAGAATTGAAGGAAGAAAGGGCTATGCAACTGCTTGGATAGAAGACACAAGAGGTACAAAGATAACAGAGTCTAAATCATTATACATTAGTCCAAGAAAGTAACTCCCCACATTCAAGAATAAAGAAAAATTTTGGCAGCACCCAAATGCTGGGGGAATCTGAGTTACATTTTTCTCTATGCTTCAACCAGAAAGAACCTTTTTGAATACAATTGAAAGCGGGACCTGCGTTTTGAACATATCAATTCCCGATTTATTTCGAGACAATATAAAAAGAACTTTATTTCAGCAAAACGAACCCTTTTTTCTTCTTTTCTACATCAACATGGACGTAGATCAACTTAAGCCAATTCCCGGTATCCCTTTCCCCGAATACTATGAATTCTTCATGGATTGGAAAACACCTGTAGCCATCGCTACCATCTATGCCCTTACTGTGCATCTTCTTAACCCTTCAGCTGAATCTGCTAAGCTTTCTCGAGTGGAAGCCAAGAACCGTGGTGTAAACAATGCTACCAAGTCAAGCAAGTTGATGACTGCATTTGTCTTTGTCCACAACTTGATTCTTTCTATTTATTCTGGTGTCACTTTTATTAGTATGGCCATGAACATGCACAAGCTTTTCAACCGTGGTTCATCTATTCATGATGCTGTAAGTATAACTTATTTAAATATGGAGAAGTTTGTTCATTTGACTTGATAGTACTGCGATATGGATGGCTTTTTATGGAATGAAGGTCTTGGTTACTGGGGTTACCTCTTCTATCTTTCCAAGTTTTATGAAGTAATTGATACTGCTATCATTATCATGAAGGGTCGTCGTTCTTCTCTTTTACAAACCTACCATCATTCAGGGGCTATGATTACTATGTGGTCTGGTATCCGTTATCAAGCTCAACCTATCTGGATCTTTGTTGTCTTCAACTCTTTGATTCACTCTATCATGTACATGTATTATGCTATGACTTCCATTGGCCTCCATCCTCCTGGAAAGCGTTATTTGACTAGTATGCAAATCTCTCAATTTTTGGTTGGTATGTCTACTGCCGTCAGTTACTTGATTGTTCCCAACTGTCTCAAGACTCCTGGCCAACAATTCGCTGTTGCTGTCAATGTTGGCTATCTTTTGCCTCTTACTTATCTCTTTGTTGACTTTGCTCGCAAGACATATGGTAACCGTAAGGCCAAGAAGACTGATTAAACTCTCTAGATAAGGGTTCCCTCTCTATTATCTTTGACACGCATACAGCATATATATTCATTTCAATTTAGATATATTTCTTAGCCAGGAAAAAAAAACTCATTATTTATCTATATCTATTATCATCTCTTTCAATACTTGTAACATATTTCATCAATAAAGAAAAAAAATTTAAATAAACCCAACATTTGTTGAAGCATAACTGTGATACTATATTATTAATATCATGTGCAAATACAGAGACATTCAATGTCGCACAGTCAAACTACACACACACACACACACATCTTTGAATTCTGGTTTGATCCTTCTGAATGGGTTTTTGTGGGGGATCATTTTTCTTTTAGACAGAAACCTGCTTCATATCATAAATCAAATTGTTTTTTATTTGCATGAATATCTTATGGGACAAGCAATGATAAACATATGACAATCAAGCGTAGCCAATTGACTGATTGACTGAGCTGATCCTTTTAAGGCATGCTTGAATGAAACTGTAACTCTTGTACCACGTATGTTGATGGCTGAAGCTGGCTTAGATCAAAAAAAGAAGAGCAAGCCATTTTCTCTCTCTCTCTCTCTCTTTCTTTTTTTTCTTTAATCTCTTCATGTTTGTATCAGAGGCTGTATCCACTGCTATTTTCACTATCACACGTTTACTCTATGATGCTACATTGGGTGTACTGGCTCTCATTCTGTTTAGTAAGCTTCCAGGTGGATCCAGTACTAAGTTCTGGTACGAGCAACCTGATCTTGTAGGCAAATTGACTTCCCTATTCCAACCATCGGGTCCTACAGGAAGACAAGGTGTCAAATCCACCAATGCTGTTGGTGTACTATGTTTATTTCTCGCATTGGCACTCAATATCCTGCCTACCATACTCAGTAAACTAAGTCCGATTCGAACGATAGAGATTCCTGGAGAAACCAACGCAACCCTATCGCCTATCTCCAGGCTTTTTATACCCACATTAACTGACATCAGCTTGCCACAGATGTCTGTTCCATCCACATCAAAGCTAGCCACGACAAAATTCTTATGCAGTTATATCAAAAACGGATGTACAGATGCCAAGAATAATACAATCGCTAGTATCATATGGGATCCTGTAGAAATCAGACCCTTATCCATATTCCATAATGCAAGTGATACAGACGATGGTGATGTCAGCAGCTTACTTGTCTCTTTTAATGATACTTTTGCCACGTCCACAACACCACAGCAGTACCTACAGCTGGCCAAAAATACCTTTGGTGCTCAGCTGAATTACACGGCTGCATTGTCGTTCAACCATTGGCTCAACAATAACCTAACAGGCTTTTATACGCATGCGCAGACAACACAAGACACCAGCCTTACCTCAAGCAAGTATGATCTTTTGCACGGTGATCAATTCACACCTCTGAATACACCTGATTTGTCTGATCTGTTGAGACAAGGAAGAAGAAAAGGAGAAGGTATACCTACGCAAGGAGCTATAGATCGAGCCGAACGATGGAGTGCCATTCATCGAACAGCCACGCTTTCCAGTGTACTATGGCAATCTGTCAATGCCCATGCAGGAGAATCAGGAAGTGATTGGCAAACAGCCTGTTTCTTTTGTCAATTGATAGGCATACAGAACAACTCTGTGGAAGCACAGACCATTCAACAAAGCCTACTGATGAATGCAACCAATACATTTGCCATTCAGTCTTATGTCGATCAAGAGTATCGACTGTCTACCGTACTTTGCCTTGTGGAAGCCAATGCAACCAGTGGAGGTATCTCTTATTGGTGCCTTCATACCTTTTCACAGCTTTGGAATGTCTATCATGAGCATAACCCATATGCTTTCTTTGGCAGCTACGATGATTCTGCTTGGGGAACAGAACAAGTCTCTAGCCAATCAAGTACGCCCTTTCCTTTCTTCCCTCCACCTACGCATCTGACAACCAACCGTACGTATATACCCATTGTGCCGATTTTTGAAATTCGAAGCAAAGACCAATGTGATGCTGAATGGGATTATCATACGCAAACTATTCAAGCATGGATCACGCATTGTGCAGATAACAATATGGGTCAAGTCAGTATCGCTAACCTGAGTCAGATCGCATTGAATATCTGGCAATTAAGCAGCACCATCACTGTGGGCGGCTTTCTAGTGACAGCACAGTATTTTACGCATGAAGTAGGGATTGATATTGGTTTAGCTGTTCAGGTTGTGATTGGTGTGGGCATTGTACTCTGCTTGTTTGGGCAGATCATTCTTCATACTATGATAAGCCCTCTTCATCGACAGTCTCTCTATGAAACTATCCGTGTGATGGCGCCTAGCTATAAAGATCCTTATAGTTTGCAAAAAGTGTTGTTTCATATGGCACCTACCAATACACTTCAATTGGTCGATTCTAACTTTGATAAAAGGATTTGTTATTTAAAATTAGACAATGATATTATTGTGACATTGCCTGAAGAACAAGCCAGCCTCGATGATACTGACTCACAAAACTGGTCCAAGAGACAATTACTTGGAAACTTTTAAATAAACTATTACGTCATTTTCATGCCAGTCTTCATGTGAAAGGGCTCTTTTTTTTTTTATCCTTTTTTGTTTTTTTTTTGTTTCGTTATGACAAAACCAGTAGTAGACAAACAATCAACAGGTGCTTCTACAGCACTAGAAACCAGTTCAAAAACCCATAGCTTTACTTCCCCTCAAGCCATACCCACGCTGGATCAGATTCCAATACCTGTACTCAAGTTACTTGTGAGTTTAGGGCCTACGTTGCGTCTTGCAGCTCGGTGGGTGAGTGTATTGCAATGGCAATCCAGTCCTCGAGACTCGTTTTTAGTGGTCCTGATATGGATCTGTCTCTGTTTATGGACTTGGCCGCTCTTGACGTTCGGCCTACCTTGTCTTATTCTTTATCAACTCAGCCATCATTGGCTTTCTATACGTACCTTGCGAAAGAAACGAGAAGCACTCGAAAAGAAACGACAAGAACAGCCACCAGAACATGACGAGAGCGAAGATGAAGATAAACTACAACAAATTCGAAAAGTGCAAGCACAAGATGAATTGATCTCTCGCAAAATACAACACGAGGACCATGTATCGCTGGACGATACACTGCAAGATATACAGAAAGTCAATCAGTTTGTTGAATCTATCAGGCATCAGCCGTCCATGACGCAATGGTTAAAGAACAAACCGGTCGTGTTTGTCTTGACTGTGTTGATGTATGCGTGTCCTGTATGGTGGGTTGTGTGTTACCTGTTGGGTGTCCATGGCGTGTTGGCTGTGATGGGTGCATGTGTGTTGCTGAAACCCTCTGGCTATGTACAGTTGGTCTTAAAGATGATGCAAGAGAATGCTATTCTGAGACAAGTGATGGCTGCCTTATGGGCCTATGGTGTTGCTTGCATTACCACTGTTTTTTCAACACGACGACGACAAGGATGGAAGAGTCGGTTCGCTGGTTTCTTTGATCGCGCTAAACAACAGAAATCAATAGCATTGGATACACTGACCAGTAAAAGCACAGAAGATCAAGATGCATCACGTACTGAAATGATCTTTCAATTTGAAGTCTATGAAAACCAACGATGGTGGCTAGGTGTCAATTGGACCACCAACATGATGCCTAGTGAACGTGCTCCTTGGACAGACAACCAAATGAAGCCCATTAGCTCTAAAGAAGATGTTCAACTCCCTGAAGCCACCGTCAAGACAGAAAAGAGTCGCACCATCAACAAGATATGGAGTTGGGCTGATGGTGATTGGTGGGTGGATATGACAGGTGAATTACAGAATAAAGTGGACCATAATGGCTGGGAGTATGGCAACAATGCCTGGAAACAAACAAGTGGTACACCTGGCATACAAACATTTACACGAAGACGAAGATGGTGTAGACGAGCAAAACTTGTTGAGCGTGAAATCGTGACACCTCATCATGACAAAAAAAATGCATAAACTGAAACAATCAATCATGATGACATCAATCAGATCAATAAATATAGCTTGTCTTTTTTTTTAATCATTTTTTTCTTCTTTTTTTTTTTTAATTATCATGATGAATTTTGTAAAGAGAAAGACAGGCGAACGTTTACATGCTCCTGAAATTGCGAGCACAGTAAGAACAAAGGGAACAGAGCAAATCAATAGTTTGCAACACAAACATCCTTATTTAGACAACACTTTGCCTTGCAGCATTAGTGAAGAAAAGAAAGAAAAGCATCTTGAGCGAATTGAAAGATTATCTCGCTGGTTAGATGATGCAGTTCCTCATTCGCCTATTCCTCTAGGTGTAGATTCATTACTGGTAAGTCTACTTTCTATCTTGATATCATTGCTTAAGTTTATTAGGGTTTTATTCCAGTCATTGGGGGTGTCATAGGCAGTTTGTTTTCCTTGTATCAAAGTAAGTGAAATGCACATATACTGCTGCTGATTGATTTAGTCTATCTGTCAACACATTTTGGTATTCCTCTTTGGTTATTGGTCCGTATGCTCTATAACACCATAATTGATTTCTTATTTACTTTTATTCCGATGGTGGGTGGTATTATCCATATGTTTTACAAAACAAACACATACAACTATCAAGAACTCTGCCAATGGCTAGAACACCCGGAACCACCTACTTATGCTGAGAAAGTGAAAAATGAATCCAGTGTGTCTGTTACTTCTTCTGCGCCTACGATGGTGACATGGCGTCAAATAGGCCACGATGTGCTTCAACTGGCTTCAAAAATGAGCGAAAAAAAACCGGAATGAATATATATATATATATTTTAAACTTTATTGGTATCCATGAAATAAATATGCAAACTGATGCATTCAATCTTGTCGTAATAAGTCTTCCAACTCGTCTTCATCTGTCACGATTTCTTTAAGAATCATCATCAGAATAGACAAATCACCACCAGACCGCTGCCAGAGATGTCGGCGAAGTCGTTCTAGACGTAACTGAGCCCTTTTATCTGTACTTAGGACGATTTCTTCTTTTGCCTCACTGATTAGACATTGTAGATGGATAGGCAATGTACACATACTGTCCTCATCATGAACAATGGATAAATAAGCACTCATGTCAGGTGCTGTCATGAGATTCAGCAAGTAATTATAGCGATAGACGCCTTCTTCTTGTTGTTTGTCTATTTCATTATAAAAGGGATTTAAGAGTTCATTGTGGTGTTTACAATAAGCACAAGAAGCACTATAAGGATGTTCTGAATGATATTCCATCATTTTAAAAAGAAGAAAAGAAATGAAGAAAAAAAAAAAAGAAAAAAATTTCATTTTATCATTGATTGGTTTGCGTTTGATTTATTACCCCGCACTGCTTTTACCATTTTAACCTAAGAAAGCTGATTGGTATGGCTTTTATTATTTTCTGCATTCCAAAAGAATGAATGAGTTGTAAGGTTTAAGTCATCCCATTTCTTGTTATTCATGCGATAGGATTTAAACTTTTATCCTCAATTCATACTCCGTTTTCTCTCTTTTTCTCTCTCTTTTTTATGCCAATTCAAATACTTGATACATATACAATACAAAACTTAAATTCTGGACAAGTTATTGTAGATATAGAGACTATAGTAAAGGAGCTATTAGAGCAAGTACTTACAGAAAAAAAAAAGAAGAGAGAGAGAGAGAAACGATAATATCTCATCAAAAATCCTTTAGAAATGCGATTGATGCTCATGCTACACAGATTAAATTGACACTCACAGAACAAGGACTTGAGTCTATAGAGGCAAGTCAAAAATGAAGATGAAAGACTAAACAGTGACTAGATTAAAGACAATGGGTCTGGCATTGAACAAACAGACCGTATGTATATGGCAAGAAGGCATTACACTTCTAAACTCACTACGTTTGACGATCTGGAGAGCCTGACAAGCTATGGATTCAGAGGAGAAGCATTGAATTCAATCTGTGCTGTATCCCAACAAGTCATCCTGACCACAAAAACAACGTCTGATCCCATAAGTAAACAATACACACTGGATCAGGAGGGTTGTGTCTTGCATGAAAAAACTGTCCACGCCATTCCTTCTTGTGGCACACTCGTACAAATACAAAAGCCGTTTTTTAGAATACCCGTCAGACGTCAATTGGCTACAAAAAACAAACAAAAAAGTGTTCGCAAAATACAAGACATGCTTGTACAATACGCACTTGTGGTACCCAACATTCGATTTGCACTGAACAAAGAATGGATTAAACCGGCTACTGCTACGCTCACAAGCACTGTCAGTCTATTGTTCCCTCATGTATTAAGCCAAATGATGGCAGAATACATGGAGGAAGAAGGAGAGATAAAAGTACATGCATTACTTCCTAAGCCTAATTCAGATCCATCGGTGGTCTATAGACAAGATAAAATGTTTATTTATGTCAATCATCGACCTATTCACTATATCAAGTCTGAACTCAAGGAATTAATACACACCATCAAGACAAAATACAATCAAGCATCAAAATACAATGATCAAAAAAAGAACCCGTTTGTGTTTATGGATATACAGATACCCCCTAAAGAATACGATGGTAAACCAAACAAGAATGTACAATGTATTCATCCTGATAGTCAATATTGAACCCAACAAGTCTACTGTTCTTTTTCATCACAAGGAACTCATTTATCAATTAGTGGAGAACAAGATGCTTGATGTACTTTATCCCACTGTGTCTAATGAGTAAGGTCGTTTGGTTTTATATGTAAACTAACAGACATAAGGAAGCAGACCAATGATTGGGTATTCAGTATGCAAAATGAAGTGCCTGCTGATCAACAAACACCACATCAGATGACATCGATACTTCCCATGGTGGAGTCTACAGTACCAACAAATGACAAACAAGCAAGGATGGATGACTATCTCAAGCCAAGAATAAAGCATATACAAGACAGTGTCATAAAGACTACAACTCAAAAGCCTTTTCAGGCACTACTCACGCCTGTTCACAAGTCAACCGTATCAGCTCAAACATTAACTGTACCTATTCAGAAACCTTTGATTTGTCCTTCTGTCATTCCTCAAAAAAGACGACAAAATGAGACCCCACTTCATCAACAACTCCAAGTGATATCGACTCCTCGTCTGCAAGATATTCAACACACTTTTCATAGGACAAAAACTCGATTTGACAAAACGCATCGAATCAAGATTGAAGACTATTTAAAGTATCATACGACACTTGATACACAAGTACATGTTCATCCTCATTTAGATGTTCAGGGAAAACAACTTACGTTTTACACAGTCAACGATGTCCATCAACACATTGTAGAACTAGGCTTATTTAAATCTCAAGAGTAATGTTCTGTCAAAACAACGTACATACTAATATAACATATGCCTATAGCATATATATCAATGATCGTATGAAACAGTTGCTGGTAGACCACAAAGTCATTTGTAAAAAGTTATTATCAAGACCTGTTCAATTTCAATTAAGGTAAGCAACTAAAGAAGATACATGATTGCTTATTGTATGTTGATAGTAAACAAGATCCACTGTATGACATCATATTCTCTATTGAATCTAAAGAAAGTGTTGTCAAGAATGATTTACATGGTCATACAAACATAGTCTATCATGATATGGTAGATGAAGCTATTCTCTTTAATGGGTTTAGAGCAAGATGGCGAAAGGGCAAGTGTGAGACTGCTTATGTCTTATAGACTAATTTGCAGCAATAGACAAAGAGCATATCGTTGTTCAATTGACAGGCATTGAACAAAGTATTCCTGACTATAGCACAGAAGACTTGAGAGAACTCTTGTCTGATATGACAAAACGACCTAAAAGACTACAACGCTATTTATGGAGTCTTGCTCAGCAGCAATACAGACAAAACACAAAACATGCTTTAGACTCACTTGTATGGCGTGATATGCAGGATGTAGACTGGGAGTTAGGACTCAACTATGATCAAACTCAAGTATTAGCTTGTAGACTGAGTGGATCCAGATATATATGTGATTTAAATAAATAAGTTTATTGATGAGATAGATGGTTAGGTGCAATATAAAGTGCTTCTTCTTCTTGTTGTGGCGGTATGGCATTCATACCACTGCCGTCACTTTTGGATCGTTGAAGCATACGACTCATCTTTCTAAAAAGTTTGTTGGGCACAGAAGATTTACGTTGGATACTGGATTTATGGCGCATATGGTCCAAGACAGTATTAACAAACGAAGGATTACGCTGTTGTACAGTATGAGTTGATTTGCTCATCACAGCAGAAGGCTGATTGTCATTCATACTGATTAAGGACAAAGGATCTCGTTCTAGTTGATCTTCTAATTCTTGCAATAATTGCAGCAAGAGTTCAGTCTTGGCTACTTCTTGTTCAGATGTCATTCGTAGTTGTTGCTCCTTGACCATACGTGTAGCATACGATAATTCATCTCTATCCAGTACTTGTCTTAATTGTTGCATGGCTACACTTGATTTGATGAGATATTCAAGACAGTTGAGTCTTCTGTACTTGATAGCCTGTAAGACAACAGTGCCTGGCCTTGTGGCTCGACTGACAGAGTCCAAGAAATCACCACGGATAGTCAAGTCGGCTTTGGCTTGGATCAAGTACTCAAATTCACTCACAAGGTCTTGGTTAGCTAGCAATCCAAATATAGGTGCCTTGTGGCCCACATCTGTCAAGTTGACTTGAGCACCACGTTGGATCAACAGTTGAAGTACAGGCTTAGGTGTACGACAGAATCGGGCAGCATAATGTAAGGGCGTCCAACCATCGCCATCAGGTGCATTTGGATTGGCATGGTATGTCAGCAATTGTTCCATGGCTGATAATGGGTCAGTACAGTGCAATGAAACCATATGAATGGCTTGTACGTTGTAAATGTTGCGTGCAGTAGCATCTGCACCATGTTTCAAGAGTAAGTTTAGTGCAGGCAAGATCTGAGTTGTTGCGGCATTGGCAATAAGTAAGTGGAGCAATGTACAGTCTGTGTCAGGGTCTCGTGTGTTCAACAATGTGGCTGTATCGAGTGGTGCATGGTCAATATGGTATTGAAGGGCTTCTATGTTGTTTTGTTCAGCTGCTTTCCAGATAGATAGAGTGGGGCTTGAAGGTTCTTTTAGCTCAATGATGGTCGCTTGTTCCAATGGCTTTATCGTCTCCTCTGCTGCTGCTGCTGCTGCTGCTGTGATTTCTGCTGTCACAGGTGGTGGTTTAATATTGTTAAGGAGGGCAAATGTTTTTGTGAATAAAGTAGGCATAGGTTTAGATAGAGAAAAAAAAAAGAAGAAAAAAGAGAAAAAGAAACAATGGAGATATATACAATGAAAGAGAGCTTATCTTATTCATAAAAGAAACAAAGAGTTGATATCTTCCGACCTTCTTTTTGGTCAAAATACCAATCCATGTTTGCTAGACATTTTGATTGGCCAGTAAAGAGTTACATGCGCACTCGGTCTTGAACAGACCTTTTTCTACCCTTTTTTAATTATTATTACTATTCTCATGGCAAGCAAAGGATTAGAAAAAACACTCGAGAAGCTTCGAAACTCTGTCTATGCAGGCAACTTTTACGAAGCTCATCAGATGTATCGCACTGTAGCTAGAAGGTATATACTTATATGAACGCGTCGTTTTCTTATTGTTTGCTTGAAAGATATAATAAACAAACCAAATACAATGATACTATTCGTTTACTTTTTGATGGTGCTGTTCTCTTGTTGCAGTCAAAACAATATGGTTCTGGTTCTGACTTGGCCAATTATATGATTGATACCTATAAATTGGCTCATGTGCCTGTCGATGAAGCTTCTTTAGGTAAGCAAAAAAAAAAAAAAAAAAAAAAAAAAAAACCATGATGGATCAGGATAGCACTCATTATCTCTCAGGACGTGTTGTGGATATCCTCGCCTTGTTCCCTGTAGATGAAGCAGGTCGGAAAGCCTTTATTAGCAGCGCTTTTAGGTAAGACAAGTGATGGTATTCAAGCATACTTAGAGATCATGTAGATGGACAAAGGCTGATGGTGAATTTCCAGAAGGCGACCCTGAACTTCATCATTATATTGGCACCATGTTCTTTCATGGTAAGTGCATATCATTCTAGAGTATGGCTCTAACATTTCCCTAGAAAAGAAATATAATTTAGCAGAGGATCATTTACTCTTGGGTACACCAGAGAGTGCTAAATTACTCGGTCAAGTTGCTTATGCATGGGCAACGGAAGAAAAAGTGCCAACAAAAGGTATTTTCCTTGCCCGTATGGTATTACAGTAAGTAAAGAGCGATGTCTTCTCTCGACTCATGCTATGATAGATTTTTGGCTGCTAAAGACATTCATCGTGCTACCTTGACATTTTCCAACTTTATTGAATCTGGTGCTCAACCTGTAGCTGCAGAATCCAAAGTACGTCATGCTCCTGCTGATGAACCTAGTCCTGTTCAAGTGTTTTCAGATCCCTGGATGAACTTTACTCAACTTGTGTTGCTTTCGGTTCAAAGAGATGCAGCTGATTTATTCCAACAACTCAAGCAGAAATATGGCCCACTTTATGGCCAAGAAAACAGTTTTGTAGAGGTGAGGTGTATGACGAGAAAAAGAAAAAGAGGGAAGATGACTCATCATTATCTATAGCTTATTGAGGATATTGGTGTTGTGTTCTTCAATATTCCCAAGCCTAGAAAGCAATCAAACATGATTCAAGAAATGATGGCTAGTTTGTTCTCTGGAGGAGCAGAAGGAAACCTTCAATTAGGTGCACCAAAGCCAAACGAAGATCTTGACTAAATAAATAAATAAAATGTATAAATTCTGATTACTGTTTATTATTCATCATCTTCTGATAAATTTCCTCCTGCTTGTTCAGCTTTTCTTCTCTTATCCATTTGGATCAATTCCTCGCCAATAGCTTTTTCTCTATCGTTCAATTCTCTGATTTTGTCTGTTTCTTTGATACATGAAGTCTCAAATTGCCAATCTTCACCTTCTGCAAAATGAGTAAACTTCAAGTAACGATCTTCCCATCTGTTCTTGTCTCTTAAAATACCACCATTCCACCACCAGGGTCGATTATCATTTGTATCCAGGTGGAGTTGATTACCACAGACAGTGCCAGCTGCACCTGCGTCACCTAGGCCGCCAAGGACTGCACCATAAGATCGAACAAAAGCATAAGGTGCTTGAATCATTTCATAGCCAATCCAAAATGTCTTTTTTTTTTTTTTTTTTTTTTTTTTTGCAAAATACAATGAGTCTATATGTATATATCGCTATGATATTCTTCATACCTCTTTATCACCATGAGAGTGTCTATAAGACACTTTATCTCTCTCTTCCTTGTCGTTCAATTTACATGTGGACAATAAGCCAAACAAAGCCTTTTTCTTATTCATCACAGCAATTCCTGACTCTTGTTCGTGGGTTGAAGTTGTTTTCCACCATCTCGATTGTTCTACATAGGTACTATAGGTAGGTAAGAATGATTTAAGCCATGGACGACCTTCGTAAAAATTGTTGAACAAGGTACGATCCAAAAAGAATAATGTACCGGTGGCTTTGTATCCTTCATCTTCAAAAAAAGACTCGGGTTTTTTGAACAAAAAGACATCAGCATCCATCAAAATGACTTCAGAAAATGAAGAAGCAAGCATGGCATACGGCTTGATAGACCAGCCTCCGAATTGAGTATAACGATTATCAATACGCTTAGAAATCTCAACCGTGGATACGTTAGGGATTGCATTGAAATAGGCACGCTTTTCTTCAGACAAGTCCCATTGATCAATGTAAAAGATTTCAATAGGCATATCCGACTTGAGTACTTCACGAATGGCTTGTACAGCAGTCGCTGCATGTTTGAATTGACCATTACCAACGCACATGACAATGCCTTGACGAGGACTTTGCTTCTTGTTGATGTCAAATACGTTTTTCCAATAAGGTCGGATCCAAGGATACAAGATCTTTTCCAAGCTTTCATAAAAGTTCCATACATCTCTATAGGCAGGATCATGCTTGACATCCACTTTGCCTTCAGCAAGGATGGGATCCAAGTATTGAAATAAGGATTTGAATACACGTTCTTGAGTAGTTAATGATTTGAATTGAGGCATATTTTCAGGAATCGTCAGTAATTCAGCCTTAAGTTGTTGGCCTAGAGGCGACTTTAACAACGCCATTGTTTCATCTAGGTAAGAATAAGTATGTGCAACGTGGTCCTTCTTTCCTATACCTTTCCACTCTTCAATAGGCAAAGGAACTGCAATATAATATTTTTTGAATAAATCAGGCTGGGTATTTTCTAATGTGGTTAAATCTATGACAAACTCTATTCAGTATTTTGACCGAAATTATGTTTGATCATTACTTGGTTCTATAATAGCTCTACTGTCTAAAATTCTTTGTTTACGCTCTCTTTCTCGTTCAAGTGCTTGTTCAAGTAACAGTCTTCTCTGCTGTTCCTTTTCTTGCTTGAGAAACAATCGAGCAGCTTCTTGTTCTTGCTCTTTACGCAACACGTTTTTCTGCTCAAGTTCCAGCAAATATCGAAATACGAAACAGAGACAAAAAATGGTCAAAATGATGGAAACAAGTCGAACAAGTCGACCATTCACTTGTGGCTTCATTTGAATCACAAGAAGAGGAAAAAAAGAAGGGAGAAAGAAAAAAAAAGGAAACAGTCGTTAATTAACCTTTCAAAATAAGAACGTTCCAACGTTCAAGTAACACAAGAAAATAACCATAAATTAAAAAAAGGTATCACCAAAATTAAAAGAGAAACAAAGACGCAGGTCCTGTTGACCATATAAATATATACTGTACTGCAGCTATATACATTTGATTTTGGTACTACAAGAAACAGTTTCGATGAAACTTATTCCTTTATTGTTGTATTAGCAGTTTTTGATGAACTGGTTCAGGGACAGAAGTGAAATATGGTTAATAAAGATACGAACAGACATAAAAATGAGCTTATTTTAGTATTCGTCCTCAACTATGTTCTTTCAAGACCAAGACTTTATACAACGATGCTACTTGATGATTTTACCATGGATACCACATGGTTTTATGAATACCAACTTATTTTTTTAAAAAAGAACAAAGGCGTAGTTCTTCTTTTCACTCTTTCTGAAAAGTAAGTCTATCAACCTGAATATCTAATAAATGTCCCAAAAGGTAAAGCACATCATAAAATAGCTTTAGAAGAGCAGTCGGTCTAGAGTTTGTACTCCACTTGTAGCGCTATCTAAAAGTAATTGTCGGGACTATGTTAACAAGTCTTAGCAAGATCAAATAGCCTTTAAAGATTTCCAAAATATCGGTAATGGCTAACTCAATTTAGTGTAAAACAACGGAAGCTGTTCTTTCCCTGTCCCACCATCGGGAATAAATGTCAACAATGACCAATGTGCAAATAAAGAAGGTCATTTATTATATTTTATGCGTTTGCTAAAAGCCAACTTTTATATATTACGCATCATAAAGCCTCTTAACACTATGTCATTTTCATAAGCAAACTTATTTTTGGCTTAGACAGATTAAGTACGATCTCAGAGGGCATCTTATTTGATTAAGTAGTTTGGTATTACACTGCTTGATCATACAATGAAGATTACCAGGTAGATATAGGCTTCAAGAGTGAAAAAAAAAAGACAATAATTCATGTAAATCCTTGTCTTTTTCATAGGCATACAAAGGCTTCGGAAGGCCTGTTTATGTACGCATGAACACTCTAAATACCTTTGAACAATATTGTCAAACATGCATGATGTCTTTGGAGTTGATTTGGACTAAAAAAAGCGACTTGTAAAAAATAGCCAAAAATCACTTTGATCCAAAGGGTACTACTCATAAAAAAACCTCGATTTGACAACCTTGGGTCTCCTTTTTGACTCTAAAGGATGAAAAATGGAGCTATCAATGAGATTAAATACTCAAAATAACCTTCAGACGCTCTAGTTTTTGGTGAATGTGCTTGTTTGCTGATTGCACTATAAAAATGGTATGATATGAACGAAAAACTTCATTAACATTTTTGCGTACTCGCTCAGCATTTTTGCTGTAAACTTGTTAGTTTTTTAATATCAATAGACTAAGAAATCAAAGATTTACAACTTTTGTCACTATAGCTAAGCCCAATAACTGCGTCTTTGTGGAGTTCTAAGCAAAGGCTCGATTTTTGGGTGCGGCGGGATCGAAGAACAGGCATTACGTTCCATTTCAATCTCCGTATACCGCCAATATGTATGTTCTATGTCCATTTATCCCATATTTGCGTTATAAATCGACCCTGCTTTTACTTTCAAATGCTCTTTGGCGCCTTAAATAACATATGATGTTTATTGTAGTCCCATGAATAGCACATTTTACTGAAGATTTAGAGCAAAAACACTCAAAACACAGCTTAAATGCACGATTCTTTGATGGGTCATTGCTCGACAACCAGACTATCAAACCAGTCCGTTTTTTCATTTAAAACATGTTTTCTCGAACTGAGAAATTGAATGGTATTATTGGTCTGGCTGTTAAGCGAAACCCATTTTTTGACCCATGGAGGATCCACGATGGCCCGTGAAGATGAAAAAACAAAACTTATCTGATTTGCCAAAACAACCTTTCTTAGCACCTCGTTTGTGTCGAAAAATACAATGAGTTGATATAGAAAAGCTGTAATTTGGTCAAAAATAAAACTAAATTAACCCGCTCTTTCTTAATCGACTAAGGCGCATCGTAAGCAAAGAAGGTTGTCATGCTTTGACTAACAAAGGCCTGTAGTTTATCAAAGCAGAATACACCTAACACGCAAGGTAGAGAGAAAGATGCTCGGGGTTTGAAATATTGAATCCTCTTTCTACAAGACATCCATTGTTAGTAAACATCATGTAATATAGCAAACATTACTCTTCTGTATTCTTTATGTTGAATGATTTATAAATAAGTATCTACTTAATAGTCAGTATCTACCATGATGGGCTTATTTTGTACTGATTGCAGTGTAAAACAAACTTTGAATGCATATTTGAAGGCAATGCTCAAGTTAAGTCGCTTTTTTCGTCTTAATAAACTCGTTTTCTTTTTGCAAGGAGTACCTAAAGATGGTCTTACCTGATTTCGATTGGATCAGACCTACATCGGGTCACTCCAGAAATTTTCCGATCGAGTTCTTTTTTTTTTTTTCATGAACCTCTCGTGATCCTCCATGGTCCAAAAAAATAAGTACGTCTAAAGATATATTCGAACTCAAAATACTGTCATTGACGGACATCAAGCATGTTTTCAATCTCCACTACTTGGCTGTATACCCGACCAAAAGAAAAAAAGATTACCTTGAGCTTGTTTTCACTTTTAATCGACATGGACGATCCCAATGCAGACACTGAATGGTACTATTGATTTCTAATGTCAGTAGGCTCTAACTGCTTTATTGAAAAGGAACGATATTCTTCGCGCCAAAGGTATTCTCCCTCCCAAAGATGAAAAGAAAGATGATGAACTCGAAGATGCCTTTGTCGAGATGGTTCGCGCTAGACAAGCAAAACTAGATAGCCTTGACAACAAAGATCTCGATGAACTCGATGAACTTGAAGATCTCGAAGACGATCAAATCTTGAACGAATACAGGTAATGTCCATATCAAGCAAGGCGGTCTGCTAAGTTTTGTAGACACAAGCGTATGATGGAAATGCAAGCACAGGCCGCAAAGGAAAAATATGGTGATATCAGAGAAATTTCTAAACCTGATTTTGTTCGTGAAGTGACAGAAGCCAGCAAGGAGTGCTATGTTGTTGTGCATTTGTATAAAGATGCGTAAGTATAGATCATATTGTTACATTCCCCTCTTCCTTACATTACTAGCATTCCTGCTTCCAAGTTGATGCATCGTTGTTTGACTGAATTGGCTCTTCAATTTAAAGCTACAAAATTTGTTCGCATTGTAAGCGACCAATGTATACCAAACTATCCTGATTTCAACGTGCCTACATTATTGATTTATGGTGAAGGTGATATCAAAGCTAATTTGGCGGGTGCTATTCAATTTGGTGGCATGAAAATGACAACCAAAAGTAGGTTTTGATACACAAAGAAGGATGCTGATATTTCATAGGTCTTCGAGCCATTCTGGCTAAATATGGAGCTGTTCCTCCCGAGAAATCAGAAAATGATGATGAAAAGAACAACCAGCCCAAGAAAGCTATTTACCAGTCAAAATATACTGCTGCGCTTAGCAGTGATGAAGAAAGTGATGATGATGATAAGGGTTATTATTAATAAAAACACTTACTTTTATTGGTTGATTCGCGCCAAAGCAAGTGACTTGGATAAAATATGTACATAAAATAAAATATACAGAAGCGGTTCTTTGTATTTTTCTTGGTCTGAATAATGGCTTCAAGACGAAACAATAGTTATGGCAATGGAGTAAATTATAACAAGAACAACACAAGAGGACCATCTCGAGAAAGAAATTATAGACAAAACCCTAAGCATATTGGTAAAGAGGGAAACATGATGACCTTGGTGCTCATCTTGAGTAGAAAGTGATTCTCGAGTCATACAACTCTTGAGCCGTATTTTCAATGACGAAGACGACAATTCTTTTACGCGTCGTGTTGCAAACGCAAACCAACTTTTAAAGCAACTGGAAGACTCTCGCAGCACAATTTCTGACTCACTTGAGTTTCGACAGGAACAAATGCAGCTACTGGACGTTTGTGTTCATGATGAGGGATTGCGCCGCACAATTGAATTCCCTAAAGCACCTTCTGCTTTAAAAAATACATTGATTAAGATTGTATCTGGATTAGCTTGTTATACTCGCTTAGATCTTGCTTTGAGTTGGGTATTTGATAGATTGTCTGTTTGGCCAGCAAGCATGAATGATGTCCATAAAGATCGAGAATGGAAGAAATGGCTTTTGCGCTTATTAAAGCAGGCAAGTTGTGATATTAACATATGCACATAGCCAACTGGTTTACTATAGATACTTGTTGAGTCTGCAGAAGATCAATACACATATAAGCAAACAATGGAAATGTCACCTATGATTTTGGCTGGAGTGATTTCATTTCTTGACACAATGGACTCGCCAGACTATTTACCGATTATTGTAGAGATTCTTGTCTATTTCTCAGAGAGTTGTCAGAATTTGTTTGGACAGCGTTTCAAGGATATTATTGACTTGCTTGTGGGCTGGAATATGGACCCTGAATTATCTGATTCAAAAAGAGCAATTATTCTCGAATCATACACTAAATTCGACATGTATTGGGCTAACTATCTATCTTTTGCTATGGAATTACTATCCCATTTTCTGAATGATATCGCAAGCACCGAGGACAAGAAATTAAAGCAATGTTTGGATATTTTTGGGTAAATCAAGTCAATTATGTATGATAGCATATACTCATGTCATATAGATGTTTTGAAGCCATTCTACAAACAATTAGCCCTTTTCTGGCCAATAGCCAAAGAATGCTTGGATCTGCTATTGATAAACTGCTTGTTAATGTTTTATCATTGACTGATGCATTCAAAGATCACAAATGGATAGATACATGTAAATTTGAATTGTCTTACTATACATACTTATGCTTCTTTCATTAGCCATTACTATTCTTTTGACATTGGCTTCCTTTGATCCAGTTGCCTACCGAACATACCAGTATCAAATATACCATATTATTGTTGAACAACCAATACGTGGTACTCAAGCATTTATGAACACCCTGATGCACTTTTTAGATTTGTGGAACTATGATATAGACGAAAATATCGTATTTCACTTGCTTCAACCTGATACATCTCCTTTGCTTTCACTAAGAAAAGAAGGCAGCCTTATTACATTGGTACGATTTCTTGTTCAGGTGCCTATATCTACAACTATGCGAGCAACTATCAATCAAATGTGCATTAAAGAATGCCAGCACCATCAATTATATATTCAACAGTATTTTGATCAGACAGATGAAGCCTATATATTGAAACGAACGCAAGCCGCTTATAGTAAACATACAAACTTGCTAATCAACAGTCATGAGCAATCAAAAGAATCGACATCAGAAGAAATACTGTTTACATATTTCATGCTACTTACTATGGGCTATACATGGCCAGAACATCGTCATACAAACATGCTCATCTCCACTGGACTACTTTGTGCATTATGGCAACACAAAGTGAATGATGTGTTTGATTCTTGTTTTGATTTATTCAAAACCTATGGGGCTTCGTAAGTGTTGACAGACAGAAACAACGTTTTGCTTATTTTTTTAGCTTGAACTATATGGTGGAAGAACTTGAACTTGAATTTATTGTTGATCTTTTGGACTTTTGGCCAGAATTAAGTTTACAAACAAAAGAATCCATTCATCTATTTGTGAAACATGCTTTGACAGCTCTGTATGACAATCAAGTTGGCATTACGGCTACATTTAAGCTCATCATGGCTGGGTTTTTGCATGCTGCTGGTAGACATTAAGCTATCCTCTAAACATGTTTGACTCATGCGTTTATAGGTGTTGAAAAGGACAATGAGTTAAAGAGTGCACTTCTCAATCTTGTCACTTACTATTGTCAATTGTTTGGTTCTGCAGACATGGTTGATTTAATTCTTAAACATGTCCAAATAAGGTATGAGCAATGTATTGATCATTGCATGTTCAATTTTTGATAGCATCAACAATCCTCATCCTCAGGTCCAAAGAGCAAGTAAAGACTTACTTATTGCTCTTAATCCCTTTGCGATTACACAAGTCCACAAAATCAATGACCCTTCAAGTACATTTGTTCAAAGTCTTATCATGGCTAGTCCACATACAGGATCATTTCGTCCTGTTCATTATGAAATTGCCATGCGGCATTTAGGCATGGCTAGTCAGTTGATTGGATCTGACGAGCAAAACAAACTGACTTATGATCAAGTGCCTTCAGAATGGGCAAGGCGCTTAATTCATTACTGCGATACTTTTGGAAATCTGAAAAATGTCAGCGCATATAGTGAACTCAATCAAGGTAAGTTACCATAAGCCATTTTATTCATTTGTTCACTATGGTATAAGTCAATATCAATGATATCAACAACAGTGAGCCTCTATTGTATTATTGGGTCATGTGGGAATCTGCAAGATATTGTATGTTGTCTAGGCTAAGGACACCTTTTGGAGGACCACAACAGGTAGAAGTAATTATATAGAAACAAGAGTTGATGATTTTATAGACATTTGCAGCATTCGAGCGCATGTTGCAATCACTTTTGTTAAATGAAAAGTAAGCCTAAATATATATTGATGGATCCTATTCTAACACAAGCCTCATAGTACTAACCAAAACCTTGACCATGTTCGCCACCTTTTATTATTGTTGGATCGCCTTGAACTTCAAATATCAAATGCAACAGATGGGTGTGCTACAAACGCTTTACCCGCTGTTCCTCGCTCAAGCTTGATCTTTTTTAGAACAAACAAGAAGACATGCCATGATTATTTTTTGCGTATTCGACCCAACATGATTGCTGGTGCAAAGCTCATAAGCAATGATCACATGTTAATTTATCATACCCAACAAGCAAGTATAACTAAAGAAAAAAAATATCTTGTATCACTAACTGAACAATAGCTTTTGAAAGAAATGGAATCACATATACCTCATACTGAAGAAATCATACCATGGTTCAAAGAACTCAACAAATATATGTGTGATCTAGGTAAATAAGCGTAGAGAATTATCTGCTTTTTTCTTTTCTGACTTTTTTCATTTCGTAGTGGAAGCATGTATTAAAGAAAAGTATATGGACTTGATTTACGGTCTGCAAGCATGGTACAAGAGACTCATTAGAAAAGCAAGCCAAAATATGGCTGAATTTAACGAGAGATGGTCTTTTGAAGGCTTTATTGGTCCTATTGAAAAAAAGGACGAAGACACAAAGACATCGACGACTTGGTTTCAAGTGGCAGCCATGTTTGCTTCAGTAAGTTACTATATAGCAATGACGATGCTGATATCGAAATAGGGTCGAGATGAAGCAGCCATCAAGTCATTGAATGCTTTGAAATCAGTGATCAAAACAGACGATTTTGGGATTCTAAAAATGCTGGAAAAGCATGCTGTTCATTTTTACACTTGTTTGGAAGATTATGATGCACTGCAAAGAATGCTCGATGCTGGATCGACTGTAATTGATGATTTTATTTGCAACAGTTTACGCTCCTTCAATGAAGATAGCCTGACGTCTGCACAATTCATTTCAGCTACAGAACTCCAACATTTCATCCAAGTTGCACCATTAGAATCATGTCTTGAACTTGCCCGTCTATACAAATTTAGAGATTCTATGAACATTAATTTTGATATGAACTCGCATTTGACTGAACGCATCTTACAAACACTCAAAGAAGGCATTTATACCAACATTTCTAGCCTAATTGAACTTCAACTGCTTGAAACTGATGCACATAGCTTGGTTGCCAGTGCTAAAGACTGGTTGAATATGTCATCTGGATACACTTATCACCATTTGCCACCTGATACAAAGCATTGGGCAAGACTTTCGATTGATTTTGAGCGATTGCACCATAAAAATGATCAATTAGACATATCTCACTGTCTTGGATTCGTTCAACTTCATTCAGCTAAAGTAGCTCGTCGACAAGGCAATATTGCTCTGGCTGAAACATTGATTAAGAAGGCTGTTGTCCATGCAGATACCAAATATCTCGCTCTTTACGAACAAACCAAAGTCTCTTTTTTACAATCGGATTATACTGGAGCAATGAAAACAGCAAGTGATGTATTGCTCTATCTGACATCGGTACAAGGCTATGATGAACTCAAAAGTAAAACGTATCTTAAGGTTGCTCGATATTTAAAGAATTGTCCTGAAACTGAAGTGGATGGCCTTTTACAACAATTGGATCCAAGTCTAGTTAAGATGGAAGCAAACGATTTGCAATCATCTGTTGAAGTGTCAATTGATGATGCATTGCAGAAATCAATTGAGAACAATACAGTAGACGGAAGGCCCTGGTTTGAATATGCTACTCATTTCTATAAACAAGGATGGCGCATCTTGGATGAACTTCTTCGACCTGATCTTACAATGCCTATTGTACTATGGGCAAGTGAAAAGATAAAGTCTGTTTTAAAAGATGATTCACTCGATACCAAGCTTATTGAAAAGGTAAAGACAAGTTTCATTCAGAAAAAGAGGACATTAATTGACTGTATATAGACCATCTTCAATCTGCTTTCAAAGTATTCAACTAATTTTGGAGAAAAGAAATTAGGATCTTCTGGCAGCTTTGTTGCTGAATTGCATCAAATTACACCTTTCTTGGACAAATCTAGTGAAGGAGTCATTATAGAAGCATTGGATGTCTTACAAACGACCATCGTTTCTAAATTTCATGCTTCTACAGAAGCTTATTTTCGCTACCTGTCATTAGACATTCATAACAAAAACGTAAGCTCATACAGTCGTCTCTTAATATACGCTAACACAAAGTTATGTTTAGTCTGAGAATAACGAGCATATCAGTTCTACTTCTATGGTGATTACAGCTACACTTCGTCTTTTACGTATTCTTACACGGTATGGAGAGTCTTTGCGGTCGCTATATACAAAACACATCAATATTGTACGCATTGATCTTTGGAAACCTGTCATTCCCCAGCTGTTTGCTCAATTAAATCATCCCAATGACTTTGTTCGCTCAATCATCAGCAAACTTATCAGTCGTATCTGTGATGAATATCCTCGAGAAATCATTTATGATGTGATTGTTAACTCTACTTCTACAAAGACAAACCATAGTACAAAACAGAATTTGACAGCCATTGCTAACCGAATGATGGACAGAAACGAGCTATTGTGGGTATCTACAAGTCGTATGGCAGAAGAACTCGAGAAAATCACTGTATTATGGGAAGAAAGATGGTTAAATAAGATTGCTTCGTTACAATATGATGCTATGCAGCAATTCACAAAACTGGATCAAGAAATTGAACGTCTTTCAAAGAAAGATGAAGCTGCTCAGTCTGAAAAGAGTTTTCTGGAAATATACGAAAGTTTGATGAAATTCGTTGTAGCTTCTATCGATAAACTATTTGAAGAAACAATGCAACAAGATACAACTGTTCTTACACCACATGAAAAATGGTTCCAACAGACGTATGGCAAGCAACTGACACATGCTTATGAACTGCTTCAAAAGCCCACTTGTATGAAGGAGTATCGTCAAGGTTGGGAATGTTTCCAAAAAGTAAGTTTCTTTGTACTTGTGCTGATTGCTCATTGTTGCTTTAGCTTCATCGACAATTAATGGCAGAAACACACAAATTCCGTATTCTGGAGCTTGATCAAGTTTCTCCATACTTGTACAACATGAAGAACACTCCTATTGGTATACCAGGTCATCATGAGACAAATGCTTCATGTCGTATTGATTCTTTTGGGACCAATGTCATCATTCTTCCTACAAAGACCAAGCCAAAGAAACTCAATTTGCGAGGTACAGATGGTGAGAAATATCCCTACCTCTTTAAGGGCCTTGAAGATCTTCATTTGGATGAACGTATCATGCAACTCTTGACTACTACAAACGGCCTTCTTAGTGAAAACGGTGCTACAGCACTCCGAGGCATGCGTGCAAGGACGTATGCTGTTATCCCGTTAAGTGATCACTCTGGTATGATCCAATGGGTCAATGAAGCAACTCCACTCTTTGCTCTATTCAAAAAATGGCAAAAAAGAGAATCCACTGCTCATATGCTCTTAGCAGGCGATAATAAGCCTAACGAAGCCTACTTGCAAAGCCTGATGCAACGACCTACAGAGAACTTTACTGCCAAAGTAGCTTCTGTCTTAAAATCAGCAGGCTTACGTGTTACTGCCAACAGACGTTATTGGCCAAAAGATGTATTGAAAAGAGTCTATCTTGAATTGGTCAAAGAGACTCCCGGCGATTTGATAGAGAAAGAAATCTATTATTCAAGTTCAAGTGCAACAGAATGGTACAAGAAGAGTACTTCTTTTGCTCGTTCTTTGGCTGTTACTTGCATGATTGGCTATATTATTGGTTTGGGCGATCGTCACTTGGATAATATGATGGTTGATTTTCGTTCAGGGGAAGTCATTCATATCGACTATAATGTGTGCTTTGAAAAGGGCAAGAGGCTACGTGTGCCCGAACTTGTGCCTTATAGATTGACTCAGAACTTGTATGGTGCTCTTGGTATCATAGGTGTGGATGGTCCATTTAAAGCAGCTGCTGAAGAAACGTTGCGTGTTCTGAGAAAACACAAAGAAGTGTTAATTACCCTATTAGATGCATTTGTGTATGATCCATTAGTTGATTGGGAAAATGGAACTGTGGAAGCAGGATACAGACAAGTGATGGAACTTCAAGCTAATTTAGGATTAGTTGCTACTCGTATTACAGAAAAACAAGTAGAACAAGAGAAAGAAAAGAAGGTTATACTCGGTAGTCTCTCTGGCTTGAAGCACAATCTACATCAATGGCATGAATCTGTATTGTTGGAGGCAGAGTCCTTTAACGCAGAGGACGTTAGTGATGAAGAAGATCCTGTTCTTGAAAGTCGATCTTCATTATCACCTCTTGAAAATGAAGCACCTTCTTTTACAGTAAGTTTAGTATATAAAGTCAAAGAGTATAACATACTTGATTGTAGGGTCGACTTCCCATGTATATTCTTCGTGAAGTACATGACCATTTGAACAATGTTGTATTACTTGTCAGCAATACTAGATCTTCTGTCGAAGGCATTTCTCCTTTGCTTGAGAGTATCATTATCATCGAAACTGATGCCGATAATGAACTTCGTCCTGCACAAAAGAGCGCCAAGGTAAGAAAGAAAGAAGACATATAACAATCATACTGAATAGTGAATGCTTAGATGGCTCTTGATTCACTTGCTACTATGGACGCTGAACTGAAAAGACTAGATTTGCAACTTGAAGAGAAAGAAAACTATGAGTCAGAATGGAGTTATGATCAACTTGTGAGTTAGAATAGAGTGAGTATGACTTGACTGAACCTTTTGCTTTAGCTTGAATTCATTCAAACCATCACAAAATCTGTTCAAGATTATTTTTCTGCTCTCAAGACATTAGAAGAATTTGGTCCTGATAATAACAAGAATACAGTGACAGAAGAAAATGAAGACTTGAATGAAGAGTCTCAAGAGCGAGTCGTTGTTAATGCTAATCAGCATGCTTCACAAGGACCTTGTAAGGAGAAGTGAATTTAAAAGGCGCTTACTCATTCTTTTGTTAGATGTTAACAAAGTACCTACAAATACTCATGTCACAAAGATCATGAAACGAATTCGATCTAAACTGGAAGGCATTGATTTTGGTATACAACATAAAATGAGTGTGAATGAACAGGTAAGTCTAGAACTTGACAACAAGATGTGCATATTTATGCATCGAATATAGGTTGCAAGATCAATTGAACAAGCTACTTCAGTAGATAATCTTTGCATGATGTATGAAGGATGGACAAGTTGGGTATAAACAAAGTCATACCAAGATATTTGACGATAAAAGCAATAAGTGAAAGGAACAGCAGGCAAAAAAAAAAAAAAAGAATGATCATCATGTTGAAAAAAGAAAGTAGTTGATCATTTCTTTTTTTACCGTATATAAAATACCTTTTGTGGATTCTCGAGTATCATTGAAACAGAATAAATCGTTCTATATCTAACAGAGTTCGACATAATTGGCAGGAAACTAGTTGAAGAAATTCAGAGAATGTCATCGTGTTTTTTTTATTACTTACTGCTCCAGATTTTCCATTTAAGTTTCCTGACCACCAATCATGCTGACTTTGAGTTGATTCTGTCACTTGGATGATATCTCCTGCTTTGAAGCTTAAATCTCCAGCTTCTTGACCAACAAAGTCATACAATGCCCTTGCTCGAATGAGTTTTCGAGTCGGAGGAAGAGGAGGAATAGGGCGTTTTACGTCTTGTTGTTCTTGGTATAGAGGCGAAGGCATGTTAGTAATGTTTTGAATAGTCTGAGGCTGAGGCGTTGGTGGTGCTTGAAATGATGGATTAATAGAAGGAGGCTGACTGAATTGAGCTAGGCTACCATATCCATTTACTGGAGCTTGCTGTCTTACAGGTGGAAGACGTAAAGTACCAGGTGCAGACATTTTTGTGCTTTTAAATTGTGCTGTGCTACCTTCTTTTTCAATAGTGCGCTGATACATGTTGGTGTTTGCACCGAGTGTATGAAATTTGGCATTAAGTGCACGGTAAAGAGCATCTGCTTCTCGAGGAGGAGGCACAGTGCCATTCAATAATTCTTTTGCAGAGACTCGTTCTCCGTATAGTTTTTCATTTGCATCGTTTCGAGTGATAATGACAGATCCTTCTAATGATACACCAGCAAATAATCCACGAGTTTTGTTGTATGAATAAACAGCCGAGATATGCTTAAATGTAGCTGAACCAGAAGCCTCTGCATTACGACCTATAGGGCCAGCAGCAACTATATAGATAACATGCGGATAAATACAGACAGAAAAAAAGCATTTTTGCCTACCTGATATGTTTCCACCTAGTGTAACATTTCCGAAATGGCTAAAGGTCTTGACAGCTTCTTTTGTGTTTAGCACCAGCACAAAATCAGTCAATTCGGCACCTATGTATTGTTTATATTCATCGTTTGCTCAGAAAAACTTACCAATCTGCCCGCCAGCACCCATACCACCGATAACAATAGCCGAAGGTGCCGACCAAGCTATTAGGTAAAATTAAAGTTAATTTGTGAATCTTTTAAATGACCGCAATGTGTTGCTTACATCCATCAGGTAACCTAATAATAGCTAATTGAGTATTACGAAACGCAGAAATCTGAATATCTACCTTGCAATTACCAAACCACTGCCTGCTCTACCTGAGAATAAGAAACCTGCTTTTAGCACTGTAAAGATAGCTAATCCTTGTGCTTTGTCGAGAATTGAAGGAGGAATGATGATATCTAATCCTTGTCCAGGATCTGTAATTCTGTTTTAATATAATCCCTTGTTTTGGCGTATACAAACCAATAAAAGAATTCAAAATCTTGGTTGCTTTTTTGCATTCGCCTGCCCAACAAAGATTAATTTTTTTTGTTTCAATTCAATCACTACCTTTTAGACTGGTAGGCAAAGGTGAATTAAAAGAGAAGTTTAGCTTTTTCATTGATGAAGGGAGAAGAAGAAAAAAGTTTTTATTGCTCAGCTACATTGTCAATTCAAATAGATTGTACTACCCTCGCAAAACTTGCTTTATAAGTACGATCTGAATGCTGCAGTTTAAATTTTCTCAGTACGGTGACGCTTCCAAGCTCGCGTTCACTCTTTCTTTCTCTCACCAACTACGATGACAGAACCTACCAAAGATCAAATACAGATAGTCTTTAAGAAACTTAAACAAAACCGTTACAATAAAGTAAGCTTAGTGATTTATATACACGCTTCTAATACTATAGATAGGCTTGCTTTGACTGTAGTGCAAAGAACCCCAACTGGGCTTCTGTTTCTTTTGGTGTTTATATCTGTACAGACTGCTCTTCAGCTCATCGCAACTTGGGCGTTCATATAAGCTTTGTCAGGTACCTTGATTGAATAAGAGATAAAGAGAAAATACTCATGCATAAACTAGATCCACCGTGCTTGATTCTTGGAGCTGGGAGCAACTCCGTATGATGAAAGTAGGTGGCAATCAAGCTGCCTCTGAATTTTTTTCCAAGCATGGAGGCATTTCATCTTTTGGAAATGATGCACGCATGAAATATTCTAGCAGAACAGGCCAACAGTATAAAGAATTGCTTGTTAAAAGAACAGCTGAGGATGCAACTGCGTAAGTAGCATTGTAATATTAGTTTCATACTCATCTTTTCCTCTGCAAGTCATCCTAATACTGTCGTGATTGATATCAATGATGGTGTTCCTACTGCTGCTCAACCTGAAACTGAGTCTGTTGAACCAGTATCTACTCCTACACAACCAGAGATAAAAGAGTCTGTTCAAGAAAAGAAAGAAGAACACGTTGTTGATGATAAAAGTAAAAACCAGGAACAAAGACCTGCTGCAACAGTCAAAGCAGCTAGCGCACGCAGTGTTCGCTCTACAATCACTGCACGTCCATCTCGTAAGACAGGCAAGGCATCCAAATTAGGCGCTAAAAAAGCTCCTGTCAACTTCAATTTTGAGGCAGCCGAAGCACAAGCTAAACAAGATATGGAGCGTAAGATGAAGTATGGAGAAGAGGAACAAGAAGAAGAAGAAGAACAGAAAGAAACTACAAAAGACACTGATACTTTTGTCAAACCATTGTCTTCTCGATTGGCTTATGTCGATAACAAGGAAGATAAATATGAGAAACTTGGATTTGGCATGAATCGTTTAAACATGAACGAAAACACAAACAAAGTCTCAATGCCTGCTCAAAAGTCATATCATTCTTCTGAAGATGATTCACGATCTGCCCAAGAAAAGTTTGGTTCTGCCCGTGCCATTTCTTCAGACCAGTATTTTGGTAGAAATGAATATGACCCTGCTATCTCAGCTGCAGAATCAAGTCGACTCTCTCAATTCACAAGTGCTAAAGCTATTTCATCTGATCAGTATTTTGGTAGGGAATCTGATTTAGATACTCGTACAACCAATGACACAGTACATTTGGGTGACTGGGATAATGTGCAAGATCAAGCAGTAGCTATGGCTAGGAAGTTTGTGGATCAAGCTGCTTTAGATTTGGATGCTGTAAAAGATTTAGCAGAGACAGCAACAAGTCGTGTTCGAAATTACTTTAACGCATAATAAAGCCAAATGGAAAAAACAATTTACCGAACTGTCGGTGATGTAATGTGCGTGCTTCTCTTGTCCTTTTTTGTTCTGCTGCATTTTGTGCAGTTTTAAAAATAAGATGTTGCTCATCTCTTTTCTTTCTTTTTTTTTGTTTTTTTTTTTTTATTAAACTATGGTCAACGGTAAGAGAGGGTATGCTTTAAAAATCTTTGTCTTATGTATATCATAGCTGACTGGGAATCACAACTAAGCGTTCTCGAAAGGAACGTCTATTTGGACCACTTTAAGAAAGTGGACACTGATAACAAAGGTATTGTCTTGCAAGACGAAGCTATGGATTTTTTAAGAAAATCAGAAATACCCAATAATATCTTGACACAGGTATTTTTGTATTGTGTAGCTATACTTCTAACATGTCTTTTAAAGTTTTGGACAGCAGCAGATAACGATAAAAAGGGCTTTTTAACAGCAGAGGAGTTTTGTGTCATGCTCAAGTTGATTGCATGTGCTCAGAATGGCATTATGACAACTGAGCCTATTCTAGCCACCAAAGGTAGGTTTGTTAGGCTAAAGTGCATGAAACTGAACATTTTTTTGCTCAGCACCTTTGCCTGACTTTAGTGGTAATACACCAAGAGCTCAATACATCTCTCCCCCTTCTCAAGACACGATTAGTCCTGAAGACCGATTGAAATACATAAATCTGTTTCAGTCACTTGGACCTGTGAACAATACACTGAATGGTAAGAAGTCGTGTCTTGAATCAAATATAAATCTATTTTGTTTTCATAGGCGAAAGGGCTAAACAAGCTTTTATAAGATCAAATCTTCCTCCCACTATCTTACAAGCTATCTGGAACTTGGCAGATACACGCAAGTCAGGCTCACTCAATCAAACAGAATTCATTATTGCCATGCATTATATAGAGAATGCCATGAAGGGCATGACACAACTTCCGCCATCTTTACCATCGAATATTTATGCATCAGCAACAGGCAGATCAATGACTGCTTCACCCCTTGTACGAAGCAATACTTTGCAAATAAGCAGTCCTCCTCCTGTTCCTATGCGTTCTCCAGTCTTTAAAGGAGCTACTATGACACCAGTCGGCATTACACCTGAAGAATACTCTAAATATCAAACATTTTTTCGTCAATTGGATACAGATCAATCTGGATTTGTAACAGGAGCAGATGCAGTCGTGTTCTTTAAGCATTCAAAACTACCAGAGTCTGATCTGGCTCGTATTTGGGATCTAGCTGACACAAATTCAGCAGGTCAATTAACTGAACAAGAATTTGCAATTGCAATGCATTTGATCAACAGACGTATCGCGGGTGGTGATATCCCCAATTCCTTACCTGCTTTTAATTCAAGTAAGTGTAATCCTAGATAACATTGAGTCCGAGTCTGATATGGTTGTGCTCTAGTTCCTCAACAACAACAACCATTCCCTCCTCCATCTCAACAGCAACAGCAATTTCCACCTCGTTCACAACAAGAACAAGTGGTAGATTTGTTAGGATTGTCGTCTGACTTTACAGGAACTCCTATGTCTGCTCCTCAACCACAACAAAACACAAGCGATTTACAAAGAACACAGTCTGTAATTCAGTCTAGCGTTCAAACTGAATTGACACGAGCACAAAATGCTTCAAACCAACTCCAAAATGAATCTCAAGCAGTTCAAGAATTGACAAGGCAAATTGAAGAGCAAAAAGAAATCTTGGCCAAAAAGAAGCAGGAAGCTGATGAAGCAGAACGTCAATTAGAAGCTCAGAAAAAGAAAAAAGAAGAGCTTACAAAAGAGCTGCAAATGTACAAACAAGAAGTCAAGCACTTTAATAGTCGTGTTGAAAACATCAAGGAAGAGACTGAAAAGCTGCAAAAAGAGAACGCTGAATTAGAGAAACAGAAATCAGCAAGTCAACCTGCTTTAGAGAAAAATTCACAAGACTTTTTCTCATTGTCAGCATCTCGTCCTGTAGCAGGTGGAAGTAGTACCAATCTGTTTGCTAAAATAGCTGAGGATACAACATCACCTAACTCAGGAGCAACAAGTCCACTACAACAACAGACCAAATTTGATCCTTTCTCTGGATTTAAAGCAACTCAAAATAAGCCATCATCACCCACAGTATCTCTTAACAAGTTAAAGCAAGAAACTGAGATCAAGAGAACAGGATCACCCAATGTGGATATCAGTGATATTGAGTCCAAGTTTCCTGATTTGAATACAATGGAACAGAATTTCACTATGACACCTACTTCACCCTCTTTTGCACAAGATAAACTACCTACAAGTCCCAAACCTGCATCAGTTGTATCGCCTAAATCATCAGCTGCTGTGGCTCCCTCTCCTTCTGTGTCTACAAGTAAAAAAGAAAAATCAAAATATGGATTTGATCTGTCTGCATTTGAGCCACCTTCTTCGCCTTTCAGTGGTGGTGACAGTAAGACATCCATGAAAGATGAACTGAGCTCTCTTTTTGGTAGCCCTTCTGTGTCTCATGCACAAACACCTGCTACACAACAAAACACCAAGACTGGTTTTGATGATATCTTTGGCACTACTACAAACAACAAGTCTTCTTTTGAGGATATCTTTATGCAAAAATAAAATAAAAAGAGAGAGAATGTTTTAGAGTGTAACTCTTTTTTTTTTTTTATGAATGTTAGATGCACGTGTGTAATAATGTAGTCTATGAATGAAACGATTAATTTGAGAATTTGATACACAACTTGTATCCAGCCAAAGCACCACTAAAGAAACCTGACCATGCTTGAACACTTGAAGAATAAGATGGTTGTAAGATATCACAGGCTATTTATAATGGTGAGTATAAAAAAAAAAAAAAAAAAAAAAAAAAAAAAAAAAAAAAAAAAAAAAAAAAAAAAAAAAAAGCTTATCTTACCACAAAAGACACCATCCATCAATAGTTTAACAATCGATACTTCCATGACAAAAATCTTTTTTTGGTGTTCTAATAGTGATTTTTCATCTCCATCATGCTTCTTTACTGCGTTGGTTAATTTTATGTATGACTGTGCAGCAGATCGAATGTCTACCATGATGCCTAAAAACCAACAATAGGCAGAGAGTATTTCTGATCTATCACCGACTTTAGACCCAAAGAAGCCCAGCTTGTAGAGACAAAATACATCGTCAGAGACAGCATTCACAATCTCATTGGACAGTATCAATGTATTCCAGACAGAATCATGCTTGAGTTGAATTTCTCTTAATGGACCTAACGCTGTACCTAAGCGAAGAATTTTACGAGTCATGGAGAAATGGCTGGTCAATGTGGACCAATGCTTGGCTTTCACCACTTTATAGTGTAACAGAATTTTGATGAAGTACTGTATCACTTTCATCATCTTGTCACGGCCGTCGAGTTCTTTCAATAATCTTTGCAAGACGTTTAACCATCGTGTTGTCCATGGAGTTTTTGAGGTTTTTTTTTCATGATAGAGTACAATAGGTTCAGGTGGCGGTGATGGTGTAGGCAATGCATAGCATTGGATATGCTGTTGCTGTTGTGACTTTATTGCTGTGGTGGTCATTTGTTTATCTACAAAAAAGAAAAAAAAAGACAAATAAAAGTGCCTGAAGATAAAATTTATAAATAGCTGTATACCGCGGAATATGACCCTCTTTCCGCGGAAGTTGATGGGCTGAATGTTAAAAATAATCGTGGTATATTTACTAGTCTCAATTTGGGTTTCTACTAAGCAAATGATTGATAATTTTGATTTCAATATCTTAAACATCCCTTCTTTTTTTTTATCCTTTGTTATAGAAAAAACTAATTTCATCGTGTAACAGCATATCTAATGAAAGAGTTGTTATTCTATGTCATTTAGGAATAGAGACATTAAAGAGTTAAGTTTGCATCAAGAAAAATAAGAGGTAAAGGTATGCATTCTCTTCCCCTCCTAATATTCGAGTCGGATGAGACTGTTTTCTTTCAAGTTTTATTCAGTTGAATCACATTGATCATAATAACAAAAAAGGATATATGTGTCTCTTTCTATCATACTTTATTTCAAAGAAAATGGTTCGTGTTGGTAAAGAAAGACGACCAGGCAAAACTGCTGTTGAGTATCTCTTCGTAATACAGTTGCTCTCTAATTCTTTATTAAGATTAGGGCTCACTGTTCAAGCTTCGATTGTAATTTATCTTAGAAGTGAATGATGATTTCGAAAGCACCTTCTGTGGAAGTCTTGGTGGGTAACCTTGGCTTGCTCTAGTATATTACTCCAGTATGCTTCCGCCCTGTCATTTCTTTTGAAGCTTTTTTTATGCAACGCTTTTGCTTGGTAGTCTTCACACAAGTTTACGACGTGATTAATCATCAAACTTAACGTTAATCGTTCTTGTGGAAGCTAAATAACAACATCTGCTATTGTGATTGAATCTTTTTCAAAGGAACAAACTACTTTTACGAAAGTATCTTTTGTAGAGATCTTGGTGGATGACAAAATCAGTTGGTTTTGCTGATTTTTTAGAACATACTCAGTGCTGCTTTTACATGTTGATTTGAAGAAATAAAATTATTAGCTCTTTTTCCTGGTGCTGACTAGCACAGATTGCTTACTTTAAGTCTTTACAGTAAGATTTTTGTCTAGCTAATTGTCGTTAATTGAACAGCATAAAATTTAAAACAAGTTTAAATGTAAATAGACAGTAGAAAAGTATATCCTTTGTTTATTTTATAGAAGACATTATATATTTTCTTTTCGTCTTGATGGTGATACCTATGAGGAGGATATGTTGCTTGTGGTATCACTATTGCTTTCTTCTTGCAGAAGAAAGTATTCAATGCTCTTTGAGCAGTATATGATCATCTTCTATAATTTGACTTACAGTTAAACAAACATAATCGTTTTTACAATATATACACTTACTTTCAATTTCCAAATGTTTATGCAAAATATGTGGAAATGACTATGCAAGAAGTAAAGTTGTTGACAACTTAAACTTCATTTCAAATGAGAACATATATCTGTTGGTGACAGGTCTTGTTAATAAATAAACAATCACTTCCTTTTCTAGACAGAGAAAAAAGAAATGGAAAGAGAACGAGCATAATACCATATGAGATATATATTCATCACTGATATACTTACTGTTTACCTGTAATCCATAAAGCTTCAAAGAAACTAAGCCAGAAGACATTTTTTTTTTGTTTCTTAAAGAGGCTATGTGCTTCGTTGTCAACTTGAGATTCTTGATCATCTTGTTTCTATCATCCAGAAAATGCTCAAAATCGGCATATGCTGGGCCATCAAATACTTCAAAACAAAGAATTCGATATGGTCCAGGCGAGGAAGAGTGAAAATAGTATCAATGCTAGAACCGGTGTTCTTCTATAAGTGTCTGCTAAAGCATAGTGCTCATCTTGTTTGACTCACAACAGTTTCGTCTCTCCCCTATCAAAATGAAGTGATGAATCAGTTTAATTATCATCTCATACGGCGCATGAATGGTTTGAGATCACTCACCATTTTTAGCAGATGGCTTTTTTTTTTTGAAACATCAGCAAATGCCTCATCAAATAGAGGAAAGCCATCGAGCCTTCTATAGCCATAAGAGGGTCAACACCACCTTTCTAAAACAGCCCCAGATCATCACGATCCCTTTATCTCCACCTGGTTCTAGGGATTGTGAGCCCTTCTTCGTAATGCTCATCTTGTCTTTGAAGAGCTCTTGTAACACCATCGGCTCCTTCAACAGTGTGACGAGATTCATCAGGCCATAAGACATGAGCCTACTGAACTGCGGTCTATCCAATATGTTCACGAGCCCTTTTCAAGCAATTCTTCTTGCGAGTCGTCGTAAAAGCAGTTTTATGGACTGCACAATAGGAAAGAAAGCTCGGCGCACGAAGATAACCGACAACGTTTCCTTTACAGATGTTGAAGTTAGATTGCTCCAACAAAGGTGTTTCTGAATTCCTGATGAGGTCAACAGTGCTTCGTACAGTCTTGAAGGGCATATCAATCTTGTAGGCAATCTCACCCAGTGAAAAACCATCATGGTAGTACCAGCATTCCCTCTATTTGAACTTGGCATAAAGGCCACACTTGCTTCTTTCGATGGCATTAAACATTTTTTAATAAAAGGTTTATCACAATGGATCATTATGTAGATTCTCTATTTAAAACTCGGGCTATTCCCTATTTCAATCAATGTATTTTTTGAAGTGAATGCAGTTTATCTATTAGACAAATGTTTAAATTCTCTTGGTGCATTGATTTAACTGATGATCTATCAAAAGAACAGGCATATAGACAGGACTGAATAGCCATATAAATCCTTTGAATACGCACATAAATGCTTTAGATAACCACAGACAATGTTTACTAACATCTATGGCACCTTTAGAGTTGATTCGGGCCAAAAAAAGCGATTTGTTAAAAATGGCTAAAAATCACTTTGATCCAAGGAGTACTATTCATCAAAATCCTTAATTTGACAACTTCACTTTTTTTCGTCTAAAGAACTTTTTAGTAAGATGGCCTGGTCACTCTTGGTGGTGGTCCATATTTTGCTATAATCCCTTGTGGAAGGTTGTATCTCTTAGGTATCAACAATTGTGTCAAGTACCAGGTAATTGAAGACATTTTGAAATGATGTCCTCTACTTGTGGTATTGGTATTGCCATTTGTAGCATTGAACAAGACAAGATATAAAGAGTACTGACTCTCAGGAGCAACGAACGAAACGCTTAATATATCCTTTTTAGGACATATTAAGGGGTAGTCCAGATGACGGCTATCTTATTGGGATTATATAAGACTCATATAATCGTACTGAATGCTTCCACAAAAGCATTGTTTTAAAGATATTTCATATGGCTAGTCACTTTGCTTCACATACACTAGTTTCCATTTATAGGATGATTTTATTTTTTCATACAAAAAAAATGATAACTTCTGTTCTTCTGTTCGACACTGCAAGTCGGAAAATAAAGATATCGACAAGCTTAAATATTTAAAATGACCTTCAAACGCTCTAGTTTTTGTTTAAAGCGTTTGTTTGCCGGTCGTACTATTTTATTTTCATAGTACGATATGAACGAAAAACCTCAGAAGCGTTTCTGCTTCTTCACTTAATATTTTAGCAGCAGATTTGATGTGATTTTTATATCAGTAAACTTAGAAATTACAACTTTTGTTATTGCTCTAAAACCCAAAGCCGTGTCTTCAGACAGTTTTCTGCAAAAGATCGATTTTTGATGTAGCGGCAAGAACTGGTTTTATGTCCCATTTCAATCTTCGCATACTGCCAACATGTATGTTCTATGTTCATTCATTCCACATTTGCAATATAAATCGACCCTATTCTTACTTTTAAATGCCCTTTGACATCCCAAATAATACAAAGTAGCTTTTAAAATTTCATGGCTAACACATTTTATATGGCATCGAGAGCAAAAATGCTCAAAACACAGCTTAAACATGCCAATCTTTGATAGACCATTGCTCGACAACCGCACTATCAAGACAATCCTTTTTTTCACTTAAAACATGTCCTTTTGAGTCTAGGAATCAAATGGCACCATCGACTTGGCTTCTAGGTGAAATTCATTTTTTTTTTTTTTTTTTTTTTTTTGGAATAACCCAATGTAGGCCTGATCCAATCGAAATCAGATAAGACCCTTTCTAGGTACTTCCAGGAAAAAGAAAGCGAGTTTACCAAGATGAAACATTGACTAGATTTGTGCATTGCCTTCAACTTTTCAATCAAAGCTTGTTGTACACTGTAATCAGTACAAAAGAGGCCTATCTCGGTAGATATTGACTAGTAAACGGATAGTTATTTTAGCATCATTTGATGGAAATGATATAGGCTAACAAATGATACTATAGTACTTGGCACTTCTAAGAGTAACGAGCGTACTTTTTCAAGAAAAAAATTTGTTTATAGTAAAAAGAAGCTCATAAAAATAGCTCAATTCCTTCTCCAGTGTCTCTTTATGCTGGTTTTTTGTGTTCTGATGCAAGATACTGGCGCTGAAATAACCATAAAAGAAGATGAGCTCCTTGAGAACAACTGAAAACCAGTGATTGGTAAAATATATTTTAACATTTCGCTTACGAGTATGCGTATGCATAATAGACCGAAACACTACCATGTTGTTTGCTTTGAAACAGATTGTATATGCATCAAAGTAGGCCCAAGCATAAATAGGTACAATAACTTTTTAAAGTGTTCCTGCACTACATACAAAGTGCCTTGGGTAACTCAACCAAGTCAGCATTGGCTGATGGATCATGTCTCAATGACTATCATAAAGAAACTGTCTTTGGCCTAAATAGAAAGCGATTCCTTCAATCCAATCACCTTTTTTATACTCGAATATGAGCTATATTCATATCCATGAAAGTCATGAAGACGTCTAGCTCTGTTACTGTGAAACGCCTTGAAACCCATCAAACTATGTACACATGAGTGAATTCAAACATTCGCGGATACTTACGCGGCAAAAAGGCTACTATGTATTGTTTTCCCATAAAAAGGACATTTTTATTTCTTTTTAAAGTCATATTTAAAAACACAAACAAATGCTACCCCTTTTTTTCTCTCTCCCTTTACTGCGAGATAAGAACCATAGAATGATCCATGCTTTCAAATACATTTACTTTAGTGTAACAATATATATGGTTGAATTTAAAATGATGATTTATTGGTACAAGATGGGATGCAATTACATAATAAGATAATGATATGGATATGTACAATGATGAATGACTTTTTCCTTCTTTATCTAGGCCATGAATAGCAGTTCCAACTCAAGTGATTCTTGATGTTGATCTACAAAACGGTCCATTTCAGAGATGTCTACATAAAGATCAAACTATCGTGCATATATTAATACAACGTGGCTAAGTATGCAGCAGTACATACCTTTAGAACACCCAGGAAACTTCGTTCCATTTCATTTAATTCTCTTGAAGTATATAGCGGAGATACAATCTTATAGATCGACGTTGCATGGGAATTATAGTCTTCAATGTACTTTGTCGCAACAATCATAGCAGCCAAGAATAATTTGTAGGGTGTATCGTATTCTAGATAAATAGAATAAGTAACCTGTGTTTATCTTCCCTTTTACTGCTTACCTCCTTGTGCTTGTTGCGGCAAATTCTTCTTGAGACGCTCAAGATAAATTAACCCAATGACCAAGACAGTAGGTGATAAACGACACTTTTGATAAACTAATTTGATGAATTTGGGTAAATCTGGCAAAAGCATATGCTGGTAGTATATTCTTTCTTTCGAGCATCGAACAAGATCATCAATATTGTGAACCATAAAAGACAACAAAGGCTCGGGACTAGATTTGAATGTTAAAGTAGTTGGGGAAGCAGTGTTAACCATCATCATTTTGAAAGAAGAAATTTGTATATTTTTGTAACATAAAGAATTTGAGTCCCTTTTATATACAAAATATCGGTAGTGCAAGAGAAAAGGCAAAATTATCTCTAATGACCCAATTTTGGACAAATTTTCTTGTTTGCCATTGTTTTGAAACATTGTTTGTACAGTGCGTTTGATGATCATGTGATTATACGGATCTGTCGACATTTGATATGATGAATGAATTGATCCGAACGACAGAAAGACCGGTTCTGTGCCGTTATGTCTTCATTTTGTTAACATCATTTGAGATGTGTTTAACAAGAGAAACAATTTGAAAGTGTGTACAAATTATCCTTTAAAGAGAAAAAAAAACAAATAAACAATTCTTTTTTGTTTTGCAGAAATGATATGCATAAGCGAACTTTATTCTTCGGAAGCAAGGTTTTCACAATCAATTTTTTTCACACTTGTTTCAAGCCCTTTTTAATTCCTTGAAATATATCCAGAAGGTTAATCAGATGAACTCAAATTTAAAAGCAAGTGCATACTTTTTTTTCTCTTTTAAATTTGAAGTTGTGTTGTATTTTATTTCAACATCTCATTCGTTAGCAAATTATCGTTGTTTATATGCACAATTTAAGAAAGGCGTTTGAATTGCATTCAAATAATTCATCTTGGTAGCGAGAAAATAATGCAGCAGGAGCCAGGATTGTTTCTTCAATACATGCCCGAGTTTTTCTATTTAAAAAAAAAGCATTTTCTATGTAACACAATGACCTTATATCAAAGAATGCTGCAAATGAAAGCCTCAACATGAGTCAGGCCCATTGTTTGTTTCAAGGTCTTCAATTAAAATTGACCGTCGTATGGATAACCTTTTTTTTTGTTTTTGTTTTTTGATAGGCACAGAAAATAGCTGAAAAAGGAATAGGTTGGTTCATCCATATGCAGAATTTCGATGGAAACAAGTGTTGCCATGGGACCATTACCATGAAGATTTGCTATTGATTTTCGTTGTATATTCATGGCTTAAATAATAACAAGTAAGATAACAATTAAACGAATGATGACCAATATTTCGAGTATGTCCAGTTTCACGTCAATCATGCATTTAACTTCTGATCACTGTAACCCAAAATGTCCACACTGATCCGCAAATACCCATAATAATGATGGGACACTTCTAAGCTCCTTAATCACTCTTGATAATGGATTCAGGTCAATCACATCTTTTTTTTTTTCAAAAAATAGTGAAAGATTTGTTGCGGAACTTGTGTACTTATCCGCTTCTTGCTTACGTCACTTGTTTTCTCTTATGTTGCTTGGAATCGTGCAAAAAGATTTTTTTTTTGGTGCGGGGGATTCAATACAAAGCTTTAAACCAACATTTCTTGTGCCTTTTTTTGCCTTTAACAGTACAAGTAAATAGAATGTCAAACGCGCCGAGAAAGACTTACAACTAAACATTCCTTTTTAATAGAAAAAACCCCCCACTTTTACCCAACATAATGTCTGCCCAACAAGAAGCCACTTTCACACATAACCAATTTGTTGATCCTACTCCTCTTCCTGAATCAGTTCCTAAGGTGGAAGAAGTTGGTCTCACATCAGCACCTTTAAAAAGTGCCTCTTTCTTTATTGGCGAGTACTGCAGAGAATACAATGATGATTTCATGCTCTGCAAGAACGAAAACAACGATCCTAAGCATTGTCTTGCTGAGGGTAGAAAGGTTACTCGTTGTGCTATTGACTTGTAAGTGCGACTATAGACAAGAGCAATGCATTGACTTGTGTTAGAATCACCAAGCTTAGAAACAACTGTGGAAAGGAATTTGAAGCACACTGGAGATGTTTAGAGAACAACAACCAAGATTTATTCGCTTGTCGTACTCCCGAAACTGCCATGAACACATGTGTTTTCGAGAAATTGGTAAATGATGAATTCATCATCTAGCATGACTAACAGCCAATATTAGGGTTTGAAGAAGAGAATTCCTGGTTCTCCAGAAGGCCAAGCTCAAATTCATGAAAAGAAGAACCCTGTCATGACAAAGCACTTGAAATAGATCTCTCTCTCACCTATTAGCAAGAAATTAAAATTGATACATTTTTACTGGAAAAATTATGCATTTATTGGACGAGATAGAAGAGAGAGCTTCTTTTTTTTTTTTTGCTCTTTGTCTTCTGAGTAGTTTTACCTTGAGATGTCTTGAGAAAAAGAGGAAACAGAAAGGCCCTATTCATATATAATTGCTGGCAATACGTTTTATTATCATTGAAACCCGCTAATAGACACCATTGAATTCTTTTTATAAAGCAAAAGAGCTCTTTGTATGTTCTATCTAGAAGAGAACATAGTAGAAACTTATTTCACTAAAGGATTTATACAAATGACAGTATTGAAGAAATCTCATTGATTTTACTTCAATCTTGATTGGTATACTATTTTTTATTTGCTTTGTTTTTTTGATATTTTAGGATACATGCTACAGATATTTGATTTAAAGATCATGATATTCACTCTGTACTACCGTAATGTTATTCTTGTTTTTCCTTTCATGTTTACTTTAGCTTTTTTATACTAATCTACAGCTCATGTTATTATACAAATGAAACACTTTTGAGCTACATGTTAATATTGCGTTTTTATATTATTTCTGTTGCACATTTTCAGTATAAATTTGGCTTCATTAGCTTAATTGGAAATACTTGTATGAATCTTATAAGGCGAAGGAAAGTTTGTAACTAAAAATTAATACTATCCAATGTCAGACATTCTTAATAAATGGAAGATCTGTAGACATTTAAGTGAAGAGAGGAAAGAAAAGGCACTTTGTTAATGACATAAAGCATCATAGAAGGTACTAGTGTACACTAAGTGAACGTGACTGCCCTGAAAAGAAGTGAAGATGCCTTCTTTAATTACAAGTTTTATAACCATACTCCTCTTTTGTGCCATAGTGATCATAAAAGTGCAATGAAGCTCTACATTTGAGACGATCAGCATTCTTGTTGGAGATGTCATGGCAAGATGATCCAAGTTGCAACTGGACCTAATACCTTTGTCCAAGAAAAATGTTGTAATGGAACTGAGCTCTCTGTTAGAGATGGGAGCTTCTTTTATGACAGATGATGTGGACTGAAGAACAATCTGCCAATTCTTTGAGGCTGGACTCTTAAGCTTCGTAAGGGCCAAATTAAGCAATCGCTTCGGTTGGATGCTGCCACTGTTCGTTCAGTTCTAAATGATTGATATCAAGTGATGCAAGAAGATATCTTCTTAGATGATACTCGAATCGGTGGCCCAGGTGTAGTAGTGGAGATTAATGAGTCAAAGTTTGGCAAAAGAAAGTATCATTGTGGTCATCGCGTAGAAGGTATTTGGATAGTAGGAGGAGTAGAGTTGACTCCTCAGCGTAAGCGCTTCTTGCTCACGGTACCTAATCGCAGCAGTATAACTCTTCTTGATATGATCAGAAAACATATCAAGCCAGGAAGCATTGTTCATACCGATTACTGGTCAGGTCATAACCGAATCGAAGACTTAGCTCTCGATCTTGAACAGGCTGTTGTAAACCATTCTCGTGAATTTATCGCTGAGGATGGTATTCATACCAATACTGTAAAAGATAATTAGAATATATTTAAATCTGTCATTATGGCTGCTTATATACATGTGTAGGTCTTTGAAATGTTATAAAAATCAACTGTGTTCCACGTCTGAGAACACGAAAAATGATACCTTGGGTGCTTGCTGAATTTATTTGGAGACGCAAGCACAATGCTGATCTTTTTGGTGGTGTTCTGAAGGTCCTAAGTGAGGTTGGACTGAATAGAGATCAGATCAATCCATCTTGACTAATAAACTTTTTGTTTTTGAACAAGACAGAAAAAGAGTTACACGATTGGCGGAGAATACATAAAGTATTCTAGAAGAGGTTTTGCTTACAAATCCTTCATCATATTTGAATTCCATCACTATTATGTCAAACAAGTGCAGTAGAGATCAACGCGCACAGTTGATTTTTATGATTAAAACCCGACTTCATTTGTACCGACAAGTTCCGTTATTTTTGAGTCAAAAAAAAATTTATTACAAAAATATGAAACAAAAAAAAGCACTTTGTACAAGATATCTATAGTAAATGTGTTGTGTGTGGAGGAGTTTTAGTCTGAAGTTTGCTTGACCATCTTGGGTTCAGAGGCCTTTTCAGAAGGAAGAGCAAGTACAGCTCTCAATTGTGGGTCAGGTTCTTCTTTGTGGTTCTTTCCATCATCACCAACATAGATAGAAACACCAGCAGAAGCCATCAAGACAGCAATTGTTACAGCTTGAGCATACATACGAGCTTGAACAAGCTTTTGTTGTGTAGTAAGGTATCTGTTGGAAAAGCTAATACCCAAAGCACCGACCATAGAAACAGCCCAAGATAAGCCTAAAAAAATTACATATTACATCAGTATGTCTTCAGATACTATCTATAAGGTTACTTACCAATAACAGACCAACGGTTTTTGTTCAAGTACTCCATAGATCTGTCAAATGTGGAAGCGTTTTCCTTCACAGCTGTACCTCTACGTAAGCTATTAATCATTTCTTCATCAGCATAACCAAGTTCATGGTTTTCAAATTCAGTAGCAGCTCTGTCAGAAGCAAACAAGAAACCAGCAGTAGTGGCTATCCCCATGTGTCAATTCATTTTCCCTCTTTTAGCTATACAACTTACTGGAAGCAGCCATAATAGATTGCAATGGTCTACTCAAGGCTCTGAATTCAGGAGATTTTTTGAGAACGAAAGCTGTAGCAGCAGCACCAATACCAAGACCTATAAGTGCGCCCTTAGCACCACTGGTATAAAAGATCTTGTCTCTAGTTTGAGCTTGTTCAGGAGTTAAGAATTTGGTCATAATGAATAATATGTAGTAAAAAATGAAAAAAAAAAAGAGAAAAAGCGTAAAGAAACATTCAACATTGTCTTTAAATATACTTTGGCTTATTCACCCTAGTTGAATATGATTGGAAAATAACTCATCAGTGGCTGTCCGGTCCGGTAAATTTACAAAAAAAGTGGCATGTTCTTTGGTGAATCAACAAGGTGGAGTATAAATATGGGTGGTCGACGAATAAGGCAGCTCTGCGCATTACTAAATTTGTTCTGTTTACGTGGCTATAGTTTTATCCTTCGATGTGCATAATGAAGTCATTTACCTACAATTTTATTTCTTCCAATGCCAAAAGACCGGTTTTTCTTTAAATTCCAAGGAACAGGTTTTGATTTTCGAAAAACCTCTGTGCTCAGTTGAAAAAAAAAAAAAAAAAAAAAACTTTGGGAGAGACGTTTAGCTTCAGCAACATGACAGATGGACGTCTTAAAATAACGGCCATCAGTATACATTGTTAATGAAACACCTTTTGATATTGCCTATACATCAAAAAGAAGAGAAGTAATTGGAAAGGCAGTGGCTTAATGTGATTCGCCCATATATCTTAAACACGAAGATAGGCTATCTTCTATTAATCCTTTCGGATTTGACAATTCCGATGTACAAAACAAAACAGCGTAGGTACCAGCTCTAATTGACTTGAATGAATTAAGCTTATTTAACCATTGTTGAAGATCTTGTTTCGAAAATCCAAAACATACACATTTTTTCTATTATTCCGCTCATCCATGCTTACCTATATTCACCTATGTTCCTCCATGCTATATCTTGCTATCAAAAGGCCATGATCAATGAGCAGCGGACTTTGATTGGTTTCCAGTCCTAAAACTTTGTATTTGACGTAGATTTGTTCTGATTTGGAACACATTATAGCTCCAAATGTAATCACTTGTTAGACCTGCTTCTTTTTAGTCTATCTGATGCTGTGGTTGTCGACCTTGTACATATACATATATATCTTAATAAATTTGATAGTCAATAAAATAATCCTAATGGCATGTAGTAACAATACGACATTCTCTGAGTTGAATGTATACATGTACATTAATGGTTAGTGTTTTTCTCAACAAAGCATGCCATTGATTTTGTTAAAGCATGCAAATGACAATGTACCTTTTGAGTTGGATGCATCTTTTGTTATAGAAAAAGTCAGTAGTCAAATTGGAATTGAGAGTATATGGCAAATTATATTTTGCGCATTGAGCGATGTAGAGTTAAACACCAACTCTATACTAAATATCTGCTGAAAAGCGCCCCTTTTATACTGGTTATAATGTGCAATGATCTTTAAATACGGATTTTAAGACAATATTCAAATTTGCTTGACCTTTTTACCTTGGTAAACTCTCTTTCTTTTTCTTAGAAGTACCTAGAAATGGTATCATCTCACATCGGTTGGATCAGACCTATATTGGGTCAATTTGACACTCCAAAGATTTTTGATGGACTTTTTTCATCAACAGCCCTTGAAAATCTCCTATGAGTAAAAAAAAACGAATTTCATCCAGTTATCAAACCAATAATACCATTCGATTTCTGGACTCGAGAAAACATGTTTCAAGTAAAAAAAAGAAGTCTTGTTGATCATGTAGTTGTCGAGCAATGGCGCATCAAAGAATGGCACGCTTAAGCCCTGTTTTGAGCATTTTTACCCTGAATGTCATCTCGAACCTGTTATCAATGGAGCCATAAAAGATACTAAATGACATTGTGTGTTCCAAAGAACATGGATCTATAATGTAAATGTGAAGTAGTTGGACATAAGATATGTAGGTTGGCTTTGTGGTGGAGACTGAAAATGGAAGGTAACGCCAACTCTTGTTGCCGCTACATCAAAAATCGAGCTTTTGGTTAGAGTTGGATGAAGACGCAGCTATTGAGCTTTGTTACAATAAAAAAGGTGTGAATCTTTGCTTTTTGAATTTATTGATTTAAAGAACATAGCAGTTTTTCTGTCAAAATATCGCGCTGATGTGTAAAAACGTTTTCAAGGTTCCTTTTTTTTTTTTTTTTTTTTTTTTTTTTTTTTTTTTTTTTGCTCATATCTCATCATCTCTATAGCATAATTGGCATGCAAACACTTTGACCAAAGATTGTAGCGACTTGCGTACATTTTGAGTATGAAAACTTGTCGATAGCTCTGTTTTTCGTCCTATAGCGTTCAAAAGAAGAGCAAACGTTTTCAAAATGAGCTTTTTTCGTGAGTTATGTCTTTTGGTTTTGTTTCGGGCCAAGTCAACTCCAAAGACATTATGAGTGTTAGTAAACACTGTTTTTAGGTATTTATAGTGTTTATGCGGGTATAAACAGGCTTTACAACTCCTTCATTCGTTTAAGAAAAAGATAATGACTAGAATAAATTGTCCCTTTTTTTTTTTTTTTGCTGCTAAAGCGCCTATTTGTCTGGTAGCTCTCTCACTTAAACATACAATGTTTATTATCCTTGTGGTTTGAAATGACAGGCCTTAGTTTTTCATAGAAAAAAAAATGCACAGACAGCGTCTCCTTACTATGTGCAGCTCGCAACTCTTTAGAAAAAATCGCACAAACAGTGTAGTCCATCTATTTATAGCCTAAACCTGCGTTTCAGCAGTGAAAGCAGCGCCTTTAAAGGATAAGAAGGAGAGATGGGCATTTTTTTTATGACCTGAATAATATCATCTTCTTTGACCATTTTTTACCGTTATCCCTATGATGACGTTACTGAAAACAGCAATACTACTGAATGTCAAATTCTCAAGATAAAAAAAGTTTCAAGAGAATGATACTATAGCTAAAAGGCAAGGAGATAGCTCTTTTTCCTCAATACAAACCGACCAAGTTATCTGAAGATTATTTAGCTCCCAAATGATTGAGTACTGGTTATTTTATTAGTAAAAAAAACTGTTCATCAAAACAGAGTTTAGAGACCTCAAATAGACGAAAAGAAAAACTGTAAAACATTGAAAATCTATTTTGCACACTAATTGAATTCGCTTTATACAAAGATTTTTTTATATATTTATGCAGAAATGATGTGTTGCTTTACTTGAAAGGAAATTTCTTTCTGCTTGTAACAAACAATGACGTTCTCCTTGATTTGGCAAATATTTTGTTTAGAAAGACAGCATCTTTGTTCACAAAGACACCTTCAATCACAAAGTCACACAAGCCAATAAAATTAAATCACATTTCAATTTTTATTCCTTCAGGTTCTTTTTCTCTTTCTCTCTCTTTTTTTCTTCTATAAAACTATGTCTGACGATAAGCAACCACCTACTGAAAAAGAAATCCAAGATTTAGCCAAAAAGGTTGATAAACTTGTCTCAAGTAAAAAAGTCAAGCAGTTGATGAAAAATCCTTCTGCTGCTGCTGCTGCTGGTCCTTCAGACCCTCAACAAGCTGAAGCTTTAAAAGCACAACTTCGACAAATGATGGAAAGTATGGCTTTATTAGAAAGAAGCGGCAAAATAAAGACAACTGGAAAAAAAGATCTCGGTAGTCACCAGTTCTGGAAGACCCAACCTGTGCCTGCTTATGGTAAGTCGTGTGTGGTAAAGTCCTTATGTTGATTTTTGCGTGTAGAGGAAGATATTGTCGAATCTGGCCCTATTGAGCCTGATACGCCTTATGATGAAATTAGAAAGGAACCCATGTCTTTACCCAAAGAATTTGAATGGTGTGAAATTGATATGACAGATGAAAAACAAGTAGGTTTATAGTTGATTGACGCGTACCATTCATCATTTTCAGGTCAAAGAACTCTATGATCTCTTAACTTTCAATTATGTCGAGGATGATGACGCTCAGTTTAGATTCGATTATTCTGCCGAATTCCTCAAGTGGTAAGTAGCAGTGTAACGCGTAAACACAAAAATAACCATGAGTCTAGGGCTTTGTTACCTCCTAACTGGAAACAATCATGGCTGCTCGGTGTTCGTGTTGCTTCTAACAAGAAGCTTGTGGCTTTTATTAGTGGTGTACCTGTTGCTTTGAGAACTTATGAAACGTAAGTCAATGAAGATGATGTACATATTATTCAATTGGCTTTTAGTATCCATCATTTGACAGAAATCAACTTTTTATGTGTCCACAAAAAATTGAGATCAAAGCGTTTAGCACCAGTGCTCATTAAGGAAATTACACGTAGAAGTCACCTTGAAGGTGTCTTTCAGGCTGTTTACACAGGTGGTGTTGTTCTTCCCAAACCTGTATCTACATGTCGGTAAGTATCGTAGTGATGTGTATGCAATGTTGACTTATGAATCTAGCTACTATCATCGTTCTCTTAACCCCAAGAAATTAGTTGAATGCAACTTTTCCCGTGTTCCACCCAGATCCACTCTATCTCGTATGATCAAGAATTACAAGGTACCTGAAAAGACAAGTACACCTGGATTAAGAGAAATGCGTAAAGAAGATGCTCCTCAAGTCCGTGAATTGCTCAACAAGTACTTGGCTCGCTTTGATTTTGCTCCTGTGTTTGAAACAGACGCTGATGTTGAACATTGGGTCTTGCCTCATGAGAAGGTTGTCTGGAGTTATGTGGTTGAAGAAGACAAGAAAATTACAGACGTATTTTCGTTCTACTCTCTTCCAAGCTCTGTTATTGGTAACCCTAAGCATTCTACCTTGAATGCTGCATACATGTTTTATTATGCAGTTACTGTTCCTGATGAATTGGATGAACAAGAAAAAGAAAAGTTGATTGCAAAAAGATTAAACCAACTGATTGCGGATGCGTTGGTCTTGGCTAAAAAGGTATTTGTTGTATAAATATAGCATGATTCTAAACTTTTGTTTTTATAGGCTGATTTTGATGTTGTAAACACACTTGATTTAATGGACAATGCAAAATTTGTTGAAGAACAAAAGTTTGGTAATGGTGATGGCTATTTGAATTACTACATGTATAACTGGAGATGCCCTGATGTTCCTAAGCACAAGATTGGTTTAGTCATGCTTTAAACTGTATTAATAAAAAATATCATAATGATTTTTAATCAAAACAAATAACCTTTTTTTTTTATTTGAGAAAAAATATAAAACGCTTCAAGGGAAAAATACACTTCTTCTTTTTTTCTTCACAGCATAATGTTGCTTACACAACCATTTGACCCTCAAAAAGCACAGCAAAAAGGCCTACCATTTCTAATACGATGTCGTCTTTTCTCAAGACGAACAAGACATATATTAACAGCATTAAAGCAAAAACTACAAGCACATCGTCAAATTGTCATGATGCCGGACCATCGTTTCATGTTGACTTCACAACACCAGCAGCTAGTATGGTATGGTTATCCTACTTATCCATCTTCATACATGGTATCTCATCCTCCTACACTTGTTGTGATGCCACCTATTCTTTGTGTTTATGTATTTCCTGATCATCTAGACCCAACATTACACAAGAACTTGTTTATCTTTGAACATGGTGAAAAAGAAGAAATACAAGATGTTCACAGGCAATTTTAATTGTTGTTTGAATGCAGTTTATTTTTTATATATTTACATAATACAAAAAAAAAAAAAATAGTAATTTACAAATGGGAAACATATAAAGAGGATTTCATAAAAGGGAGGCTTAAGATTCATAATTGTGTTTTTGAATTTGGTGTCGCACTAAAGCATCTTTTCTGGAAAAAGTAGAAGGGCATTCTGTACAGCTATAAGCACGTTCACCATTATGGACAGTAGAAACATGTCGAGATAAATCATGTTTACGGTCAAAGGGCTTTTGACATAAAGAACATGAAAAGGCCTTAGTTCTGTTCTTGTCATGTGTCTTGACATGTGTACCGAGATTGTATCGACGGTTAAAGGTAGCATGGCATATATCGCATTCGAATTTGCGTTGATCTTGGTCGTTTTTCACGGCTTTGGAAGAAGAAATTTTCACACGCTTGTTCTTTTTGTTGGGCTTATCGTCTTCTGTCTTGCGTTTGTTAGAGAGTTGTTCAGGGAAGACAGTTTCTTCTTGAATGTCGAAAAAGCAATCATCAAACAAGTTGGTGGCATCAAGTTCTTGTGAATTGAAGTTCGTGTTTAAGGAATAGGAGGTTGTGTCTTGTTGATTGTTTTCAGAAGGGAGAGGAGGAAAGAGAAAGTCAGAAGACTCATCAGTTGATATATTATTATTGGAAGAGTCTAATAACAACTGAGAGGGTTCACCATTGAATTCAAAAGAATTCAATAAATCAGTGGAAGAGACTAAAGGTGTCTGAGACATCATTGTAGAGGGCTGCCAAGAAATATCGTTTTTTAAGTATTTAGCTACTTGAATATCGTCTTGATAAGAAAGATTTCCCACACCAAAGGATTCAATGTAAGGTGAATAATAAGGTGAGTTTTGGAATTGTCCTAGGCTGGGAGTGAAGACAGTAGCAGGTGTAAAAGGTGTGTTCATACATGAATTGTCTAAAAAGGGAGTGTCCATCATAGGAGACTCATCAGCAGCTGCAACAGCAGCTGCAGCAGGTGTAATGTCGCCAACAAAGGCAGACAAAGCACTTTGCTTTTGATCCATATCTTCAATTGATTTGGCTATAGCATTTTTTATGACAATCAGTTTACATGCTTGAACAAATTCAGACGAAACTGCTTGATACTCACCATTCAATCCTTGCCACACTTTGGCAAAGTCAAATTCTTCAGTCTTGGAAGGTTGAGTGTTGTTGATAGGGGATTCAAACAAGAAGTCTTGAAGTTCTTGATAGTTGAAGTTGGAAGGGCAGGTCATGTTGATTGGTATGCGATTAAATACAGATGAATACAATGAAGACACGATGAAATAAATAAATAAATAAAGTCTCTTCTTTACAAATGACCAAAGGGTATAAAGAGAAGAGAAGAGAGATATAATTTAAAAAAAGAAAAAGACGAAATCGTCTTAGCTTCTTTCTTTTTATATCAGACCGAATTTGCGCAGCAAATAAAAATAATTTATAATTTTGTGAAACCCCATCATGAGTCACAACAATTCCACGATTCTCCAACTATAGAGGTGCGTCAGGTTATTTGACTCTGGGTGCACGGTTGCTATAGTTACGCTGTAGGGCAACTGAGTATGGTACGACCCCCTTAGGTGAAGAAATGCTTGAATTGACCAAAAGTTTCGCAGCAACTCCCTCTCTTGCACGTTATTGTTCCTGTCATTGTTTATCCTCCCTTTTCTTTTTTTTTACCTGTCTTTCATTGTTTCTTTTTTTGGAAAAAAACTGAAAATTCGCATTTCCTCTTTCTTTCTTTAAAGTGCGTGTGTATGTGTGTGTGTGTGTGTGTGTGTGCGTGTGCAATGTCTTTTACTTGTAGCAGTATAAAAGAAATAGTACTATAAAATGGAGCAAATTACCATTTCTGGGTCTGACATGTCGGCCACCTAAATAAGAAATGTTTCGTTAAACTTTAAAAAAAGATCTCTCTCTAAATCCCAACCACTCTCACACCTCGGCCGAACTGCGGACAAATGGAACACGTTTCTAATAAACTCATACGTTTCTTTTTGAGAGATGAAATCATAATTTTTAAGTTTAAAGTACGCAAAACCCCTTTTTCTATATATTCTCTGTGGCGTATAGATGACACATATCTTATTGCACAACAAATTAAATGCTTATATTTGTAATTTATTTAAAAATAACTACTTTTTAAAGCTATTACTTCTCTTGGTTGCTTGTGTAATCGAATCAATAGGTAAATAGCCTTTGATGTCTTTTCCGAGTTGTGTCCAAGTGATTTCACCTGGTGCAATATCATCTTGTGCTGTCTTTCTTTCTCTTAGCTGTGCTCTTTCTAAATACTCAGGTGAATCAAGATAGTCTCTCAATTCCTCATAATTGTAAATATTCGCCTTGTAGAACATATGAAGAAAGCCACCGAGGATTGGTATTAAACTGAACACAAAATCAATCATAATATTCAAAATCATATGCATAAACAACCAGAGTGGAATACCAAATGTGGTTGACAAATAAACTTGATAAAGTGCGAACAAACCGCCCATGGAACCACCAATGACAGGAATGAAACCCTATAGACGATGAGTATCTTGCTCTTTTTCTTTTTTTTTATGTTATACTACTTACCAAGATGGAATCAAGACCTAAAGGAATAGGCGAATGAGGCACGGCATTATCTAGCCAATGGGAAATTCTTTCAATTTTCTTGAGTAACTTCTTTCTTTTACTATCTGTCATATTGTTGGTAGGCAATGTTTGTCGCATGTAAGGATATTGCTTGCTGTATGAATAAAAGTATTTGGTGCCATGTGCACGCACAGTATCAACAAGTTCTGGTACATGTAAGTTTTCAGCAATCTTTCCTTTCACGTAATTCATTTTTATATATATGATAACGAAGAAGAGAAAAAGAAGAGAATCAAATCGAGTTTTATCTATGTTTTATGCTCGATCGACGACAGGATGACATCATAGTCAAATACCGTCATGATTTGAAGATCACTTTCAAGAAACTTGTTTAGACGTCATAAGAAGTAGACAATAAACTGATTAATTACATTGATCTAGTGTTGTTATACATACACACTGAAAATGATCTTTTTTTTTTGTGCTTTTTTTTTCCTTACAATGGTCAAGTTTAATTCTGAAATTGTTGTAGTATTTGGTTTCATTGGGTTCGTTTCAGCTTATGGTATTTGTCAAGCAGGGTGCATAGGTGCATTTATAGCATGTGAAGGGACTGTTGGTTCTCTTAGTGTATGGATATCTGGACTAAGACAGCTTTATTCTACCAGTATTTGTGCAAGAGCACATCGTGCTTGTCAAGAAGGATGTGTATCATTAGGACTTTTACCTATTCCTTATTAAAGAAAGAGTTCATTTGTGCAATGAAATTAGCATTCATACAAGTCATATTGACGTGTTTTGTTTACTCGACTAACTCTAAGACTGTATCATATTCATTTCAATACACTGATGGTATGTAGGTCAGTCAAGTTGCTTTTGTAATGCACGCAAAAGATTTCCACCAATAAAAAGGTAGCAATTGATTAGAACGTATTTTCATTGTTTTACATTAAAATTACACAAAAAGCAAATATCATGATCCAAGTTAGTTAGCAAGCACTCTTTCTATGTCCTTCTCGACAGTATGTGACGTAACATAGCTTGTTTGTTTTTTTTTCAGAATGTATCATTTCATGGCAAGAAATACGTGACTTTTTTGTGATTTCTCTTTTTCTTTCCTATCTCGACTCAACCATGCATAAAACAGAAGAAAAAGAAACAGCTGTAAGCCAACAAGACCCACTCGTGTATATTTACATATATTTAGGTCAAGCAAAGAGAGTGGTTACTTCAGGACATCATTCCACTCATGTTGGAGAAACTAAAGATTCGCCTGCAAGTAAGACACCGCTTATTCTTTTCTTTTTTCTGTGTTGATTATCATGATAGGAAAGCAAAAGCATTCTAAAGAGTTCGAGTAAATCAATTCGTTTTGATATACTTTGTGTATACTTATACTTTGCTAGCTAAATCTGATTCTTTGCCCTTAGTTCAGTAAGTCATATTTGTATAATCCATATATTCATCAACAGGAATGAGGCTATGAAAGGGTTTATCACAGTCACTGGGTCTTTTATAACAAAAGCTGTAAGTTGTCATTGGTGATTGATTTGTATATTCAAGTATACCATATAGGATCTATCAATTAAAATGGCTAATTATCATCAAGAATCACCTATCAAAGCGTCTATCACAGACTCAGTGCCTTATTTTTTAGAACAGGTATCATTTAAACAAATGAATCCTTCTGTATTTATATTGTCTAGGCACAACAAGCAACAAACTATCTCTCCCTCGCTATCAGTAGAATACATGACTATAAAGCCCCTTCTTTCAAGCAAACAACTATTGAGGTATTGTGTCAATGGTTACATTCCTTTCTAATGACCCTTTTAGCTTTTAGAAGATATGTATCAATTTATAGACCGTGCACTTCACGCATTTGATTATCCTAATGAAGCCTCCTTGTTTCCATATAAAGTTTGCCATCCAAAAGTAACTTGTCACATTCTTGATATCATGTACTAATAGGCACTAGTTTTTTAGTCCACCTTTAAAACAAGAATTAGTGATTGAATTCTGTATACAAGATGTATTTATCGTATGTAATGTGTATGCACTTGACTACCATTTCCTAAAGCATGGAACAAAAGCAGGATCAGATCACCCGCATGTGTAAGTTGATATTGTGTGTGTGTATGTACCACTCATGTATGCCATTAGTACCTATAAAGACAAACCAGTCATGGTAATTGAAGAACTCAAGACACAGACTCAGTCACCCACATTGACTGAACTAAAAAGCTCACTCAGACTTATGCTGGAATGGTGCCTCACATATAAACAAATGCTTCTCCAAATTGAAGCTTAAAAAAAAAGAAAAATTAAGGAGAATACGATGACACCTCTTTTTTATACTATTTGTTTGTTTTGTTTGATGCAACTGACGATATCAAGAAAGATGAATTCCAAATTAGTTCACATTAAGCTTGTTTAAAGTTATGTAGCATTTAGTGATTTATTTCTTTCTGTCTCTCTCTCTCTCTCTCTCTTTTTCCTTCTCTTTTTTTCTATCATTATGTCTCATTTGCTACACAAACATATTAAAACAGAACCTACATTAGAAGATCAAGATGACTTACTTATGTCATATCTTAATTCAGAATGTATGGCTACAAGTACCACATCTTGGACTCATGAACAGAAATACCCAATAGAAGAAACTGACTGGCAATATCTTTCATCATCTTCTTCTCCATCTACCACGCCTCTTTTAAATGATGTGTCACTTTTATGGGCTGCACAAAACCAAGCTACATTCTACAATGAAATGACATGCTCGCCTTCTTCTGCATCTTATTTCTCAACACCACAACCTACTTCTCCTGGTGCCTTTAGTACCTATTCTTCATCCTCTTCAGAGACTGAGCAGTCCAGAAAAAAGCGTGGACGTAAAAAGCGCGATACAGGTCGCAACACAACTCCTCCTCTTCTCCAAGGTCTTCCTGTCGTCATTGCCCCTGCTCCTCTTAAACAATTAGCACCCATTTTGCCTGCTTTTCAACATATCAAAGAGACACAGCAAGAGGTCGAGAAAGAGATTCCTGAAAAATATATGGCTGAGGATCCTCAAAAGGCAGCAGTCATAGCTAAACGACAAGAGCGATTGATCAAAAACAGAGCAGCCGCGCTACTTTCACGTAAAAGGAAACGAGAACATTTGATTGCCCTTGAAGATCAGCGCAAAGAATTACTAGATACAAACAAGGCACTTTACGATCAAATTCAAGATTTACAAACACAGAACCTCGAATTAAAAAAGAAGTTGGATCGTATTCCTTCTGACAACTTTGTCTGTATGATGATGGCCATGGTACGTGTATATATATATATATATATGTTGTATGTGTGCATATATACTTATTCTTCATACAAGTTACTCTTACTTTATACTGCATGTTTTACTTCTCAAGACACAGTTGATTTGACATCATACAAGAAGAAAGGTAAACAATTGTTTATCCAAACAAAATGCTAACCTAATTTTTAATTAGTGCAGCGTCAAGAATGAGACTGAGCAACACAAACTTTAAAGTGTGTACTAAAAGCACAATTTATGTATTTACCATGTAAAATTACTCTATAAAAAATAACAACAGCACCAGTGTGTTGTATATTGACTTTCTGATTTCTTGGATACTTGGTCTATAGGTATTGCTTTATTCTTCCATAATAAAGGTAGCCCTTCTTCTTCTTCTTCTTGTTCTTCAATATCTTGTTCTTGTTCATCATCATTATTGATTTGGATCTGATCATACACTTTTTGCTGTGTATAGTACGCATCACTTCTTGATTTGATAGTAGCAATTTTAGACTCTTAAATATATAAGTATGTGTTGATCAGAATGCTTGCTTGCTTACCTAATTTACTTATCACTTTTGCTTGTTCGTGTTCTTCTTCCACTGTTTTTAGATTCCATCTTGGTACTGTCTTACTTGTATCAGAAGAAGGCCAAAAGACTATATCACTATTCTAATTATATTATAAGTGTCTTTTCATATTGAACAATAGCCTAACCTCACTTGTTGTGTTTTGTTGAAATGGATCAGAGGGATCGTGAGGAAATGCTTTAGACATGGAAAAAAACAAAGCCTGATCGGAACTTGAACTCCTTATCATCTGGCAGGCATGCCATTTCTTTTTTTTTTCTTTTTCTTTATCCTTTTAAACTCATGTCAAAACTCGGTAAAGCATTAGCAGTTTCTTTTGGTGCCTTTGCAGGTGGTGTAGCAGGCTTTTATTTCTTAGAAATGTACAAGATCAAGTCAAAGGTAGAGATGGTATTTATGTTTCTATTTATTAACTTTATTTATAGGAGCAAAGATTAGCCATGTTACTAGCAAAGAAACAAGAATATGAAAAGATGCAAAACAACAATACAAATTCACTATAGTCAAAAGAATTTGATACAGAACCCCCTTTTAGATTATTTAAACCGACAAAAAGATAAACAATTACCCATCAACATTATCTCTTTTTTCTGTGTTTTACTAATTCATTGCTGGCTATGTTAGAGGTGTTAAAGAATGATTCGATATGTCTCAGGCATAGTTCTCCCTAAAGCAAGTGGAATGGCTAACACATATCTTGCATTTCTTGATTGTATTATTGTCTACGTAGTGTATTCTGTCCATGAAGTGGAACTGAAAACTCCCGAAGAAGGCACTTGTACTTTAAGATGGGAGCATTAATCAAAGAAATAGCCCAGAAGACATCAATAAGAGAGAGAGGGAGAGGAAGTCTTTTTCATGAGGTATACATATCAATTCTTTGTTTTTGGTTGCGAGGGAACATTGATTTCATTGGATCATATGCAAAAGAATATTGCACCTTTTGAAGTGAATGTAGTTTGTCTATTAGACAAGTGTCTTAATTCTCTTGATGCATTGATTTAACCAATGATTCATCAAAAGAACAGACATTTAGACAGGTATGTATAACCATATAAGAGGAGCAAAAAGCCTATTTGTACATAAAATCAAAGGGTACTACTCATGGAAAAATCTCATTTTGACAACTTCTGATTTTCTATATGACGCTTCAAGATGAAAAATGGAGCTATTGACCAGACCAAATACTCAAAATGACAGCCAAATACTCTAGTTTTTGTTCAAGGTGTTTGTTTGCCAGTTGTATTATAGAAATGGTATGATATGAACGAAAAACTTTATAAACATTTTTGCGTACTCGCTCAATATTTTTGCAGTAAACCTGTTGTTTTTTTTTTTTTTTTTTTGGAATGACCCAATGTAGGCCTGATCATACCGAAATCAGGTAAGACCATCCATAGGTATTTCTAATGAAAAGAAGACGAGTTCAGCAAAACGAAAAAGGCTGATTTATTTGAGCATTGGCTTCGAATCTGCATTGAAACTTGATTGTACACTGTAATTAGTACAAGAGAGGCTCCTTTTCAATAGAATTTGGATAACAAATGAGTACTTGTTTCTACATCATTCAATATACAGAATGCAAAAGAGTCATATTTGCTAAATTACATGATATCTATGAGGCTCAAGAAAGCAGCTTTGAGCATAACTAACAATGGATGCCTTGTAGAAAGAGGATTCAACATTTCAAACTTCATTTTCTTTTTCTAGTGTATATCGTTTTCTTTATTGACATTTATAAACCACAATCGCGTTTTGATCCAGTTGTTACAAAGACCAGACATCAGATGTAAAAAAGCAGAACATAGTAGCGTAGTTCACTGCAAGCGAGCAATATGAGTGGATAGAGCTGTCTTACAAGTAGATTCACCTCGTTGCTTTTATTTAAGGCTGTTTGTGTCAATCACTAAAGATGGATAGACAATATGCAAGCACAAGATCTACTCAACAACAAGTACTGACTGTGGATCTGATCAAGATGATCAAGCCTAAACTGATCTTCTTCTTGCCTGAATACGAACTGATCAGGCTCTCAAACAGAAACAAGAAGACTCACGAAAAGTAAACAAACCTCGCAAAAACTTGTTGAAGATCTTGAAATGCCTGAAAGAGCCGGAACTAGAGACGGTCTTGCACCAGTAACACACCTTAATGATGGACCTTGGAGGCACCTAAAGGGAAGGACTTTAGCGTATTATACTTTCAATTTTATTGGAGGATACTTACTAGATCGCCACAAAAACCCAGAGAAACCATTCTTGAATGACCTTGAGGCCCGAAGAATAATCTTGGAGACATATGAGAGAAAGTCTCGTCGATAGAGAAACACCAGTTAGAGTCTTGAAGGTAGACCAATCCTTCTTTTCCCTTTTGTGTATGCAAGTACTCCGAAGCACAAGTATTCTTTCGCACTGAGAATCAGTAAACCCAAAGACCTGATCTCACGACAGAAGTTCCCTGAGCTTCTATCTCTGCATACATGGTTGCTTCTTTTTTGGTCTAATATTTATCTCTTGTCTTCAACCAATCAGTAAATGTATAAACATTAGCCATTGTCCCTAGCCTTTGATTACACAAGTTTCAGTGCAACCCGTATCTGAACAGCGCCAAAGAAGAAAACACTGAGTAGACACAGCTACACGGTTAGAATTCACCGCTCCTCCAACTCTATAGGACAAATGAACAAACATACAAGCTTTTTGAACAATATGAACCCTACTTTGAATAAAAAATAAGGGAAATAAAGTACCGTATTTGGAAACGTGTGGCTTGGCCAATCAACTTGCTGCATCAGTTACTCTAAAGTGTTTGGACAAGTTTACAAAAATTGAGGACTATGAATTTCAAAGATTAAAACTATAGCGTTTTGGCTGTAGAGATGGTTTGCTTATTCTAATCAGCAGTACTTCTTTGCCTCAATTAAATGCTATAGTATCTGAAAATTATATCCTAGAATCTCCTGCTAACACGAACAAATCAAAAGTCAATGGTCACTTGGCAACTTAGTTTTTTATACAGACAATTCAATCCGAAAGCTATCAACACAACAACAACTTTATCCAATTGCTCTCGTAAGCTTAACTTGAATGTTAACTAAGAGAGCTTGAATTGGTTGTAAATTGGAGATAAAAGTATCTGTTATACTGCAATAGCCATATCCCAAGCGATAAAAAGAGGCACTCAACATATTCAATCGCTAACTTTAATGAACTATCGAAAAGAAATTGTTCGGATCTGAGCTTGAGAACACCTATGTAAAAGCTTAAAATTCATACCATATTTGGTGTTTTGAGCCATTCTTGATACCATGTTACACGCCAAAAAGAAAGTAACTAAAATGATTGATAATGCATCATTTGTTGGAAGCTTGTCTTTAGTAGCCACTTGTCTGATTGGCTTTTAGCGTTACACACAAACCTTTTTTTTTTTTATCTTTAAAGTCTCTCCTATCTTTTTCCTTCTTTTCTTTTCTTTTTTTTATTGAAGTATGTCTGGCATATTGAATTCTAAAAAGAGTCGAGGCTCAACGCGACCTCTTCTTGGTCCAGATTTCTCATCTTATCACAGTCGTCAAAAGAACCAAAAGGCACGTCTCATAGTTACTGCTTCAGCACTTGCATTATTTGGCACAACATGTGTCTATCTCGCTAGACATTTGCCTGCTATTCAGACAATGGACATTCACACACAAAGTCTCTGGCAAGACACAAACAGCGTCGTCTCACCTGGTATTTCACTTACGTCGTTTGAACACGGTCTTTTGCAATGTCAATACAACTCGGATCGAGCCAACGTCGTCACCAACACCACACGTACTCGACACCGTAACCCTCGACGTGCTCCTGACGCTGTGGATACCTTGATTATCAACGGGCATGTCTGGTTAGGTGACAAATACCTTGCAAAAGGTCAGGTTTATCTCAAAGACGGTTTAATTGCTGCTGTGGGAACGGATCTTAAAGTGTCCAAGCATACACGCATTGTGGACGCACAGGGTCGTGTTGTCACACCTGGTATTATCGATATGCACTCTCATATGACGCTTGAGTCTCTGAACGGACTCGAAGCCTCTAATGATGTGAATGAGATGACTTCACCTACAACCCCTTATGTAAGTAACAAAAATGAGTCATACATGTTGATCAATGTTTTTTTTATCTAGGTACGTGTTATTGATGCCATCAGTCCAACAGATCCAGGCCTCAAAATTGTCGCTAGTGGAGGAATTACAACCTCGCTAATCCTTCCTGGTTCAGGCAACTCAATGGGAGGTGAAGCGGCTGTTATCAAGCTTCGTCCAGTGCCTACACTTTCAAACCAAGATATGCTCATCAGCTCTGGTGTCTCAGAAGAGGATCAAGAAATTGTTTGGCGTTTCATGAAAATGGCATGTGGTGAAAACCCCAAAGGATATTATGGTGCCGAGTTGAACAAGATGCCCATGACACGTAAGTTAGAAACAATAGACGATAGAGTCTCATATACGCTTCAGGTCTTGGTGAGGCTTACTTGTTTCGTCAATGGTTTGAGAATGCACAAAAATTAAAGAGAAAGCAAGATGATTGGTGCGATGCTGCTGGCCGTATCCAAAAGACGTTCCCTAAAGATGGTCCTGTAGATGAAGCCAAGATCACTCGTCTTTCTGAACCTTATCCTGAAGATCTTCAGCTGGAGAGCTTGGTTGCCTTGTTGCGTAAACAAGTCAATTTGAATGTACATTGTTATTTGCCTCAAGATTTTGAAGCCATGGTACATCATTCGCTTGAATTTGATTTTGACATTGCTGCTTTTCATCATGCGCTTAGTGCTTGGCAAGTGCCTGACATTATTAAGCGCGCAAAGACAAATATTACCATTGCTACCTTTGCTGGTAAGTGAAGTTTTTTTTTTTTTTTTTTGTGAAGTATTTATACTCACTGGTTATGACTAGATATGTGGGGATACAAGGTAGAATACAGCATGCATTGATTGTTGGTTAATGGGTTTGTATAGGCTGAAGCATGGGATCAAAATGTACATGCTCCCAAAATTCTGGATGCAGCAGGTATTCCAGTTGCTTTCAAGAGTGATCATCCAGTCATGAACGCAGTAAGTAACACACCTGTATTTGAACTATTGTGTTTGATGCATAGTAGCGCGATTTGTTACATGAAGCTCAAAAAGCCTATCACTATGGTTTTGATGAACACAAGGCTCTTCAAGCAGTCACTTCTGTACCTGCAGCCTCCATGAAACTTGGTCATCGTATTGGAAGCATTGATGTAGGCAAAGATGCTGACATTGTTATTTGGGAACGCCATCCTTTACGTTTAGGTGCTCGTCCCAAGCATGTCTTTATTGATGGCTCAGAACTTGACTTTCAGAAATCATGGACAAAGACAGTAACAGAACAAAGTCTTGTTGCTGAGCAATGGGCGATGGAAACACCCATCGGGGAACTAGAAACAGAGCAAGAACGGCATTACTTGCCTCCCTTTTCTTCAAATACGATGCGTCTTGAAGACCATGGCCTTGATAACCCCAATTCTTTCCATGATGCTTGTGGCAGTGATATTCGTTCCTTTGTGTTACGCAATATCAGTGACATCTATATGAATGCAACTCGTATATTGCATGCAAATGAAATTGGTCAGGGATTGTACATGATTGTCAATGAAGGTGAGATTGTTTGTCTAGGTGCAGACTGCGATAGAGACCATATTGATTGGCCTGTATCAAGCCCTGTGTTCAACATGAATGGGGCTGTTGTGATTCCTGGTATTGTGTCGATGGGTGTTCCTCTTGGTCTGTCTGAAATTCAATCAGAAGCAACAACACATGATGGAAATGCAAAGAATGATGTCTCTGATGCTGATCTTTACAAGCATATTGTACGTGCTGTTGATGGCCTCAAATTAAATGGATTGCATCTCCAGAAAGCATACAAGGCTGGTAAGTCAGATCATGATACAAGATGCTTGTTTGACACTCTGAATAGGTGTAACTACTTCTATTTCCCAACCTATGGGTTCCAGTTTAGTTGCTGGTGTGTCTGTTGCTTTCCGAACAGGTGTGGAAAAGACAGTGTTAGATACAGTGGATGCTTTAGTAAAAGAAGAGGCAGCTCTGAACTTTGTTATCCATCATGGAGGTATGTCAACTATCATTTGATCACTCGGTACTCAATTTGTATCCATACAGGAGAACCAAGTGTCTCTCAACAGATAGCCACCATCCGCGATTTACTCGTCTCCAATATCAAAAAAGACCCTTCTCACCACGTATTTGCCCGGGCTGCTCGTGGTCAAATTCCCGTTGTGATTCAGGTAGACGATAAAGACGAGATTGCTTCTATTCTGATGATCAAGCAAGCCATTCAAAAAGACTATGGCTATCAAGTCAGATTTGTCATTTTAGGTGGCTCTGAATCTCACTTGGTCGCTGATCATTTGAGTCGCTTAGATGTGCCTGTTGTTCTTATGCCTGCTCGTTGTTATCCTCTCACATGGCAATCTCGATCCTGTTTGACAGGTCCACCTATCACACCCTACACAGTGCTTGATGTCTTGTTGAAGCATGGTGTACGTGTAGGTCTTGGCAGCACAGATGTAGACAACGGTGATGCACGTAACTTGATCTGGGAAGCAGGCTGGAACTTGGCTCATAATCCTCACTTTAGTGCTCAAGAAGCTGTTGGCTTGGTAACCTGGAATTTGGCCGAGATCTTTGGATTGGAGACAGGTGTTTTGAAGCATAGTGGAAAGTCTGATTTCGTTGCTTATAATAGCAATCCATTTGAATTTGGTGCTCAAGTATTGATGGTCCATGGTGGTGCACACCCAGGTCCTACTTGTTTCCCTCAACAGGTTTAAAAAAACAGGATATTTAATAAAGAACAAAACTTTTTGAAGTCCGCAGTCCAGAGTAAAAAAAAAAAAAAAAAAAAAAAAAAAAAAGGCCAATTCAGTTTATTTTTCCTTTTTCCTCATAAAAAAAAAAAAAGATGCCGCCAAAATCAAGTACAACGGCAAGAGGGAAAGTAAAAAATCATTAGTGGCAGACAATCATCCCAGAATCAGTAACTATTTTAAGCCAACGCCTAAAAAACCAGCGATAACCAAACGCAAGCATGAAACCAATGAAAATACCGATTGCAACGATGAGAATCGCAAGAAAACACCTTCACCTACAAACTCACAACAGAAAAAACCAGGGCTTGGAACCAAAGAAAACACCAGGCCTGCCTTGAGAGATATAAATCCATCTAAATCTCTAAATCAAACATGTCACAATCAGCCTACCAAACCTGCTTTTACAGTACTGTCAGATGAAGATATTAAAAAGGGTGTTGAAAAGGCAGTAACGCCTCCTATTCAAGTCTATTGTGATAATGAAGAAGAAGAAGAGGTGCCATTCTTTGTCTATCGTGATACAGAAGATCAATCAGCACATGAGACGCGTAGTCAAGAAGACAAGCCAAAAGAACAAAACACACAATTCATACCCGAGACAGAAGAGACACAATGGACTGAAGTAACTTCTTCGCCTATCCATGTATTTGATGATGAAGATGAAGAAGACGCGCAGCCTGAAATATCTGCAAGTCAAGTGCAAGAAAAAGCCGAATATGCTAAAAACGGATTACGAAAAAAAACAGATGAAAATGCCGATTATGGCAACAATGATGATGATGATGACTTTGACGACGATGATTTGTTTACAAAAACCACCGATACAGCCATTACATACAAACCCATTGGACTTGCAGAGAAAAAGCCTCTTAATGAACTTGTTTCAACCACAGGCTCTACTTTCTTTGATGATGAAAAAGATGATACATTTGTAGACGCCATTCATTTCTCGTTTGGAGATCAAAGTGATGAAGAAAAGGGAGGCAGTGACTTTGTTGATCCAGACTTGGAATTCTCAGTAGGCGATATACCACAGGACGATTTACCACAAGTTGATCCAACACTGACATTATCACCACATAGTATTGAACCAGTCAAAGAGATTCTTGTGCCATATCCAAATCCTCGGGGTGAAACTGTCTTGGAAAAACTAAATCTTAAGAAAATGAATGAAAGCAAAGCTGAAGATGACTTGCCTAGCTTGTCTTGATCTTTATATACATATTCATCATTTATGAATCATACCCCCACACCTTCTTTATAAGTTGAATAAATAATGGACACTCTCTCTCTCTTTTTTTTTATTAATATCAATATTGACATGATATGCTCTGAATTGCCTTTTGAACAAGCTGGTAGAACTCTTGTTGCTTTCTCTTGTTTAAGGCATCATTTGAGACAGAAGTTAGCTCTTTCTTTCGATAGTATGAGCCAGACTTGATATCAGGACTTGTGATGAGATAGATATAGGCATCTGTGGATTCGTCTTGTGAAGTGGCATGAGGCGAATCCACGTCTTTGTCAACTAAATGGCGTGAATGACGAGCAAGATCTGTAGTAGGCACATATCCAGGACACATGAGAATGACTTTAGTTGACTCAAGTTGAGGAATTAATGCTAGCACACCCCAGATCAAAGCTAGTTTGGATAGCCTGTAGTACTTTACTGTATCCCATGTCTCTTTGTTACCTGTCAATTCATCAAGCTGTACATCTTCAGAGATATTGCGCAACTCTCCAGTTCCATCATTGATTTCGGCATTATGGATCTGAGAAGCAACAAAGATAATGCGCTTAAGAGGATGCTGACTTTTTTCGATAAAGGGAAGCAATAATTGGTTGAGATACAAAGGAGCAACAGCGTTCATAAAGACAGTATCCTCAAAGTTGTAAGTTTGTGAAAACTTGGGATTCAGACCACCTGCATTATGGACAATCACGTCAATAGAAGATACAAGTGTACCCAAAACTTGAACAGCTTTCTTCATAGAAGCAACGTCCAGCAAGTCCATCGTAATGCCATGTAATCTGCTTTCATGCTGAGGACTTGAATCTTGGAGAATCCATTGCTTTGCTTCTTTAATTCTTTGTTCTGAACGACCAGTAATAATGACAATATGGCCCGATTGAAGGCATTTTTTAGCAGTCAATCTTCCAAGGCCAGTGGAAGCACCAGTAATCAAAATAATCAAATTGTTGTTAGACATACGGAAACAATAAAGAGAAAACGAGAGTTGCCTATTTATACCAGTCTTCAGATGCGCAGTCGTAAGCACGAAAGTAAAAAAAAAATGACGATTTGAATCATACACCTATTTGTGTGTTTCTCAAGACATGTAAATGAAGGTGGGCATTATCGGCTACTGTCCAAATAAAGTCATTTTGAAGTAAATCGCATGCGTAAGTCTTTTTCCAAACTAGCCCGACTGTGCCATTGGTCCTTCACTTGCGCTAACATTGTACACATCACATGCTCTACTATCTGGGGCTGTGCTGCTACATGCTTTTGTACAAAACTAGTTTATTTGCTCAAAAAGAGAAATTATTAGAAGTTAGATACAAAGTCTGCTTAGAGGAACATCAAACCCATATATATTCTAGAGCTACTGGCAAACATTAGCATCATGGAATTAAATAAAATTCTACTTTCAAATGCAAGTTTGAGGGTCTTTGTGCATTTTGAGTACCCAAAGTACAGTATGTCCGGAGCTCTAAAATTCAATAAGACAACAGAAAAAAGTCGGCGTTTGAATCAAAGCTCTCTTCCTACAAGACATGTATCGCTAGTTATGCTTAGAGCTGCTTCCTTTAGCCTCAAAAATGCCATATATCATTGCAAAGCTTACTCATATTTACTCTGCACATAATTTTAAGTAAGAATAACTAACCATTTACCAACCAACATCTACTAAAAGAGGCTTCTTTTGTACTGATTACAGTGTACAATGAAGTTTGAGTGCAGATTTGAAGCCAATGCTCAAATAAACTCGCCTTTTTCGTCTTGGTAGGCTCGTTTTCTTTTCATCAGAATTATCTAGAGATGGCCTTGCCTGATTTCGATTGGATCAAGCCTACATTGGGTCATTCCAAAAAAAAAAAAAAAAAAAAAAAAAAAAAAAAAAAATGAATTTCACCTAGAAGCCAAGTCGATGGTGCCATTTGATTCCTAGACTCAAAAGGACATGTTTTAAGTGAAAAAAAGGATTGTCTTGATAGTGCGGTTGTCGAGCAATGGTCTATCAAAGATTGGCATGTTTAAGCTGTGTTTTGAGCATTTTTGCTCTCGATGCCATATAAAATGTGTTAGCCATGAAATTTTAAAAGCTACTTTGTATTATTTGGGATGTCAAAGGGCATTTAAAAGTAAGAATAGGGTCGATTTATATTGCAAATGTGGGATGAATGAACATAGGACATAAAACCAGTTCTTGCCGCTACATCAAAAATCGAGCTTTTGCAGAAAACTGCCTGAGGACACGGCTTTGGGGCTTTGCTATAGCGACAAAAGCTACAGATATTTAGTTTCTAAGTATACTGATATAAAAAAAACAACAGGTTTACTGCAAAAATATTGAGCGAGTACGCAAAAATGTTTATAAAGTTTTTCGTTCATATCATACCATTTCTATAATACAACTGGCAAACAAACACCTTGAACAAAAACTAGAGTATTTGGCTGTCATTTTGAGTATTTGGTCTGGTCAATAGCTCCATTTTTCATCTTGAAGCGTCATATAGAAGATCAGAAGTTGTCAAAATGAGATTTTTCCATGAGTAGTACCCTTTGATTTTATGGGATTCTTGACCAAATTTTACAGGTCGCTTTTTTTTTTTTTTTCTTTTTTTTTTTTTTTTTTTTTTTTGGTCCCAATCAACGCCAAAAGTACCCTGTATGTTAGTAAAGTATTTATGCGTGTACATACCTGTTCTTCCCATGCTTTTGAGAGATAGATGAAGCAAAGTTTTCTCATAAGATACACTGCTCATTCAACTCTAAAAAGCAAATTCGTTATAATTACTTGGTCTACTTTTATTTTCAGTCAATAAACAACCTTTTTCTTTAATATAGAACACCTCAGCGCTACTCATATTTCAATCAACCTTACTTTTATTCCTTTTTATTCTTTAGACATCTACAGTCATACATGATCATGAATGTGCTTCACAAGGCAAGACATTCTGATGAAATACATGTTTTCAAGATATAATTCGTAATCGCCAATTTTGCATTGAAACACAAACACAAACTGACTCATTCATCTTCTTGATCTCCTGGGTTTAGTAATACACTTCTGACTAGACTAACTATAAATCCTCAGGTACAACTGTAGCTCAAATGAAAGATCGATCAGGAAAGGTATGTGAAGGCAATTTCACGTGATTGTGATAAGTTGACTTACTCCTCCATAGGTTGATTCGTAAATGATGATTTCTTCTATTTTAAATCTAAATGCAGATCATTACGATCTAAGCTTAGAATACGATGGAAAAGAATAGTGTATTGAAATACAAACAGGCACACTTGCCACATATAAGCCATTAATGTTACACAGTTCTATGAGTATGTAGCGACACAGATGTAATCACGCTTTAATCTGCTAGAAGTCATATTTTAGTTTTATAGGATTTCATCTTATGTAATCAGTGGCTTCTCTCTTCTCCCCCCAAAAAAAAAATTATTCGTCCTTTGGGCAGACTGTTCTTTTTATATATATATATATATATTTAAAATCTTATGAGTAATAGACTTCTTTCGAGATCGTGTTGTTTGTATTTTACAAAACACCAATATGCTGCTTACTCGACATTACCTAAAGAAGCAGCAGGCAAGTTTACCAGTAACAAACTGATCAATACAACCAAGTCAGACAGTGTTCAAAGAACTCTGGTCTATATAGGTAAAGTACATGGTTTCGTCTATTCTATTTATAAAAATAAAATAAAAGGTCCCTTTTCAGAGACAATGAAGCGATATAAAATGACAGCTTCTTTTTTTGGATTGTGTGGCATAGTCCTTGTGCCTGCTTTAATTAACAGTGCTCCTCCACTCAGCGTATTATTAGGTAAAATAGAATTATTAATGTTTATTATTAGTTAATTAACTGGTTTATTATAGCTGGTCTTTCAACAGTGTCTCCTGCTATATTTGTACATTTCTATACAAAAGGCTACGTGTCAAAATTAATTGTGTATGATGATGTTAAACAAGTCGAGAAAGAGCGCAAGAAACCCAGAGACATGAAGGATAAATTTGTGGGGATCGAAACTATTTCATTCTTTGGTAAAGTCAAACTTGATTCTATGTGGTTATCTCAATTGAACTATACATCTACACCCAAGGGTATTGTCTGGAGAAATAAGCAAAAGTTTTTTACGTTTGAAAGAGAAATTATGCATGCAGATCCATATTTAAGAGCCTTATGCCATCGTGTTGAAAAGAAACAGTCTTAATAAAGCAATTTACCATCTTGATGTTTGATTGGATAATTGAAATCACTTCATTTCGATACACATAAAAAGAAACTTTTTTTTAATTTTAATTTTTTTTAATTCTTTCTTTCTTTTGTTATAGACTACTTTCTTTATATATATATATATATATCTCTCTTAATGCCTACCTCTGCTAAACGTAGACCTTCTTACATTAATCTTTCTAATGCCACAGGTACAAATGGCTTAGTCAATGACGTCTTGTCACCTCGTACACCGAGATCAATTAGTAAATCAAGACGATCTTCTGTTGTAGCCGAGCATGTTCAAGATGTTCTGTATGATAACAATTCCCGCCGTGGTAGTTTACAACATCATGGCCCTACTTTATTATCAGACAGTACAAATTCTTATTTCCAAGACTTGTCTGCCCATGACAATGATATCATTCGCTCAGAAACACCTACACTTAAAGCCAGAACAACATCGCATGATGATCTCAAATCCAACAATCGTCGTACTCGCTCTTCTTCCATGTCTAGCTTATTAGGCACTTCACTACAAGTCTTACCTAGTTTTGATGTACATGCACTCTATAAGATCAAGACTACCCGTACCTATAAAAAACTCACTCGTTTCTTTGGAGAGAATGCACCACATGATATCTGTATTAAGGAAATTCGAAAGGAAGGCTTGAAGGCTATTTTGGAATCCAAATCACCCTTGTGTTATTTCCTCTACCATCTATTACAAGAATACAGCAGTGAAAACTTGGTATGTGACATTTCCCCTCTCATGATATACCTCAATTAACCTCAAATTTAGTTTTTCTTTATTGAACTAGAGCAATATGAATCTTTTACTTATACGTCTGCACAACAACAATTAGAAACTGCACAACATATCTACAACACTTACTTGTCTAGGAATAGTTATTTCGAAGTCAATTTAGATGACAAAGTCCGTAGGACCGTGACAGAAGCACTTGAAAAGAAAGATGCCCATCATTGTTTTGACACAGCTAAGCGAGCCGTTTATTCTTTATTAGAATCGAGTTATATGCGATTCCAAAACACAGATACCTTTGAAGATATGGTCACCAATTGTGGTAAGTTTAAATTTTTTTTTTTTTTTTTTGTGATGACTAACATAACTATTTAGGCGAACTAACTACTTTTTATGATGAGCAAGCAAGAATGGCTGCTGTCAGTAAACTCGTTTCTTATATCGAATCCCAACAAACCAAGATATATGGTACAGAAAGCATGTCAAACACAACAGCTACTGCATTCCAAAGCACAACTATCAGAAGACACGAATTGATTAAATCCATGATCCATGAATTCTGTCGAAGTTTGGTGGGTATCGAATTCAACTACTATGACTCCGATAACAACCAATCAGTGCCCTCAGGAACCACTGGTCGCCATGTGGGCCTTTCCCCTTTTAGTAATAGTGCGAGTGCTATTATGAAAAAATAGAAGTGATTATATAAAAATAGATTTTGATTAAACTTTTTGCATGTCTTTAATAATTGATTGCATAAAGAAATGCTTGGATCGTCATACAACCGATCAGAGAAATAGTGTCTTTTTTTTTATATATTTCATTTTTTTTTCTTTTTCTTTATGGTTTTGATAGGCAATGGACCTAGATTAGAAAGACAAGAGAGTGAGGATATTTTCCACGATGCTCATTCAACCATAAAAAGGCCTTCAATCAGCAAAGAATTCTCTTCTGCTTGGACTATTTCTATTCCTTTGAAACCCATTTATTACGAATGGATGTCAGAAAGTAGAGTACTAGTGGCTCATCAAAACAAATGTGTTCAATGTAAAAGACCGCTTAAATGGAAAACATACCGAGCTGTGCTAACAGAATCAGATCATCTTAAGCTGTACCCTATATGCCATGTAAGTTCCATTCTATCTAGACTGCATCTATAACAAAATCAAGCAGTTATTTACCTGTTTTCCGTTGGATAAAAAGGCTCGTTTCAGTATAGACTTGACACAATCGCGGTTTGTCTTATCGCTCATGTCGCCTGTTGATTTCAGCTGGTCTCTTGAATCAAAGGACGACGTCTTTTATTTTACAACAAACCATATCAAAAAGTCACAGAGATGGTATCAATCAATCTATCAAGCCTTGCCTGCCCAAGCCAAGAAACCACTGCCCAAGTCGATTGAGTTAAACATACCTGAACTGGACATGACCATTCAATTACCGTTGCATGAACTTGTGGCAGAAAACAATGTTGCACTCAAGAGTATCCGAGATAGTGCATTAGCCTTGTTGCATCGCTATGGGTATCGACCAAGTGATTGGAACAAACAAAGTGTTGGGTTATGCTGGTACTATCCGCCCCTTCAACACCTTGATTGGGCTATTGTGCCATACCATGATCAAGGTGATCTTATTCAACCAAGATTGATTGAGGGAATCCATCGCTTGGAACTGAGACATTGGCATAAGCGTCAAGAACCTAGGCCTGATACGCCTATCTTGATTGAAGGTTACTTGACACATCGCCATAAAAGAGTTATGTATGCAAAAAACATGGATCATTATTTATTGTTGTATAAAATCACAAACAGTCTCTGTAAGACGAAAAAGACATCACCCTTAGACAACACCACAGCAGGTATCGTGGGTATGGTGGACCTAACCAAGATGAGGCGCAACCAACTCTGGATTGACTTTGATCAACATCAATACACATTTGAACCTATAACACTCATTGAATCTCTTTATGTACCTGCTTCTTACTCTAAAGTAGTGGTAAGTCACTGTGTGTGTGTGTATATTGAGATATATAACGAGACTATAGAAATCAGATGTTCTCTATATGAAATCAAACATGAGTCGCCTCCATACATTTCAACAAAAACAATGTATTCTGACCGCATGCGGTCATTTGCTGGTATTCAAAAAAAACATGTTGGTGTCGAGAATAGCATTGAGGAAACAGCATTGCTTTGTCTATAGTGGAGAAGCATGTTGTGCTTATATTCATTCACTGCCTACTGATTTACCTTCTCGTCTATTTGAAGCAGGTACAATTGTAGAGCAAGAAGAACCTCGTCGATGTTGCTTTGTTGTCTTGTATAAGAAAAAGCCTTTTATTTTCCTTACTCGAACATGTCTTCAAAAAGAAGCATGGGTTCATTCTATTTATTCAACTATGGCTAGATAAAAATCACAATCATGGGTCTTCCTTGAACAATGTATGGGTATCAAACATGTCTACTGGATTTGGTGGTGGAAAGTAGGGTTGAACAGGCGTATTCTTTTGTGACTACATGATATTACTTTTTGTTGCTGATAAAAAAAAATAAAGCTTACCAGTCGAAAAGGTGTACTTGCTGACACTGCTTTTTCAATCTTGTCTACATTGTTTGCTACTTGATGATAAGTTTCTTTTACTCGATCAATAATGCTCTATAAAGAAAATTAGAGAAGACGTAGAACTCGTAACTTACTTCAAGTTGATCAATCTTGTCAAAAGTAGCTTTTAATGCTTGATCTCTTTCTTTTAATGCTTGCAGCACTGTGTTTGTGTCTTCAATGCCTTGTTGCATCTTGGAACATGAGCTTATGGCTTTTATAAAACGGGTGCTTACTTGGCGTAGTGTATCATGGGTATGATGTATTCTTTGTTGACATGAGGTGAGTTGCGTGTCTAATTGTGCCGTCTATACTTGATCATGTTCATCTATCGATCCAAATGAGACACTTACTGTAGACATAGTCAGGTTCTCTACTGATAACTGTTGTGTTAGTTCTTTTGAAGCTGATGCAATCAAGGTATCCATTTTGTTTTCAAAAAAAAATGAAAAGAAAAGTACGTTTATTATAGAAAATACACATCATCATAAATAGTCCATATACAGAGTTTTTTTTTTTTTCAAAAAAAAAAAAAAAAAAGGAAGGTATCATAGAAAAAAAAAAGAAAAAAGAGAATGTTACATAAAGGAGGGTCAATAAGGATGATCTAGTTTGATTGTCGTTAAGGGCTGTAGATTAACTTTGTTTTGTGGCACAGACCGAGTGGATTGCCAACGACGTGAAGGAGCCGTATTTGGCTTTTTCATATGGGTTGACTTGATATGTTTTCTTAATGATCGAGAATGAAAATATGCTTTTTCGCAACCAGGCATAGAGCATAAATAAGGACGGATATCCGAGTGTGTTTTGATATGAGTAGAGAGTGAATCGGGTCTTGAGAAGGTTTTGTTGCAGTCTAGCATGGTACATACAAAAGGTCTTTCTCCTGTATGTGTTCGCATATGGTTATGCATTTTATGTCTTTTCATAAACGGTTTCTTGTTGCGTGTGCATCCATTCCATTCACAGAAATAGGTGGCCTATCAAAGAATGTCAATGTCCATTTTATTTTTCATTATTTCTTTACCTTGCCACTACCAATATGACTTTCACAGATATGTGTCATAAGTTTATCTAGAGAAGGTGCTTCTGCTGTACAGAAAGCCCATTGACAGGCATGCATTTTTTCTCCTTCTTTTTTCTTGACAGGAGGTAGTGTTGTTTGTTGTGGTGGGGTTTTTTCTAGTGGCACATGATTCATAAAAGCTTCTGTTGACAATGGGTTTAAAATAGCAGTATCGTCGTACAACAATAAAGGAGAATTGTTGAGCATGGTGTCTTGAAATGTCACCATACTTGCAGGATAAGAAGGGAGTAAGTCCTTGTCTAACAACGTCATGTGGTCTTGATACTATAGAATTGTCAGTGCACACATATCGCATAAGTGTCTATTGTGCTTACAGAAAGAGAAGGGACAAGTTCAACAGGGTCATAATCCAAAGCAAGATAAGCGTTGGTATGATCCATCATAGAAGGAGGGGTGGTTTGAAGGAAGGAAGTATAGCCAAGCATGGGTTGTTGATCATAAAGATTTATATCAGGTGTTCGAATTCCTAAAGATGAAGCTTCGGAATAAGAAGCTTCAAGATGATGGTACATGGATTTCTCTAAAGGATTGAGAGACCATTCTTCTTGGGACTGTAGAATAGGTTGGCAAGAGACTAAGACAAAATAGTGAGTAAGAGTAACACAATAATTTTTTTATACCTACTATTATCATCATATGTGGTTGTCGTGTTTGTGGGTGAATGGGGAGAAGGATAACAATAAGGTTGACTGAATAAGGCAGATTTAGCTGGATGAAGGCAAGGAATATGCACCTTTAATTCATTTTGTTCTGGTGTTGTATTGAACATGGTCAATGTTTAATATCCAGCTATTCAAAATAAGAAAAGAGAGAGAGAGAGAGAAAGGAAACACGAAAAAGAAAGAAAAGAAGAAAAAAAATCAACCCATTATATACAACGAATTAGAAGAAAAAAAAAAGCATGATATTGGTTTATAGCTTAAAAAAGCAGGTTATCCTATGAAGATTTCTTCTTTTTTTTTCATTTTATTACTTTGTTCTTTTTTACTTTACACAACCCTGATAGTTGTCATTTACCCTCGCTGTTGTTATTTACTTTGAAAGAACAAAAAAAAAACTCATGTAAATGAAATCAATTTTTCAGTAACACAACAGTTTGAAAAATCTCACCAGAATTACCATTGAGATTAATCGGACCACACCGGATTTTTATTTTTGTAAATCTCATACGATTCCGAGAGAGGGAAACACCTGTTCTTTGCTGTTTCTTTTTTTAAGCATTCTTTTTTTTTTTTTTTTTTTTTCCTGCATGTGAAGAATAACAGGGTGATGACTTTATTCTAGCTTGTGATCTTTATTCATCAAAAGATCATCAAATAAGGACAAGAGCCGAGTGATGTAAATTGACTGGAGTTACAATAGCATATGATAATGATCAAGACTGTATTAATTTATTCTAAGCAATATCTTTGGTCACAATCAGTTCTTTTTTAGGGCAACATTGAATGCCAGCATCATACGAGATGCAGTGAATTGGAAACCTTAAATTGGTTTAATTTAGAGCAAGATGTATGAATAAAGAGACGTGACTTTAAACGTCAACATTTGACAAACATCAATCAAGCCATGGTGGTTTTTTAATAACATGAAAGATTTCCATTTAAATAAAAACAGCCCAAATCAAGTTACGTAAATTACCTTAATATTTTAAAGCAAGTCTTTAACTATGATTGTGCCTCAAAATAAAGGCTGGTTACCGTTTATGTATTCCCTAATTCAGCCAATGCATTGCTACTTGTAAGGAAGGATTGGCTGGAATTAACAAAAAAATATATCTTGAAAGAGCAAACGAAGCTATTTCTATACTACTTTATCAACAATACAGGTTGTACGTTTAGATAAATTTCATCATACATATGTATTGAGATTGTTTTTTTCTTTAAAGAGTCATGAAGCTGGATAGTATTTGTTGTTTCTTAATTTGGCATGATGCTACTTATAGATTTTTGTTATAAAACACATTCATATTCCGTTTGTCTGTTTCAAACTTATTTCATTCTATGATTTGATAAATAATGTTAATTTATTAATGCTTTAAAGCTTGGAATAAATGGAGTGTCCCCTAAGGAAATTCTGAGTTTATGTTCATGTCAAAATTTAGAAGAAATAATGGAAGCTCTTCTGTCCCTGGACTTCTCTTACATCTGGTACTGCCAATGGAAAGGAATCAAACCATACAGAATCCTCATAATTACTCTTTCACAAATCTGGCTTGCTCATATAAGATTTATCTTTAACAAGACCCCCATTGTACTCACAACCATATTAGCAAGCATCCGATTCAATGTTCGTCAGACCATTGAAGAGGATCAATGCCATTCAATCATGTAACTTTTTCAATATATTTTATTTTAGTTTATTTTATTTTAGTTTAGTTTATTTTGTTTAGTATATTTCGTTTTATTTTATTAAATTTCATTTTAATTGCATCCGCCTCTTCACTTTGACTATTACTCTTAGTGTACGCGGCTCAATCAATAAACATATTTTTTTTAGAAAAAGAAATAATGGGCCAAAAGTGTCTAGAAACGAAGAGCTATCTAAAAAGCGTATTAACAAAGTTAGTAGATGAAAATACGACGCATTGAGTAGTGTAAAGAAAGTAGTATGCTAAATACCAAGATAATGAGCTATCTTTCAAAAACGTTCCATCTGTTTTTAAGCCGTAACGTACACTTTTTATAGTACTTTTACAGATATGATACTTTAAGTGTGTTTTATAAACTTAGACAAGCAATCCTTACTAAGACATGTCATGTCTAAAATGTATTATCCATCGACCACCAATCGTAAAATAGTGAAAATTGAAGATTTATTTTATCACTCATCAAAAAGGGGGATATAAGGGAAGAGAACAAGTGTAAGAACCAATGACTTGTCTCAGAAAGGCAAAGTTTAAAAGGGTTTAAAAGCAGATAATTTTCGTATAGTTTTGATGGCGTCGTCGAGTATAACTTGACCATCATAAAAGCGAGCATCAAAGTGGTGGCGCCAGTACGCGTTCCAAATAGAGGAGAAAACAGTAGAGAGAACTTCAAAGCAATTGAGGCGAAGATGTGTATCTAGTATTTGGTAATGATCAATGTTCAAAGCTATTACATCTAGGTAAAGCTAGGAAAGAGAGAAACGAGAAGGGTGCTCGAAGAACAAATTGATAGCATTTGTCCAGATGTCTTTGTTAGCCGTGCATGTCAACAACATGTGTTCGGGAGTTTGTGTTAGACCACAGAATCCACACTTATCATATGGTAGTTGCAAGATAGTGGCAGTCATTGATCTTCAAGAGATCTTGTCATGTAAAAGGCGACACCAAAGGCTCCTGGTACGACCTGGGATTAATATCTGAAGGAAACGCTTGAGACGAGTAGGGTTCACAATTGCCTTCAATGATTGAATGGAAGGAATATCTCGTAAATACATTTGACGATCAGAGTTGTTGAGATCGAAAACTGAACATTCATTGAAGACAGACCGTTGTAGATACGACTATTAAGATACTGGGTGGCAAGGGTCAGTTAATTGAGTCATAAGGTCTTACATGAAGGGCAGAAACAGTAGTTTACCATCTTTGTAGACCTTGAAAATCCGAGATAGTAAGCCTGGACTGCTGCATTCTTTACATGTTTTGAAGCGGAGAAGTCCTGAATTAGGGTCAACCTGCAGAAAGTAAGAAGTTTTTTTAGTAGCATTGTCGAGAATGTCGAAGACTGTATGATCAACTTGACATAAGTCAACAAAAGGCATTTATAGACAAACAGACAAGCTGAGGGCTATATTATCCCATGAGGAGGAGAGTGGACAATCATCAATTGCTTTGAGTATGGCTGAAAGCGTGTGCAACTCGGTGAGATGAGTGGGGTTACGAGCCTTTAGGAAGAATTGAAGATTTCTTCAAGGGATCATAAGTCCAAAATGACGATTTTTTGACTTTTTCAAAACTTGTTATATTTTTGCATAAATACGTTCTCTTATGTGTGCTCAAACATAGGAAACTCAAAAAAAAAGGGAATTAGAAGGTAGAAATGATGGTTTATCTTGAAAAACATTCGCGCCTGCAGCGGGCTGACAATCTATTGCTAGTGTTACTATACTTATCGATTGTTTACCAAATTCATTCAAAAACGAAAAGTAGTTCATGTTCAACAAAATCCAAAATTACATAATAAGCTTGGTACTCAAAAAAAGCACATATTGAGGACTAAAAACATATCAGCGTGTAATGTGCCAAATGGAATCAAAATTTACGTTTTTAATTGTATAGATGGTGAAAATCGTAAGGAGCACCATAAGAGCAAAATGACCATTTTGACATTGGCCTTTTTTTTAATGCATACTTTGACCTAGAACATGTCATAAAAGTGCTTTGAGGGCATTTCTAAGGTATTTTTTCAAACATAAAAAAAAACTTGATTAATTCACTTTTTTTTTTTGATTCTTTTTAAAGTGTTTCTGAATAGATCAATAAAACGCTTGTCAGAATAGAAAGACAGTTTTATTGAGGGGTTTCTTTTTTTTTGATACAAACAAAAAAAAAAGAATAAGATATATGCTGGTGTTTCTTTTGTTCTAACGACTGTCCCTCATCTTATTCTTTTTTTTTTCTCCTAAATGTGCAAATAACTTAAAGAGCAGAAGCACCAGTAATAATATCAACTAAAAAGAGAAAAGGAGTTAACAACCTATGTTTTGCATCATATGACTTACTCAATTCGTTAGTAATAACGGCTTGACGACCACGGTTGTAAGTCATGGTCAATTTACCAATCATTTCACCAGCGTTCTTGGTGGCGTTCTCCATAGCAGCACGCTTAGCACTCATTTCAGAGGCATGGCCTTCAACCATAGCCCAGTAAACACTGTTGGCAAAGGTGAATTCTTGAAGGTTGGCAAGAACATCATCTTCGATTTCATAAACAGCAAAGTTAGGGGAGTTCTTGAAGGTGTCTTGAGAGTAAGCAGGAATGGCTTCAGCTTCGTAAGAAACAACAGAGTTGAACTTGTTGTAAATGATGTTGGCAGAGTCAAACTCGATTTCAGAAGACTTGATAACATCGACAATGGAAGAAGCTTCTTCAAAAGTGGGGATATCCTTACCAATTTGGTTGAAAGTGATACGGATGTTCTTACGAACAACACGACTCAATTGAGCCTTGGGCTTGTCACCAAGGATGACAAGTTCAGAGGCAGGGTCTTCAGCAATGGCTTTACGGGTAGCCTTAGAGACACTGGAGTGAATACCACCACAGAGACCACGGTCAGAAGAGGAGGCAATGTAAAGAACCTTACCATCTTCAGCAGCTTTGGTTTCAGCACTTTCAAAGAGAGCTATTATAATGCATTCAGATTAGAAAATCTCCATTTCTTTTTCCCCCTCTTTTTTTTTTCCTTCTCCCTCCTTTGTTCCCCTCATCAATCGCCTATATGATACATACAGTGAGAAGCTTGACCGAAAGTACGAGCAGCTTCCATACCGCGTTGAGCCTTGCTGACTTTGGTGGAAGCAATCATCTTCATAGACTTGGTAATCTTTTCAATGTTTTGAACAGACTTCAAACGTTGTTGAACTATAGAAAAAAAAAGAATGCGTCAATGAAATGTTCTCTTTCTCTTTCGTGTTGATGATTGCATATTATCTCGTTATTTACTTTCTTTCAAGGTGGCCATGTTACGGACTTGAACAGCATTGCTATAATTCGGGTCAGTTCTATCGTTTTCAAATAGCATGGTATTGAAATCTACCTAACGGGAGCAGCAACAGGGCGTGCAATGCGAGAGACAGTGGATAACATTGCTTATTCGTGAAGATAAAAACAAAGAGAAAATAATTCGGTGCCTACTTTTTTCCTTTAGCGTGCAGTGTGAGGCATCCCCGGACGAATCCAAGTAAAAGTCTACGTCACTTGAAAGACAAGAAGTGGCTTTGAAAAAAAAAAAGTCCGTTTCGAGACGGTGTTTAAAATGGTTTCAAGGGAATAGGTACGCATGAAAGATTCCTATGCTCGGTCAAATCTACAAAAGGTATGCATAGAAACCCACTTGTCTCACAAGCAAAAATAGAAAAGAAAAAATTTATGCGATAAGAGGGCGTAAACAGTTAAACATTTGAAACTCACGAGAATTTAGTGATACAAAATAACTTATCATCAAGCCAAATAAGATAGTCATGAGTGTTTCCAAACATAATGGATATCCATATTGCTTTATTTGTATAATCGCTCAGTTCAGCTGTTTTTTTTTTTTTTTTTTGGTTTTGTGTTTATAGTAAGCCTACGCTCTGTAAAAAAATAAAAAAGATCATTAAGCTGTAGCTACCTTAGGAGCATGATCTAAACCGAGATATTCAAAAGGAACTCTGAGATCTTGAGAGGCCTTCTGACGAGCAACTTCAGAATAATAAGTCAACTGAGCTTGAACGGTTTTCAAAATGGGCAAAACTTGTTGCTGAAGTCCTTGAGCGACATTCTTAGCTTTTTCCAAAGCAGAAATATCGTTCCGAGTATATTGACTATGAACCAATTCAACTTGTTTGTTGGCAATATCAACTAGAGAAGTAACACGCGATTTGAGCCATTCAGGAGAAGATTGAACCTTGAGAAACTCTGTGACTTGAGAAAGTTGAATAGAGACCTGCTGAGTCAACAATTGTAATCGCTCGTGTGAGGTTGCTTGAAGGTCTTGAAGACGTTGGTTGACAGAAGGAGGAAGATGGCTTTGAGCAGACTGTGTGCATAACTTGACAGACTCTACGAGCGTGCTTTGCAAATTTTGAATATTGGCTGTTGCCTTATCAAGCAAGTTTTGACCAGAGGCGATACGAGCCAAATTGTCACAGGAACGAGGCAGCTGAGCAGCGGTAGCTCTGACTTGTTCAGAAACCGTCTGACTGAATCGAAGTGTAGCATCATTAAAGAGGTAGTAAGCACGAACAGCCTGGTTTACTTCTTGAACTTCTTGTTCCCGTTTTGTTTCCTGAATTTTAGGGAGATAACGATCAATTACAGCCTCAACGTTATCAACAACACTGCCCAATCGTTTATTAGCCTCTTGAGCTACATGTGTAGCAGGCTGTTTGATAGAGCTATAAATTCTTATTTTGACACCATCTACAATCTGGTAAGAAGGACCTGTAACGCTTCTGACAAGCTCAGATGTAGGCTGGTTGACAACAGGAAATTTGGTTTGAATCAAGTCGAGTGAGCGGCAACCTAGTTCGTCTGCTCTTTCAATATGAGGCTGAATGTAACTTTGATAATAAGATTGAACATATTTGGGCTGGTACTTGCTTACAGTTGATAAAGTAGAGTTGGCTGTCGATAAAGCAAATCGACCTAAGCTTGTTTTATTGGCCATTGCTTGAACGGTTGAAACACCGTCCTGTACAATCGGAAGTGAAGTAACACGTGAAACAAATTTACCACCAGTTCTCTTCTCTTGCTCTTCCTCTGAGGTAGAAGAGGACTCAAGAGTAGTCGCATCAGAAAAGGCACCTTCTTCTTCTTCTTCTTCTTCTTCTTCAAGAAAGACAGTCTCTGGCTCTTTTTGTTTTTGCTGTTCTGGTTCTTGATATACCTGCTCTTGATATTTCTGTTCTTGTTCTTCCATATCTTTAAAAAATAAGAGAAAGATAAGCTTTTAAAAATAAAAGAAAAGGGAAAAGAAAAAGAAAAACACACAAAGAGAAACAGAAGATAAATATATATACAAACAAACAAACAAAAAATTGGGGAAACCTTCTCCCTCCTCTCCCCCCAAAATAAACTACTTTATATGTTACCTTTTTTTTTCTTGAGTTTTGAATGATGTTTAGCCATAGTTAAATAGAATCTTGATAGAAAATAAGAAGGAATATATATCAGCAGCCATGTTTGACATGTGAAAAATAACTTGCGATAAAATGTCAAAATTACGCATTTTAGAACAACGAAATATACTTCTTCTACGCTTTCCACAAAAGCACAAAGTCGTGAAACGCCTCCAAATCAGGCTGGTTGAAACGAGCCTAGTCCTTGTATCGATTTTCACATGTAAAGTGGCAAACAGCGGTGGCAAACAGCAGTGGCAAGCGCAGACATGCAACAACCACAAAGGCAGACACGATAAAACATCTACCCAAGTCTCTGATGTTACGTTCTACAATGGAAATAATAATAATGAATGTTATATTTTCTGTACGCCTTGGAAAAAACATTTTAACTTCCGCATGGTCAATGCATCGTTGACATGTGAAATTTATAAAAGTCTTTTTTAGAATAAGAAATTTATCATTGTTTTTTTCTTACAGGATTAAGATAATAAGACTACTAATTCAGAATAATATAATATAAAAAAGGGAAGTTAATTTTTTTAGTTGGCGCGTTGTGCATAATTTTGGAAGGCAACAGCAATAGAAGAAGCAGCAACAGAGCTAAAAGAAAATGAATTAAAAAAAATAGGCGACATGTTTAAACTTACTCTTCAATCTTTTTCCAAGATGTTTCAAGCTGTTGTCCTTTCTTTTCCAATTGTTTACGACTAGCCAGCTTTGTTCGGCGTGTCTTGGTAGGCACCATTTTGGCTGTCATTTCAAAGCTCCAGTAGCGGAAGATTTGAACCTTAACAACATCAAGAATCATGAAATAAACAAGCGAAATACCAAGTACAGATAAACCCCAAGGATAGCCACAAGGAGCAACACCTTCATGTTCACCAAAGACACCATAAACAGAAAAGAATAAAGCAATGACTTGTGTACCAATGATACAGACAGTAAAGATCCAGTTAGGCATATTCTTGAACCAATAGCCAGGCACACGTGTTGAGAAGATCACAAAGTGCGGTGCTATATACGATATAAGTAAATCTATTATATACCATAAAATAAAATTACCTGAAGAGATGTGCAAATACATGATGGAGTGCAATTCATTATCTGTCACATGGAATACATCGCGAGCTACATAGAAATGAGCAAAGGACAAAGCAGCCAACAAAGCAGCGAGTACAAAAGATAAAGTGAGCAATTGACCAATACGCCACTTGTCTGGTTTCTCGGAAATTTCTGTATTGTCAACTGAAATGACCAGAGTAGCAGCATCATTCTAAAAAGGTCCAAAACAAAATAAATATAAGGTTCCAGAAATCAAAGAAAAAAACTTACCAATACACAGATCATGATCAAAAGTACTGCAGGCATAGTCCAATCTTCAACCAAGGTAACAATGAACATAAAGAGCAAAAAATGAATAGTAGAAGTGATACGGTAAAGGGCATAAGAACGAAGACGCTGGAAAATAGCACGAGAAGTGACAATACCGTCTGTGATTGTAGAAAGTCCCGGTGCAAGCAAGACAATATCAGCAGCAGATCGAGCAGCATCAGTACAACCTTCAACTGCAATACCTACATCTGCTTTCTTAAGAGCAGGGGCATCATTTACACCATCACCAGTCATGCCAACCAAGAGACCCTTGTTTTGCAACAATTCAACCACGCGATATTTGTGTTCAGGAATCACTTGAGCAAAACCATCTGCACGCACACAGTGTTCAGTAACTTCGTCTTCAGATTTGTTGGGGTCCACTAAATGATTCGCATCAAGAATAACACGGCCCATGCCAAGTCGAGCAGCTACTTCTTTAGCAATAATCAATTGATCACCAGTAATCATTTTCACATCAACACCAAGTGCATTACATTCAGCAATAGTAGAGAGAGAATCAGGACGAGGAGGATCCAAAAGAGAAATCATGCCGACTAATTCAAACTTTTCAGTACTACCAACAACAGACTTGGCTACACCAAGAGCACGCAAACCGCGACGAGCAAGAGAGTTAACAGCGTGAACAGCTTCATCATCGCCACCCACAAGGCTAGTGATGACTTGAGGAGCACCTTTAGCAACGTGGAAACTTTCATTTGTAGCCAAGTCAAGAATAGTAGCTTGTGTCATTTTTGTAACGGGATTAAATGGAGAGAATTTTGTTACTTTATAACCAGGGATTTCACGAGCATTAGCGCGGTTTTTGAGAATGTCAAGTTGACCCTCAGCAGCACGACGAACAGCAGACTCGATAGGATCGTTAGCACCTGGCTCTGCAGCCAGATAAGAATAGAGCAAAATGTCTTGCTCAGAATAACCATTCGTCAACCAAGGTTTGTCAAAAGTCAATTCGTTCAGAGTTAGTGTACCGGTCTTATCAGAACAAAGAACAGAGACAGAAGCCAATTCTTCAACAGCAGTCAAACGTTTTACAATGACTTGTTTGGCAGCCAATTGTTTAGCACCCACAGCCATTGTCACAGACATGACAGTAGGCAGACCTACAGGAATGGCAGCTACAGTTAAGACAAGACAATTTTCCAATACGATCTTCCAGTTGCCTTGAGGTGTGCCACGAAAATGAACCATTTGATAGATAAAGACAATCAAGACCAAAATAACAGTGGACCAGATCAAGACATTACCAATCTTACCAATAATTTTTTGAAAATGACCTTCTTCAGCGGTAATAGCAATCAGATTGGCTGCACGACCAATAAATGTATTTGTACCCGTTTTTGTGACAATAGCAAGTTGTTGACCCTGTTTAATAATACTTGAAGAATAGACTGTACTTCCCTTCTTTTTGGCAACCAAAAGAGATTCACCAGTAAGACCTGATTGATCAATCATAAGCTCAGCTTCGCTCTCTTCACCGTTGACACCAAGACCCAAGGGACGAGCATCAGCAGGAACAATGTCACCAATACGAAGCACAATAATGTCACCAGGCACGAGCTCCTTGACGTCCACCTCAGTCAGTTCATTATCACGATAACTACGTGTCTTGAGAGCCAAAGTTTGACGCAAAGCATCCAAAGCAGATTCGGCTTTTGCTTCTTCAATATAACCAATGACAGCATTGATGATGAGCAAGGCGAGAATGATACCAAAATCGATCCAATCGCCGACAACAGCAGCAATAATACAAGAGATTTCAATCAAGTAGGAGATGGGGCCGGTAAAGTAACCAAAGAACTTAAGGAATGGGTTCGTTTTTTTCTCTGGTAATTCATTCATACCAAATTTAGCTTGTCTCTCTTGTACCTCAGAGCTTGTTAAACCATGAGAGGGATCAGTGTGTAACAATAATTCTAACTCAGGTGATATCTCGTCTTCATGTTCGATGTGTTGATGTTCTTCAAATTCAACCTTCTTCTTTTCATCCATGGTATAAAAAGTGGAATAAGAAAATATTTAGAAAGTAAAAGAAAAAGAAAGAAAGAAAAGTGATGCTATGCAATAAATAGGCCGGTCGGTTGATTTATTCTTTTTTTGACCCGATCATCATACAGAGTAAATGTAAATATATAAGAGAGGGAAAAGCCAAAGTGACTGAGCGAGAGTGAGAGACAGACCGTGTTGTTTATTTTAGGGGATTATCTTATTATGACAGATTTATTTTTTCCTCCTAAAAAAAAATCTGCATAAACAAAATACACACACACACACACACACACACACCTTCTCTAACCTATCTCTTTCTCTTTTCTGCCCTTCTGCAGTATGTTTAAACAGACGACAAAGGCGAGTTTAATAAAAGCCTAATACCATTATTGCAATTCCTGATTAAAATAGCTACTTATTCACTTGTATTTAGCAGTTGTTTTTCAAATCTAGCAAATACTGAATGAAACATATAAAGGAGAGATTTGTTCTCTCTTTTGTTTTTTTATCTTCCTTCCATTTTATATATGCGATTTTTGCATTGATTATTATCATAACTGGCACTGTTACTATTATTCTACAAGGCGTGATTGCTTATCTATCAGTTTAGGTATGAGCTTTCTTGTGACATTGCAAATGATACATCAGAAGTTTCTTTGCATTTTTTGAGATTTATCATAAACTTCCATACTGTATTCAATTCTGAAGCACTAAACTTTGCTAAATCTAGCATGTATTCATCTGTGCGCATATGTTTGTTAGTTCTGTATGTTTATATGTACATCTATATACTTGCCTTCAGTTTCAATAATACCTAAATGACTTATATCTTCCCATTCTGATAAAAGTTGATAAAACTTGCGTAAATCATCATCGTTGAGTGATTCTAGCAAATGCCCTAAATGTGATAGGTTCTATGTTGGTTTGAGTAAGCATGTACTTTGATGGCGTACGTATGCAAAAATATGCATACACATCTGTAAACTATTTGCCCTGAAAAAAAAAAAAAAAAAACCTTACATTCCAAAAGACCTGATTGTACAACATGTGAGGTGATCTACAATTGACTTGTTCTTGTTGTTGTTTTTGTAAATCCTGATATAATACCGACAGGGATAAAAAGTGATCCTCATAACAATTGGTGGGCGTCTTGACCATTGTTGAAATAGAGGTAGCAGAAGAGCTTCTTCTAGATCGAATAGACTCTTCTAGAACTGGTATGTCCTATCGTATCATAAAATAATCAATACTTTTCTCTTGCATCAACTATTTTTTTTTCTACCAATGTCTTTTGGACAACATATTTAGGTTTTCTGAAATGAAGATCAAACACAATAGTTTGTGAGGATAAACTTGGATCCTTAAAATGCAACCTGATTGTCAAATCAAATTCTCCCCAACCTTCCTGCTCTATTATATAGGGCTCTTGTGTACACACTATTCATGGTCAGTTTGTACTTTATGCACACTATACTCACCTATATGCGGCGTTTTAAACGAAGGATGAAGTAAATACTCAACATGGTCGATATAGTCGCTCAATGCATAATATGAATCCATTGACTTCAAATACACCTTCCATGATCGCATAATAAGCCCATCTTCCGCCATATTGCGAATAATTTTGTTATTGCAAAAGATCCTGATGTGTCTTTTCATCTTGTACTACAACAAGGATTTAAGTTGCATGAAACACTTTTTTTAACGGATATCTTTCCAATTGGCCACAACTTTACCTTTCAAAAGTATTAAAGAAGTCGAGAGAAAAAGAAAGAAAAAAAAGATACAAGAAGGAAAAGAGAGATATATTTATTGTCTGATTGATATAAAATAAAAGTAGAAAACAATACATTTGTACACGTGATATTTAAAAAAAATACAATGAAAGATTAAGGTGATGGCTCTTGTTCAAAATGAGTATGCTGATGATGAGGCGCTGGATCTGCCCAGTTATTATCATGCGTACTTTGTTGAATCCAACCTAATTCATGATTTTCAGGTCCTTGATCTAAAGAAGGGATAACGGCTTCTTCTATATGATTCTTTGGTTCGTCATTTGCTTGTTTTTTAACGGGTATAATACCAAGAGGTGTTCCTTCTTGGAAGCCTTGCGTCAGAGGTGCTTGAGCACTGGCGCTGGACAAATCACTATATCTTCGTACTACATTCTCAGTATCAGTAGCAGTGTTTCGTTCAGTAAAGATGTCTACATTCATATGGCGCTCTTGGAATCGAGGAACAGGCATATGGTTTTCTTGGGCAAGTTTAGTTCGACGATCAATTTCGTATTCACTCCATTTTTTCATTGTAATCACACTACTATCAAATTGACCGCCTTCATCGCCATGGCCTTTGTCTTTTAAAACACCTTCTACTTTACGAGTGTCACCCCATGAAAAGTCATCAAAATGCCAGAAAGCATAGGTAGGGAGAACGAAATTCCAAATAACCAAACTGACTAGGTAGATAAGCATCCATCCAACATAGACCAACTTCCGACTTGTCATACCAATCAAGACAGCAGGAAGACCCAAAATAAGAGCAAGCAAAATTAAGGGTAACAGAGCTGGTTTGCCCATAATAGCAATAATGACCACATACAACGTGAAAGAGATAGCAGCGGGAAGGGCCAATGTACCCACAAGTTCCATAAACACAACAAATTGCATGGAAAAGCAGAAAGTACCACAGAGATCATTCACAAGCAACAGTTCAAATAAGTTGTGAATAGTAGAATTGATCCAACGACGACGTTGAGACAAGAGCACCATAAATGTATCAGGCACCACTGTTTTACAGACAGCTTGAGGAACAAACATCATTTTACGATTAGGAAAAGTACGAAGCATCAAAGTAGTCAAATAACGATCTTCACCAAGCAACAGAAGGTTCTTACGATGCAATGTATCTACAACATTCTCTGAATAATGTTCAACAATATCAGGATTGGCAAGAATAGGAACCCAATACCCATTTGGACCTTTGGGTGCCTTAATACGATACATACAGAAACAACCTGGCAAACAAGTAACACCACCAAAAATAGATTCAAAAGCCTTGGCTTGATGATGAGAAATATAGTATTCAAACACTTGAATCATGCTAACCCAACTAGCCTTTTTGTTGGCAATCTTTGTTTCACCACAAAGACCAGAAATTTCTGGATCTTTTACAGCTGCAGAAATTAAGCGAGAAAGCGCGTCTGGATACAACTTTGTATCTGCATCCACCATAAGACATATTTCAAAATTATCAGCAGAAACACCAGTGATACGCCAGATAGCATTAAAAAACTCGTACTCCATCATTGTCATACGCTCATCAAACATCACTTTTTGCAAAAACTGCATCAAAATAATCTGCGAATCACGCTTGCCACGATTACCAGGCTTAGGAGCATCTGCTTCTTCGGGACCACCGCATTTGACAATTGTAATCATTGGTACACGCGATTGTTGTTCAGGAGGCACTGTTTTGTCATCGAATTTGTAGAAACCAGCGTATACTTTAGCGCAATTATTTCTTCTAGAACCATCAGCAATAGCGACATAAGGTTGAGCTTGAACTTGGTCGGCAGGAACAATCAAATCCCGCATCATGCCTACACAAATGTCGGGTGTAGACATTGTTTCACCACTACCGGTAATTAAACCATCACAGATAACCAAAAGCATCGTATGACTCTTCGGGTAATCGCTGACACAAATCGAATCCAGTGTAGTACGAATACCCTCCTCTCCTTCTGAATAACAAGTGACAAGACAGATGGTATGAGCCAAAGGGTAATTAAAAGGCATATAATCAGAGGGAGGTTGAGGAACAACATAAGGTGACAAAGGGAAAGGACAAGGTGTTGCTCCACTGTTATTAGAAACACTACTACGACCATCCCAGCTGAATGACGAAATGCCCGGTGTAACATAGTTTGAGAACGATGCAGTGGATCCTCGGTAATTGTTATTATTCGAGAAGGAAGGTGTTGAGAAGGACATGACTGAGTTAGGTCTACTTCCAGTGTTTGCGTTACTATAGTCCCAATTTTAGTAAATGTAGATCCAAGGTTCAAACTTACCTTCTCCATGCAGGTGTAGGTGGTTTCTCAAAATCAAACCGGGTAGAACCATATTCTAATGGTGTGAATCGAGATGTACGAGGAAATAGTGTGCGGTGCTTTTTTTGTGAAGAAGGAGGTGGAGGTGGAGCTGGTACACTCACTACAGGACCATTGTCGTTGATGTCTCTAGTCCAGTTTTCAATTTGTTCTTCTCGTCTCATTCTTGCAGCATAAGAGCTTTCTTCTTTAAAATTGCCTAGCTTCCAAGACATGAACCAGCCAAAATAAACCGCTAAAAGGAATTTGGCTAGAATTACACCGAGAATGACAACCAAAGAAACATAAAGCACAATTTCAGAAAACATACAGCCAACAGACAAAGTATCAATTTGCCCAACAGCGATTGTCTTTGCCAAACAATCTGCTTCTGGTATCCAAGTCGAATTTGGCTTTGACCGGATCAAATAAGTCATGTCTTTTCCTGCAAAACTATCCATGTTATTTAAAATCTGTTGGATAAGCCCATTTGAAGGAGTCGAGAAGTATGTTGTTGGTAATGATTGTAATAAGGCTAAATTTAACACTTTGCTATATATAGGGTGAGTACTCTATAAATAATTTAGCATAAACTCTACCCGTTGTAAAGCATGAGATGCGTTGTTGAGTTCAAGTCGTCATATTCATAATAAATTTTAGATTTTTTGCTAAAAGTGCCATCATTTTTGGGTGCGCCTTGATTATAAAATGAGTTGAGCGTGTTGACAGCAGTGCTTGAAGTATGACAAAGTGTCCTATTGGTGTAGGTTGAGACATCAGGAGGCGTTGTTGAGTTGGGGTTAAACATTTGACAAGGGAAATAATTAGGCTGTTGACCCTGCAGAGGAATAAATACATTATCACACTCAGAAAATGTTTGAGGGAAAAGAAAAGAAGCATCCATGCCACTTCCATTGTAAGGAGGATACAGAATATTCATAGTGCCATTAGAAGAAGGATGATTGGACCAATCAGCTAGCATGTAAGCCCAACCTCGGATAACAAGATAGCCTGGAGGTACAGCATTACCATGAATGGATATGTCGCCCACAGGACAAGCGGCTTGGTTAAAACCAAAAGTCAAGAAACCAACAGCAGCCATAATACAAAGAATAACACCAATTAAACCCATTTTTTCTCTCCATGCAGTTTGAGCTGGACCAGCCTTGATACCTATCGTGAATGGTTTAATATATGCAATTGATCTACTGTTGATTCATACCTGCGCAGCTTAAAAGTTGAGGGGGTATGCAACAAGTGAGTAGATAACAATAAGTCATCCATGGTCCAGGCAGTCGATCTCTCCATGTCTTTTTTGCTTCCTGATAATATACAAATTCATCCTCATTTGGCTCTTTTTCTTCGCGCCCCAGCACACTTTTGCCACGGCGCAAAGTGACAGACTTTGTAGTATCTCTTCTGCTGAGCGTACGAGGCAAATTGCCTGTTCTACTTGGTTGGATCGTTTCTGCTGGCGCTTGAATAGCAGCTTGTCGATAATGGAATTGCCGGTGATTAGGGTCTACGCGTTCTCTTTCAGGACGTACTAGCGATCTTCCACGCTTGACAGGTTGTGTGATAAATGCCTGGGCATCAGAAGCCATCGGTGTTGCCTCTGGGGAATCAGATATGCGACTGGCTGTCGAAAATTCTCGACTTAGATTGGGTTTGTATGTTTGAATTTTACTGTCTGGATGATCGCTCATTATTTATATTTTGCATATAAATGACAGTAAAAAAAAAGGGTATAGTTGAATAAACAAGAACAAGAAAAAAAAAGGGAAACAAAAGAAACAAAGAGAAAAATATAAATACAAAAAGCGGCTCTCCAAACATCGGTGATTCGATCTCTTTTGTGACACTTAGCAATCCTAAAAATATCTAAACGACTCTTTTTTATCCCCTCCACTCTTTTTTATCCCCTCCGCTCTTATTTAGCGATAATGAATGAAATCATGATGAACTGTATCATCACTTTGGTCTGATCTGTGCGCGTACACACAAGATTAATAAAATAACTAATGTTTGACATTACAACTGTTGTTCCCTTAAATGAAAACTTTTTTTTTCTTTCTCCTTTCGCTCCTTTTTTTTTTTCAGGCACCCAACTTTTAAGCAAAATTTTATTCCTCTCTCCTCTCTCTTTCTTGCTTTATTGTTTGCATGCTACACAAAAAAAAGAAGAAAAATAAATTCAGTGTTTGTACTACTTTTATCATAATGATGGTTCAGCTATTTCATCATTCTTTCACCACATACATAAGGCTGAAAACAAAAACAAAACAAGATACGCTCTTGTCTAACGTATCATGTTTTTTTTTTTTTTTTTTACAGAAAACATCTTTTAGAAATCAACATTGTTTACTTATTTACAGAAATATTTTGTTGTACTTGGTTCATCGTAGCAGCTAGACTGCTGATCATGTTCCTGGCATAGATTAGGTCTTCATGCTGATCAGTGGCGTATTTGCAAAGATCTATTAGGAACTATGAGATATTTGCTTATGTCAATCTGATATAGCTTACCATTCAGTAACAATTCATAACGTGGCACGCGCTGGAATGGTGCAATCAAATAGTCAGCCAATCCCAGACGATTATACTCCACTTTATTATTGCTTCTCGCACTATGACTGGCTCGACGAATTGCTTTCATATGACCCCGATAATGAACTGCATACTTTAAAAAAATCACTAGATCTTGCTCTAGTTCTTTGAAAATTCGGCCAATGACTAAGCCCGGGCAATCATCAAAATCATACGTCTCTAGCTTGTATAACATTTTTGAGGCAACAGACACAAGATCAGGGAGATGATAAAATAAGACATAGACATCGTCGTTTGACCTAAATAATGTAGTTCTATTCTGAGAATTTTTTTCCATTGGCTCCATATAGCTCTATCTAATTAGTTCCCGTCTATTTCTTGCACTTATCACTCACAGAACGAACAAACAACAAGAATTGATAAAACGATTTCTCTGTAGCATACAGCTCGCTTGTAATAAACTTGGCAATCGCTCGATGTTTTTCCGCACACTATAATTGATAGTATGAGTAACGAGTCTCAAAAGTCAAGAGATACTTGCATGATCTGGTGTTGGTAAGCATGTCTTTCTTGGCATAAGCATCTTTTGCATGATGGTTGATTGCCATAGCTGAATAGCTTTGTGTTCTTTTTTGCGAAATCCTGATTTTTCAACAGCAGCATCGAGATGAAGTGTATACGATGATGCTGACTTCACTGGTGTTGGAATATCATCATGAAATTTATTGATGCTTGGCCACAGATTTAATAAGTTATCCTGGCTGTAACTTCGCTTAGTAAACCCGTTTTTTTTTCTTGATGAATAATGATGGAATCTAGCTGATAATAGGTGCTCTGACTTGGCTTTATGTTCTGAGGTGTCTAATTCAAATAGAGAATCGTTATATGCTGTTATTTCATCAGGAATTTCTATAAGAGACTCGCTCAAGGTTGAGTGCTGAGAGATTGATAAAGGATGACATGGTTCGTTTTCTAAATCAGGCAAGCTTAGTGTATCAACAGTCAATGTTGATTCAACATCGCCTTCCGTCGGCAGTCTTGGTTTTTTTTGCTTGCATCGGATTGTATTTACGTTGATAATACCAAAAAGCACAGAGGCACGTTTCTTTACAAAAGAAGGCTCTAAAGTTTTGGCATTCATGAAAGGAATAAAAAAAAAGAAAGTGGTTTAATTATTAAAAATGAAATTAATTATACAGAAAATAAAGAGCGGAGTCATTTTACAACACTCTTGATAACTGTTTTGGTACATGTACAATGCTCAAATGCTCATTTTTGTCTGCCCATAGTTTTTTCTTTCTCGTGCTTCAATCGTACCAAATTATATTCTGTACTGCTCGAAACTTTAAGTATCCACAAAAACCATTGATTGCTGTCAACCGAAATCGTGTAACAAAAAAAAGGTCCTAAGAAGTTGAAAGAAAAGAGTTATTGTTAGACACTGGGCTTCAATGCAACTGGCTTTTAATCAGGCGTCGCAATTATGAACAATAGTATTCGGCAAAATGTTAACGTTAATGTTTTGCTTTCATTGGTAAGCACTACTTTATGTAGTCTGCGCTACATATATATATATATCAAGCAAATAAAACTTGACTAGAAAAAAAGCGGATTTTAAAAGCATAAGAAAGGCCAGACCAACAAAGCTATACTAGTACATAGGGACTCAATTAACTTTTAGAGCTGATAAATGAACGAATTTAACAGTAACGAAGGACTTCCCATTCAAATATAAACTCAGTTTCGGTTTTTGCATGACATCAAAAAAGAAAAAAAAAAATCTTTTCTTTTCTTTAAAGATGTTTCCCGTTTTATTTCGACACAGGTTATTACAAACAAGAAACCCTCTCTTCTTTAATAAGCTAAAGCGATCGTTCTCAGCTACATTATTTGTTCGAGGGGAAGAGAATGACCAAGAACCATCTGATAAAGACACACCCGAGAAAAATAATACAAATAAGTTGATTGAAGAAGAACTGGCTGTTATGTCAACCAAATTAAAAGAACTACAGGTATGCTCCTATTCCTTTTCCTCTTTTTTACTGATACTCTGTAATGCAGTCGAACTATCTACTTTCTTTGGCTGACCAAGAGAATTTGCGTCAACGCCATCAACGCGAAATTGCTAATGCCAAAGATTTTGCTATTCAAAAATTTGCCAAGGAACTTGTGGACTCTATCGACATCTTGAAGCTTGCTCTTCAATCAGTGCCTGGCAAATTTCGTCAACGAGAAATGTGTCTTGAACAAGATAAGTCTGCTATTGTTGAACAACTCGTGAATCTTTACACAGGCGTTAGCATGACAGAGGCGGAATTTAAAAAGATGCTGACTCGATTTGATATTCAAGAAGACAACCCTATTGACCAACCTTTTGATCCTAATAAGCATGAAGCAGTCTTTCAAATTCCAGCTGAAGAAAAGAAACCAGGTACTGTTGTTCATGTTCAAAAAGTAGGTTATACTTTAAAGAATCGTGTATTGCGTCCTGCTCAAGTAGGCGTTGTTGCTGAAAAATAAAAGAACATTTTCTTTTTTTCATTGGCTTGTCATTAAAAAAAAAAAATTTTTTTCTTTTGTTCTCTACTTGATCTTGTCATGGATCCTTTACTCGATCAGCACCTTATTCCCGAAAATCATTTGCAGCTTCCCGAGAAATATGCACATTTAAGCCCTCAGCAGTATGCGAAAGTCCTACTTGATTTTATTGAGAAGCACAAGCACTGGACAACGATGCACATCGTAGATTTTATTACCATGAATCAGTGGGAAACAATCATGCAAAAAGAGTGGTGTCAAGCCTTATTACCAGCAGATGAATATTCTTCTCAAGATCAATGGATCAACTCAATTATTAAAATTGCCTCTGGTTCTGATATGAATGTAATTGACTCTATAAACAGCATCATATATTGAGTTTTTTTTTTCTTGTAGGAAGAATGGCCAGATTCCTTAAAGACTTTTATAAGAGACACTCGAGATATTGCTTTGCCTCGACTCAATAAAAATGGCTGTAAAGTAAGCATCAGGAAATAAGCATCAGGAAATGAAATCTAACCTATGCATTTAGTACATCAAGGAACAACTAAAATTGACAAACGTATTATCCCTGGTATGACAGGAAAGAAGATTCATGAGGTACAGTGATACGATATAACAACCAAATATTCTAATTGAATAGGTTGAGCGAATGACACCTGTCATAAAAAAGGTTGCTGCAGATCAAAAAGTAGAATCCATTGTTGATTTGGGTGCAGGACAAGGCTATCTTTCACGCTCCATTGCTTTTCAATCCAATCTTAAGGTACTTGCTGTTGATTCTTCAGAAATTCAGACGTGTGGAGCCAAAAAGTTCGATGAAAGGGCTATCAAATACTTGAGTAGCGATGATTTGAGATTGCACCATGTCACTGATTTCATTACACCTGATAATGCATCTACCATTTTGTCTAAATGGAGCGACCATCCAAAAGATGAAAAATGGCTGCTTTGTGGGCTGCATACATGTGGTGATTTAGCAAGTATGATGATGCGATTATTTGTAACAAGTTCAGAAATCACTTGTTTTGTCAATGTGGGCTGCTGCTATCATTTCTTAACAGAAAAGGAGCAAGAGGCACAAGGCCAAGAAAGTGTTGGGTTTCCTTTAAGTCAGCTTATTTGTGATTCAGGTTTTTATTTCGGTCCTACACCTAAAATGCTTTCTTGCCAAGCACCAGCAAGATGGGAAGATCAACTCGAAGAAACCCTGACAGCCTATGAACATCATTTCTTTAGAGCTTTGTTACAGGTAAAAACTTATTTTACATTAGTAGTAAACTTAGAATGATGATAGGCAATTATGGTTGAAAAAGGCATGACTGATGTCACCATAGCACCTGTCATTGGTCGACTCAACAAGAAGAGAGATTTTGTATCATTTCCTGTTTATGTTCAAGTGGCTTCCAAGAGATTGGGTTTGCCGGAGAACAGCATTACGCCTCAAGAAGCAGAGGATTATTACCAAAAATATAAAGCAAAAGGTGTGGATAAACAAATTGCGATCTTATGGACATTACGTGTCTTGTTGGGACCTATCTTGGAAAGTTTGATCTTGATAGATCGTTGGCTCTATTTAAACGATCTTATTCCTGATAGCCCAACCAAAAATATTTGGATGTGGCCTCTTTTTGATCCCATCACTTCACCTAGAAATATGGTCATTGCTGCTACAAAATAATATAGAATAAAATAATTTACAGACATAGACATGCAAAGCTTGTTTTACAAACTTTTCTTCTTGTGTAATAAACATCAATGACATGAGGTCAACTGATGAAATATTTTCACCATGTTCAATTCCTGCAAAATAAAAGCTTTCGGAGAAAAAGGATAAATACTTGAACGAAAACTTCCATTTTTTTTGTCCTTTAATACGAGCTTCTTTAGATTGAAGTAAAGAAATAATTTTTTCAATTGTGCAAGATAGTCCAGAATGTCTGCATAAAAGACAGTAATGGAGTGGAGAAATCGGGTGATTTTGTATCTTACAGAAAGAAAATAAAGTTTAATTAGTAAATCGACCTCTTATTATACTCTTTATACAACTTTTATGCATGCTAGCGATGGGAAAAAAAACAACGTGATAAATACAAGCATTTCTTTTTTGTTTTGTGTTCTTTTTTTTTTCTTTATTCACTACCATGAGTTACTGTAAAGGATGTTCGCTAGGCCAAGTCAATGTTATTGGTGCTGGTGTAATAGGGTTGACTACTGCATTGTTGCTTCAACAAAAGGGATATGATGTGACAATCATAGCCGATTATTTTCCTGGTGACAAACATATCGAATACACTTCACCTTGCGCAGGAGCAAGATGGAAGACATTGGCGCCTAATTCAGATCCAAAATTACAAAGTAAGAAAGGCAAACCATACAAAATCAACTCATGAAGACAGGATATGATGCTGTTTCCTTCAAGTTCTTTTGGGAACTAGCCAGGTCTTGTGCTGCTGAAGCAGGCATTATGATTGTATCAGCTTATGATTACTATGAAAAGCCAACAGAAGACACGCTTGATCCATGGTTTAAGAATTTAGTTCCTACCGTAAGTCTTAACATGGACACTATGAGAGGCTGAAGCAAACCTTAGTTTCAATTTATTGACCAAGCAGAGCTACCAAAGAACATAGCCGTTGGTTACCACTACACAACAGGTATAGGCCATGTTGTATTTAATATTCGACGTTATTAACCATAGATATGACATAGTGTTAATTAATCCAGCTGTCTATTTACCATGGCTTCTAAAACAATACTTGCTATTAGGCGGCAAACATCGCCGTCAAAAGGTGAATTGCATCTCAGAAGTCGTCACAGACGACATAGATGTTGTTGTAAACTGTACAGGTCTTCGAGCAAGAGAATTGGGTAAAGTAATGGATGCTAAAGTTACACCAACACGCGGGCAAAATGTCATCATTAAGGCACCTCATATCCGAAAGACAGTTTCAGTAACAAGTAAGAAAATCGTATATGTGTCTATTGTTTATAAACAAACATGGTATAGGATCTGATAGCTATAACTATATTATACCAAGATCAGATGGAACTGTTGTTTTGGGAACTACAAAAGAAGAAGGCAATACGTAAGCACACAAGCATACATCATGACAAACATTAAATGATTACTAGAGACCCTACTGTAAATGAGAGTATGACAAAAGACATTCTCAATCGAGCATATGATTGTTGTCCAGACTTGAGTCTACAAAGAAAAGGCGTGAGTGACCTAACCATCGTTGGCAATGTGGTGGGTTTGAGGCCAACAAGAAAAGGTGGACCCAGAGTTCAGAATGAATACTTTAGTTCGTATCTATATTTCTTTTTTTTTTTTTTTTTTTTTTTACTAACCAAGATACAGAATCCCCTTCAGGCAAACAAACATTAATTACTCATAATTATGGACATGATGGATCTGGATATCAATCAAGTTGGGGCACTGCACAAGAAGCAGCCAGACTTGTTCATGAAGGACATGCTGTTATCAAGGACAAATCTAGACATATAAGACGATTACTTTCGCACTTATAATATGGAATTATAATGTATGTTTAATGGTATAAGTATATACATAAAATGAATGAATAAAAGAAAATGGTATTATGTTCTGTGGTTAATGCATTGCTTGACTGGGTCCATGGGTTCTGATGAATTCCATTGTGTCAATGTTGAAAAAGAAATAAAAAGCATGCTATACACAGTTATTATACATCTTCTTGTCCATACAACTTACCAAATCACACCAAATATGATCAAAGCAAAGTTAGCCATACGTCTTGTTGTAGGGAGCTCCAATGCTTTCATATGAAATAATGGAGGGAAAATGAAACAAAGAGGGATACAGAATAGAGCACCAATGAGGGCAACAAACTTGTCAAGCTTGTCTTTGCAGCCGATAATACCAATACCCGCACATAAAAACACAATCACCACACGAAACACATTCTTTTGCCATTTGACGACAGCGTTGTTTTTACCAGATTTGGTGGTGAACAACCCGTTTTCCATGATACGAATAGCCGGGAAAAGCTGCAGAGGAATAGATAAACAGATGGCTAGTGAATATAGTGTCTGAATTGAAGAAACCATTGGATCTTTGCTAGGCAAATTGAGCAAGATGATGGTCTGAACCTCATCTCCAAATGTCATGTATGAAAATGCACCCATAAAAATGAATAAGCAGGTAATCACAGTAAGTGCTCTTGTGAGTACACCAGGAAACTTCTTGGGATCTTTCATGGATTCAGTAATGGGTATGACTAATAATAACGGATCAGCAAAAGTATAAAAAACCAGTTCTGACTTACCTAACCCAATGCCTTCAAAAGTAAATGCTGCAGTACCAATAAACAATGGGAAATAAACAGGGTTCCACATCTCAACATGGACCATGCCTACTGTGGTCAGTTCCTTCAGGTCGTAGTAGAATATGTACATCAATCCAATGACAATAAAGATATCGGCTATCAGGGCAAAGACAGATAAACGTTGTATTTTACGAATCATTGCCAGTGGTATAAAAGCAAAGCTCTGTGCCAAAATGAGTAAATGCATAGGGATCAAGACACGGCATTTCGAAAAGGCAAGCACAAGTGACTGCAAGTTTTCTGCAACAAAGATCATGTAGGCACAAACAAACCCTATTTGAGACAACGTAATTGCCACCAAAACAGCCACACGCATACGCGATCCATACAAGACGCCACCCATGTCTCCAAAACTGGCTGGTACGACTAAACGAGTCTGTACCAACAACAAAAACGACCAAAGAGAAATCAAAGCCCATCCGATAATAGCAAAGATGGAAAATAGAAGCCCACCATTATAGAAACTAAATATGTTTTGTCAGTATCCAATAGCTGCAGCAGTTGCATTACTTACGCTTTTGGGAGAAACATGATACCTGTTGTAACAAATGATTTGAGTAACAAGAACATGGCTTTTCCTGGAGTTGCTTTTCCCTGTAATGTTTGACCGGGACGTGATCTAGATAAAAGTGGCATTGTTTCCCGCACTTGAAGTTGTTTGTATTTGACTGGTACGAGGGGCTGTTTTGAGGCTGTTGTGGGCAGTGGTAAGCCTTGCGATTGTTGTTCTTGGGATGTAGTACCATATGAATAAGAAGCATTATTCAGCAAGGGACCGCGATAAGCCATGACCCCACCTTCTGGAGGCATATGTTCTTCATCGCTACTTTCTTCTTCTGAAGAATCTTGTGCAGAATTCGTATCAGAAGAAGACGAGCTTTCTTCGTCACTTAAATTTTCTCCTCCAAAATGTCCATATAAGCATAAAAACTCAACAAAGCTTGACGTGACAAAGTTAGGTGGTTGCTTTCCTTGCTTAGCTGCTCTTGTAAGAACATAATGTCTTCGAAACCCTCCAGGTTGTTTCAAAGACTGAAGCGAAGCGTCTATCATAGGCTCGCGAATAGCAGGCAAAGAAATACTTTGTGTTCGAGTTCTTTTGTGTTGCTTTTGCTCTACTTGAGCAGTCCACTTGTATATCTCGTCTAGAATAGATCCTCCTGGTAATAGATGGTGAGCATTGTATGTGGGTTGTTTTGGGTGATTGCGTTCTTGACGTTGCTTTTGACGTTTGCGGTGTTGTTTTTGACAAGACGGGCGCGGGGGAATAAGTGAAGAGGAAGAAGAAGCAGGTTGGTAGACGAGGTGGCGTTTTACTACCTTAGCAACTTGCTCCACGGGTAAGTCGATGGTCACTGAGCGTTCCATATACTTGTTTAACCTGCTATAATTATAAATGGAGTGAGAAAAAAATAAATAAAAGTGAAAGAGTGAGAGTGTGAGTGAAAGTTAAAAAAAAAGGTTTGTGACGGGGTTTAGCTTAGACACTTAATTCTATGCTGGAACCTATACTGGTTTGTTCTATGCAACGAGCCTCCTCTCTTCTGCTTTTATTCAATGCTTTTGTCTATTCATGCTGTTTTCTTATTACGCACTAAACTAAACTAAAAAAAAAAATCGCACATAGAAGGAAATCATGCGGAGTCTATACTCTGGTAAATGTAATCTCTGTTCCAATTTTCCTAAGAATATATATATATATCTCCCTTTTTTTGAATATAATGGATTGACATTCTTTAAAAGTACTCATATTGTGGATTTATAAATAATTATAAGTACGGCTCAATAATAGCTTTAGTAGCACTTGAAGATTTCTGACCCTCAGAACTCTTGATTATAATTGAGAAGATAGTATAGCTTACCATGAGTTGTTTATTTGATCTGGAATAACTACACTCAATTGTCACTAATCTCTATGCGTTTTCGTATTTGTATAAATAATTTAGATAGCTATAGGTAACTTCTCCAAGTATCATTTCAATCTCTAGCTAAAAAACTGTAGATTAAGTTAAAAAATCTACGAATATTAAATACGCGTATAGAATATGATGTTCTTTTCTAGAAAAAAGAAAGGGTCTAGAAGTCGTTTTCTGTCCTAAATAGCACAAATGCATCAATTCAGAAAGTGACTGTTTGAAATTCGATGATTTTATTTGGGTTCTATCTCTATTTCTCTCTTGTTATTCATTCTCCATATATTCTCTTTATCTTAAAGAGCAATGAAAGAAGAAGAAGAAGGCAAGTTTATTCGAAAAAAAAAAAGTTACTTAACAAAGTCCTATAGAAATATGTAGAGTCTGTCGTTCAGAAGCTACACCTGAACAGCCCTTGTTCCATCCTTGTAAGTGTGCTGGAAGTATTCGCTATGTTCATCAGGACTGGTAAAGGACACAGTTGAATAACAACATGAAATTGACCCTTTTTTTTTCTTAATATAGTCTAATAGAATGGTTGGCTCATAGTCGAAAAAAGTAAATGAAAACAATCCAATATGAATTATCTAACCCTTTTATATATATCAGATATTGTGAGCTTTGTGAGCATCCTTTTACATTTACACCAGGTAAACTATAATAATAAATTATTCTTGCTTACCACAATTAGTCTATCGGGAGGATATGCCTGATGTGATACCTATAAGATTATTCATTCAGCAATTAAGAAAAAAGTTCGCGTTTGCAATTATCACTGTATTGCGAGCCATACTTGTTTCCTGCATATGGCTAGTTTTATTACCTTATTTCACCGTCTGGACTTGGAGACTTTACTTTTTCTTGGGGGCAAATTTGTCGAGACATTTATCAAGGCTACAGCAGATAAAATACCAAATGAGTGATGGTAGTTTAATTCCTTTTCATAACAATACCATTCAAGCTAATGCAACCCTGAATTGGTTCCAAGAATATAAATCCCGACTAACAATGCAGTAAGAAGATTATAAGAAAAAAAAAGGGGGGAGAACGAGATGCTAAGTGTTTTATCTAGATCATTATTGGCCGATTGCTTTGAAGGACAAATTATTACATGTATTGTAGTAATTATCTTTGTAGCTGTATTCCTTTTAAGAGAATGGATTGTACAGAATATACCCATGGAAGCACCTATGATGGAAGATGATGATGAGCTTATTCTTGATCACCAACCTCAGCCTATACCAGATATACCACAACAACAACCTCAACATGACGAGCGATTTGATAGCTTATTTGATGTACGCTGGAATGCAGATGATAACGAACCTCATTGGCATGAAGAAAGACCTCCACCATCACCTGTCGCTTCAAATACACGGTATGACGAAGCTGAAGGATCATCTTCCAATCCTGACAAAACAGAAAATGACAATAGACGTATGCGTGCTACTTCTTTACCACCTTCTTTTTCTCGTACCAGTTCATACCATGAACCCATGAATAGTGAACATACAGAGTTCCGACGCTCAGCTAGTATGGAACCTTCTAGCAGTTCGAGTAGCTATGACAATGAGCCCATGAACAGTACATTCATAGTACAGCAGAACTTTACTTATCTTGGTCAGCCTCCTCATGCTCCTCGTATGAGGCATGCGGAAGCACCTATTGCTATTCAGCCTATCCAAGAAGAGATTGAGCAAGAAATCGCTCCTCTCCCACAGCCTCTTCCACAGTTGCAGCCTGTCGAAAACAACAACAACGATAACGAAGATGAGGAAGAAGACAACATTGAAGAATTTGAAGGTGTTTTAGAAGCCATTGGTATGCAGGGCAGTTTATGGTCTTTACTTCAAAACTGTGCTTTAATGGGATTATTGATTGCCCTGAGTTTGGGTGCTGCTGTTTGGATGCCTTATTTAATTGGAATGCTGTTTATCATGACTGAAACTTGGGAAGTCGTGCGTGTTCCACTTAAAATGGTTCGTCTTTTGACAGATCCTTTAATTGATTTCATTTTCTGGGTTTCAACAGACTACATTGGGCCCTACATCCTTCAAGTATACAACGATCATATTCAGCCTGTAGTACAAGATTTGACATCTTCATTTTTATACAAGCATGTCTCTACATCATTAGGTTCATTATTTGACCTTGTTGCAGCACCAACATCCAATACTTCTATGCCCATTACACAAAATATGCAGCCTTCATTTATGGATGCTTTTGTTAAATTTATTAACGAAACAGAGCCCATGGTGGAATCCGCTTTACGTCGCTACCAAGCCTTGGCTATTCGTCAGACTGCTGTTGATAGATTCGCCTGTATTGCTGTTGGCTATATTATTGTCACTATTGTTAGTTGTTGGTATTTAACTCGCTCAGCACAACATAGAGTGGCTACAGCAGCATTAGGTCGTACAGCACAAGAAGCAATTCGCCATCAAGGTATTATATTCAAAGTAGGTATGTTTATTACTATTGAACTTGTCTTGTTTCCTATCGTCTGTGGCTACTTGCTGGATTTTTCGACGTTACCTTTGTTTGAATCCACTGCCGTTGCAATACATTGGGAGTTTATGTTATCCCATCCAGTCTCGTCTATCTTTGTACATTGGTTCCTTGGTACTGGATTCATGTTTATTTTTGCCGTATTGGCTACTATTTGCCGTGAAGTTTTAAGACCAGGTGTGATGTGGTTCATTCGCGACCCCAACAATCCTCAATTCCATCCTATTCGCGAAATCATTGAACGTCCTGTTCTCTTTCAGCTTAGAAAGATAGGCGCTAGTGCTTTAATCTATTTGGCAGTAATTCTTGTAGGTGTAGGTGGTGTATTACAGGCACTCAAATGGATGACAGGACAGGCCGTCTTGCCTCTCCGATGGAACTTTTCGTAAGTGAATTATTATGTTTTGACACATGTATTGACATGTCATAGAAACCCTATATCCGTAGTACCTCTTGATATTATTGTGTTACAGACAGGTATTCCTGCTATTGTAAAGTACTTTGAGCCAAAGCAAGTTCTTAAACAGCTCTTTGTAAAATGGATCAAGCTTATTTGCCATCAACTCCGTCTTTCATCATTTATGTTCGGTAGACGAAGAGCAGATGAAGAAGGCGCATTGGTTTATCACAACTGGATTGCCTGGCTAAAGCATACAAAGCCTGCGTGTTACCCTCCTGATGGCGAGATTGATAACATAATATCCAATGATGTTTCTTATATATGGGAAGGTCGACTCTTACGCGTGCCTCGTCATGACAGTGTACCTATCATTGAACGCCGCCGCATGCTTGTTCCTGTTGATCCTATCACCTTGTTGCCTTTAGATGAAACAGAGAGACACCTAGGTCATCCTGCCGCAAGTGCTCCTGGTGGTGAAGAAGCAAATACGATGATTGTCTATAGCCCTCCTCATTTCAAACAAAGGATATTTGCTTTTATGGGCCTCACATGGCTTTCTATCAGCATTTTTTGCTGTATAATGATTGTAGGTCCTACCTTACTGGGACGTGCTTTGTTTGGATCTATCCTTGGCAATGAGATTATAGTGCATGATATTTATTCTTTCCTTCTGGGTGGATCTGTTTTCCTTTTCGTGGGTGTTATTTGCCATCAATTGCAATCGACAATCAAGGATATCATGTATCAATTGACTTGGCAAACTACTTTGACTACTTTTTGGCATCATGCAAAGCAATGGTCTTCCTGGGTAAGGAACAAAAAAAATGACCATTCGACCAACAGGTTTATAGATATTTAGATGGCTCTTTTTTGTCGTATCTTTTGGCATCATTTTGCCCAATGCACTCGGTGTTTTAATCGAACTTTACTTTGTGCTTCCTTTGAAGCAAATATCACAAGATGATTATTCAATTGAAGTTTTATCTATATGGTCAAATGGGTTCGCCTTAATGACTCTTCTTTGCGGAATTGTATTGAACATTCCTAATGCTAATCGACGACAATTTGTAGACGATGTAAGTTGAAACAATTTCAAAAGGAATAGTCTTTCTTACACTTAATTGATGCAGATCTTTCGTGGTGGCATTCATAACATGAATATCCGTTTGTGCCTTGTAAGAATGATCGGTCCATTCTTGCTTTTCACTGCTGTTGCTGTTGGTTTTCCTTTTATAACGGCTTATATCAATATGAAGATTATTGGTATGTGTTTCTACTATGTCTCTTTCTAAACTAATATGTGCACATCTAGCTCGTATCAATCCAGAATTGCGTATTAAACTTGTACAGATTGCCTATCCCATTGCTCTAGTAGGCTTTGGAGGTTATTATCTAACTAGAACTGTATCTAGAGTTAGTGCAAGACTTGCTCAGAACATTCGAGAAGACAACTATCTTGTCGGAAGAACACTACATAACCTTGAATAACACTAACTTGTATATTTTTTTTATTCCCTTTTCTTTTTAAAATAAATTCATAGCCAGTTGCTTTCGAACAAGAGATAATTCAGCCACTGATAATTGACCTGGTGCAGCAACCGTAGGTAAAGCAGGATGAGTAGCAGGACTAAGGAAATAGTTAGCTACTCTTGAAAATTTGCCATTAGGACCCATATTAATCAGGATGATTCTTTTATCTTGATCAGGATCAATATGATGGCGGAACACTTCAAGTTCTATGTTGTCATAAAATGTTTGGGCAAATCCAACAAGTTTAATGACGCCTTGATGCTTATAACGTTCAAAGAGACTCAAAGCCATACCGTACATGGACTTCATGTATGGGCCAGACCAAGGATACTGATGATCTGGATCGTGAAAGGAAGCGATGAGTCTTGTCCCTGGATAGTTTTGATTCATTTTCATCACAGCCTCTAGTTGGCTCAAAGAAGGTGTTGTCAATTCGACATCAACATATTCACAGCCCCAGCGATGACCCCATTGAATGAGCTCAAGATAGAGGTCTAACAAAGAAGGATCAAACTTGCCTGCTTGAGGTTGAGTGCGTACAGTATAGATAATAGGCAACTGTGTTGTTTGACGAAGCATCATGAGTTGCATACCTGTTGTCTTGATCCAATTGTTATCAAGAGGCACTAGATGGTCTACCCTGAATTCAATAGCATCAGTATGCTCTGTCCATTGATGTAAGATGCTAGGGAGAATGGAACTATAATCTGATATAGGTAGAGTAACAAATGTACTTTGAGTCTTGCTGGTCGCATAGATATGGTTTTGATATTGTCCAGCAATTTTTTGCAAGTAATTGATGGTATCCTCATAGAGCGTTTGCTGTGTGGAACGAACGACATATTCAAACCAGTAGGAGTCAGAATCACCTGAGGAAGTACCAGCTTTGTCGGTGAAATGGATACTGTATTGACTGGCTGTAGGCATTCTAGTGACACACATCGTATGGCCTGTTTCATTACTTGTGGTTATCTTCACATTAAATCTTTCGATTAACACTTTGGATAATTCAGCAATAAATGGCTTGAGATGCTCAAAAGTGGCAACAAACTGGAATGAGGCATGGAGCTTGTCTTCCCCGACTTGACAACCGTCAGCTGTGGTTTGCTTGAACGATACATACTTGGCCAAAATAGCTTCAATTGCAGTATCAGGAACATCTGAAGCCTTTTGTTCGACTGTCTTTCCAATGTCAGCAAGCAATACAATTCTCTTTTGAGAACCCTTGTTCTTTTTGTCTACTTTCATGGCATTCATAACGTCAGAAAAACAAAGTTTCTTTTTACATTCATTGTCAAACGAGGTAGGTAAGCCATACAAGCTCAAACAATTCTTGAGGCGTTCAACTACGGTATAAGAACAATGACCTAAACTAGTTGACAGCTCGGCTTCATGAATCAGACCTAAAGAAACGCATTCACCATGTAACCATATGGGAGCTAGAATAGCTTCATATGCATGACCAATGGAATGACCAAAGTTCAAAAGACCTCGTAAACCACCTTCTCTTTCATCTTGAGTTACTACATTGGCCTTAAAACGAGCTGAAGCGCAGACAACGCTCGCCAAAAATTCTCTATCAGACTCTAGATATATATAATAAATGACTGAAGGCTACATTTCATATTCAAAATACCTTTTTCTTGTGAAAAATCGTTCGGATTGTCTAAACTTGCAATGGCTTTTTCAATTTTGTTTTTTCCTGTTTCTAACTTAACGAATTCTGATTCACTTGAGATAGCTGCAGTCTATATATAATAATGAATACCTATCATGTCGTATAGTCCGTATATACTTACTTTGATCACTTCTGCCATGCCATTTGCCAATTCTCTTTTGGGAAGCGTTCCAAGCACAGCCAAATCCAAGTAAATACGTTTCGGCTGCCAAAAAGTACCGATCAAGTTCTTTCCATGAGGCGTATCAATGGCCGTTTTCCCACCCACGCTTGAATCAACCATAGCTAACAAAGTAGTAGGTATTTGTACAAAAGGAACACCTCGCATAAACGTAGAAGCAACATAACCCACAAGGTCACCTATGACCCCGCCACCTAAAGCAATAAAGCATGAGTCTCTCGTGCAAGAAGCATCAAGTAAAAAGTCTTCAATATCTGCTTTTGCTTGGCGAGACTTGGACTGTTCTCCAAAAGGCAAGACTCTCGATAAGAGCCTTTGATGAGGCGATAGGCGTGATTGGAGTGTATTAAGCAATTTCTGCAGATAAAGAGGAGCTAAATGATTGTCTGTGATTACAATATAGTTTGACACATTACTAATGACTTTAGTGATATCGTTCGCGATATGATCCATAAGGTTGTAACCGACATGAATCGTATCAGGCACGTTAAGGATTGGAATTGTTGTAATATTCGAAGTATTTACAACCATTTTAGTTATGAACAGCGAAAGAAGCAGAAAGGTGAAGGGTGAAAAGTGGATGACTTATGTTTATATATCATCATTTGAGAGTTTTTTTTTAGCGCGGCAAAATGATAAGTTATCGATCTTTAATACGTAGTTGCTGTAACTACCGAGAGAAATTCAGGATAATTTCTTGTATGTTGTTATAAGTTGATTTTTCTCTTATAGAGAAAAATGTTGTCGAAACAAGTTGTAGTTTTGTTGATGTTTGCATATATTAAATGCTTGCTTGAGATACGACATTTAAGCTGATGATTTACATTTAAAAATAAATTTATGTTATCAATTGTTTTAAACGAGGAATGTTTTAGGCTTATTAAAGTATGATGTAGTATTTATGGTTTGATCAATTGGATTAAATCCAATATTCAACATGGTAAAAGCTTTATGTAGCAGAGCTTCTTGGAAACAGATACGCTTTTTGTAAGTTTCAAAGCAGTTTGAAACTATTTAGGATCGTTTTATTCTATTCCTGTCATTTAAACTGTTTTAATGTGATTCGAGCGTTTTCTTTATCGTCCTTTATGGAAATAAACATTTATGCATTCACTTCAGGTATATAGCTACAATGCAGCTTTTTGTTAATATATTCCTATAAACCTAATACAGTTATCTTCCATTATATTAAAAGCTTCAATGTATTGATAGGAATGGAGGCTTTATTTGATAAAGGTCCCCTTAAAGACAAAGCGAATATAATCACAGCTGGATTGCTTTTCTTTATAAAAATTATTAATGATTTTTCAAATAGGATTTTGTAAAGTTAGCAAGGCCGCTGTTCTTAATACACCGATAAATACTTTGTGTGTCTGTTCTTTAGCGTTTTAAGTGTTCTCTTTTTTCACTGATCAATGGCTTGTTTTTCGTAATTCTTTGGTGCGTAAACCCTTGATCATCTATGCGCCTGTTGTACTTATGATTCATGTTGTATTTATAATTCATGTTGTATTTATAATATACAAACATAGACAAACAAAACCTGTAAAAGATTCTCCTTTTGATTGCATTGTCGTACAATAAACTTTGAAAAAGAAAGTCTAACCGGGAATTTCCCGTTGTTCCAAGTGACGCCATGTGTGACATATACATGCCTTTACTGCATATAAGCAAGTTAAATTAATAATGATCTGTAATGGTTTATGGAGCGTTTGTAGTTATCATTCTTATAAACGGTATATGTTCGTCTTGTATTCATTTTGCATTATCTTTCTTTTTCTCTCACTAATGGTTTACAAGGCTTGCCTGTACAACTAGTGAGTATTATGTCTTCTGAGTTTGCTATGCTTTGTAAGCTACTACATATCATTCTTGGTGATACCAAACATAAGTCAAAAAGATATGTAACCAAAAAAACAATGTGGACCTGATCTGGGAGGGAGAAGAAATGACTTTTCTCCACTCGCTATAGCTTTCTTTGGATTTGATCCCAATAATTCAAGCAATCCCTATTCTTTTGCATGATTTCAGAGCTGAAACGCAGACCATGCAACTTTGCTCTCTCTTCCTTTTTCTTTTTTTTTCTCTAATGTGTATTGCACCTTGATACAAACGAACAGAAAGAATCATTAGTCATCTATGCATAAACAACAAAAAGATAAGGTGTAACTGCAATCGATTATAAATCCTGACAAATGCTTAGGAGAGAATACAAACATTACCAAATCGAGTAATTTCAGTAAGCATATAAATACACTGTCATTTTGTCAATTCTTACCATCTTCATTGCCATCTGTATTAAATCAATATGCGTTTCTCTCTTACTGCTGCTTTCATTGGCGCTGCTGCCTTGATCTCTTCTGTCTCTGCTGATCTCTACAACCGTCTTGATTTGAGTGATAGTGTCTTCTTGTTTGTTGATCACCAAACTGGTCTTTTCAACTTGGTTCAAGACTACAATCCTGACACTTACCTCAACAATGTTATGGGTCTTGCTGAAACTGCTAAATACTTTAATGCTACCACTATTCTCACTACTTCTCGTGAAGATGGCCCTAATGGCCCTATGCTTCCTGCAATTAAGGCTTTGTTCCCCAACGCTCCTTACATTGCTCGTCCTGGTCAAATCAATGCTTGGGATGATGAAGATTTTGTCAAGGCCATCAAGAAGACTGGCAAGAAGCAATTGATCGTCTCTGGTATTGTTACTGATGTTTGTGTGACCTTTGTTGCTCTTTCTGCTAGAAAAGCTGGTTATGAAGTCTTTGTTGTTACTGATGCCTCTGGTACCTTCTCTGAAGCTGTGCGCGATGCTTCTTGGTTGAGAATGCAACAAGCTGGCGTTCAACTCATGAACTGGTTCGGTGTTGCTTGTGAATTGGGTCGTGACTGGCGCAGAGACATTGAAGGTATGGCAGCCTTGTTTGCTAAGCGTTTGCCTAGTTATGCTCATGTCATGGACTCCTACAATGGTGCCCAAGCTGCTCTTAAGGCTCAATAGATACATTTAATTTAGACCTATTTACATTCTATTTATTTAGACTAAACAAATAATAAATACTTTCTTTATCATATACATGTTTGTTAGCTAATAGTAAGGCGTATGTGTACGCCTATGAAAATACATGGTGCATGGCGCAACATTCTGATCCGATCCGGACAATTACTATTACTATTGTACTCATACATGGTCATGTGTCGGACAGTACTCTTTATGACTCGTTCACCTCCCAATGAATTCATCCCAAGCTATTACGCATTGATCATTGTGAATGAGTTAGCATGGACCATAAGCGGGGATTCTATACATGAGATATGCTTGTCATCAGTTGACGAAAAAAAACAGACCATTTAACAAAAAAATAGGCTATTTAACACAAAAAAAAATTAAATGCCATCATTAGTAACCTATATATTTATTATTTATTCTGTTTACTTTGTATTCTATAAAATAAGGTTAAAAGACCGCTGCCGCGATATTCCTTCTTGTTTTGTGGTTCTTCTTTGTTATTTTGCTATACCTCTCTACTGACAGACAAAACACTTTTGATATAGAAGGCTATGTCAGCAATAAAGCCATAATTGATGTATTTATAAACACAATAGCCTCTTCTTTCTTTTTATTTTTTTTAGGTTCTAGATATATTCGCTATATAAAGAAAAGTTAATCAGTTACCAATCACGTTAAAGAGCTGTTCGGATATAAGAGAGATAAAATTCACTGATTACAATAAGCAAGATGATTGGGTTGTGTACAATCCCTTTATGCTTCCAGTGTAAAAAAATTTATTGTTTTTTCTCGTCCCTGCCTCTTTTAATTAGCGATTCTTTGTTACCCAAAATTGAGTCATCCCTCGGTGACTACCTTCTTTCGATATATACATGATACATATGGATCAAGAAAGATATAAAAAAGAGCACAAACTACTTTATGCATACATAAGAACACCTATTAGCATCTGCTTACTGGAGAAAGGACAAGGTTATGATTATGAGTATCTGTCAATTGATATTCCAAAGTATAAATATGGATGTCAGGGGAATTTTTAGTATTTGAGAAACATAGGTAGTACAAGACGAAAACTGGTATGAATATCATGAGAGACTAGACTGTACATTGAATACAATGACTATCAATTCAAATAGTAACAATTCCACACTTAGAGTGCATGACAATAGCGACAAAATGAGTATAAACAACCCATACCTTGAGTAGCTTGTGTTTGCTACAGATCTGTCTAAAAATGAGAAGAGATTTAGGAGTTTGAATATATATACTATCCTATACAAAGAGGCATGTGTCATGTATGTGAGGTCACCTTGGCATTTTTTGGAAAAGTATATAAATCAAACAAGGACTGTTTTTTCTTTTTTTTTTACTTTTTACTTTTTAATCTTACTGTTTTGATTAGACACTCGCTATTTAAGTATTCTTTTTCTTAGGAAAAAGACGAGATCTTTTTTGTTGGCTCTCATTTCTTGTAAACACCCTTCTTATTCTCTCTTCCAATGAAGGACACTGATTTCATGCTACAATACTTGGGTGACAATAATGACGGCCAGGCTGATTTGTTTGACAAGAATGCATTCTCTGATCTTTTACAGCAACTTCAACCATCTCCTGCTTCTGCTGGTCCAGGTTTTAGTAATTTCCCTTCGCCTACATTGTCCGCTGATTCCAACCAAGACGATATGGCCCATCTATTGGATCCCCAATTCTTGCAGCATTTGTCCTCTTCTGAACATTTTCAGTCCTCAAGTGGTTTAGACCAATTTGTTCAATTTGAAGAAGAAAACATATCTCAAAAAGAAGAAGAAAAGGAACAAGAAGACAAGTCTGAGTTATCAAAAAAGAACAAGACTTACAAACCAAACCGTCCCCCACGTCAGTTGGAGTGCTATAACTGTCATGTTACCAAAACTCCCTTATGGCGTCGTACTCCAGACCGTGCTCATTCTCTTTGCAATGCCTGTGGACTGTATTACAAACAATACAATACACATCGACCTCTTCATATTCGTCAGAAACATCAGTCCAATCAAACCAAACAGGCTATCAACATCACTGCTGCTTGTGTCGCTGCTGCAGCTACACTTAACACAGCTCCTTCTTCTCCTCAACAAAATGAAATTGCATCAAGTCAATATCAAGAACAAAATGAAGAACAAAGTGCTCGTTGTCAACGCTGCTATCAAGTAGCTGCTACAAACGATGCTGGTGAAATCGTTTGTAACACTTGTCGGTTGTTTACTAATCTGTCTATGGTTGGTCAAAAAAGAAACTCTACTGATGCTATTCTAATTGAAGAAGACGAGCAAGAAGATGAGTCGCGCAAAATGCGATGTTTATTTCAACAACAGCAACAACAAGTGTTTCCTTCCATTGTGATGCCCAATTCTGAAACAGTGCCTCCTACTGCTCACCCACAAAGGGAAGAAAATGCTGGCCAACAAGACGATACAAGATTCAAGTCTCTCATTGCTCGTATGTCAATTCAGCAAATGGAAGGCTTCTTGACTATGTTGGAGAGACGATGTGATATTCTTCGTTCTATTATTCATAACGAAGGTAGCAGTGAAAACAGTATAATTATTTCTTGATATGTTTATTCTTTTCTTATATGTACAATAATACCCCTTTAAACTTGCTCATGTTGACATGAAAAAATAAAAAAGACCTGTGATACAGCACATAAATTGGTTTCTCTCACGGTTGTTTGTATTGCGCAACATTGAATAACAAATCAGGGTTTGTATTCTGTTCATTATTGCACTGCCGAGTGTATGTGTTACATTCTTTAAAAGATCACTAGTCCTAAAGAAAAGACATTGTCTTTTCCTCATTTCCTTGTGTAAACGTCGAGACATTACACTATTCAGTCAATATAGTACATAGTTATATCGTACATAGGCATTTCTGCCAACTAAAACGACTTTTTGCTTTTCAATAACTAGAGGTCGACACCTTCACTGACATTCGTAAACACTTATAGAGAAAGGAGAGAACATTCAAAATAAATCGATGATAGCATTTGGACAAAGTAGAAAAGATATGTAGATGACTGTTTAATTTATTCATAATATTGCTTGTTCTACAAGAAGATACACTGAAAGAAAAAAAGCCAGCAAAGTACAGTCACCGCCTAGAGAAATCAAAACGCAATGAATTTACTTCAATGAATAACTTATGCGATCGATATATGAACGAACACTAATTTTCTAGACTACTTTCGATGCAGCAACTTATGATTGCCTTTTTAGCAAAAGCTATACCTTGACATTGAGCACATTGTGCTCGATTTAGGTATAGGGATTCTTCTTTTCCTAGGACATACAATGATGGTTTAAAGTATAACCTAGAGCATTTGTGTGCTCCAAATACTTACAGCATTGGTCACTAACATCTATTGTGCATTTAGAGTTGATTTGGACCAAAAAAAGCGACTTGTGAAAAATGGTCAAAAACGCCGTTTGACCAAAGGGTACTTATGAAAAAAACTCATTTTGACAAATACTGAACTTTATTTAACGTTACAAGACAAAAAATAGAGATATTGACAATCATAAATACTCAAAATGGCCGCCAAATGCTCTAGTTTTTGATAAAAGTGTTTGATTGCTAAGTGTGGTATGCAAATGATGAGACATAGGCGAAAAAACCTCGTGAACATATTTGCTTCTTTGTTCAATAATTTATCAGCAAAATTGGTACTTTGTTTATATCAATAGACTCATAAAGTAGAGGTCTACACCTTTTATTACTACGCCAAAGCCCAATAACTGGGTCTTCAAGCAGTTCTCCGCAAAAGCTTGATTTTTTTTAAAAAAAAAATGATTTTATTTGCCGCGCGTATTTAAAGCTTGATTTTTGATGTAGCGGAAAGAAGAATTGAGGTTGCCTTCTTTTAAAACCCCGTCAAGCAGCCATTGTGCATGTCCTATCATTTACCCCACATTTACATTATAAATTGGCCCAACTTTTACTTTTATATGTTTTCCAACACTCTAGGTAGCATATAGTATATTTTAAAACACCATTGTTAACAGGTGTTATATGAAATATAGAACAAAAATGGTCTAAACAGGGTTTAAATGCACCATTCTTTGATGTCTCATTACTCGACAACCAGACTACTAAAGTAATCTCTTTTTTATTTGAAACATGTTCTTTCAAGTCTAGGAATCAAATAGTACCATTGGTTTGGCTTCTAGGTGAAATTCATTTATTCACCCATGGAGGATCTCGAGAGGTCCGTAAAGATAAAAAAAATCGATCAAGAATTTTTAGAATGACTATGTAGGTCTGATCCAATCGGAATGAGATGAGACCACGTCTAAATACTTCCAAAGAAAAGAAAGCGAGTCTACTAAGATGAGAAAGTCGACTTTATTTAAGCATCACCTTCAAATCTGCATTCAAACTTCATTGCGCATTGTGAATTATAGAAAAGAGGCCTTTTATAGTAGATATCAAATACTAAATGACTTGTGCCGCTCGATGTACAGAGCATGAATGCGTGGAATATATCCAGATGATTTCGGGTGTGTTTAATAACGAGTAATTATGTAGAATGAGAGAATATATGTTAGCGTAACATGCTTTAGTAAATATTTTTAGGGGGTTTATCTTACAAGTGAACTATAACATACGTAGAGTTCCTAACACTTTCTTATGGTATTAAAGGAGCCATGTTGATGTCAAAGAAAAGATTTTTCATTTAATATTTTTTCAAAGAATTCAATTATTAAAAAAAAAGCACTGATTAGATTTACAAACTTGTATGTATATTTATGTAAAGAAAAGGAATCAAACTATCTATATTAAAATTATTGCTTGTTCAAAACTTGAGCAGCTTGAGAGGTTTGGACAGAGGAGAAGCGACGCATTTCTTTGGCATCCATGGTCTTTCCACTCTTACCTATGAGTTTTTGGGCAAAGTTTTGAGGACGTTCCATAGATCTGAGGGACTTAGTGCGGTTAGCGTAGTAACGAGCAGAAGAAGTGGCGGAGATAGCAGAAGCACGACGAGAAGCGTTGGCCTTGACATCCTTGGGGTTGTTGGACTTGGGTTCGAAAGCGTAACGCATGGCGAACTTGATGAAATCCATAGGCAAGAACCAAATGATGTTCCAAATCCAGACAATACCGGCCCAGTTCCAACCACAAGGTTGAATGTGAGTGAAGCCCCAGTTAGCGTAGACAGCAATGAAAGTAGCAACCAATTGAGCAACGATGAATGCACACATCAACATGATGGAAGGACGTTCAGAGAAGAAGAAACCACGAGAACGAGTAATGAAAATCAAAGCTTGAGAGATAGTAGAAACTTGGAGATAGATAACAGAGTGGTAAATACCAGAGTTGGCATACTTTCCTTCAACACCATCTTCGTTGAAGATGTGAGGAAGACTGAAGTGGGATTCAAAGAAGTCAGTCTTGATGATGACAGCAAAGAAGACAACAGTGGAAAGAGTAAGGTAAAGACCATAAACGATAGCATAAGAGAAAATTTCTTTCAAGTTCCAGGCATCAGGGTAAGGAGAGGGCTTGACACGATCAGTAGAGATAGTCATGATAGTACCATCGTTAAGAATAGCAAGAATCAAGACCATGAAAGGAGGGAAGTTGTATTGGAAAGCGAAACAGAGGATAGCGAAGCCGACAACAACACGAATGGTAACTGAACAGGTATAGATGGAGTAATTACGCATACGTTGGAAAATTTGACGAGAACCAATGATGGCTTCAATAATGACAGAGAGACCGGGTTCAGTCAAGACGATATCGGCAGCAGAACGAGCAGCATCAGTGGCATCAGCGACGGCAATACCGACGTTAGCCTTGGAAAGAGCAGGAGCATCGTTAACACCATCACCAGTCATGGCAGTCATATGACCCATTGCTTGAAGACGCTCAACAATTTCATACTTGTGTTCAGGGTAGACACCGGCGAAACCATCACAGTGCAAGACCATTTCATCAACATCAGAGTAACCAGAACCAGCGGGAGGACCATCTTTCAAAGTCTTGGACAAGAACATGTTATCACCCATACCGAGACGACGACCAGTTTCCTTACCAATAGCAAGTTGATCACCAGTAATCATCTTAACAGAGACACCAAGAGCAATAGCACGGTCAATAGTTTCCTTAGTATCAGATCTAGGAGGATCGTAGATAGGCAAGAGACCAATAAGACGGAAGCCTAAACCTTCATCTTCGATACCACCAGAGGGAACTTCATCAATAGCAACAGCAAGAGCACGAAGACCACGACGAGCGAATTCATCGACATCATCATTAAGAGCCTTGATTTGTTCTTCAGTTTTGTCACGAGTACAGAGATCCAAAATGGTGTGGGACATACCCTTAGTAACACGGAGAACAGCACCATCAGACTTACGCTTGTAAGTGATTTCAGTACGCTTGACAACAGGGTTGAAAGGCTTGAATTCTAATTCGTCAATACCGTCACGAGCAAGCTTGGGATCAGGCAAAGAGTTGACAATACAGAAATCGATAGCATCTTGGTTTTCAGTACGAGAAGCATATGCAGACAATTGGATAATTTCATCACCGTTTTGTTCGGCATAAGTTTTGATGGTAGGCTTATCAACGATAAGCTTGTTCAGGGTCAAGGTACCGGTCTTATCAGAACACAAGATAGTAACAGCGGCCATTTCTTCAATAGCAGTGATACGGGTAACAATAGCCTTGTGTTCAGCAAGTTGCTTAGCACCAATAGCAAGAGTGACAGAAAGGACAGTAGGCATGGCAATGGGAATACCACCAATGAGCAAGACAAGGATGTTATCAATACCGGTTCTGTAGGCATAGTGGAACTTGGGATACATGACGAGAATTTCAATAACAACAAAGAGGGTAATGGTACAGAGACAGAAGTTACCGATCTTGGCCAAAATGGTTTGCAAGTGACCAACATCGTCAGAAGCATCACCGACGAGCTTAGCGGCACGGCCGAAGAAGGTGTTGGTACCAGTACCGATAACGATAGCTTCGGCTTCACCTTGCTTGACAGTAGAACCAGAGAAGACTTCATCACCAGCTTCCTTACCAACAGGCAAAGATTCACCAGTAAGAGCAGCTTGATCGATAGAGACTTGACCGTGAGCAGCAATAAGACGACCATCAGCAGGAACAACATCACCGAGCTTGATACTGATAACATCACCAGGAACAAGTTCAGCAGCTTCCAAAGTCTTCCATTCACCACTACGCTTAACCTTACATTCAGGGGCAAGAGAGGCCATCAAAGCCTTGACAGCATTACCAGCTTGACGTTCTTCCAAGAAACCAATAGTAGCATTGGCAAGCAACAAGAGGACGATACCAATGAAATCGGGGTAGTCTGGGGGTTGACCACCACCGTTAGAAAGAGCAATAGAAACAATAGCAGCAGCTTCCATAACCCAAGAAAGAGGGTTCCACATAAAACCCAAGAATTGAAGGATAGGGTTAACTTCCTTGCTTTCGAGCTTGTTATGACCAAACTTTTCAATACGGCGGGCAGCTTCTTCGGTAGTCAAACCTTCAGTTGAAGTTCTACAGGGTTCAAATGTGAGGTTAGCAAATTATATAATACAATCATTTCTAAAAATAACAAGAAATAAACTACTACGGCTACTACATCTGCTTGATCCCCGAAAAAAAATTTTCGAAATTCTCGCAGATCAAATCAAAAGAAAAATTTTTTTCTTCGCGAATTTGAGAAAGGAGAAAGAGGGGGAGAAAAGAGAGGGGAGAGGAGGGGAAGGAAAATTAAGAATTATTTGATTATGAAATAAGGAGAACAGAGAAAGGAGATACGTACTGCAAGAGTTCAAAGATGTCTCCAGGCTCCATAGTGGATAAATCAAACTTTTCTTTGTCGTAGAGTTCTTCGACGGTCAAAGAGGTAACGTTGCCGGAAATGTTGGCTTTGTGAGCAACAGGTTGATCAGAAATGACCTCTTCGACGACTGTTTCGGTTTTCTCAGTCATGGTTTATATAAGAGAGTGTGTGATGTATAATAAATCTTTTTTCTAAAAAAGAGAGAATTGACTCTTTTTTGTTATATATCTATTTCAAAGGTGAAAAAAAAAGATAAAAAATAAAAGATAAAAAGAGAGAATGAATGTATTGGTGTGTTGGTCAAACAGAAACGAAAAAGAAAAAAAAAAGAAAAAGAAAAATCAAATCAAACCATCAAGTATTTATAAAAAAGATCAGATCCATTGCACAAAATATAAAACAACAACTCAGCACGGGCAGGGGCTACCAAAAGAAAAAAGTAATGTAACTTTCCCAAATTGTATAGACTCCCTCAAAAAAAAAACTTTGGACCTGAATGGTACTTTACAATAACATTGCTACATGGTGTATTTAGTATTAAGGTCGGCGATACAAATGTACCAATGATAAACCATTTATATACTTTTTGTCTCATCACACACTCACACAAAGGGTTTGCTTCTTGTCACTCTCTCTCTCTCTCTTGTCGCTCTCTGCTTCTCTTAATTATTTTCTGCTCTCCCCGCTTTTGCCCGCTCTGTAAGTCGTCCTTCCCGCTTCCTTTAAGATGTACATCTACATCTATATTAGACTACGTCATGTAGTAGTATACCGAGACAAAATTGAAATGAAACTGTGATTTGATTTGACGTCGATCCGGTACCTTTCTTTTTTTTTTAACTTTCTCACCTCTTTTATCTGAATTTGATTTAAACATGTGCCACGTCTACTAAAAAAGTGACTCGTGAAGCATTTACCATTTAGTAAAAGGTTGATTTGATTTGATGATGATTTTATTTTGGTAGTGTATCAACAATGAAAGAATAGATCCCTTGATTGACTATAGACATTCTTTACACTGCCCCCTTATTGCCTAATCCGCACAACTCCTATTAAGCTTGCCACCATATCTTGTCCCCTCCCCTTCTGCTCCCTTACCCTCGACTCCCCGTAAATGGTCTGTTTTCTAAACCACTTTTTTGACGTAGAAAGACATGTCTATTCGGTAGAAGACTCGGGTCGGTCGATCGGACGGTCCTCTCGGCTCTGATAGTATTTTTACGTAAAGAAGCGAAATAGTCAGAAGTTTATAATTTATTTAACTTCATAATTACATTATCATGAATTGTAATTGACTAAATTCAAGGAGACCTCAACTTTTACGGTCAAAGAGAAAAAAAAGAAGTTTTGGAAATATGTATCGTCTGCACATAGATAGCATCTTTATAAACAGTATATGATTGATTTCGCACGCGACTCTGAGAATGATAAGCTCTTTAGGCTATACAGGCCACTTTTTGCTCGAGAAAAAAAAGACAGGCAGTAGTGGGAATCCTATTTCCAGGTTTTCTATTTATTATTTACGAAATAAATAGTTATAAGTAAAAGATAAACAATAGAAAAAGATCATCCTTACTCCATAATGTATGTCAATGTATATGCGGATGTACGTGTAAATAAAGATTGACCCTCCACATCGTATTTTCGTTTAGGACTCTTTCTCTCTATTTTTTATCTTATTTTTCCCTGAGCAAAGTCCGCGACCACGTTTTTCTATTCATTAATGTCGCCGCTATAAACAAAGAACAAGAAGAAGAAAAAAAAGAGAGTCCTTTTGAGGGATTATTACTATTCGCTTGAAACATATGATGGAATTAACAATTTAGTCACTAGGTAAACAATAATGGATCAAGTAACCATATGTTTGCGTTGTATAAAAAATAAACTTTTAAAAGAGCGTGTAAGTGACTAGTTTAGTTACAGTTATTTTTTCCCATCATTACACCACATACATGGTGATTCACGAAAAAAAAAAAAAGCCTTCTTGCACATTCAAATAGAATTATATCCATGGCTCGACATGGTTCAAAGTCCGTTACTCACACTTTTCATTATGGAACGAAAGTTGAACGAAAGGAAAGATGTGTATTGGTTTGATTAGAAAAAGAATGTCAAGAAGAGAACAAGGAATAGGTCAGTAAGCAAGAAGCTTTTTTTTCGTAACTGGTTGTAAAATAAAATAAGAAAATTGCATAATAGTTGTGGGGTGAACTATTTTATACATGTACTACCTCCGATAAACCTCAAGGCCTAATCAAGGTACATCATGACAAAAAAAGTCTGTCAAGCTAATGAATTAAAATGAAATTTCTGTTTATATCTCTCTCTTCCAATTCAATGTCCAAACAAATCGCCATATATAGCAAAAGTTCATTATAAGTCTGCTGCACATTGATTTGTTTATTTTCTTATAGTGGAGTTGGATTTTTCTGGATTTGTAATGTTCGGAGATACCTGAATCGGTTTATTTAGAGTTTAAATTGAAATTGGGAAATTTGCTGCTTGTAGCCATGACACATACAACTCTCTTTCCTACTCTCTCTTTTGATGATATTTATAAGCGCTCAGTCAAAGAGAGATCAAATGTCTTACAGCAAAATAGCTGCTGTATGAAAGTATTTGATTTAACTCTACGGTTACAAAAAAGAATCGCGCTTTGATTTTGCCTGTATGACAGGCGGTGAATTCATTGAGCTGCTTCGGTTAATCAACAAAGGCTTTACCAATGATATTGATTTTGAATCACATACGCGACCGAATCAGATAATGGGAATATGAACACATGGTACGCTTTTACTTGTTGTAGACACAGAGAAGAGATCACTCTACCTTCCTACTTTGTGTGTGTATTCAGATTAGATAAGAGAGCTATCAGTAAGAGCAACTGAATAATCTTGGAATAAAGCAGTCTTTCATGTGCTCACTATGTCATCAACCACTTTCTCTTTGCTCATTTTTGGTAAATTCTTCCTTTTAGTAAAGCTTCTTATTGTTGTTGTTGCGTGTGCTAATAAATGATCTACGGACACCAATAAATTACATTTCATAATTGTGCTCATTACTACATAATTAAGTTTATAAAGAGCTATTTTTAAAAGCTGCATAGTTGAGTAACTAGTTTGATGCTAGACTTTTCCTTTCCTTCTCCTGCATAATCAGTGATTAACAGCTTACAGAAATTGATGCCTTGGATGCATTATGATTCATGTATATTATATGTCTAGTATTAATGCAGAACGTTATATATGCTGTTTAGTATATATTATAGTAGAAAGACAAGAAACGAAGAAATTGATTTCAGAAAAAATTTGTAATACAATACCAATACTTGGTATGCTTTTACGTATCAATAAAGAGCTGGATATGCCCCTGACCTCTCTACTTTGCTCGTTTTCAGATTCCGTAAAAAGCGAGGCATAAGGAGAAAAGGGAGAGGTAGTAAGAACCTTACAGAAAATACTATTGTCCTCTTGTTCTCTTCCATTTCTCTTTTCTTGATCTAGATATGCTGATGATTATCACACTATAGATCATGTATATCAGAAATATTCATCGACCTTATGCGAGATTATGTATGTAGCTGAAGAGAAACCATCTTATTATGCATACAATTGAGCATTTGTATCAAACAACCAGCTTATTTCGGTCACATTGACATTGTACAAACGGTAAAAATAAAAAGGAAGTTGAGCACGGATTTTCAGCAATCCAGTAAAAATTTTGAGCAAAAAGGCATGATCCAAGATAGGTAGGTAGATTATATATCTATTTTGGATTGTCTAGCGTCATTATAGCTAATAGAAACATATCTCTAAACTTAATATCCCAAAGACGAAGCCTTACCGCAAAAATCATGCGTATTTTCAATACATGCACTTGACAAAAAATAAGCATATTTATAAATAAACATTTACAGAAATACAGAAGACAACATGATGTATAACAAAGGAGTATCGAATCCGTAAGGGGGAAGCAATTGAATCAGGTTTGCTTCTCAATAGAATAATAAATGAAGAGTTATTCAAGCTACTAGTCTGGGACAAAGTTCAGGTTATTGTATTCAATCTCGAGTTGCTTAAGATATACATAGAAAAGAAATTATACAAAACTAGTTTTACTGAAGACTTAGTGTAATGTGACAGCGATACAAAACAGTTTGAAATCAAGTTACAAAATATAGAAGTAAAGGGGTTGCAAAAGAATGGTCTTCTTGACCATAAAAGATCAATAGTTCTCTAAGCTTTGATATGTATTGTATTTGGTACTACATTTACAGCCTTCAGCATTGTAAGACAGTATGCACATTTAACCGGTTGTCCTCTGCATCTATATTATTCCAAAATGTCTCTGAGAACTAAAATCTAGAATAGACTTAAAACGTTTCTGTTTAGTACCATGATACAGTCTTTTGTACTAATACAAGCAATCAGATAAACCTCTTTTTCTCAAAAATATTATGAAAACTAAGAAAAAAACAACAGCTCTAGCGAAATAGGCTTTAGCCATTTTCTTGTATGTAAAACATTATGTGGATTCTAAGTTTTTAGAAACAAGAATTTGGAATCATATGAATCATAGTTTTACTTATGCAATATGCATGGAAGCCTCTTCTTTTTACGTCAGGTGTTAAACCCTTTGAATAGAAATTTCTGTATTGTATATCATACTTGTATAGTAGCATGATTACAAGCTTAGGATGCATTATGCATTACCAAGAAGCCATAATTTTTAATTTTTTCCAAAGGTACAAAATGATAGGGACTCGCTACACACACTACATTTTTTAAGAAAAAAGAACCCAGTACGGGGGTCGAACCCGTAATCTTCCGTTTAGAAGACGGATGCCTTATCCAATTGGGCCAACCGGGCAATTTGCGAAAAAATACAAAAAAAATATTATGTAGATATAAAAAAATGTCCGGATCGGATAATATTTGTCTCAATGAATCCGGGCCGGATTTTTAATATGCTCAGCGTTGTACCGTTAATCAATAATTTGTAGGTACATAGACTTTGACATTTACAACGCCTAATATTTTCTTTACTACAAGTATCAGTCCAGGCTATCAAGAACCAAAAAATACACAACCAATCTGAAACAAAATGAGGGAACTACTTATTGAAGTTAAGAGATGAAAGGCCACATTTGCATTTCCCAAGCGATTTTCTTTTGTGTTTGAAAATATGCAAACTGCTCTATTTCCTGTTGGTTTTAAACACATTTGATTGACTATTAACATAGAAAAACTAAAACCAAATAAAGACATTTATTGTATATCTAAATATCTAAAAGTTGCTTCATTCGTTCATATACAGCGAAACTGATGGCCACCATAGGTACCACTTTAATATAGCCTATACTCAACCCAACGTAGTATCCTTTTAGACCTTTTACACGATATATCTCTTTTGTTGTATCCATAAATCCTACAAACTTGTGTGGGTTCAACAAACCGCCTACTTGCATTCGTCTTCTTATGACCTATTTTGTATTATTCATTATGTTGTATTCTAATTATTCTACTTGCCTCGAGCGGGTAACTACTTGTTTGTGCTACTAGACCTGCTAATCCACCACACAGTAGTTCTGCCCATGTCTTCAAGGGTGGCTTCTCTAATAATCGTTGTTGACTGGATGTCACTGGAGAATCGGCCGGAAAAGATAAAGGTGTTTTTGTATAAGGTGAAATTATAGGGTTGAATCGAAATAGTTGTGTAATAATATGATATGTCCAAAAGGAAACACCTGCATAGGGTATCATGCCTGCTACTGTAGGAAAGAAGCCTCGATAAAAATTGAGAGGGGGAAAATGAAGGGCTGCAGGCTCTTTAATGATATGTTGAATGGTTGTTGTGAGTGTAGGTCGACTGCTCCCAACTTCTTTTACATGATAAGCTAGTCTGACACGCACAAGATCCAATGGATAAGTGAAAAACACAGATGTAACACCTATCAAGAGTCAGTACATGCCTAAAATAATCAACTGGAATTTACCAGCTAACGAGCCAGCTATAAACTGCTTTGTAGGTGTTTCTTGTGCCCTTGTAGGCATCAGTAACTATGAAAAACATGAATAAATAATTGTATATATAAAATATTAATAACTTACTGCTCGGTATTGTTCATAAGCAACAAATTTAATAGCTGCATAAGGAAAAATACGCAATAAAGTGACCGAATGACCCTGAAACAGACCCAAGAGACCGCCATTCTTGTAAATGTCTCTACCTGCCTTGAAAGCACCTGTAAATGTACCTATTAAAAATATAAGGCATCTCATCTATTATGCTATTTTTTTTTTTTTTACCTGCATATTTCTCAAAAGCTGGATTTCTAGACTGAAAAAGAATCTTTATCCTATCTAAAGGCGCTACGCTTGTTTTTGCCTAATATTTAAGTAAGTCTTAACTTGTATGTTCAATGTTTCATTTTGTTTACCATGCAGCCGGCAATACCACCAGCTATACCAGACTTGATTACATACTCTAAGCTCTGTGTCCTATTCCTTTCGCTCTTTGACATGGGATAAAGAGAATAAAAAGGATAAAAAAATTTAAAAATGCCAGTCTCTCTTTTCTTTACTTTAGCACATTATGGGTTCATCTGATCTTAATTTGAAAAAATCTTGGCATCCTGCCACCTTCAAAAACCAAGAGCGTGTATGGAAAGAAGAACAAAAACGCAAAGAAGAAGATCGTAAACTCGAACAGCTCAAAAAAGAGCTGACAGAAGAAAGACAACTTCAAGAATTGCAACGTATGCAAGAAGAAGCAGGCACCAAGTAAGTTATAGATAGATAAGTATATCATTTAACATTATCCATAGAAAGAGATCGAATAAGCTGGATTGGATGTATGCTTCACCTAATGCCAATTTAAACAACTCTTCAAATAACAGCATGGAAGACTTCTTATTGGGCAAGAAGAATGTTGATGATCTACTTCGTGCTAAGCAAAGAGAACAAGTGGTAAGTGTGTGATTGAACACTGTATGTATTCACTCTCTGTAGCAAGCTGCTACTGCTGCGGAAGAAAGTCGATTTACTCTTTCAAATGCCAATGCTAACTCAGAACGTGATATTCAAGCTAAAATTCGAGAAGATCCTTTATTAATGATCAAAAAACGAGAGCAAATGGCGCTCAAAGCCATTGTTGAAAATCCTTTAAAACTAAAAGAACTCAAAAAAAGAGAGAAAAAAGACAAGAAAAAGAAGAGCTCGGAACACAAATATCACAGTAGTCGACGAGAACATAGTCATGACCGCAGTAGTAAAAGAAAAAGAGATGATAGTAGAGAACACTCAAGCCGACACAGAAGACGAAGAAGTGCTTCTCCACGTCGTAGATAACTAATAATAAACAAATTTATTTACAAAAACAAAGATTTTACAAATGGGGGGGGTTTCTAATGCTTTTTAGAAGATAACCATGTCTTCAGAAGGTTGATCTGGTCTAAGACAGAAGATTTGGCAGTACCACCAGGTGTATTGCGGTTTTCAATTGAAGTTTCATAGCTCCAGACAGAACCAACGTCGTCTCCAAAAGAAGGATGTAATGTCTTGAGATCATCCACAGTCAAATCACTAAGAGAACATTGACGATCTTCAGCCATTTTGACAGCAGCACCAGAAATATGATGTGTTTCACGGAATGGAACGCCCTTGCGAACAAGATATTCAGCCAAATCAGTAGCCAACATATCACCACTTAAACTAGCAAGCATTTTTTCAGGGAAAATTGAGAGTGTGCTCAACACACCAGCAGTGATCTGAAGAGAGCCAGACAAAGTATCGGCGGCATCAAACATAGGTTCTTTGTCTTCTTGAAGATCCTTGTTGTATGTACTAGGAATACCCTTATAAGACATCATAAAACCAGACATACTACCAAACACACGGCCGCTCTTGCCACGCAATAATTCCAAACTATCAGGGTTCTTCTTTTGAGGCATCAAGCTAGATCCAGTACTATAAGCATCAGCTAACTTGACAAAACCGAATTCAGCACTAGAATAAATAATCAAGTCTTCAGCAATACGAGAGATATGAACCATGGTCAAACTAGCCCAGAACAGAAATTCAGCAACAAAGTCACGATCACTAACTGCATAAAGTGAGTTATGAATATAGTCACGGAAGCCTAATTCCTTGGCTAAGAAACTACGATCAATATTGAAAACATGTCCAGCCAAAGCACCACTACCCAAGGGTAGCACATTAAGTCTTTCAATCAATTGCTCTAAGCGATCAGCATCTGATTGCCAAAGCCAAGCATGAGATAAGAGAAAGTGAGACCAGCGAATAGGTTGAGCACGTTGTAAATGAGTATAACCAGGCATAAGTGCGTCTAGTTCCTTCTCGGCACGGTTGACAGCCACAGAAATCAATTCTTTCAAGTGAGCCAAGATCTTGGTGGCTTCTTCACGCAGCCAAAGGCGCATATCAGTAGCTACTTGATCATTACGAGAGCGACCTGTATGAAGCTTGCCTGCAACTGAACCGATAATTTCACCTAAGCGACGTTCGTTGGCAGTATGGATATCTTCATCACCAGCCTTGATCACAAATGCACCGGATTCCCATTCCTCCATGACCTGTTGAAGACCTTGTACGAGTTGGTCACGTTCTTCTGTTGAGATGATGTTGTTTTTGGCAAGTGCTTTAGCATAAGCAATGGAACCAATACAGTCTGCTGCATACATGCGCTTGTCAAAATGAATAGAAGCATTAAAGGCATCCATAAGAGGATCCACAGCGCCAGAGAATCGTCCTCCCCAGAGTTTCTTTGGTGCGTCAGTCATAGTATAAAGATAATAAAGAAAGATAAAACAAAAATTATGCTATTTATTTCTCCAAACGATGACTCACATTTCTTCATAATCCCTAAAAAAACAAAGTCATTTAAATCTCAGAAAGTGATTATCTTTTTATGGTTTGAAGGATCAGAAAATTTTTTTAGAGCCTTGATTTGGTATCCTTTAAAGCACCAGATGAAAGTAGTTGTTGGATATGATCATTTGAAATACCAAACTCTTTGAGTATTTCAATCGAATGCGTGCCTGACTCTATTAAAGGGTTTGAAGTTTCTTTGTATTTAGCAGGTGTCCTGGACAAAATAGGTGCAGGTTGAGGAGGAGCAGCTTGTCTCGGCCATCCCTTCTTGACTTTCTTTGAATTAGGGATGGGATGTTGAAAGGATAAAACAGGTGTTACACAAGCATCAGAACCATCAAAGATAAGCGTCCATTCATGCTGAGTTTTTGTAGCAAAGATTTCTTGAAATTTGGTTTTCATTTGAGGCCATGATTCCCTGTCAAGTTGGTCTGGTAACTCAGTTTGGGACAAGCCTAGTTTTTCCAGTAAACAAGAATAGAATTGAGGTTCAATAGCACCACTATTACCAGGTAAATAAATATGCTTTACTAAAAGTACACATACACTGCCATAAATTGATTGTCTTTGGTTTCGTAAACTTCATAAAAATGAGCGCCACCGTCCAACATGTTCTGACCTCTTTCCTGATCAAATATCATTTGATACTTTTGCATCAAATAAGGAAACGTTGTTAAATAAGCAGTGCCTGCTGTCTATTTGCGACAAATATTAGTGTGAATCCTTTTCTTGGGTATATTTACCAAGTTGGCATCCACAACTTGCCCCTTTCCCGATTTTAAGCGCTCCACAAGAGCCATGAGTATACCCATTACGCACATAAGTCCACCGCCAGCAAAATCAGCTAATGTATATCATATGAGTCTTTTTTATGACCAAGCTTTTTTTCTGTACTTGCCTAGAATATTGACAGGGAAGAATGGTTTTTCCTTGTAGCGTCCTATAAACTAAAACAAGGATGAATAATGAGACTTAAACTACCGTCTCTTTCGTACACTTAATGCACCCGAGATAGCTAAATAATTGATATCATGACCAGCTGCTTGAGAAGCAGGTCCTGTTTGTCCAAATCCACTGAGGCGCGCATAAATAATACGAGGGTTGACAGAAAGTAAAACATTAGGACCAAGTCCTAATTTCTCCATGACACCCGGACGAAAAGGGTCCAGGACAATATCGGCTGAAACAAATAATTTGAGTAAGACTTTAATAGTATCTGGATGCTTCAAATCCATGGACAAGGAACGCTTATTTCTTTCCAAACGAGTTTAATTATAATATATATGTAGAATATAGAGCATACCTTGTTAATAAGTCTATTCCCGACCCCTTAGGACGGTCTATACGAATAACATTGGCACCAAAGTCAGATAATATCATACCGGCGAAGGGAGCAGGAGCGAGCCCCGCCATTTCAAAGACATTAATATGAGACAGTGCTTGTGCCATATGAGAAAAAAAAATAAACAAGAAGAAAAGGTGGTTCGAAGTATGACTATAAAGTCACACGAAACTTATTGAGTTTCTGTGAACCGCGAAAAGGACTTTTGCTTTACTTACAAGAACATAAAGTAGTTAAAAGCTATAGGATAAAGGCATGAAAAAATACTTCATGGGTTGTTTAAACAGTCGGACAATGGTTGTTACACTAGCTTTAAAGCAAAGCACAAGTTTTGTCGATGCGTTATCCCTGTCAAGTGGTAAGTATTTTTCCTATTGATTTTACATCAAAAGGCATTTCCAAAATAAAGTCAGCCAACATAGATCAAATCAAAGAAATTCTATAATTGAATCCATATAAATAAAAAACATACATAATCTGAATTTCTAAATTTCTCCATTTTTTTGATTTTAGTTTTTAACATGAGAACACTAATTTAAACTTGGAGATTCTTTAAGGGATACTTCACTTGAAGCAATACACAAGGTTGAGGCTATTGCTGGGTGAAGCTGTGATAATCTGAAGCGTCTCAAGCTATGTTAGACAGAAGCAGAAGAAATAAACTATTCCAAAGAACGATAGAGAACAAGCACTTATTTTCAATGCGGATATATTAGATAGTATGCTTTGTTTATTGCATGTTGGCAAGTAGTTCTTGCATGCGTTGTTATGTCTAGATGATATGTTTAGAAAAAACTGAGACATCCTTTTTTTTTTGTTTACCTTTGTTGCTAAATAATGAAATACAGCTTCTCTCATCCAGGGCTGCTTATAGAATTCATTCTGTCTCATTTCTTCCAAAATAGACTTGCTTTCACTTAACTTATACAATCGCCTAAAGTTGGTAGTATGACCGAGAAATTTATACAGAAAAAATAGGGGAAAGCATTGTCTTGAGCATCACCACCATTATCACAAGAGAGCAATAAAAGAAGTGCTGTGTTTTTCTCTAACAATACAAACAGCTTCATTTCTCAGTAACAATTTGATATTCTATCTAAACATACATAATACTCTAAGCCTTTTCGTCATAAATCCAATGCTCAGTTCAGTCAATAGCTGCAGTATCAGATTCATTTATATAATTGTGATATGAAATCTACTTCTTTCGAAATCAAGATTCATTAAAGTAACTATGGTGCCTGATGATAACCATTGCCATGAATACATTTAATGATTGAATCTCCGATATTAAAAAAGAAAGAAACCCGTTTTTGCGTTTTACTTTTTTTTTTTTCATTTTTTCTGTCTTCTTGTCTTCTTTTCTTAGTTTGTAGAATGTCGAATCCAATTGCTGACACAGCAGACTACTTTTCAGAAAAAGAAGAACAACGACCTGTGAATAAAAATCTAACAAAACCGGGATTACGTATCTTTCCTTCTCAACAACATTCTTCTACTTACCATGAAAACGACATTTTGTCGCCAGAGTCACCCGAGAGCCGTAGACCTCATCCTCAACAGCGTAATTTATCTGACTTCGATCCTAAACTACAATGGCAACGAGTCTTGAAACATTTACCTCGACACCATCCGAGTCACTTGAATCGAGAACAAGTAGAATATGTATCTGATGATAATTATTCAACAGAAGAGAATCATGAAATGAGACGCTATCATCAATCATATAATGATCAAGATGACGAGTTGCCAGACACAAATCATTTGCATCAACAAGAAGAAACCAATGAAGAGAGTGACATCATGACTCAACCACAAGAAAAACAGCAACATGAGCCTGACAATTATTTCGTCAATCCTTTTGATCATTCAGCCAGTGACACGAACTCAAAGACAACAGAAGGCACTGAAGCACCAATCACTCCTCCATTACCTGATGCTGTTGGCCAAGGCAGTCAGTCTGTCCATCCAATTAGTACGACAAGCACAAGCAGTAACAGTAGCGGTGGTAACACAAGTACACAGCTCAATCAGCCTATTGAAGGAAAAGCTAAAACACATTGGAGCAAAACACTTGACAAAGTTCGACTTATCGCTAATTTACAAGCATTGCCTCTTCAATTAAAAGTAGGCGACCTCAATTCGACTTCCCCTCTTGTGCCCTATTATCCACCACTGTTTGACCCAGTCTTTATTGCTCTTTCTAAAGATCAACATGGAAATCCTTGGGTAACATTCATAATTCAATCGAATTCTAAAGCTTATTTTATTATATTTATAGCCACCTGTCTTGCTTCCTTTTTTGAAGGCAAGAAAAAACATAAACGAGACTAGAATTAATCATTGTTTTTTCTGTAGGTTGCTATCACTGATTCTGCACTTTCAACGCAAGGTATCAATCAATGGGTATTTCGTATCGAATTACAGTATGGCGATCTGAAATGGGTCATTAAGCGTACGATTGCCGACTTTGTCAGTCTTCACTATACCCTTAAATTCAAGTCCAGCATAAGCGACTCTGTTCCAAGTCCTCCTCGTTTTCCTAGCCAATTGGAATCTTGGTTGAGCTCAGCTAAAGGTACCATTGGCATAGTAGATTCAGAACGCGGTGAAGACGACGAAAAATACCAAATTGCACTCAAGCGTCGTAAAGCATTAACAAAATACCTTAGAAAACTCTTAATCCGTGCTCACATGAGAGCCAATTATGACATTTGTGAATTCTTAGAAATTTCAGCTGCCAGTATTGTAGAAGACATGGGCTGGAAAGGTAAAGAGGGATTCCTAGAGCACAAGGTCAATTTCGTTGTGCCTCGCCTATGTCATGTCTTGAAACCACATTTATGGAATACACAGTGGGTGTTATTGAGAGATTCCTATGTTGCTTTTATTTCAGGTATTGCTTCCAAGCAAATAAACGATGTGTTTTTATTTGACAAGTCGTTGGTTGTCAGCAGTAAAGCACCAGGTATTTTGGGTAAATACCATAACCATATTGTCATGGAAAATAAGTTTCGCCGAATTGAATTGAAGGGAAGCAGACGAGAGATTGAAGAGTGGAGAGAAAGCATCGATCGTGTCTTGACAAACAGTCCTTGGGTCAAAAATCACAGGTTTGGTTCATTTGCACCTATTCGACACAATGCCAAAGTTAGATGGTTTGTTGACGGTGAAGATCATTTTAATGCTGTTGGAGAAGCTATTTTGTCTGCAAAATCTGAAATTTATATTATGGATTGGTGGCTATCGCCTGAATTGGTAAGTGATAAGACAAACGCTGTATATACTGACATGATTATAGTATCTTCGAAGACCTCCTGAAAAAAATCAAGAATTCAGAATCGATAGACTTTTAAAGCGAAAAGCTGAAGAAGGCGTCAGGATTTACATAATAGTTTATAAAGAAATGGCTGTCGCTTTAACTATCAATTCTGCTCATACAAAGTCATGGTTACAAAGCTTGCATAACAATATCATTGGTAAACTACATAGTATGCATGTAACATTTTCTAACAAATTATATACAAGTGGTACGACATCCTGATCACCGTTCCATTGACAACAATGTGTTATTTTGGTCTCATCATGAGAAAATTGTCATTGTAGACAATCGTCTGGCTTTTCTTGGTGGCCTTGATTTGTGCTGGGGGTAATTTGACGAATATGAAATGATATAATACTCACAGATACAAATAGTCGCTATGATTCTCATAAACATCGTATCACTGATTATCCTGCTGAAGGCCATACAGATCAGGTCTTTCCCGGCCAAGATTATTCAAATCCTCGTGTCAAAGATTTTGCTAATGTAGCTCAATATGACTTAACACTTGTTGATAAAAACATTAGCCCACGCATGCCCTGGCATGATATGACAGTTGGTATGGTAGGTCCTATTGCTCGTGATGTTGCTCGACACTTTATCCAACGCTGGAACTTCCTGAAAGCTAGCAAGGGTATGCATCGTCCTACTGTACCGTTTTTGATGCCAAAAGGTGAATATGTGGCTGCTCGCGATGAGTCCTCATTCAAAGGGACATGTCGTGTTCAACTCTTACGTAGTTCTGCTCAATGGAGTTCTGGTATTGAGCGCGAGCACTCTATTTATAATGCGTACATGGAATGTATTAGCAAATCAAAGCACTTCATTTACATTGAAAACCAATTTTTCAGTAAGTGCATTTATAATAGTATACAACAATGTCTCATATCATTCTAGTCAGTTCAACCACGCAGGATAAATTGTTGCGAAACAAGATTGCACAAGCTATTGTGGAGCGTATCAAGCGTGCTCATGCCAATGGCGAAAACTACAAGGCATTCATTTTAATTCCCTTGATTCCCGCTTTTGAAGGTGATTTATCCACAACAGATGCTGCTGCTGCTCGTAATGTCATGCACTTTCAATACATCACTATTTCTAGAGGTGGAAATTCCATTATTGAAAAGCTCAGAGAAGCAGGCATTGATCCATCAGAATATATTGGCTGGTACAGTTTACGTAACTGGGATAAACTTGTGCCTGGTAAAAAGACATCCACCAATACGCCACCTGCTTTTCCAGAAGAAAGACCAGAAGGTTCAGACAGTAGCTCAAATACAACTACTTTCATTTGGGATGATAATGATCGTGAACATTATGTGAGTGAATTGGTTTATATCCATGATAAACTATTGATTGTGGATGACCGTATTGTGTTGGTTGGCTCAGGTATAACACGACTACAATGTCTGTCGATATTTAACCTGCATTTCTTTTAGCAAACATCAACGATCGTTCTCAACTAGGTAACCGAGATTCAGAAATTGCCATGTTGATTGAAGATACAGAAATGATCCCCTCATTTATGGACGGAAAGGAGTACAAAGCTGCCAAATTTGCTCATTCATTACGTATGCAACTCTTTAAAGAACATCTGGGTCTATTAAACTTCAACGACTGGGACTCACTTATGAAAGGAGAAGCACGAGTAGAGCCTAATGTTGAAGTAGACGGTGATATTGTAGAAGATCATCATACAAGCGAACGCATCACAGAAGAAGAAATCCGCACGTACGAATCTGCTGGGCCCAATATGGTCTTGAATAACGAAAAGCGCTCAGGCGATAAGCCTATTCAGGCCGATGAAACACAAATCCGTTTAGATGCTAAAGCACTTGACCCTCTAACTCCTCATTGTCACCGTGATATCTGGAATGCAACAGCAAAGAACAATACGCTTATTTACCGAGAGATATTTAGATGTGTGCCTGATGATACTGTCCATACATTTGAACAGCACCGCAAATTTGTACCTGATCCAGCCAAGGTCCCACACGCTCATGTGGCCAATCCTGAGCTGCATGGAAGAGACATACGTCAGAAATTAGAGCGTGTACGTGGACACTTGGTTCAGTTTCCCTTTGACTATCTTAAGGATGAAAATATGCTGGGCTCTTTGATTCGCGAAACTGTAACCCCTATGATTATCTTTACATAACTTACTACCTTTCTTTAATAAATACTACTCTTCATTATCCAAGATGTTATGCATTTATTTGTACGACGTGAATAAGGCTAGTGTGCATGAATTGCAGATCTAGTTATATCACACACTCATACTATACCACGTTGTTTTTAATGATCATATTCCCATAATTAGACTTCGAATTTCACTTTATGAATTAGACATGTTATCGATGATCACTTGATATTCGTGAAACTTCTTGCAATGTACCAATCACAACTGGTCAAGAAATCACAAAAAAGGAAACAAAACAACATACGGTGCGGCGGATCTGTTTTCAAGAATAAATGATGATTCCTGAAAAACAAATGGCATTTAAAGTAAAGGCAGCCACTTAATCCTACGCTTGAGTTGATTAAACCTTTCCCACTGGAAACAATAATGAGAGCAAAGAGTCGGGAAAAAATATTAGAGCATATAATAATGCTTAAGCTGCTGCCTCGATACCTCTGTAGCCAACGCTCAACGCGGAGCATATTCATTATGAATGCAAGGTGGTCTTGGCCATCATATTGGGTCTTTGTATCCCGAAGAAGGGCAAGCATCGCGCTCTGTAAAAAGGGATTAATCAAATTAAGAACTATTTCCAGCTAGGCCCGAACAGCCCAAATTTGTGTGTTTCTAAATATGTCAAGAAGACAGTGCCAAGGAAGTTCTAGTATGACCAGTCAAAAGCAGTTATGGCAAGTCTGATTCATTTCAAACAGCATATTAAGCATACAAAGTTTAACTATCAAGAAACAAATGCATTCGCCTTACCCTTCCTGATCTGTGGAGGTTTAGAAATCGATCTCCATATAATCAGGCTCGTTCCTGAAGACTGATGCATTGTGGAGACGGCAAAAGACATAGACATTCCCTCGTCTGTTGAAGGTATCAAGGGTAGTAGCATTGTAAAATACATAGATTATTCAACGGCTTAAGGTTTGTAGAAAATGACAAAACAATGCTTCTGTTGTATATTAACAAGAGATCTTTAGCAAATCTGCATAGATTCCACAAAAGAACGAAGAAAGGTAAAAATCAATTATAAGCCATTAGTCGAAGAAAAATCCCTGATTTGATCCATATGAGGGAGTGTGTACCGACTCTAATGATGATGAATAAAAAAAAATATCATTATCATTGACTTCATTCATTACATTCTTTAAAAAGTATATCAGAGGGGAATTCAGCTTTTAAGCTATATGCTTATTGGCCATTAAATTTATTTGAATAAAGAAAATCGTATTAATTGTATAGTGTAGGTATGATATTTTTTTACAACCACCATGATTCTTTTTCACCACTATGGACAAACATTTCAGTATCGTCTTCATCGTAATGAGACATGGCAGGAGACACATAATGGTCGAAATCAGATTTACGGGCTAATTCTTCATCTTCTTCGACCATGTCAGACCAAGAAGAACCATTACCACCACTAAAGAAGGCAGAATCGAATGAGTTCATATCAGCATGCTTAGTAGTAGCAGTGGGAATAGAAACAGGTGACTCCTTCTTGTCGTCCAAGTAATCTTCGTCTTGATCATCATAAATACGATCAATAGCCAAGAATTGTTCTTTCATTTCAGCCACAGAAGGACGATCAGAACCGTCGATAGTCAAGACAGATTCAAGGAGACGATAGGTAGCATCAGACAACTCGGGGAACAATTGTTGCTTAAGCATGATGGGATTGCGTTTGAATTCGTTGAAGGCAGGATCAGCAGAAGATGCTTCTTGCCAAGGGTTGCGACCAAACATCAAAGCCAACAAAAGGATACCAAGGGACCATGTATCAGAAGCAGCAGCATCATAAGGAACCAGTTCAACTTGCTTGTCGTCATCAAAATGTTCAGGAGCCAAGTAAGAAGTAGAGCCACAACCAAACTCCATAGAATAGCGTTCTCTAGTAGCCAAACCGAAATCAGCAACTTTACAGGTGAACTCGTCTTCGTCTTCATCGTCTTCACACCTTAAGAGAATGTTTTCAAGCTTGAGGTCACGATGATAAACACCGGCAGCGTGCATGCTTTCAACACCGTCGAGAATTTGTGTGAAAAGCTTCTTGACCATGTGTTCTTCACGAATAGGATTCACATCTTGGTCCCGAATAACGTAATCAAAAAGATCACCTTGGTCACAAAGTTCCATGACCATGTAGATGTAGCCTGTATCTTGAATGACGCGATGAAGAGCCAAGAGACTAGAATGTTTGAGAGACATTTGAATATCAATTTCGAGTTGCTGGAGTTGAAGTTGTTGAAGGTCGAGACCTGATTTTGAAAGAACCTTGACGGCGACGTAGGAGTTATCTTGAAGCGATTGGCCTAAAAAGAGGCAACCATAGGCACCATGGCCAAGCACTTCGAGGAGTTGAAATTCTTCGCCGACAATCTTGTCGACCATAGAAGCAGAGAGTTGAGACCAGTATGTATCTTGATTGACCATATTTGTATCAGGAGTATATTTTTCAGTTAGAGAGAAAGAGAGAGCAAAATAATTTAGACTTGTTGATGTTGTTATAAAGAATTATATATATAGAAGGAAGTTTGCGTGTTGTTTGATAAAAAGTGACTAAGTCGAATAATGCCAAAGGGCTGTATGTCGAGATTCAAATAGGTTCATAGTGTTATATAAAAAAAATTACCAAGTTGGTATTTGTTTCTTGTTGTTATCTGTTTTTGTACAAAAAAAAAGAGGTTGAGTCTGCTTTTAGAGAGCAATTCAATACATGTTGGAATATAAGTATATAGAAAATAATAAAGAGTAATAGATAGAAGGGACCAAAAGGAAGTTATAAAACAAAAAAGAATGAAAAAGTAATGGGGAAGCAGGGTATTTATATAGTGATGAAATGATCTTTCCGTTTTTTCTCGTGCTTTCCTTTCCACCTGATTGGTGAACAAATATGAGATGACGAAATTCTAAAAGTAGCAATAAATTCATATTGTATGGCTGAATTGGTCAATATTGGCCATGTATGACCTCTCCTTCTCCTTCTTATTTCTCCTTGCTAAACATACAATAAGCTCTATTTATTATATTATCCTTTTATTCTTGCTTTGGGAAATGCTGCGATTTCATTGGTACCTGGCATATATTATTCAGCTACTAATACCGTGGGTACATTCATAATATCATGTAATTTTAAGAACAATTATTACAATTTTTACTATCATTAAGAACATGGAAAAGTAATTTAATCAATGACCAAATCGTATTTTGATTTGATTGGTTAACCGTGTATTTACGTGCCCTTTATCCTTTATGACTCAAATGACTGTGGCGAGAAATTTTTGTTTAATCGGCTCTTGAATACAGAATGATACAAAAAGCTTATGAATTTTGTAATTCAAGTCACAGTTTTAGAAATCAATCTAGAAACAATCAGAGCTGCGCGTATTTCAATTTGTAAGCATCTCATGTTGATGAAGATGTATGAAGCCTTTCTCTTTTGAGGGTGATAACGTTAGAGAGTGAATCTATTGACATCTTAGGATAAATTAGATCATTCATATAAAGGTCAAGAGAAAAGACATCTCATGACAGCTCTCAATTCGATCTATAGGAGATTCTGTACGGTGTTATATTTCTCCGCTTCCTGAATATGATAAGAATAGTAAATGTTTATGTGCGGAAGAATGGTTGAGATATAAAAAATTGCATAAACCAGCCTTATTATTCATCCGACTACACTCTTTCCAAAAATGGATGGTTCATTACAAAAGAAATTTTCAGATCTTCGTATACTTTCTTATGACATTGGCTAGATTTTCTTTTTAATTGAGATAATGTATCATTAAAACTTTTACAAGACTCAGATCAAGTTAAAATAGATTTCTTTGTTCTGTCTTCTGAAGCCAAACAAAACAGCATGTTACTTTCGTTGACAATATTGTTAGTCAAGTAGGCTATATTTTTAGTCAATATAGCGTGTCTGTCTTGGTGTAAGTCAAACATCCTTAGAATAAAGAATAATACAATGAAACACCCTATCTACTCCAAAAAGAGGTAATTTCTGCATCAACATGTATTTCTTTTTTTAGAAAAACCGAATAATTGTAAGCATTTTATAAAGAAAAAGATATAGGAAGCAAGGAAGAGTGCATTCTATCAGTTGGCTACATTTCCAGAAATAGGCAGATTTTCGATTGTTGTTTATAATACAAAGAAGCCAGTAATTCATTTTATGCATTTAAACAATTTATTTGCATCAACCTCCCATTCTAGAATGAAGTGGGAAGAGTCGACATATTTTCAAGTTTATAGCAACTTTCTTCTTTAAAATCAATATCTTTACGCGAAAATGGTGCACAATCTATTTCCAGAAAGAGTATGTATACACTTTATTGAAAAAAAAACAATTCGTGTGGAAAAAAATAAGTACTAGAAATTAAGCAGAACATGAATAATATTTATATTGTTACTTACGTTAGATTATAAGAAAGAGCAGAGAATAGAAGGGAGATGAATCAGTAACAGATATTAATCGGTACATGTAAAATACTTACATGGATACGAGGAGGTAGTTGAATACCACTATTTTGTTAATTGTATAATTGCTTCAACTCATTATATTCATACTACTACACAATATGACCAACCAATACTAAGTTGTGATTGATATCAAAGGCTGTATCCTCAAGTACTGATTTTTTTTTCTACTTATATTACTTTAAAATAGATATCTCAACATATCATTCACAAAAAACTGAGCGCGTTTAAGTATCATTTTGGCATATTAAAGGACTCTTGGATCATGATACTTTTGTTGCTGAATTCGAATGACAAAAAACTGGGCTAATTTTTATTTCGGGTCAGTGTATAAACTCAAATAAGGTGATTTCTATTTCAAAATTAAGTCATGCACATGATCACAAGAGAACTGGATAGACTTGCTTATCATGGGGACAACACGTTTACTAAAAAAAAAAACGCCGAGAATACTCTAAACTGTTTCATAATGATTGGTTTGGATTTATTTTGCTCCTTGTTCTAGAAGCTGATTATTGCTTTACCTATAAAGTAAAATATACAACTATATATGAATGATTGGAGCTAAAAAAGATGGATATATAAAATCAGTCAGCACTCACAATAAGTAAAGGGATAATTGAATGTAATGGTAGCCATGTAAAATGCAGCTAGGTAAAGCGCGTTCGTTTTTTAGTCGTTTTCTTTGAGAAAAAGACTTTCCCTTGATTTTATATAATTGGTTTAGTATGTAGTGCCAAGCATAGCATGGAAATGATGCAATTCACATAAATATATCACCTAAAGAGTATAAAATTTAAATGATAAGCACTGACTATATCGAAGGGCTTTAAATTAAATTAAATCTGATTGATAGAATAACAAAATGCTGTAATCAAGTCCGTTTTCGTGCATGATTCATCTTGCATTATGGGAAAAAAAACTGCAATAAATTTTACTTGTCTCTACAAGAAATATTTTACTCCCTCCCCTTTTCATATTATTTATGGCCTTTGGAAGGAGAAAGGACTATCATGGTGTAAGGAAGGTAGTATGGGAGTTCCTTTATCCCTATGTATGAATGAATAGCAAGTACATTTTCACAAGTCATTTGACTCATATAAAAAAAGCTGTAGTAATAGAGAAGTCTAATGAATTAAGCCCTGTGTTTTCTATTATTTGGTTACAGATTAGAAGAAATATTTCATTCATAAAAGATCTCCTTACAGTTACTTGTAAACTATAGTAATGAGTGGCTATTGTTCGCAACATCAAGGAATGAGGTCGAATTTGAAATGACTTCAGCAATCATATTATTAAGAACAGCCTCCATAGTGCCCCTGCATAAGTTCAACTAAAATAAGCTTTATTTTTGAACTATATTGATGCAAGAAGTTTCGATCTAGTATCACTTTAGGACTATTTACACATAGACATTCACGAATATTTCTTAAGAAAGTGAATTGACTTTATTTTTGTCGAAAAAATCAAGTGATTTGTCCGTAACTATAAATGAGCTGGTTGAATCGTTACCATAAAAATAGTTTTAGAACAAGTCTTTGGGTAATTGGGTATTAAGGTGATCCAGAGATAATTGAAAGCTCCTATGGTACACTCGCAACCTTATGATTTACAAGCAATTTCTCAATTCTTTATCAAGCACTCTACGTTCTTGGTTTAAAAAGCAGTTGACATGGCATACATAAAATCTTATAGACTTACAATAACAGCCGTAAGTGATAATTAAAAAAGACTTTTTGTGATTTTGCAAGATCAACCATCAAGACAAAACAAAACTCCGACGATATTACATGAAAAAGGAGCGTCGCCTGCAGGATTCGAACCTGCGCGCTCAAAGAGCACTGGCTTAGCAGGCCAGCTCGTTAACCACTCCGACAAAGCGACTTTTTTGAAAAGTACGATTTTTAAACTGATATATAGTAAAATTTTTATGATGCACGTGATCTTGAACCAATCATTTTTTCCAATCTTCCAAATTACATAATGAAATTTGGGTTGGGTCCTTAAAAAGCCATTCTTCAGGAACTCACAAGATTATCCAAATATCTATCTAAACCACTATTTGTATTAATTCTCATTGTCGCTTTAATGTAGCTATTGAACTTCAACAAGTATCAGCATTATTCATCATGCTTTTTTTATTTTAAGGTGAAACATTTTATTGTAGAGTATATTCCATTTGATAAAGTAGTCAAAGAAACAGTACACACTTTTTTATTGTTTTTTTTTATTAATCTTCCAATTGTTTATTAAGAAAATAATGTCTATTTAATCCTCTTCCTTTTTTAACGAAGTTCACTAGCTAACAAAGCTGGATTCTCGATCAAGTTCTTCCAGTGATTTCCAAAACGAGCAATTGTAGCTCCATCAATAATTCTATGATCAGCAGACCAACTAACAGGCATAACTTGCTTTGCAACAACATTCTCTTGCTCATCAAATCGAGGCAACTTCTGCATTTTTCCCAATGCAACAATAGCCAACTCGGAAGAAACAATGACAGGATTGGCATATGTACCGCCGATTGTACCGATATTAGACAAAGTAATTGTACCGCCCTTAAGATCTGCAAGAGGAATAGCATTAGCTTTGCCTAGTTCAGATAGACGGTGTATTTCAGAAGCAATTTCAAAAATAGTTTTATCTTGAACGTTCTTGATGTTGGGAACAATTAGACCTTGAGGTGTGTCCATAGCAATACCAATATTATGAGAGGGCAGATAGTTGATACGAATTGAATTAACATCATTAAGGTCACCAGAGAGCTTCGCATTCATGATAGGATAGTGAGATAGTGCAATTGAAAGACATTTCACAAAAATAGGCAAATAAGTCATCTTCTTATAAGGATAAAGTCCAGGGTGACTAGCAATGTGTTGATTAAGAGCTGTTCTGTATTTGGTAGTAGCATCTAATTCAATGTCATCTTTATATCCCAATTGAGGAATGCTCAAAGATTGAGTCATAGACTTGTACATGGCCTTTTGGATCATACTAAGGGATTCGGTCTTGTCAGAAAGGTTTTCACTCATTTTCTTAGTAGCTTGATCTATTTTAGAGTAATGAATATCGTGGGCTTTTCTTTATATTGCAGATACCTGTTTGGCTTGTTGATTCAAATGACAAAATGTCTTCTTTGAGTACTCTCCCTTCTTTACCAGTACCTTTTACCAGCGAGATATTAATACCTTTATCCTTGGCCAATTTCCTAACAGCTGGCGTAGCGAGAACAGATCCATTAGCATGTTCTGCTTTGTGACTATGATTTTCTTGAAATATGTCCTTCGTTTCTGCTTTCTCAAGTACAATTTCAGGCACATTATCAAGTGGACGTTTGATTACAGCATCATCTTGCTCATCGTCTTCTGTTTCAATGTCAACCAATGGTGATCCAACCTTGGCAATATCATTTAATCCATAGTGCAACTTCAAGATTTTGCCAGCAAAACGTGATGAGATTTCTACAGACGCTTTATCTGATTGTACTTCACAAATTCTATCAAACTCGCTAACCGTAGAGCCGGGTTCAACAAACCTATAACAGAATTAGTACGATAGCTTTTACATTCTTACTATAGATGTACCATTGAATTACTTCGCATTCAGTAATTCCTTCACCAATATCTGCCAAAAGAAAGGGCTTCACTGCCTGCAAGCCAAAAGATGAATGTAAGCCGCGACGACCGAGAAAGCAAAGACGTTGAGGCTGCTATGATTAGGCATCATTTTCCCTGAGACAGACACGAGAGACTTACCGTGAGAAATATTCTGTTGGAAGGCCGTGTCAAAGGAGATACGACGGAGGATGAAAATGACTTTAATGTCCTGAAATACATAGCTTTAAGATAAATATTGAACAAAAAGGGCGCGCGTCTTTGCAAGCTAGATGTATTTTTCTTGATAGAAGACGAAAGAAAGGAGAAAAGGAAGTGTGAGATCAAGCCAAGTATTCATATCATGGTCGTGGGAAACTTCTTAGCCGGGACTGTTCTTGGACCTGAATAGGTCACATGTAGCCCATATTAACTATGTGTAGCGAGTAAGAAGTATGCCAATAAGCGCTCTTCATCAGGATTTTGTACACTAGAGAATGTTTTGAGAAAAGAGAAACCCGTAGCCATAACAACTGTTGCAATAGATATTACACAAACCAAACTTTTTCGTGACGCGTTTTGCTGTGCAATGCAGCCTATTCAAATTTTCAATTGACTTTTTTGCTTTTGCTTTTTGCTAACTTGAATTAACAAATATGAGTTTGTTTAACGTTGCTCCAACTACAAAGCATTTAGTTGAATTCAATGCCGGTAAATGCATTGTAGAAGGCTCCTGGATTAAACCAGATACAAGAAAAGGGTACGAAAGGAAACAATCTATATTGCTTATTAATTTTCTACTAAATAGCACAGTGTACATGGATCAGGTATTAGGATGACTTAAAAATAACAAGTTTGTTGACTTTGTATAGGGCGATGATCAGCTTTTGCATCTCTATTGGAAAGAACGCAAGAACCAAGCCACTCCTGAAGACGTAAGTCGATTTGTATTTGACGAACATACTAATAATTGAACTAAAGGACCTAATCATCTTTCCTGATGAAGCTGAGTTCACCAAAGTCTCTCAATGTACAACTGGTCGCGTATACTTGCTAAAGTTCAAAACTTCCAACGAACGCCACTTTTATTGGATGCAAAGCAAGAATGATGAGAAGGATCAAGAAACAGTCGAACGTGTTAACGAATTGATCCGCGATCCTGAAGCTAGTATGAATGCAACTTCAGAACTCGATGAATCAGCCTCCCATGCTGAACTATTGCGTCTTTTGAATGGCGTTGGCAATCAAGGTAATTAATTAAGTCTTGTTTTAATAGCTTCTAATGAATCTTTAGATCCTAATATTACTCCCGAGAATTTGTTGCAGTTTTTGAACAGTATGAGCGGGTAATCCTTTCAAACGCTTTTGGGCCCAGTACTCATGTGTTTAATAGGGCAGGTGAAGCGAATGATGACAATGACGAGGCAATGGAAGAAGATAACGAAGAAGCTTCTCAGCCTAGAGAAAACGAAGTTCAAAGAGAAGTTACTGAACCAACCACTGTAGAAGCATCTGCTCCTGAAGTCAATGAGGCCCCAAACACTCAACAATCGTCAGAACAATTGGATCAACTTCGCCACATTCTCTCCAATATCAGACCCAGTAGTAAGTATGATGGCAGACGCAATACGATTTCTTACACTTCTTTTAGACGGACCTCCAATCTCACTAAGCGACATCTTGACCACACAAACAATCACACCCCTATTAAATGATCCTGAAATCTGTGCATCATTATTTCCATTTTTGCCCGAGGAATCCGAAAGATCTGTAGAAGAAGTGAGACAAGTAGTGAGAAGTCCACAATTCAGTCAAGCTTTACAAAGCTTGAGTGCTGCTCTTCAAACAGGTCAATTAGGTCCCTTGTTGACTCAACTAGGTTTGGATCCTTCTGCTGGTAATAGTGTTGAATCCTTTTTAATAGCTATCAGCGAACAAGCTAAAAAGAAGAAAGGAGATGCAATGGAAGATTAAGTTTATTATTATTGTTATTTTTTTCAGATAGAATATATATAGAGGATGTAGTTGCTTCTTATTCAAAAATAAAATCAACCAACAAGCTGATATCGTCTATGTTCATGAATCAGTTCGGGTGCTTCTTCAAGGACAATCATTTTCCCTTGAAGCATGTGTGTTGTAATGTGGCAATGAACTGCCCAAAAGCCAGGATTGTTCTATACATATAAATTAGCTTAGCATATTTAAAAGCCATATTAACTTACAGCTAAAAAGCGCACTTTTGTCCATCCACAACCCCCATTCTCGCCTACTTCCACTGAAGGATAGGCAACTGTAGTATCTCTGAACAATGGATTTACAAAGTTTCTAACTCCCTGGTCTCGTTCATGTATATAATCACCTGAACCAGAAGCGATCACATAATGAGAGTGTCCATGTGTGTGCCAAGGATGCAGTAAACAACCAAAGTCAGACTTTTTGTTCTGGAAGACCAAATCGATTACTTCATTGTACTGAATCGGATAAGTATCTAATAAAGAGTTATACTCGCCAAGAGATGTTGTCCGTAACGTGTTATCGAGTGATTGGTATCTCAAGTAAGCAGGTCGGTTATAATGAGGCGCAATACGCTTGTTCACCATGTATCGTGTTGTGTTATCAGGCATTTTGTGGTATTCTGTATTTAAGATAATAGTACGAGCATCACTCGAGTTTAGTAGAGGACCGAAAGACTCCAAGGGCTTGATTTGGTGATAAAACCAGTCTGGCTCGTCAATGTTAGGGAATATAGGTAATCCAGGATAAAACTTCTCAACCTTGGCACCACCAGCACCGCCAGCACCACCAGCACCGCCAGGTCCCCCACCAGCACCACCAGGTCTTCCACCAGCACCTCCAGCACCGCCAGCGCCACCAGGTCTTCCACCAGCACCGCCAGGTCTTCCACCAGCACCGCCAGGTCTTCCACCAGCACCACCAGGTCTTCCACCAGCACCGCCAGCACCGCCAGCGCCACCAGGTCTTCCACCAGCACCACCAGGTCTACCGCCCCAATTACCACTAGCAGATCTTTCTGCGTCAACACTAGGAACTTCCTTTTCAGATCCTTCAGTCTCAGTAGCAGGCCTTGTATTACTGGTTTTTGGTTGTTCTCTATCTTTCTGAAACTCTAACACACTGATTACAGGCTCTTTACGCTCAGCACCAGGTCTTGAAACATAATCACTAGGGTTTATGACATTTTTTCTACCTTGACCGGAAGAAATTTCCTTACTGGAAGTAAAGGTATAATCATTAATCTCTAATATAATCTTTTGCTCTTCTGAGTCAGAGTCTTTTCAATGATCAGTATATTTATCATGAAGAACTGTAAATATTACCTTCCTCCTCATCTTCCTCCTCATCTTCCTCCTCGTCTTCTTCACTCTCATCTTCATCGTCATATTCTTCTTCTATGTCAGTACCAAAAAGATCTTGATGCCTCTTAGTTTTTGTAGCAGCAGTGGTATTATTGATAGTCCAGTCCATTAACTTGAACAAATGTGTATCTCTTTCTGATTCTCTACGTAACTCTGTTGGTGCTTTATAACGAATGTATCCAAATCCATTTTCTGTCAGGCCATGACCTCTGTTTCTCCAAAGATAGCCAGTACCAATACCAAATGTCGTACCAGGTGAATAATTGCCTGTTTGAAGTAGTACAGAGTATCGCTGTCCAGGTGCAATTTCCAAAAAAGAAGTTTCATATGGTTGTGTTAACTCACCATCTATTTCAATCAATGTCATGTTGTGATCCTTGATAGCCATAGCTAATGTTCTGAATGTAGCAGCCCCAATCACCCGAAGACGATAGACTGAATTAGGTTCTACATCTAGAGTTGTATATCCTCCACAATTCTCGGCAGATAAACCTGTCTGTTCTGGATTGTTAATGGTACGCCCATTCATCAAAACACTATCAGCACCATGGTCAAAGGTGAAACTAGGACTTAAATAGTAGTTTTCGCGACTTGCAAGATCCTCGTGCCACCATTCACTTAATTGCAGAGTTAGGTCATCTTTGTATGTATAGGGTCCTGCTTTTAGAGGCATGTCAGAAGGTTGTATGTTGGGATTAGCTTCGCTTGATTCATAGACAATAAGAGCACCCTTGACTGAATCATCTTGTAAACCGACATGGGCATGATAAAAATAAGTTCCTGCTTGTCCATCAATTTTGAATCGATGCAAATATGATTCACCAGGCGCAATTGCATATTGTGTGATACCAGGTACACCATCTGCATCTAATGTACCAATCTGTCGAATACCATGAAAATGAATACTAGTATTTCTGTTTGGATCAGAATTTTTGACTAAAACTTCTATATCATCGCCTATGGTGACATGCATAGGAGGACCAGGGAATTTTCCATTGACCACAGGATAGCTGTAACCTTGTACATGACAATCTGGGTTTAAATCCATCGTGTTGACTTCAAATTCAAAACGACGTAAAGCCGCTTGAGCTACTGTAAACAATGCAAAACTAATAAATGAGATTCTGTTCATTGTTATAAAATTTCCGGAGAAAAAAATAAAGAGAGAGAAGAAAAAGAACTCGATGGATATCTTCTTCTTTTATACATGCAGCAGAAATTTTCCTATTATTTATAAGTCTACATTCTTTTCTTTATTGTCGGTTACAGAAAGACTTTATTCCCGTAAAGAAGCAAGCAAGATATGATAACAAAATAAAAAAGAAGATTAACCAATGAATGTAGAAAAAGCTCGTTTTGAACCTATTTTTGTTCAAATCATCAATTTATTAAATTATTATTGTGCTCACGATGTCAATTGGCGGATTTTATAAAATGACACCCTGAAAGACTAAATGTTGTTGTTCCTCTAAACAAACATTAGAGTCAAGGAACTGACCACGTGAAGTTGGATGCAGATCTAATTCCATAATTTCTGTAAATCATCCGTCAATTCCTTCAAATCTATCATTCTCAATAGCCGTTCATTTTTACTTATTATACCAGTAAAGTTAATGAAAATTTTTTTTTTTTTTTTTGGTTCAGAAGATATGCTTCATTATCAGTGTTACTTACTATGAAAATGATGATTCAAAATTTTATTTTATTTGCATTGTTCTTGAGTTCTATAGTTCGTAGTACAATATCTTCTTTTCAGCTACCGAATATAACGCTGTAAGTAGTACAAAAACACTGAAGCACTTATGCAACCATTAATGCAGATTTGGTTTGCTCATGTATCTATTTAAAGCGAACTCGAGATATTTATATATAAAAAACTTCAAGTCAAAACATAGAGTGTCAATCAACATATCTTGCAGAAAAAGAAATACACTGCGACATCATACCATTTCTTTTGCCGAGAGAAACACAAGAACTTGAGATCAATTGAATCTACAATCCTTGCTTTTTATTGGTTAAACAGCTTGAAACAAGGCTACAATTAATGCAGTCTGATTAGATCAGTAACAAATTCAATATGTACTGTTATCTAATAGCTACTAATTCTTCTAGTATCAAAGATGTTCTTTGTCATTGCTTGCAAACGCACAATTAATTGGAATTTGCTTTTGAAAAGCCGCCACCATGAGTTAACAGGATGATAGTTTTAACCCCCGTTTTTATTTTCTCGTGCAACTTGATTCTTGTGTTATTTTTAAAAGGCCAAGTTGATTCGTCCCATTTTTCCTTGTTTTTTCTCTTTTTCTTTTCTTCTTCTTACCTTTTTACTTTCTCCCCCCTTTATTTTCCTTTTCTTTTTCTATCTTTTGTGCGGGTGTGTATATTATTAGAATGGAGAAAATAACACAATCAAATTATCATTCTACACCAGATAAAGCCAGTAGCCACAGCAACACATCAACTGCCAGTACTATTGTAGGCGCTCATTATCAAGTGGGCAAGAAATTAGGCGAAGGCAGTTTTGGTGTTATTTACGAAGGCCTAAATCTCTTAAACAATCAATCTGTTGCCATCAAATTTGAACCTAGAAAATCCGAAGTGCCTCAATTAAGAGATGAATATAGAACTTATAAAATGTTAGCAGGCACTTGTAAGTTAAACAATGTTTTTAATATTTCATTTAATAATAATTTACAAAAAAGCCGGTGTGCCAAGCGCATATTATTTTGGTCATGAAGGACTCCATAACGTACTTGTAATTGATTTATTGGGTCCAAGCCTCGAAGATCTTTTTGACATGTGCAGCCGTAAGCTGTCTATCAAAACTGTCGCCATGGTAGCCAAGCAAATGGTAAAAATCATATAAAAAGCTTAGCCATGTTCTTAGCTGACGGTTTCATAGATTTCTCGCGTTCAAAGTGTCCACGAACGCAATTTGATCTACAGAGACATTAAACCTGACAATTTCTTGATTGGACGACCGGGAACAAAATATGCCAATATGGTCTTTTTAGTTGACTATGGTATGGCTAAATTGTATCGTGACCCCAAGACAAAGAAGCATATTCCTTATAGGGAACGCAGGAGCTTATCAGGCACTGCACGTTACATGAGTATTAATACTCATTTAGGAAGAGGTACAGTACGAGCTCCCTTTTAATTTTTACTCACAAGCAGTTTATAGAACAATCAAGAAGAGACGATTTAGAGGCCTTAGGCCATGTCTTTATGTATTTCTTGAGAGGTTCTCTACCTTGGCAAGGTTTAAAAGCAGCCACAAACAAACAAAAATACGAAAAAATTGGCGAAAAGAAACAAACGACAGCTGTCAAAGACTTATGTGGAGGATTTCCAGGTATGGAAAATCAAATTGTGTTTTTTTTTTGTCCTATGCTAACTGCTGTCTATTATAGAGGAATTTGGCATTTATCTTCAATATGTCAGAAAGTTAGGGTTTGAAGAAACACCTGACTACGACTTCTTAAGAGAGCTCTTTGATAAAGTGTTGGAACGCCAAAATGAACACGATGACAATCTTTATGATTGGGTTCTCTTAAACGAAGGCAAAGGCTGGGAGGTGAGTGAAAGAAAAAAATCCTTATAACACAAATATTGATTTGTTTCATGATAGAACCGCTTCAAGCAATTGAAAGAAGCCCGTGCTAGAAGATCTGGTCACCACCATCAAACACAACAGCCCAAAGCACATCAAAATAATAAAAGAGCAAAAGCAGCCAATACAAATACAACCAAACATGCTAACAACAACGATATGCCCTCTACTCCTGCCTATGTACCCCTCAATGATCAAACGAAACCACATGCAAGAGAAAAACAAGGATTTTGGAAACATTTTGTTGGTTTCTTGACTTGCACTGGCGGTCAGCATGACTAATACCTCTGTAATCTTAATATGTGTTTGCCTTTGACATAATACCCCATTTCCTATTAGTATTCTCTCTCCCTTTCTCTCGCTCTTTTCTTTTTTAATTAATTCTTTATATTAAATCAACTGGTTTTTTTTTAACTTTACATTGTGTATTCACATAAACATGTTTTACAAACCTGTTAGATATTGTACATTCAGCAATAGCTTTTGACTGCAGAATAAACACTCAATTTGTATAAATTTGTTTTGAACATCACAATGCAGAGATTGGGTTAGTTTAAATTAGAGAGGACAATTAATGTGTATGTTTTGAGTAAAGTCACAAAAGTCATGTCTAATTCGATAATAGTCATTATGTTTTGAAGACAACTATCCCCTCTAGCTTTAATATCATTCTCGAGAGCATTTGAGGCGTTCTAGACAACTTCACAACTGAGCAACATAACTATGCTTAACGTTGCTTCCAACAACGCGTAGGTGAAAGAAAGAATGTCTTTAATAAATCGAGAAAGATAGTTTATACGTTTATCGCAAACATATTCAAATCTTCATAAAAGTCATTCACAAATAAAGAAAAAGAGACGTTTCTTCTCCTTGATCAGTTATTTATTATTTTACATGTATTTCTCTAAAAAGTTGGCCAAAGGGCTTTGTTGCACCTGTGTCCACATTGAAAAACCTCTACGTTGAACCCATCTTCCGTTTAATTTCTTTGCATTTTTGGCGTTGTTTCTTGTTCTTTGTCCACGAACAGGTAAACTCATAGCATGTCTTCTACCGATATAGTTGCCAATGTTACGGTGGTGCATCACATGCTCTCTAATCTGTCTCTTCAAGTCAGTTTCGATAGTCATGCCGGCCAAGGTATTCGTCAATTCATTCACTTGAACCTCGCTTAATTCAGCTACTTTTAGTGTTGAGGGAATAGATAACTTTTGACATAATTTGTATGCTGTAGGTTCACCAATACCATAAAAGTATTGAAGTGCTGTGCTATTATATTTTAAGTATTGAATCAAGGATTTAACATACTCTCTACCTTACTAGCTTTCTATCAGGTAGATTGACACCAAGCAAGTGCAACATATTTTATGTATAAAAAAAAAAGAGAGAAAAGGAGAAAAAAACAGCAAGTTCGGACCCTAGCTCAACTATTTCTCTCGGGGTTCAATCACAGTCAAAGCCACTGCTAGCACCACAAAATGACATTTTCGCAGGACAAAAGTCACACTCAACCAAAAAAAAAAAAAAAAATTGATCTCTCTTTCTCTTTTTTCATGTCTCGTCCTGAACATATTGCACCACCAGAAATTGTGAGTCAATTTGTTTTGATATATGAATCACTCACATTTCATTATTTATAGTTCTATGGCGAAGATGAAGCCAGAAAATACACTGACAAGTAAGAAGAAAACAAATCAAAGCCATACTCAATACATTAACCTCCTTTTTTTCTCTCTTTCAGTTCTCGTATTACTGCCATTCAAGCAGAAATGGCTTATCGTGCATTAGAATTATTAAATTTGTCAGAAGGACCTAAATACATTTTGGATATCGGATGTGGATCTGGATTAAGTGGTGAAATTCTTGAAGAAGAAGGCCATGTTTGGGTCGGCATGGATATCTCATCAGCCATGTTGGATGTAGCCAACGAAAGAGAAGTAGAAGGCGATTTATTTTTGCAAGATGCTGGTCAAGGTATGGCATTCCGTCCAGGTACCTTTGATGGCTGCATCAGTGTTTCTGTGCTTCAATGGCTTTGCAATGCAGACAAGGCCATCAATAGACCCAAGGCAAGAATCCAGCGATTCTTTTCAACTTTATACGCATCCTTGACAAAAGGCGCAAGAGCTGTGTTTCAGTTCTATCCCGAGAATGATGACCAAATCCAATTAATTATTGACGTTGCTACCAAGTGTGGTTTTGAAGGTGGTTTGTTGGTTGATTATCCTAATTCAAAGAAAGCCAAGAAATACTATTTATGTTTATTTGCCGGTACTCAAACAGGTATCAAGAACCAAATGCCAAAAGCACTGGGTGAAGATGGTGAAGTTCACCCTGACGATATCAAATCAATTCAATACGAAAATCGCCGACAAGCATCACGAAAAAGAAGATCAGATAGAAAGGGCGTGAAAGATAGAAACTGGATCAACAATAAAAAGCGAATCGCTCGAGACAAGGGCGACAAAGTGGTTGCAAATGACTCAAAATTTACAGGTCGAAAAAGAAAAGTCAGATTCTAAGCCAATTCCCCCTTTCCTTATGTATAAAAATAAACTTTTTGCAAGAAAATCTTTTTCTAAATTTAAAAAAAAAGATAGTTGCATTATTTGGTTCCGTGGCTCTATCTTTTTTCTCTCTTTTTCTTCTCCTTTTTATTTATCTTCTCTTGCAATTATTCATTTACTGTTATGGTAGTGAAAAACAAATTCGAGCTAGCTGATACAAGCCAAAAAACAGAGGATAGCTTGACGCAAACATTAAAAGCTGCTTTCCAGACCAACACTATTTATTCTCGTATCAGTGACTCAACATATGTTGCCATCAACCCTTACAAATCGTTTCCTAATCAAAGTTTGCAATATGTAGCGGAATACAAAGACACAGGCTCGGATGCCCTGGAGCCCTTACCAACACACATATATAAATTAACAAATCAAGCTTATTTGCACATGAGACGAACTGGTATAGATCAATCTATTATCTTCAAGTAAGTTGATTACTATATTTATATAAATTCAAAAGAGGGAGTTGTAAAAGAAAAGAGAAAGAAAGAGAGGCTTTGGTTACTGATGATGAGGCATATATACACACAATGGCTTTATCATTTGACTTCTATACAGTAAACCGTAAGAGAAAAGACTATGTATTGAAGATCAAACAAAAGAGAAGCCATTGTGTTCATGTCTATATCAATGAAATTGATCACCATTATTTTTATAAAGGAGAAAGATGGAAAGGGGACGAAACGGGGATCGGGGAGACAAATGGAGATTAAAATAAAGTGAAAAAATATCTTTGTTAACACTTATTTTGATAGTGGTGAGTCAGGCAGTGGCAAAACAGAATCATTCAAGTTAGTATTGAATCACCTTGTTCAGCTCTCGTCAGCAAAGAAAGAATCTAAACTTCAAGCACAAATTACCAATGTTCAGACAGTTCTGGAGTCCTTTGGTAACGCTCGTACAAGCCTAAACACAAATGCGTCTCGATTTGGCAAATACTTGGAGTTACAATTTAATGAGCGGGGCCGTATGGTAGGTGCCAAACTCCTCAATTATTTGTTGGACAAATCTCGCATTACATCCTGTCCTGGCAACGAACAAACCTTTCACATTTTTTATCAACTCCTTGGTGGAGCCTCAGCAGAAGAGAAACAGATCTTGCAACTAAACGATGACTTGCATTACAAATATATACCCAGGCATATGGCTGCATCAGGCGGCGAGGCTAGCCAATTCAAGGGCCTCAAACAAGCAATGAAGGCACTTGGGATCAACAAAAAATACCAAGCCCGTATTTGGCAATTCCTAGCTTGCTTATTACACCTTGGTCAACTTGAATTTGATCATGATCCTACAATACAAGAATCAGCATTTGTCAGAAATTCAGCCACTTTAGATCTTTGTGCCGATTTTCTTGGTGTAGATCCTCGCGCTTTAGAAGGCATTATGACCTACAAGACCCAACTGGTAAAAAAAGATGTAACAACAGTCATTTTAGACTCGGCTGGTGCTGCTAAGCAAAGAGATGAAATTGTCAGAGCATTATATTCATTGTTGTTTACATGGCTGGTGGAGTACATAAACAAGAAGTTGTGCTGCGACAATGTGCATAATTTTATCGGTATATTAGATCTACCGGGGCCTAGAATCCATTCTGCCGATTTCAACTCTTTCTGTATCAATCTTGCCAATGAACGTCTTCAGAACTTTTGTCAACGCTCTATCTTTGAGGTCGACATTGAAGAATACCGTAATGATAATTTGACGATACCTGATGTACCTTACTTTAACAACCAAGCTTGTGTTGAGCTATTGACGAAGCATAAGCACGGTCTATCAGACATTGTAAATCATCATGCCAAATCTGCTTCTTCCACAGACTTGAGCATGCTTGACACATTTGTAAAATACAACAACAATCATGCTTCCTTTGGTGTTAAGCAATCTGAAACTAGCCAACGACATTTCTGTATTCAGCATTTCGCAAGTCAAGTGACATACAACCCTAATGGATTTTTAGAAGCAAATAAGAACATGCTGAATGCAGACTTGGTGCAATTGATAAGAGGCAGTGAAACCTCACCTGCTTCATATAATAGTTTCGTTCTGGAACTCTTTGCAAACGACTCAATTCATACTGAAACTCATCCAAAACAAACAAACGCTATTATGAATGCTCAACAGCCCGTTGGACCTCTTCGAGGACCCTCAATGCGTAGGACTAAATCTACAAAACGCAAAAGAAACTCAGTATTAGAGCCCACTATAATTGAAGAAATCCAACAAGAAAAACCATCAAAGCCAAAAAAGAATGTCTCTATGGTTTTATCTCAACTCAACATGGCTTTAGATGACTTGTTTGTAACTCTAGATGAAACAGTGCCTTGGTTTGTTTTTTGTATAAAGCCCAATGATAATGCAGCGCCCAATCAGTTCGATAGTCATCGTGTTCGAACCCAAATTCGAGCCTGGGGTATCCCTCAGATATGTCAACGTTTAGAAGTGCATTATACTAGTTTTATGTTCCATGAAGAGTTCTTGGAAAGATACTCAGACAGTCTAACAAGTCTTGGAATAGACAAATCGACAAGCGCAAAAGAACAATGTGAGTCTGTTATATCCTTATCAGGGTGGACATCAGACCAAGCCATTTGTGGCGAATCAAAGGTATGAAATTCTCAAGTAGCTAATCTTACTAATTTTTGTTTATAGATTTTTTTGAATGAAGCAGTCTGGCAAAGTTTAGAAAATAGGCTGCGAACAATAGAAAAAGCAGAACAACGCAAATTAAAAGATGAGAAGCGTGTTACTGAGAATATGGCCACACTCGCTACCCCTATGATTAACATGGATAGAGATCAAAGCTCGGATACTCTATCTAACATATCATTTGGATCCAATACAGACTTTTTGTTGCCTCCTGGAAACAAGCATGGCCAACTGGACTATTCGGATCGTCGACACAACACGGCTGCCGCTGCCGCTGCCGCTGCTGCTGCAGGCCTTCCCTTGCCACCAGGAGCACCAGGCTCCGTCTACACAGATGACCAACGCTCTTTCCTTTCAGATGATGAGTTTCATAACTATCAACAGCCCGGTAGCTATCACGATTCAGAATCACAATATGGCTCTGAAATCTATGGTAGAACCAATAATGAATTAAAAGAAATGCTTCCTAAAGATGTGATCGAAGAAGAGGCCCCTGCAGACGATGACGAGCAAGTATCCAGTGTTCGTCGCCACTGGCTGAATTTTGTTTGGTTCATGACTTGGTGGATCCCTGCAACATTTTTGGTAATGTGTGGTAAAATGAAACGTCCTGATATCCAGATTGCTTGGCGTGAAAAAATGACCTTATGTATGTGTATCTTTTTGACATCTGGTTTTGTCATTTGGTTCCTTGTGTTTTTTGGCTCGTTGATTTGTCCTCGTCAAGATGTCTTCTCAGTTTCTGAATTGCAAAGCCATTCTAGTTCTGATAACGCTTATATAGCCATTCGTGGCGAAGTGTTCGATTTAACTAAATTCGCTCCTCATCATTGGGCTGCTCAAGTTATTCCATCGTCAGCTATTCTATCTTATGGTGGCAAGGATGCTTCTCAGTTATTTCCTGTGCAGGTCTCTGCTTTGTGTTCAGGGTCAACTGGCACAGTATCCCCCTATGTATCGCTTGATTACAACTCCAATGTAACAGATCCTAATGCTGAATACCACAATTTTCTACCTTATACGGGCGATTCTCGTCCTGATTGGTATTTCCAACAAATGACTCGCTTGAGACAAAATTACAAGTTGGGCACAATGGGCTACACTCCTAAAGATATTGCAAACCAAGCTACAAACCCTGTTGACTTGAACGGTAAAAAATCAGTGCGTCATTGGGCTATTTTGAAGGGTAATGTCTATGATCTTTCAGTTTATATTTCTGGTGGTCGTCGATTTCTTATGCCTGAAGGAATGTCTCCACCTAGTAATGCTGATTTAGACTTTTTGCATAATGATGTTTTCTTACTGTTCAACCAATATTCTGGTCAAGATATCACTGAAAGATGGAATGCACTTAACTTAGATGCTGGCGTGAAAGCAAGGCAAGAAGTTTGCCTAAGAAATCTTTTTTATGCCGGTGCCGTAGATCAACGTAATTCTGCTCGCTGTCTATTTGCAGAATACTTCCTTTTGATTGTTACTGTATTCTTGTGTTCCGTCATTGTCTTCAAATTTTTAGCTGCTCTTCAATTCCGTGCACGTCGGGAACCCGAAAAGCATGAGAAGTTTGTTATCTGTCAAGTACCTTGTTATACAGAAGGTGAAGAAGAACTTCGAAAGACAATTGATTCTATCAGTGCATTACAATATGACGACAAGCGCAAATTACTCTTTATTATTTGTGATGGAATGATTATCGGCGGTGGTAATGATCGTCCTACACCTCGTATTGTACTTGATATTTTAGGTGTGGATCCCAGTATTGATCCTGAAGCCTTGTCCTTCTTCTCCGTTGGTGAAGGCCAAAAGCAGCATAATATGGGCAAAGTGTATTCTGGCCTTTATGAATGTCGTGGCCATGTTGTTCCTTATATCGTTGTTTCAAAAGTTGGAAAGCCAACTGAAAGGCAAAAGCCAGGCAATCGAGGTAAACGTGATAGTCAATTGATCTTGATGAATTTCCTCAACAAGGTTCATTTCAACTCACCCATGACGCCTTTTGAACTTGAACTATATCACCAAATCAAAAATGTAATTGGTGTCAATCCCAGCTTTTATGAATACGTACTTATGGTGGATGCTGATACTGAAGTTATGCCTGATGGTCTGAATCGCATGGTGTCTGTATTTGCTCATGATGCCAAGATTATTGGTCTTTGTGGTGAGACGGTTTTGTCAAATGAGAAAGATAGTTGGGTTACCATGATCCAAGTCTACGAATACTTTATTTCTCACTATCTAATCAAGGCATTTGAATCTCTTTTTGGCTCAGTCACTTGTTTGCCTGGTTGTTTTTGTATGTATCGTATACGTGCTCCTCAAAAAAACCAGCCTTTATTGATTTCAAACCAAATTATCAATGACTATGCCATCAACAAGGTTGACACATTGCACAAAAAAAACTTGCTTCACTTGGGTGAAGATCGTTACTTGACCACTTTGATTCTGAAGCACTTTCCTAACTACAAAACTAAATTTGTATCTGATGCAAAATGTGCTACTGTCGCACCCGATAGTTGGAGCATTTTGTTGTCTCAACGTCGTCGTTGGATTAATTCTACTATCCACAATCTCGGTGAACTTGTGTTTTTGCCACAGCTCTGTGGGTTCTGCTGTTTCTCTATGCGATTTGTGGTTATGCTTGATTTATTCAGTACGTTAGTTCAACCTGCTATTGTGGGCTATCTTGTCTACTTGATTTATACCTTGGCTACTTCTACTTCTGGTGTACCGGTGATGTCTATCCTTACTATTGCTGGTGTTTATGGTCTACAGGCTATTATTTTTATCATTCATAGAAAGTGGGAGCACATTATTTGGATGATTGTATCTATATTTGCTATCCCTGTCTTTTCTTTCTTGATCCCTATTTATTCTTACTGGCATTTTGATGATTTCTCTTGGGGTAATACTCGTGTTGTCATGGGTGATAAAGGAAAGAAGCTTGTAATGGCGAATGAAGGAAAATTCGACCGCAGAAGCATTCCTGTTATGACCTGGGATGAATACGAAAGAAGCATGTATGAAGATGATATGAATGGAGGCGCCTATTTTGATGACAATGCGTCAATAGGATCTCGGAGCTCGTATCGCTCTGGCTATAGTCAGGGCAGTAGATTGTTAGGGCATCCTTTGAAATAAAATTGATAGAGAAATGAAAATACAATTCAAAGCAAAAAAATAATAAAAAAAAAAGATTGATACATTATGAAGCTATCTGGAACGTACTCAAACGATTGCTTTTCACTGAATAAACTTGCTTGATAAACAATAAAAAACAAAAGGGCCATATCAAGAAAGTTGTATAGCAATGTTTAGTATAAATAAGTTAAATGTTTCACCAAATCTGGCATTTATCGGTTGGATTCATAGCCTGACTTCCTGCTTTACATTGAAAAGCTTGAGCGAATTCGGGGCTATTTTGAACTGCACCATTAACTCTTGCCCTAGCAGGTGAATGAACATCGCTACGAACTCTTTGGACAGCCATTTCGGGACGCATATTAGTGCACCATACTCGACCAAAATTGATAAAGAAAAGTTGTTCAGGTGACAATTGTTTAAGTTCAGGTAAAGCCAAATTGTTTTGTGGATTTTCCTGAAGAGATTTACGCATTGCCATCAAAGCAGCATGAACACCACCATTGTCGGCCAAGTTTTCTCCTAAAGTCATCTTTTATAGAAAAGTAAGATGTCTGGATAAAACATTTGAATGGTTTCCTCTTACCTTTCCGTTTACGTTATACTCTGTATTACCTGGACCTTGAACTGTAAACTTGTTGTATTGATTGACGAAACATTGGCTCTTTGATTCAAATGCTTCAGAAGTGGCGTTTGTCCACCAGGTATTCAAGCGGCCATTGCCATCATAAAGACGGCCCGAGTTATCAAAAGCATGCTGGTTCAAAGTGTTAGTACGACAGTTGCGCAAAGAAGAACTCACTGTTATTTCATGCCCAATAACAACACCAATACCACCATAATTAAGATATTCGGGAAGATCAGAGTGATAAAAGGGATTTTGCAATATACCAGCAGGGACAACAATCTCATTAAACGTAGGTGTATAATATGCATTCACTTCATGAGGATCCATGTACCATTCAGCCTTATCAACTTCTTGGCTAACTTTGCTCCATTCAAGTCTAGTCTGCCAAACGCGAGCAGACTTCCTGTTGCCAAAGTAATCACCGGTGTTAACACTGACCCCAGCATAATAAGAGCCCAAAGATTCAGGAGAGCGAACATCAGGAGCAATAGTACTATAGGCTTCCTTATGCTTAATTTTCTGAACTTTATCTACAGCTTGAGCGCGAGTCTCATCATCTAGCCAAGTGATTTCACCCAATCTTTCAGACCAAGACTTCTGAATGTTTCCCATAAAGTTAGCTACTTGCTTACGTTGAGGTTCGCCCCCAAAGTTCTTCATGACAAAATAGCGGCCTAAAAGTTGACCGAATGCTCTGCTTGTAGCACCAACGCAAGTACGTGCGCGGGATGGAGGAGCAGTTGTTCCACTAGCAATCTTGCTATTCATTTCGCGATAAAGTTCACGTGTAGTTTCATCAACAAGATCGATGTTCGACATAATAGTCCTGATAACAAGGAACTCTCTTAAGGACTCAGTAGTAGCACCATCTCCACGAGTAGAGCTGTTTGAAAGCCAATCAGTCAGCCTTTGCATAAATTTTGGAGCGGTAACAATAACATGTTCAGGTAATGAAGTCTCTTCTGAAGTAAAGCTGCTGAAAAACTTTAGCCAATCCACAATAGGATAGTTTTGATGGAGTTGTGCTATAGACATGAGGTTATACAATTCAATGGGGTTTTGAAGTTCATCACTACAACATAATCAATACAAATAAGCATTTCAAACATGTCTTACTTGGGTACAGTGAGTTCGGCAAGTTGAGACTCAAATTCAATAAAACGATCCACCATATCTTTAACATCTTCAGGGCTTAGTAATTGCAACTTATTTTCAGCCATCTTTTCACGGCGTAAGACGTCAATAGGACTATTACCAGTAGGATTTCCTAAGATAGCACCTAGAATCGAAACAAGACCTTCGCGATAGTTAGTAATTATTTCTGGCTGGCTGTAGTATTCGCGGGATGGAAGACCAAGTCCAGGTTGGTACAAACTAATCGAATTTTTATCAGGAGATTGGTCATCGGGTCCTACACCAGTACCGAAAAGAGCATCCGTGCCTTCAGAGCCCAAATAAATTAGCGTCTCAGTAAGTTGTTGAACATTGTCCAAAGAGAATCGGGTGTCAGGCAAATCAGTTGAATAACCGAGTTTAGCAAGTAATTGTGCAATTTGTGGATACATTGGAGTAGGCCCTAAGCTATTGATCGCATCTTCATTCATGCAAGATTGATAAAAGTCCTTGATCTTGTCAAAATTTTCACGGTCTTTTAGGGCTTGGGCGTCATTCAATAAGTCAGAGCTGTTAGTGCTGTTTGCTTTGATATCTTGAACATAACTATCATAAGTGCTAGAGAGAATTTGACTCAAATCATCTAAATTAGCATTTCTCAAAACCGCAAAGGTTCCAATAGCTAAAAAAGATTATCAGCATAGTGAGGAATAAACTATGTTTCTCTTCGAACCTGGGTCAGAATCAGGAATTGGGTTTGATTTCATCCAGCCACCACCTATGCGATAAAAGAAAAGTCAATCAAGATGCCACACCTTCTTTCATTAATATTTTTTACATGTGTATTGATAGAAATCGCTGCAAGGATCCGCATTTAAATCCAAATCATGCAAAATGGAAGACGCAGTATCACGACAAACCTGTGTAGTACAGGTTTCAGATCTGGCTAAAAGTTGGGTAGAATGAGTACTAAGCGAGTTCGGTAAAATGGCACCAATCATAAAAAAAAGGTAAATATCTTGATGCTTATACAAACCTCAACCTTATATATCTTACTCAAGTTTTATTTGAGAAGCAAACAAATGGAAAATATAATGTATTCCCGCGCGTTAATAGCTTGGACTTTTTTTTTGTGTAGCATGTCAGTGCTTTAATTGAATTTGACAGTTGAATTTAAAATGACAAATAGAAAGTATAGATTCCCTTAACATTCTAGAAAACAAAGTCAACTTTTTTTTTTTTTTTTTTTTTTTTTTTTTTTCACTAGCATATTTTTGTTTTTTCTTTTTCTTTCTTACTTTATGGCGCATTTTTTATTTATCTATGAGCAGTGATACTAAACTTATACTCAGTCTAGTGAATAGAATAGCTGTTAGGGTAACAAGACCATCTTTCGTTGATATGCTATTAACTATCCTGCATAGCTTCCTGTCAATAGCAACTCACCAATAGACACTTTTGAAAGTGATATATTAATACAACAAACGTAAATATGCTTTTGACAGCCAAATTTATCAAGGTGCTAACGCTCTCTCTTTGTACTTTTTTTCGCGACTACCTTTATAACTTGACGTCAGTGGTACGTGGATATGCAATTTTCTAAAAAGAAAAAAAAAGAGCACTAATAATTGTTCAGTTAATACTTTAATTGAATTATCAAAATTCAGAATATCAGCGATTACATCAAGTATCTTAACAACTCTTGAAAACACCTCAAAGGTGTGAAAAATTAATTATTTGTATTCAACTAAACGTATACAGGCTTCTTTCTCAAAAACAGATGAAATAATCCCAAACGATGTTATGCAGTCACAACTTTTCTTGCTTCGTACTCTGTCAGCATGTATGCAGCATCATTGGAAATACTGTCAAGACTTGGATAGCTCAACACAGCAGCAGCAATATAGTTATAGTAACGGTTCATCGTCACCTAGGCGACCAGCTCTAAATCGATTCAATGCAACACCTCGTGAATCCTGGGCAGCTCCAGAAGACTTGCCTTTTGCTACTATTGATCCGCCCCCTCTTGACGATAGTCTTGCTAAGCATATTGTTCATGTCATGTCACGATTCATATATCAAATTGGTGTTTTAGACGAACGAGAGCATGGATTAATAGCAAATCATCCAGCAAGTGCGATATCCGTAGATTCATGTGTCGCTTCGACTGGACAATCTTTACTAACAAACATTATGGTCGATATTTTCAAGGTTGCAAGCAAGATTGTTGCTTATGTCAGTGCCAGTAACTGGCCTGTCATTTTCGCTAAAATCAAAAGCCGAATTCTCTATCTAACAACGACTACAGAAGAGGCGCCTGAAATAATGGATATTATGCTTTTGGAGTGTTCTTCCCTAAACCGCAAAAGATTGAGCATGGTTCTCACAGGTAATGTTATTTGCAATGTACAACACCACTTGCTAAATTTGGCCGCGCTAGAATTATGCAGCTCTGCGTTACATCTCAAAAAACCAGCCCAATTATTTATTGCAGTTATGCTCAGGAGAGCAATATGGAACTGGATCGAAAATTATACTGCAGAATTTGCTTTGCTTTGTCATCACCAACATCGAATTGATGGATCTCCCGAGATTTTGTTTGATATTTTCAACTCCTTGGCGGATACGACAGTGCGGAAGGCTGTTTTTTGGCCTGTTCAAACAATGCTACTTGTGCTTTGTCCTGACATTATGCTTTCAACATCATTAGCTAGTGGTCGAGTAAACAATAAGAAGGTAATTCAGCATGGTTTGTATTTGCGCACCCTTTTAATATGTCGATAGAGTGCTTTTTTCAGCTCACTAAGAAAAGCAATGAAAGGCGAAAAAATGGGAGAATTAGCAGCTGTATGTTACGCAGATTTGATTAGAGCATCAACTTACGCATCAAAAGAGGACGCATACGAAATTCGTCAGGTTGTTCCTGATGCGGAAAATGAAATCATTGAAAAGCTGTTCGACTCAAGTCGTGTTGTTGACAACGAACCTCTTTCTAATAGCTTGGGTGTCTCTATTGACCAAAGATGCTTAAGAGCAGACTGCGTTGTTGCAATTTTTCGATCGGATATTGAGAAAACCATCAATTCATTGATTCCTACATGTTTTAGTAGTAGAGCACCAACCATTTTCAAGCTAAGCGTTGTTAAAGCTGCTGTAGCTATTGCATTAGAAGAAAATCGACTACCATGGATACCTTCTATTTCTACTTTATATGTGCCACTTTGCGAACGTATTCGAATGCTATTCTTGGAGTTCTATAATCGTGATATCAAAGAAAAACTGGATTATTCTAATTCACAGTCTTCCGCATCCTCAAGAAAGACCTTAATGAGCAACCCTGAAAAGCGTACTCTCCAAAGCAAAAGAGACGTTAGATCTACTGCCAGTGAACGTCATGAATTAATTTTAGATGTTTTAAAACTATACAAAACAGATCCCCAGTTGGCTGTTCTTGTAAGTGTACAATTTCTTAAAAAAAGATTGGCTTCTGATATTTTAACAGGGCAATAACGAAAATAATTTTGAGCAAAATGCAGCTGTAATGGTGGCAATAACAAACTGTTTAAAAGATTGTAGCTCATCGGTAAGAAGTGCAGCAGCAGACTGTCTTTATAAGCTACATACGCCTGAATACATTATGCTATGGGGAGCACCCAACAAATACATGGAGAGCTTTTGGAAAATTTCATCACAAATTTTGTTTACAATGGCGAAGCAACTTTTAGATAACAGAGAACGGGATCATGGTCTTCGTGCGTCATTAGATCTCTTAAAACGCTTACTTGTCTCTCGAAACGACTTTTTAGAGCGACACCGTGATCTGACAATGTATGGTATTTACACCCGAGAAAGACTGCAAGCTTCAATTGGCCTTGAAGTAGCACTTCTAGTCTCATTATGCTCCTCTGATGTCGACATATGTACACTGGCTCTTGATTGCTTTAAGTTACTTTGTACAGAGGTGCATTTGACAGAAAGACTTGACGACCTTCAGCCTTCATCAATCACCATTGTCTACAATATGAATTGTTATCTTGAACTAACAAAACAAACAGGTGTCGTTGCTGGAAGAAAATCACAACAGCGCCACATTCGTCGAGTTTTACGTAGAATTAACCACAGCTCACCTGGTATGCTGGCAGCATGGGAAGAGGCATGGAAAAGATGGAAATTTATGACACCTATCATTGCTCGTTCATCAGAAGACAACACAAGGGAAGATATTGTCTATGAAATCAATCGAAAAGGCGGTGGGTTTACATGGCATGATAAACTTCGAAGTAACACATCACTTTCTTCACGACATATGACACCGCCTAGTGTAAATTCCGCACGTGTGGATATAATTGATGATGAAAGATCTTCTGAATGGCGAAACTACGCTGGATTTCTTGCTGCTTTAGGTGGTGTATGTTTAATGGCAAGCAATACCCCCGAATCATTATCGCCTACCTCACTTCATTCTAAATCAACTGAATTTTCTTCACACAACAAGCATGTAATGCAGCCTACGGAAGCATCGTCTATGATTGACAAATTTATTATGGAAATGGTTGAACTGTTGGCTTGCGACAACCTAATTGTACGCGAATGGGTCAGAGAGATACTAGGCGCAGATCTATCTCCAACTCTTTGTCATATCATGTTTTATCATTTGGAAAATACATTATCAAAGTGTTTTGGATCAGATATTAGCAATGGTCCAACCTGCAGTCCTCGATATACTCTTTTTGTAGAGCAAGCAATTTTGGTTCTTAAGCAAGTGCTAGATAGGCTTGAGCACAAGACAGAGAATCTTTTTACAGTTGATTTTAGTGTATTAATCAACCAATATGCGCTCTACTTGAACAAACTAGAATTGAATCAAACGTCACTCAAAATCAAAATCAAAATGTGTCAATTAGTAGAAGTTTTGATGAGCAAAAAGGAGAGCATTATATTAAGGCAAGAATTCAAGCTAAGAAACAAATTGCTTGAGATCATCGTAGAATGGACAAGTGATTTTTCTTTGGCATGTATTTGCATAACAATTATTCAATGCATATTAACAAACAAAATAGAAACCCGATACTGCTGTTCAATCGTCCAGCTTTGATGTTTCACAAATAGAGAAGCTACAGAATGACCTCGATACAGCTTGTTTGAAAACAATTGTTGTCTTGCTTCATCATTTACCGCTTCAGCCTTCAGAACCAGTCGTAGAATCTGACGCATTGGCTGTCAGAAGTAAAATCTTTTACAAATACTTTACTTATTTCCTTAAACTGCTCAATAGATGTCGTATTTCAGAGGTAAGCTGAATGTAAAAACGCAATACATTTAATGACAAGTTGTTTATAGGCCGAGTCCGACTTTTCACAGACACACAGTTTTGATTCCCAGTTTATAAATGTAAGAGTGATAATACTTTGAAATACACTAATGCATTTTCTGCTGTTAGACGCCTGGATTGGCATCTTTGAAGAACTACACCATATTAGCATTATCGAATCTTTTAGGTGCCAATGTTGATGCAGGTCTGAAGTACTCATTTTCAATGGGATATCACGAGGATAATCGAACACGATCCGCCTTCATGGAAGTCTTGACAAACATCTTAAATCAAGGTACTGAATTTGAAACTTTGGCAGATACAGTCATGACAGACAGATATGAAAAGCTAATTGATGTAAGTTATCTTCTTGGAAAAGCTATAACTAATTGATGTCTAGATGCTTGTCCAAAACGAACTCATTTTACTCTCTTTGTGTGATATCTGTCCTTCATCAGATATTGATCATGCTGCAACTGTATTACTATCATGTTTCGCTTCAAGGAACAAAGTCATGCCGCTTCTAAAAGCTGTTATTCAGCTGGAAGTTCAAAAAACTGGCTAGTATATATGATATGCTAAATATACGATTCTAATATTTGCTTATAGAAAACGAAGCAGACCTGTTCAGAAAAACCAGTATAGCAACTCGTCTTCTTTCTTTGTATACCAAGCAAAGTGGGGCTGAATATATAAGATCAGTTCTACTTCCTGTATTTCAAAAACTCTCTGAACGCTCTCGCGAAGCAAAATTTTTTGAGCTGGATCCGTCTAAAATTGGTCCTGAAGAAGATATCAACAAGAATCGAAACAATGTGACTGAGGCTACTGAAATGTTTCTCAACGCTATATGTAGCTCCTTGAACAAAACTCCACGATCATTTCGAGAGATATGTAACTTTATTCTTACATCTGTTGTTGCAAAATTTCCAGAAGCCAAATACACAGCTGTTGGTTCGTTCATATTCTTACGTTTCTTCTGCCCTGCTATCGTGTCTCCTGATACAGAAGGACTGGTAAAAAATACAGCATTTATTTCACGAGAAATGCGTCGGGGACTTCTTATTTCAACCAAAGTAATTCAAAACCTTGCAAACAATGTTCTTTTCGGTGCCAAAGAAACTTACATGATTGTACTCAATGATTTCCTTACGACAAATATTTATAAGGTTGCTAATTTCTTAAGAGAAATTTCAAAAGTTCCTGCCGATTCTATAACGGAAGAACTAGTAGAGATTCCTCAATTAGACGACAAAACTTACGTAATGCTGCATCGAGTATTGTATAATAACATGAACACCGGACGTATTGCAGGATCTATTACCCAGCAAATCCACCAATTCAAAGACGAAGATTTGATAAGTGCGTCGAAACGAGACTTTGACAAGTTTTCTACTTTACTTGCTCAATTAGGTAGACCTCCCGAAGTGACCCAGAGAGACTCGACTGTTTCTAAAAGCTATGTTTACACTGCATCAAATCAACTCTATGCTGATTTTATGCGACGTAATAGTCATCGCAACGTAGAGTCAATCGTTTCAAAAAACATATTCTATGAAGGCGGTGTTTCTAAAGCTGGTCGACCTGTATTCTACTTAATTATGCGCCGAATCATAGCAGATAGTATTGATTTCGAATTGCTAGTTTATCATGCTCTTCAGACTCTAGAGCGTGCTTCTAATCGTCAATATGAGCTATTCATTGATATAACTCGGTTTGGTCGCAACAACGAAATTCCCGTTCAATGGGTCAACCAAATATTACAGTTGATGGGCGAAGACAAGCTGGAAAATGTTGCTGTATGCCACATGTACAATCCAGATACTTATCTCAGAACTTACGCGAAGAAGCTCTCAAGACCAATACCTCACAAGTTCACTAAACGAGTTATTTTTGCAGTTACCCTAGCTGAAGTACATGAAAATATATCTCCTTCAGAAGTGAAACTTCCCAAATCTACAAGTAAGAGAACAGTACACATTTTTTTCTTTAATGTGATTACTCATCTTAATATCTCTCTAGCTTCTCTAGAAACTGATCCAAACGCTGCATTCTTTCCTGTCAACAAAGTATTGAAATACAGTACACAACTTCCTGTCACTCTTAAAATCAGTGCCGAATTTATTCAAGTAATGTCTGCTCGAAAACAAGAAATCTACTATGGACTTAACACTGTAGTTAATGACATATATCACATGTCAGAGATAGAAGATATCACATCAATCCAAAACGATCGAACTCCTGATCAGTCGTATGAATTCAGCTATAGGTGCACTCGTGAAAATGCAGTACTTGTTTTCAATTCACCAAAAAGAGACGCCCTTGTCAATGTTTGTATGCTTTTAATTAAAGAACAAACGATACTAACTTCACATAAGACGATTCGTCATAGTAAACGCTGTTATGAGATGACTCGACCTACAAACATTACAGAGCGAACGATTCAACCTAGTGACGTTCCTGGAAGACTTTTAAATATGGCATTACTGAATCTGGGTAGCGACGATCCTAACTTGCGGTTATCATCTTATAATCTATTGTACGCGCTGAGTCGAGTTTTTAATTTTGATGTTGGAAAGCAACTTATGAACGCAAAAGGTATGCTTGCAATTAGCTGAATTATGCCTATTCAATCTAACCCTTCTTTTTGGATAGATTTATGTCTTCCTTCCAATAGTACTGAGTTCATTGTAAATATCAGTGAAAGAATAGCCGTGAAAGAGCCATTTCTTACCCTTGAATTCTTGAATGAATGTATTGTGGGATATGGAAAGTCAGAACAAAGCTCACGTTACTTATGTCTACTTTACATGATTCCATGGCTTCCAAACCTATCTCTTTATTGCGGCAAATTTTCTCCAGATATTCAAAAGACTAAAGAATTATTGCGACTCTTGATCGATCTTACATTAACAGGAGATGTATATAAAAATTGATCATAAGGAGACATAGCTTATTCTTATTTTTCTTGTAGATGTCGAAGTTGATTCAAGCTAAAATCTGGAAGACACTTGCCAAAGTTGATGACGTTCTCAATTTGATTATTGAAACATTTATTCAGGTATCAAACGAATACGGGCTTGGCTCTGCACAAGCTGAAGCTTTGGCTGATACTCTTGTCACGTTATCCAATATCACTGTTCGATCAAAGCTCATTTCTTACTTGCGTAATGTAATTCATCGCTCTTCCTTTAAACCAACAAAGTCGCTTACTGAGCATCCCTCATGGCCTGAAATTGCGATTCTTATACGGTTTGAGCTAATGCTATCGTTTAATAACCGAGGTCCAGTCAAGACGATTATACCAGAAATACTTCACGTTGTTTCTCTTGTCGCAGGCGTAGGATGTACCATAGTTCGTGCTTCTGTTCATGGTATTGTTGTAAATATGATACAATCAATTTGTACAACATTACCTCTCTCTGCAGCAAACATCAAGAAGCTTCAATTGATAATGACAGAACTATCAGAATCAAAGTGTCGCCTACTCTTCGGTCTCAATAGATCCAACACAAATGCATTTACAATAAGTTCGGAAACTTTGAATGATATAACTGAGCCTATACCTCTCATGTCGTTAGAGAATATAGTCAGTAAGTTATCAGAAGTCATAAATTATGCAGCTCCTACATCAGGTAAAAAAAAAAAGAGCATAATCGCCTTTATCTAACTCTGCCTGTAGATATTGCCAATTTCTGGAGAGCACGATGGATGAGTTTAGTCGCAAGTACAGCTTTCCAATTCAATCCTGCTGTACAGCCCCGAGCTTTCGTCGTCCTTGGCTATTTAGGAAGAGAGGAAATTGACGATGACCTACTCTATCAAATTTTGGTTGCTTTGCGTGGCGCACTTGCTATATTCAACGAATCCGATACATATCTTGTGACAAGTATTATGATGTGTTTGAAAAATGTTGTTGGTAGCCTACCTGGCGATTCTCGTTATCTTTTGCAATTATTTTGGGTAGCTGTCGCATTAGTTGAACTAAACACAGGTTCTATGTTTACTATGGCTGTTGAGCTCTTACAGTCTGTCCTTCGGGCAATTGATTCCAATGGCTTCTTTACAGGCGACTCAATGACTGACGTACTGCTAGCAGTACGGGAACCTATAGCTGATGTTGCTCGTCAACTAGACACCTTGTGTGGTGTGAACTTCGATAGCCACTTTTCTTTTGCTGTTGCAGGTGTTCTTATGAAGGGATTTCGTTATAGCGATGTCAAAGATGCAGTATATCATGGTCTCTTGACTTTTATGGATATTGAGCGAAAGCAAACTATTCGAGACAAATTATATGAAGGAAACAGCATAATTGATGCATCAACTTTGGGATATGTAGCTGAAATGCTCCCTATTGCAGCAAAAAATGAATCCGTTGACGAATTGTTGCGAATGGCTGGACTTACAGAAACAGATGCTGATAGTCACGCACTCAATGGAAAAGCATACACCGGAATAATTGATAAACTGGAGATTACGGACAATAGCACGGCTTTGCTTCTGATTTCGTTACTTGCCACAATGTTGAATGCAGCAGACAATGAATTAGAGAGACTTTTTATCTATGGTCTTCTATCAGAAGCTGCAGTAACATTGCCAGAGGTGTTTTATTATGTGTAAGTCTATTACTTCAAATGGCAAAGCGAAACTCATAAACCTCTAGATATGATTCTCTGCTACCTAAAATGAATCAAATTGTTATAAGTAGCCAGACCCAATCGATTTTGGAATCTGTTGAATCCATCCTAATAACAGTATGTTCGGATCCCGTCTTCACTGATACAAAAAATAGACCTTCATTGGGAATATTATTAGATAGATTGGGGTTCTCTGCATTAGGCGATTCCACTTTTGGTGCTAATTCCAAATTCAACCTACAACGTGCAAAGCTTGCTAGTGAATTAATAGAGCGAATCATATCTTAAACAATTACTTTTTATCTGATTTTAATTGTCAAATTGTATTTATAAAAAAAAAAGTTACCACATATCATAAGCAAAAACGCTTTGATATTGAAATTCATTTGTAGCGGAATGCTCTCTAGCATTATTTTATGAATGTCTTGATTGTCTAAGGTTATAATTGCTTTGTTTTCTTGTTTTATTTCCTTCAAATACGCCTAGAAATTCAGGAGTTGTTGAGCCTCTCCTTCAGTTTTTTCTTCAATGTGTTGCAGGAAGAACTTCTTGAATTGCAGGAAGAACTGCTTGAATTGCAGCGTGTTTTAGGCGGTATTTCTCTTTGACTTGGATAGCATTACGAGCCAATTATATTCTAAAAAAATCCGGTTGGTCAAAAAAACATGATCGAAAAGACATTGGACTAAGCTTTTTTTTTTTTTTTGTAGATGGGCTATCGACAAAAGTCAGCTCAGCGTCGTCTTCCCAATTGTTGCAGACAGCTGAAAGTGGCAGAGCCATGCAAAAGGTTGCTAACAATGATATTTAGGCTTCGTTTTTTGGTTTACATAGTTTTGTTAATACATCCATTGTTTCAAGGATCGATCCAAAGATACCATCCTTGCTTAAGGATGTTTTGTATCTAGAATTAAGAAAGAGCATAATGGATTCTGGGCTTGAATTGTTGGTTTCCGCTTGAAGGACGTATATCATCATATCATATAGGTACTTTGGAATTTATTTGTACTGCTTATAGTTAAGTAGAGAATCAATGTATTTCATCTGTAGAGATCCTTGTTGAGCAAACACGTTTAGCAGTTCCAGACCCCCTTTATCCTTAGACAATATAAGACATCTTTCCTAACTTGCAATTTTTTTCTCATCGGCTATATATTGGTAGATACTTGGGTTCAAAGTTGAAAATATAGCTTTTGGTGGTGGTTTCAGTCTGATTACATACAATAGTTCTGCAAGTATGATTGTGCTGGCTACATTTGCCCTACCGTACATCGAGATGTTTCTCGTTTTGAAAAGGGCCACTTGAGTTCTGATTCTTCCGGTCATTTCAGTTACAAAATATCACTCTGTTGTTTTGTTACATATATTGGATAGCCCAGGTATTTGATGTAGTCAGGAATGCTATAGTCATACCATTCCATACGTTGTTGGATGTATGGCTTTAATCTCACTCCAAAGAATCCATTCATTTTGCCTCCATGAAGTAGAAAGACCAGAAACTTCTCATAGTCTATCTTGGTGTTTGAGGCTTGACTGTATGTCTCGAAGCACTCTTCTATTTGCATGTATTCCAATTTGGATTTGACAAACATGATGATATCATCTGCATAAGTTATAATCTTGACAGATGGTGGTGAAGTGAGTTGAACTGTTCTTTGATCTGCTGATTTGGTAGCTTGAATTGAGCATCCAGACATGATATTATCGTCGATAATTGATAGCAGGAATGACTCTATGGTAAAGCTGAAGAGTATTTGTGATATAGAGTCTTCTTGTCTTAGTTCTCTTCGTTGTTTCACTGGATTGGATGGAAACCCATTCATGATGATGGAAATTTCATTGTCAAAGAAAAGATTCTGTATGCATCTAACAAATTCATTAGGAAAGCTAAACTTCAATAGTACTTGTGTAAGATAGTGTGGGTGAACTCTTTCATAAGCCTTGTTATTATCAAGCATCACTCCAACATATCCTTTAAATTCTTTGTTATTTCCTGCTCTGGTCATTTTAGCATTATCGATCATAATTCCAAGTGCTAAACCTTGGTTTCTAATAAAGCGCCCGGGCATAAATCCAGCTTGAAATTTGGTGATAAGCCAACTGAAAATCTCTATCATCCTTGTGTTCATTAGCCTAGTGAATACTTTACAGTCTGTGTTTATTAGTGTAATTGGTCTCCAGTTTCCTAAGTCTGATGAGCTCCCCCTTTTTTTTTTGTAGCAATACAACGCACGCTTGCTACTATAATCTTGAAAACCTTCCTGGTTTGATAGCATTATTGTAAATTTGCGTTATGATATCTCGAAAGCTCGGTTGGTGGACAATGATATTGAGTATCTCATATGGTATGCCATCTAACCCTAAACTACTTTTATGTGGACTTTTTTGTGTACATAGTATGATGTCTTCATAATGAACTTCTTCAATCAAACTGCCACTCTTATCTTTAGACACGATCTTGTTGATTTGGTTCAACATAGATTCTAAAATGTTTATGCTAATTCTCCCATTCTTCCATCTTTAGATACTTTGACTTCCTCTAGATTTAAAGCATTATTAGAGCTGATTATTCAGCAATGTTGTGTCCGGATTTCTTGGTGATAGTTAAACTTGAATTCCATGTTGTTTATGGTTTCCTCAAGGGTGAGAGATGGTATATTGGTTTCTTGACGTATAAGCGCACTCAATTTCTTGCTCTTCAGTAAAGCAATAGAATCATCTATGGTTTGTTGGTTAGTGTTCATGTGTAGGCTTCTGCAGTTGACAGGACCTATCTTAATGTGCAAGTGTTTGCATGGTTTTTTTTTTCTTTTTGATTTAATCTACTTTTAAAATTAAAGACACTAAAGCGTAAACGATGGAAGAAATCTTTTATTGGATGCAGAAATCTTTCATCAAAAATGGAAGAAAAATGCAACCGGTTACGCTATGGTGATAGTTACTTTACTTGGAAGTAGCAGCCAGACTAGTTAGATAGTAATTGACTGGATCAGTCGGGTTGCCTTTCTTATGAATTGGGATTACTTGTGCGATTCGTCGACAGTGAGGCGTGTATAGCCAAAATCAACAAAGATCAAAAATATAAAAAATAATGAGACTACTGAAATTTGTGATATGCATACAAAAAGTAGAACTAGAGCCATAAAAGGATTGTAGCAATAGTCGTATATGTTAGAAACATCTCATGAATGTAATGGATTTACAAAAACTATTTAAGCTCTGCTAGTATTTATGCCGACTTGCAAGTATGCCATTTGTGTACTCAAAAAAATATTTTTGAGAAAATAAATCAAAATTATTTTCTGCAATGACAAAAAAAAAAGTAAAAAATTCTTAATTTTTTGTTTTAAATTAATAAAAAAAAGCTTGTTTTTCAATTTTTCTGTTTTAAATTAATAAAAAAAGCTTGTTTTTCAATTTTTCTGTTTTAAATTAATGAACGAGTCTACCAGATGTTGATTTTGCTTTTTTAGTTTAAACAGATATTACTACTTGGTAGACTCGTTCATTAATTTAGAACAGAAAAATTGAAAAACAAGCTTTTTCTAAAATTTTAAGCAGAAAAATTAGAAACTTTTTACTTTTTTTATTAATTTAAAACAGAAAATTAAGAATTTTTTACTTTTTTTTTTTGTCATTGCAGAAAATAATTTTGATTTATTTTAAAGTAGTGGTTTCTATTTTTTTCTCAAAAATATTTTTTTGAGTACACAAATGGCATATTTGTAATTTCGGCATAACTGTTAATATTTTTATTGATTTCGAAAATTCTTCTTTTTTGTAAGTCTATTGCACTGATCACAAAGGCCTGAGATCTAAGAGCCTTTGCATAATTTTCCCATCGATCTAGCTATCTTTCTCGTAGAGTTATCGCAATCTTTAGAAAGTGGCTCTGAACACCAAAATTTATGCTCGGGCCAGAAAAATAGAATAAGAAAGGTATGGTTCAGCATCTAAACTTATTCAGCCAGCGCATGATACTTTTCTCCAAGTTATTAGTTTCTATTTTTTATTTGAAATCGGGCTCACGAGTCAGCTATACCCTTTCTTTGAATAAATTTTAGCATACTCTAATCAAGCAAGCGGCAGCTAAAGATCCTATTTGGAAAGCAGCTGTCAGACATCAACAGCGCCTTTACATCCCAAATGACAACTCCAACAATCTGAGCTTTGTCTTGAACACTTTTTCTTGTCAATTTTTGACCAGGTTCCCTGATGCAGCAAAGTGATTACGACAGCCATAGTAAGCATAGAAATCGTAGTACCCGTAGTAGCCATGGCAATCATACACCACAGCGTCAGCGGTTGGATTTTCCTCCATCACTTATGCTGTAGTGCTAACTCTACGAGAAAGATAGCTAGATCGATGGGAAAATTATGCAAAGGCTCTTAGATCTCAGGCCTTTGTGATCAGTGCAATAGACTTACAAAAAAGAAGAATTTTCGAAATCAATAAAAATATTAACAGTTATGCCGAAATTACAAATATGCCATTTGTGTACTCAAAAAAATATTTTTGAGAAAAAAATAGAAACCACTACTTTAAAATAAATCAAAATTATTTTCTGCAATGACAAAAAAAAAAAGTAAAAAATTCTTAATTTTCTGTTTTAAATTAATAAAAAAAGTAAAAAGTTTCTAATTTTTCTGCTTAAAATTTTAGAAAAAGCTTGTTTTTCAATTTTTCTGTTCTAAATTAATGAACGAGTCTACCAAGTAGTAATATCTGTTTAAACTAAAAAAGCAAAATCAACATCTGGTAGACTCGTTCATTAATTTAAAACAGAAAAATTGAAAAACAAGCTTTTTTTTATTAATTTAAAACAGAAAAATTGAAAAACAAGCTTTTTTTATTAATTTAAAACAAAAAATTAAGAATTTTTTACTTTTTTTTTTTGTCATTGCAGAAAATAATTTTGATTTATTTTCTCAAAAATATTTTTTTGAGTACACAAATGGCATACTTGCAAGTCGGCATAAATACTAGCAGAGCTTAAATAGTTTTTGTAAATCCATTACATTCATGAGATGTTTCTAACATATACGACTATTGCTACAATCCTTTTATGGCTCTAGTTCTACTTTTTGTATGCATATCACAAATTTCAGTAGTCTCATTATTTTTTATATTTTTGATCTTTGTTGATTTTGGCTATACACGCCTCACTGTCGACGAATCGCACAAGTAATCCCAATTCATAAGAAAGGCAACCCGACTGATCCAGTCAATTACTATCTAACTAGTCTGGCTGCTACTTCCAAGTAAAGTAACTATCACCATAGCGTAACCGGTTGCATTTTTCTTCCATTTTTGATGAAAGATTTCTGCATCCAATAAAAGATTTCTTCCATCGTTTACGCTTTAGTGTCTTTAATTTTAAAAGTAGATTAAATCAAAAAGAAAAAAAAAACCATGCAAACACTTGCACATTAAGATAGGTCCTGTCAACTGCAGAAGCCTACACATGAACACTAACCAACAAACCATAGATGATTCTATTGCTTTACTGAAGAGCAAGAAATTGAGTGCGCTTATACGTCAAGAAACCAATATACCATCTCTCACCCTTGAGGAAACCATAAACAACATGGAATTCAAGTTTAACTATCACCAAGAAATCCGGACACAACATTGCTGAATAATCAGCTCTAATAATGCTTTAAATCTAGAGGAAGTCAAAGTATCTAAAGATGGAAGAATGGGAGAATTAGCATAAACATTTTAGAATCTATGTTGAACCAAATCAACAAGATCGTGTCTAAAGATAAGAGTGGCAGTTTGATTGAAGAAGTTCATTATGAAGACATCATACTATGTACACAAAAAAGTCCACATAAAAGTAGTTTAGGGTTAGATGGCATACCATATGAGATACTCAATATCATTGTCCACCAACCGAGCTTTCGAGATATCATAACGCAAATTTACAATAATGCTATCAAACCAGGAAGGTTTTCAAGATTATAGTAGCAAGCGTGCGTTGTATTGCTACAAAAAAAAAGGGGGAGCTCATCAGACTTAGGAAACTGGAGACCAATTACACTAATAAACACAGACTGTAAAGTATTCACTAGGCTAATGAACACAAGGATGATAGAGATTTTCAGTTGGCTTATCACCAAATTTCAAGCTGGATTTATGCCCGGGCGCTTTATTAGAAACCAAGGTTTAGCACTTGGAATTATGATCGATAATGCTAAAATGACCAGAGCAGGAAATAACAAAGAATTTAAAGGATATGTTGGAGTGATGCTTGATAATAACAAGGCTTATGAAAGAGTTCACCCACACTATCTTACACAAGTACTATTGAAGTTTAGCTTTCCTAATGAATTTGTTAGATGCATACAGAATCTTTTCTTTGACAATGAAATTTCCATCATCATGAATGGGTTTCCATCCAATCCAGTGAAACAACGAAGAGAACTAAGACAAGAAGACTCTATATCACAAATACTCTTCAGCTTTACCATAGAGTCATTCCTGCTATCAATTATCGACGATAATATCATGTCTGGATGCTCAATTCAAGCTACCAAATCAGCAGATCAAAGAACAGTTCAACTCACTTCACCACCATCTGTCAAGATTATAACTTATGCAGATGATATCATCATGTTTGTCAAATCCAAATTGGAATACATGCAAATAGAAGAGTGCTTCGAGACATACAGTCAAGCCTCAAACACCAAGATAGACTATGAGAAGTTTCTGGTCTTTCTACTTCATGGAGGCAAAATGAATGGATTCTTTGGAGTGAGATTAAAGCCATACATCCAACAACGTATGGAATGGTATGACTATAGCATTCCTGACTACATCAAATACCTGGGCTATCCAATATATGTAACAAAACAACAGAGTGATATTTTGTAACTGAAATGACCGGAAGAATCAGAACTCAAGTGGCCCTTTTCAAAACGAGAAACATCTCGATGTACGGTAGGGCAAATGTAGCCAGCACAATCATACTTGCAGAACTATTGTATGTAATCAGACTGAAACCACCACCAAAAGCTATATTTTCAACTTTGAACCCAAGTATCTACCAATATACAGTATTTTCGGAAAGTATTCGTGCACTAATAATTTTTCGTTTCGTGCAATAAAAATAAATAAATCGTGCGGACTTGGAAAACAATTTCGAGCAAAAAAATTAAAGTCATGGTGCAAAAGTAGTTTTTACTTAGTGCAATTTTATATTCTACGTAGTTGAAAATGAGTAACTTTGTTTATGAAGATGGAAACGGAAACCTAACAAATGAGAATGAAGAAGAGCATCTTGAGTTTGCAATGGAAGTGGATGACGAAGCTTACCCCTTAGGAGATGTTACAGATTTCGCAATGTACACTGATCTCAAGCCTCCTGAAAAAGCAGCCAAAGATGTTGTTATGAAGACTGAAAGCAACACCACAAACCCTATTGCGGGAGATGTTGGTGGGATTTCTAAGAAGACCTATCGGAAGTACAAACCTGAGGACAAGAGTAACTTCTTTCACTTAGTGTATGAAAAGAATATGAGTGTCCGAGGTGCTGCTAAACAGCTTGGTATACCACCAACGACAGCACAAACATGGTTCAAGCAAGGAGAGGCGAGCTTGGCAAAGGACAGTGAGGTCGCTATGGAAAGGACTGTAGATGGTAAGCGGAAGCTTGGAAGACCTGCAATCCTCAATGATGCTCATAAGGAGTGTCTGATTGAAGCTATTGATGAAAGGCCTGAAATGGTCTTGGAAGAGATGATGGAGTGTCTTACGAGTAGCTTTGAGGATCTGAAGATCTCAAAGACTGCTTTGTATGAGTTTGTCACTACAAAGTGCAATCTCAGCTTCAAGCGAGCAAAGCTTTATTCAGTTGAGCGAAATTCTCCTGAGAAAATTGAAGCTAGATATCAATGAGTGAAACACTGGGAAGAGACTGACATGGATTATATGAGCAACTGCGTTTTTATTGATGAATCTGCATTCCATATCAACTTGAAGCGCTCTTATGGTTGGTCTAAAAAAGGTGATCCTGCCATTGTCACAGTCCCAAAGACAAGAGCAAAGACCACGACTATTCTTGGTGCTATATCTGCTCATGGTGTTGTCAATATCAAGATCAAACAGCCCAAGGTAGCGGAGCCCGCAAAGAAAAGAAAGTTGACAGGAAAAAACTCAACTGTCGCAAACAAGGGCAAAGGAGGAACAGTGACTGGCCATTACTTCAACTTTATTGCTAGTAGCTTGGATATTTTGGATCGTCACGAGATCTTCAAGGATAGCTATATAGTCATGGATAATGCGCCTATCCATACGCACCAAGACATAAGAAAGTATATAGAAAGCAGAGGATATGGCTGCGTCTACCTTCCTCCATATTCACCAACCCTTAACCCTATTGAAGAATTTTGGGCTGTTTGCAAGAGCAAGGTCAAAAGAGAGAAACTTTTGAAAGAGGAAACACTCACCTCCAGAATAACAGACGCCTGTAACAAAGTCCTTTTGAGCGACTTGAAGGGGTTCTGTAGACATTCTATGTCTATGTTTGATGATTGTTTGAACAGAAAGCCAATCTAATAAACATTAATTTCGTGCACCATGCATGAATTTTTTGACCCAACTCTTTTTCTACTTTTGCACCATGACTTTAATTTTTTTGCTCGAAATTGTTTTCCAAGTCCGCACGATTTATTTATTTTTATTGCACGAAACGAAAAATTATTAGTGCACGAATACTTTCCGAAAATACTGTATAGCCGATGAGAAAAAAATTGCAAGTTAGGAAAGATGTCTTATATTGTCTAAGGATAAAGGGGGTCTGGAACTGCTAAACGTGTTTGCTCAACAAGGATCTCTACAGATGAAATACATTGATTCTCTACTTAACTATAAGCAGTACAAATAAATTCCAAAGTACCTATATGATATGATGATATACGTCCTTCAAGCGGAAACCAACAATTCAAGCCCAGAATCCATTATGCTCTTTCTTAATTCTAGATACAAAACATCCTTAAGCAAGGATGGTATCTTTGGATCGATCCTTGAAACAATGGATGTATTAACAAAACTATGTAAACCAAAAAACGAAGCCTAAATATCATTGTTAGCAACCTTTTGCATGGCTCTGCCACTTTCAGCTGTCTGCAACAATTGGGAAGACGACGCTGAGCTGACTTTTGTCGATAGCCCATCTACAAAAAAAAAAAAAAAAAAAGATTCCTTAACCGTGTTCTAGAATTTTCCAAAAATTATTTTTTTTATTGGTATTTCAAAAGAAGGTTTGCTTATTCAATGTTAATACGCTTGGCTTGGTCTTCAGTCGTCTTGGGCACAACTATATTGAGAACACCGTTATCAAAAGAGGCCTTGATGCTTTCTGGATTGATAGGAGTTGGGAAGGAGAATGCTCGGGAGAATGAGCTTTGAACTCGCTCCTTTACCCACCATTGAGGAGAATCCGTTTGTTTAGCAACAGCTTTTTCATTAGTAGTAGTTTGCAACTGTTGACCTTCTACTGTAGTAGTAGCGTCAGTAACCTCTTGTGGTTTATCAGTTGGTTCTTTAGTAGGACTGGCCGTCGCATGTTCTTCTTTTACTTCACCACTCAAGACTAATGTGCGACTGTCGGCCAATTCAATCTTGATCTTTTCTTTGTCAAAACCAGGAAGTTCAGCCTTGAGTTCGAAGGAATCAGGATGTTCAACCATATCCGTAGCAGGATAGCGAAGGAGTTGATTTGTAAGACCACCAGGGCTTGACAATACAGAGCGACGAGCAGTGTTGTATAATGGCTGATCAAACAAAGCCATAGCACGTTGCATATCACGGAAAGCGTCAGAAATAAAGCGTTGAGTAAGAGACATTTTTTTCTTGTTGATATAAAAAAAAAAGCGAGCAGTGTCCATTGTTTTCTTTTTATACCTTTAGCAAACCCTTCTAGAATTAATCACTTTCCTTTTCGAGAAAATTCGACACTTTTCGCTAGCAATTTGATTCGTTCATCATGCATTTTGCATAAATTCAAGAAATTGCCAGTTCTTTCGAAAAAATAAGATTAACCGAATAGGCTTTTATTAGTGATAAAAAAAAAAGTAGCAAATTTCTCTATTTTCGTATCGCTTTCTTAGGCTCTTCTTCTTCGGAAGAATATAGTCCGCTTGATTCATCTTCTTCCGATCCCTCTTCGACTTCCCCCTCTTCGGATTCTTCCTCCTCTTCTTCGGAACTTGTCTCTTCTTGCTCAGAAGATGCAGAGGAATCTTCTTCTTCACTTGATTCTTCATAAAATGCATCCAAATCATAATCATTGCCCTTTTTCTTTATGGCCGAGGGAGCATACATGGAAGTAAGACTGCTACTGCCCATAGCTTCAATGCCAGATAATGCAGTGGTTCCTTTACGATAATTATCACTTCCGAACCCAGTTTCCATCATTGTTGTACGGCTACCACTCCATCCTTCTAATTCTTCAACATCGCGCACGCTTGTATCAGGCTGCTCTTCTGGGTAATCAGCTAAGGGTTCATAACCTGGAAGTGGTTGATGTGCTAAAAGTGAAAGTGAGCCAACATTGTAATCAGAAGCATCTACAATGAACAAAGTTAATACACGAACGCGTAATAATATATAGCTTTTACTTTGAATATCAGCTGATTGAATGATAGGAGGCTCCTTGTTAGAAAGTAAAATTTTTTGCAAATGCTGTTTGATTTGCTGTAATCCAGGCTTTTCATTCTGTCCTTGTAAAGTAAGAGCGCGCAAGAAACGAGCACGGTCTCTCACATCGTAATCAGTATCATAACGAGCCAAATTGAGTAGATATTGGTTCAAGCTATTGAGAATAGGATGATCGGCATTTAAGCATATTAATTTAGCTGCTAATGTCAAGGTTTGAAGTTTAGTAGCATTGTCCTGCAAAAATGATCAATCAACAAGATAAACGATGTATGTCCTGTTTTACCTCGTTGATAAAGTTCTTTACAGCTTGACGCAATACGTCGGGCCCCACCTTGGGCAATGTTCCTGCATATTGGCCTACGAGCCACAAAATATTGGCTCTAGCCATTGGCACCTTGATTGTATCTAGTAGCTTTACAAGTGTTATGACTGACTTGGATCGTTCTTCTGAAGGAACTTGTAATAGTCTTGTCAAAACGAGAACTGATTCAGCTACCACAAGTTCTATACAATCATAGTTTATATTTAATAGCAAAATTAGCAAGTTCTTACCATTTCTACTACGAAGTAATTTCATTAAAAGGCGCAGACATTGATCAGTAGCAGTAGGCACACTTGTTGCACAACGACCAATAGCTTGAATAGTTGCAGCAACAAAGTCTTTATTGGGGCTTTTGATGTATTGCTTTTGTCAAATGGGTCAGTATATGTCTTTGTATAGCATAATATGCTTACCTGAAGTTCAACAAGTAGTGTGTGGATATTGGATTCATTAGCGATAGTTGTCAAGATATCCAATTTGGTATCACGAATAAATACAGGTTCTGAAGATTGAGCATAGAATTGTTGAAGCGAAGATTCAAACAGATACTAGGCAATCGTCAGTGCTTATCTCTTTTTCTTTGGCTCTTACTTACAGGTCTTCTTGAAGCCATTGTGGCGATATTTGAGAGTACTACATAAGATTGTTCTCTATGCGAACGCAATAGACGTACCAAGGGCTTAGCAATCTTTTCAGCCTCTGCAGCAGGAGCCAAGTAATAGTACAATTTAGCTACAGCTAAGACTACACCACTATTACGACTCTGTAAGAGAGGAACACAGCTTTTTAATAGCAATTCATGGTCCACATCCAATTCAACTTCCTCAATATCCTTGACATTCTCTTGTTCTTCTTCTTCGCTAGAAGAATCAGAGGAATAAAACGATTTACTGGTAGTTGTTGTTGTTTTCTTTTTAGGTGGAATACGACTTTGATCTTCCCCCTATATTTTTCTTATCAGAGACTGTCTCTCTTCTCTTCTACTTACATTAGGATTGGGGTTCAAAAATTGGTTTCTACCATAGCGTAACAGAACACCCAAAATTGACATTTGTCCCCATTCATCACAATCACCTAACATGTTGCATAGTTTCCGAAAACAAGGGTGAATCAAATCAAATCGATTAGGACATACTTCGTTAAAGGCCATAATAGTACTTCCGATCACTAAATTTGATCTGTCCTTGAGTAATGTGGCAATAATCTCAACTAATGCTTCCTTTTGACTCGCATCCAGACTATATCAAATAGACATTAAATATATGCCCTCTCACAATCTTTGCTTACCTATAGCATTTAGGAATAGCATGAGCAGCCGTTTTTCGAACATAAGGACTTGGGTCTGTGATACATTTCTTAATGCCAAGCAAGACAATAGGACTAATAACAGGTACACGAATACCACTCATAACACGCAATGCCATGGCGCGAATAATCTGATTCTTATCACTTAGATCCTTTTGGAAAGAGTTGATGGACAACAGTGCCAAATCAGGTTCCTGCTCAGCATACCGTAATAAGAAAATATAGACGAGTTTGCGGATTTCTATGTTCTGAGAGACTACGTTCTTGACTACATCAGGGAAAAACTCGGACACGTCTCTGCCCTTAGAAATCATCTGTTCATGTGTCAGTGTAATCAGGAACAACTTGGGAAGCACTTACAGCAATCAGTCGCTTGAGCCCGTCTAATTTCTCTCTATCGTTTTTCGAATCGAGTTGACGCTTGATATTACGCATTTTCTCCTCAGAGGTATCAAAGTACTGGGCACCTGATTCAGAACCGGGAAAGCCTAGTTCACGCGCATTGTCGACAAGACCTTGTGACATTTTTTGTGAGAGCTTGGCTGCTCTCTCTGCAAACGTTTTGGCACTGTTGATATAGTCGGATACTTCCATTCTTTATTGTCTAGCAAGAAGAGAAAAAAGAAAGCTGGGTTATCTGTTTCGGGCAATCAATCAGAGAGCAAGGCGAAAGAATAGCCTGTTTATTCTCAGCACAGAAAAGGCTTCCCCCGTGATATATGGCCGCGTTTCAAGTTGCATTGTAGCGAAAAAAAAATAGCCCTTTGAAGCAGACAAAAAAGATCTCTTGTATATTTACGTAATGGGAGATTTTACACTATTTTTAGGGATTACTCAAGTATATTTGATAGCAGACATTTATGTTTAGCAGTCTGAGATTTCAAAATAGGAGGAGGTATAAACAATGGGATTCTTTTAGGATAGCTTATGTATTTCTTAAAGCCTAAAGAGATGGAAATCGTAGACGCTCTTTTCATTCCATTATTCACAAAAGAATTGCCTATACTTACAAGTGATCTACCTGAAAATAAAGTAGTTTTGGCTAAATAAAAAGCCACAGATCTTCCTTAAAAGGAGGAAAGGGGAGGACACTGTGCATCCAAAAGAACAATGATAACAATAGACATTCAAGAACATTACAGTGCTCCACCGTCAATTGGAAAAATTGGTCGCTTTTTAAATTTCAATTGGTCACTTTTCCGAACCCCAATTGGCCAGCTTGAAGAATACAGTGAATTACCTTTGAAATTCAAAAATAGAAATCAAAATTGTTTTTCAGCCAATAAAGCTCATTTTTTCTCATTCAAATTTCTGTCTTTTTCGGTAACTGTTCAATCTTTTACTATAGATGATTACAATTTTACATTTGAAAACTACATTATAAGCATGATCATCTTCCACAAATTAGAATACTGAGGCCTCTCGATACCTTGAAAAACGCGTGGATCTTACTTTATAAAACCTATTAATCTTAGCATTTTGGGCTATTACCAGCGCCTTTAATGGCAAAAGTACAAATTATTTGGCACACTGCAAAAATCCTGTATTCCAGGTCGAAATCAATTTCTCGCTAGAATTGATTGAGACCGTCGGAATAGAAAAGGAAAGATAAAGTCCCCGCCCACCCACACCATGACCTCTCTAAAAAGGCCAAAGAAACAAGATGTACACTTGTCATTGATATTTATAATTTGATAAGAAAATTTAAGCTATTTTTTGAAACTCAACGTTTGACCATCCCTATAAAATTAGTTTGTGCCAGAAAATTAAAAGTGCTGTAGTTAATAAAGTACCCTTTTTTTCAGTCTTGTTCAATTCGATTCATTCTTTATATATATATATATATATATACATATTGTATCTAAGAGCCTTCGGTTATATCAAAGATTCATTTAATACTCTGTATAAAATCCCCAAAAAATATCAACAGAATAAAGTCTATTTTAAAAACTAGCGATAATATCCTTCTCAGTGTCAACATCCAATGACAACACTGATGATATAATAAACAAGTGACAGAATCCAGCAAGTCTTTGATACATGTATAAGTTACACGTATTAATTCATTCAAGCCTGTTGTATTTGAGGGTAATTCACATAAGAAATAATCGAGAATATAAATAGAATTCAAACAATATAATAATTTAGAATGATAGGAACCAAATAGTACCTTGATTTTATTATTAATACAAGGATGATATTTACATAAAACGAGGAATCTAAGGTTTGAGAAATTAGACATAAACACTGTTATTGTACTTAATGTGGTAAATTAGGAACGATCTTGATTAATAGTAGATTCTAAACAAGCGTAGCTAACTTGCTTAGAATAAAGAACAGATTACTATTTTGAAATGTTGTGCTACCTGATTGTTATTTCTTTTAAAAAAAAAAACTAAGATTGTTGTATGACTTGACTGCAATGGTTCATCAACCAAATATAAGTGTGCGCAAGGCCATTCCCTGTTTTGGTGCAAAATTAAAGTATAATACGGAAAATCTTCGGTTATGTTTTACGAATAACTTCTGTTCTAAACAATTACAGTACAATTTAATAACATGCATGAATAATATTTTCTCACCTAATAATCATCTTTCTCAAGAAATAATCTGTACACCTATATGTGTTACTTCATAACATCAAAGGTTGAGGAGATATTGAAGTACTAATTAATAGATGCACAGACTGTAGGGTTTGAGCCAGTAGAATAATCATGAATCAGCTCGTTGCACTGAGAAGACAAATGATATATCAAGATGTTACCAAGAAATCACTCATTAATAAGATGATTGGTATGGTCTGGGTTTCGTACTTTAGACCATAGAAAACTTATATGCATAGTCAGAATATTGTAGCAATAGAAGGGAACTTCCTACTCTTTTTTATCTGAAATAAAGACCTTAAAGCATACTCATTAATATTTCAGCTTTATTTTTATTTTGAATCATTAGGACATATACCACAAAGCCTTTAATTCTTTTTGTCAATATAAATAAATTCAATTTAAAACATAGTGGAATAGTGGTATCAATATGATTACTTTGTTTGCTTTATAAAAGAATTGCTGTCAATTGTTGAGTTTAAATGATTATTGTACGAGTGAGGGTTCTTCGACAACCTTAATTATTACTCTTCATCAAGATCATTATCGGTAGTCTCGTCATTAATTCCTTGGTTATCACTATCGCTCTCGCTTTCCTCATCACTGTCTTCTTCAGATTCTTCGTCATCGCTCTCCTCATCATTTGCATCCCAAGTTACATCGCTCAACCATTCCTTCAATATCATTTTTTTCTTTTTCTTTGTTTCCTTTAAGATTCTGTCCATGCTCGATTCTTTTTCAGTCTGTCCGTCGTTAAACTTTGTCTCCAAGCTGTTCACCAATTCCTTAAAAAATAAATAAATAACGGATTAAATATTTTGTTTGACAGTATATAAACCCTTGCACTTGCATTTACCTCGATCAGAGTAAGACCATTAATTAAAGATTCGAGCTCTCCTGATTTCAACTGTGCTGACGTTCGGGGAAATTTGAACGAATGTAGATCCTCCATTACGTATTGTTTCTTTCCAATCAAACGCAAAGAAGACACCTTCGCTTCTAGCCCCATGACTTGAACAACAGGCATACACACATTGATAATAGCTTCTTCTGATATGAATCAACGATTTGAGAAATGCATTTAAATGGTATTTCGTGGTAAGCACAGATTTAAGTCTGTCGCTGTAAAGTTTTGCCTTGGTTGCCTTTCTAGCTATTTCTCCTGTCGCGCCATCTACTACCGTTTCATCTCCCCTCAAAATCAGAATCCGAAGATCCAATTTGAAACGCAAACCTACATTTTTACAAGTGCTACTCATTGTATCTCCCCTAACAGATGAAACAAAAGATAAGGTAAACTGAAGAATAGATGTTAACGCATCTGATTTTGGAACTCATCAATGTAAGATAATGTGTCTATATTGGCCAAGATATAATTCAAAGATGTAACTCCAAAATTTAACCTGCAAATCAAATTCGGAGTATCGCTTCAAGTTTTCACTTGAAAACACCCAAGGCTTTTCAACATGTGCCCGAAGTCTACAAAAATTGAAAGGCATTAGTATTCATAAATACAGATCAACAGTTCGCTGATTGGACTTACACAAACAAGTAGATTCTGTTAACAACATGTTCAACAGGTGTGGTGGGCTTGTATTTTTCACAGGAATTCAATGCGACTTTCAGCTTTCCTGAATTAACGATCTATGAATAAGAAAGTTGCGATCATCAGCACGTTAATATACTGCAAGCATTCCTTGTTTACCTTTTTGAATTTGATTGAAAGTGAGTTTATGTTATTATTCTCATAAGCAACATTCTTATTTTTGTGTAATCTTTTGACTTGGACTTTGGAGAGACCATCAATGTGAGAACCGTGTGTTGAAATTGAAAAATCTGTGACTTGATTTTTCGTTAAGCTATTGTATTTAGAAAGACAGAAGATTCATGATATTGACAGTGTAAATATTTCGTCTTACTTTTGAAAATACTTCTTCTTTGAAATGGTTTTTTTCTGCTTTTTAGTTGTAGATTGCTTACGAAACATACGATTAGATGTCATTTTTACATAGAACAGTTAATAATACTAGTCATTACTTCAATTCCTTCTGCCTAACACCACAATGTTAATTAGTTTATAATCAATTATCTTTTTTCAATATGATTGAATTTACTTCATTTTGTAAACGTCTGATAGTTTGGCGGTCAATGGCAGCTTGCAAAAGTAATCTGTCCTCCGTAACCAAAGACAGCTCTTCGAGAATACGTCTGGATTGTTTAGACATTAAGTTATTTGAGGGGATGAAAAAAGCCGGATCCAATCTTATACCTGCCCATGCTTCGTACTTCTCGTAGTCGCTTGGTGCGTTGGCGTCTTGGTCGTTTTGCAAACATGCGTGAAGAATGTCCTTGTCTCTCTGGTGCTTTTGTCTCCCGTGAACACTTTTTGTCATGTCAGGCGCTTGACCCAGCATTATGGGATGCACTACCTATTGCTCCTGCTGGTGTTCATTGTCTTGATTATGCTCTGAGTCAACTGCCCACTAAGGCTTCCTCTGGTCCTCCTCCTTTTTGGTCGGCGCTGCTTCAGTTACTATACGCAATTGATGTACTTGTACATCCTCTTGCAACAATTCGCCCTGATCAAGATCCTGTTGATCGTTGGCTTCCTCCTCTGGTCTCGTCGTAGACGAACTATTTTTGTCATGTCTTTCCTCTGCGCTGCCACGGTGGTAAGTGATTATCAAAGTTCCCAGCCGTTGGTCATGCCTTTGGAATCATGCATCAATACACTACTCTTTCTGTCTCTGCTTCTTTTCTCTTTTACTTTTTTTCCTGTTGTCTGTTTTCTGTCAGGTTTTTTCGCTCTCTCTCCTTTTTCTCTTTTGTAAAAACTGTTCATACAATTTGGCATTATGCTCCATAGAGTAGCCCATATAATTGTTTATTAATAAAATATAATCTTTAACCTGAGGGGATGAAAAGATTGCATTTCGCCTTATTACACAAGCCTTTGTATAGCCTCAAAAATGACGTAAGCAAAAATAAATCAATATCTCCCAGTATAATTCATTTTTTCTTTGAGCAGTTTGATTTCGTTGCTAATTTTTGCTGTGTGAATGCACTTGTGAACTGCTTTCGGTCATCATACGTTTGAATTAGTTTACAAGTAGCCTGGCTACGGCGCTATGACACGTTTTGTGAAAGGCATTCACGCAACAAGGTTAGATATCCTACTTGGATCAAGTACAATGCACAAACAGATAACACAAAGCATGATGAGCTTTGTGCGAACATTGGTAGCCCTATGCCTTCTTTGAGTACTAAGTTGGTCTGTTTAGTGTTTTGTAAGAAAGCCTTCTACTCTGCAATACCAGGTCCGGTAATACATTTATATCCATACCATTCATTTATGCTAACACTAACTCCTCTCTCTCTCTCTTTCTTTCTAGAGACTTCTTTGATTCTTTTGCTAACTTTTGTTGCGTGCAAATTCACTGGACAGTACATGGGATTCTTGCAAAAACAATGAATTAAACAGATCAGAAAGCTGAGATGAAGAGGCACTACATTACCACTAATTCGCACTGCAAATGACTTGAAATGGGACCAACCGAAGCGTTAAACTAGATAAAGTCTGCTTCCTTTGTAAACCTTTATTAAACACGTTTACAGAGTCTTGGTAAATGTCTTTGAGTGAAACCTCCATAATAGATTTTTGTAAGTTTTTTGCATTTACAGAAGGTGTTATGTGTGATTGCGATTTGATTTACTTAAACAAGCGACACTCATGAGATAAGCTACCTCTTCACTATCCCCTAATTTGTTCTGAGAACCTCCAAGCTCTAGCAATACGACAAATGCTCATACTGGTCTATCAGGCTCTTCAAACACCTCTCCATTTTAAACTGCTGTATACACGCTTTGACAGTAGATATGTATTCTAGCAATGAACAATCACAGATCTTTAGATGAATCCGATAAGATCAATTAATAGTATGAAATAGAATGGTTGTTTTATTACTAAAATGGGTCACTGACAGCACCAGTATTTTTGAACCCTATTTTCTTACAGGAATTATCTTTATCACTATAAACATCATATTATTCTTACAATATACTTTTGCCATTAAAGGCGCTGGTAATAGCCCAAAATGCTAAGATTAATAGGTTTTATAAAGTAAGATCCACGCGTTTTTCAAGGTATCGAGAGGCCTCAGTATTCTAATTTGTGGAAGATGATCATGCTTATAATGTAGTTTTCAAATGTAAAATTGTAATCATCTATAGTAAAAGATTGAACAGTTACCGAAAAAGACAGAAATTTGAATGAGAAAAAATGAGCTTTATTGGCTGAAAAACAATTTTGATTTCTATTTTTGAATTTCAAAGGTAATTCACTGTATTCTTCAAGCTGGCCAATTGGGGTTCGGAAAAGTGACCAATTAAGTTTTCGAAAAATGGCTAACTGAAGTTCGATAAAGTGACCAATTGACGGTGGAAGCACTGTATTAAATAATGTATTCTATAGACATAGAGCTCGTCACATGAAATCAACAGCTGTGTAATTGTTCAAGAATAACCACAATAAGGCTGTGAGATTAAGGTTTTTCGGTATAGAAGCAGCGCAGAGTTTGTTTGAATGTGCGTGTGTATTCAGGCTGGGTTTTAACGAAATAAGAAAAAACCAAGCAGAAAGAGTAGGAAGGGGTTTTCTCTTTTTCTTTTTCATTATACATATTAATGTCGTATCTAGAACAAGTCAAGTATACACTATTAGAAATACAAAGTTATTCTTTGATATTTGAAGACACGGACTCTATCAAGGACTTGTCAACAGCCACTATAACAACCTTTCTTGCCATCTATAGTTGCTTGCTCATTGCAGACGGCTATCACTTTCTAACATTTCTTGCTATTGGCTTTGTTATAGGAGCCTTTTATTTTAATAATAAGGACGGTACACTAAAAATTGAAAGTTATGAAAGAAATTTATCGTACAAAGAACAAATTTTGGAGCAGGCATGTATATAGTCCTATGCAGCACAAAGCTAAACAATTTAATATATATATATATAGTTTAGTAATAGTACAAATCCACCAAAAGAAGTTCAATTATACTATCCACCATTGACTATTGTAGTCAATCAATTACTAGATTATATTATGCGTGATTTTGTGTCTAGTTGGTGGTCAAAGTTGAATGATTATAATGATCCTACTTTTGAGAGATTAGCTAGAGAAAGGCTAAATATCGTTGCTCTAAATGTTCAAAAAATCCTACTAAACCAAGAAAGAAATGATATCGTCATGTCTACAGTATATGGTGTAGCAAACACTTTGATTATACATATGGTAAAACAGTGTCTGTCTTTTTTTTTCTGTTTTTCTTATTCTATTTAATAGAGAGAATGCAGAGCACTTGAAGAATCAGAGTTATCAATGAAAGATTTTGTAAATAGCAACCCTCAATCGCCTTTTGCGCAATTGCTTTCAAGGGAAGAACAACACAATCAATTATGCGGATTGAGTCAAGTTTTCTTAAAGCGTACATTACCTGCTGCTGATAGGGATTCACTCTTATTGTCAAGCTTGTTAAAAGAGATTCTTGCTAATTTTGTCCTTGAAAACATCGTAAGCAGCATCAGTAATCCTGACTTTCTCAATCGTCAAATTGTGGACCTCTTGTCAAACAAGGATACTAAAAACTCAATTCAATCCACTGTGTCTTCTATCGTCTTAAGCAACTCAACAGCGGAGATTACAAGCGATGAGGACTTGCTTGGTTATAGCGTAGTTCAAAAGCCAATCATAAATGACGATCTTAATGCAACCAGTAAGAGTGACGGATTTGATATGCAACAGGTAACTCCACCGAGTTCACCTGAAGCGAACAACCCATTGAAGCCGACACCTATTAATACTAGCCCACCCAAGACAGAAACAACCATGCTGGCATCTCTTCAATCTCCTCCTCCTCCTCCATCCCTACATGGCCCACCCACAATGGTTTTCCCCCGTGGTTCTGTCAACTTCACTATCATGAACATATCTTCACTGCAACAAAACGATCAAACACCTGATAAAAAGGAGCTTGTTTATATTATTCAGATTGAACGGCCAGCCATGGAAGATCAGGCGGGATCTGAAGGCGGAGGTTATGTGATCACAAGAACTTATGCAGACTTTGAGAGCTTTCATACCATTCTATTTGCCAAACATCCTAAGCGAATTACTCGAATTCAACTGAAATTACCATTAGAAGCAGCAGCTAAATCTTGGTTGAAAAAGCCCTCCACACAGCAAAAAAGAAAGGTATCTTTGGAAGCAGTTGGACAAGGTCTTCAAAAGTATCTCGACACGGTAGTTCAAGACGATGAGTTGGGAACAGAGCAGCTTATCCTGCCTTTCTTAAGAAAAGAGACCAGGTCTGAAATTGCAGAAGATGGAGCTGTCATGTCATTCTCAGAAGAGTTTCAAAACGAAGTAGCCAGCTCAATTGCTTTGATTGAAGCTTCTACTGTGGCTCAGCCAAGTAGATCAAGATCTTTATTTTCTCGGAGCAACAGTACAGCTGCACTAAATGTACCCTCTACAACAAACAAGACAGATCATGCTTCCCCTGAAGAAAGGCAAAGTATGGATCAAGACGCCCCCGGTAAATGGTTTGCACCAAGAACAAAACCCAGACAAGGTTCTTTCTCAAGCACACATAGTAACTTGTCAAAAGACAGCGCCGTTACAGTGACCAAAGAAGATCATGATGAGCCTAATGAAAGACTTTCAAACTCAACATCATCTCTTGGTTCGCAACAAGAAGCGGAAGAAACAACCAAGCCAACCAATAAGGCCCTATCGTCCATGGATGTCGAACTCTTAATTGAGACCACCTATGCACTTGTTGTAGAAATCTTCAATCTCACTACTTCTAATAACAAGGCATGGATGCGAAGATCTATTCTAAACTTGTTACGAGAAATCGTGCGTCGATCATATACCGAGTTCATTTCTGAACAATACAGTGATTTTGTAAATCAATACATGTCTCCCAATGCTATTGTAAGCAGATTAAATCAATTGGGAGAGCAGCTTTGGCCTGAAGGTAAATGGATGTTGGATCAAAAAGAACAAACAAAGCGAACACAAGAAGACAAGGAAAAGAGCAAATATCAGGCTCGAACGCTAATGATGCGTGAATTGATTCCAAATGCTGTCAGACAGTTAATTGGTGAACAGAATTGCAACACTGCCATGGATAGAATGTGGGCACGAATTCAAGACCCTGATTTAAATAGAGTTCTTATTCTACAAGTTTTGGAAAGAATTATAAAACCAATTTTGGGCTAAAATAAAACTGCTTTATCCAATGATAATTATTTAGTTAGTTTCAAATGTGTTTTGTAATTCAGTCACACAAACAAGATTATCAAGCAAACCTTGACTGATTGTCCATCTTATTGGCTTAACCATAAAAGGCATTTAAATGACCGATCCTAAATTTGATGCTGTGACTTTGAGAAGATCATGATAATCAGTTTTGATGGATAGATTTCAAGCCTGATTCAGCATGATATAAAACATTCCAGTCCAAGCTGATTTATTTCCCTTTCTTTCTTCTTCATAGAACTAATATTCTCATTTTATAACTTACAATATGTCTCAAAACGGTCTTCAAGCTAACGGCAATGCTAAGCCTAAGGAAGTTTCCTCCCCTTACATGTCAAATGATCCCAACTCTAATGTTGCAAACTTTAAGATCATCGAATCCACTCTTAGAGGTAATTGTCATTCATAGCTCAATTCAAATATACTCATGTTTATATAGAGGGTGAACAATTCGCTAATGCTTTCTTCACTACTGAAAAGAAAATTGGTAAGTAAAACAATGAAAAGTGTGTGTGTGCGTGTGGTTTCTAAACGAGCAATACAGAAATTGCTAAAGCACTTGATGCTGTTGGTGTCGACTATCTTGAATTGACTTCTCCTGCTGCTTCTGAACAATCTCGCAATGATTGTACTGCTATTGCTAACCTTGGTTTGAAGGCCAAGATCTTAACTCATGTTCGTTGTCATATGGATGATGCCAAGTTGGCTATTGATACTGGTGTTGATGGTCTTGATGTTGTTATTGGTACCTCTTCTTTTCTCCGTGAATTCTCTCATGGCAAGGATATGGATTATATTACCAAGCAAGCTATTGAAGTCATCACTTACATCAAGAGCAAGGGCCTTGAAGTCCGTTTCTCTACTGAAGATTCTTTCAGATCTGATCTTGTTGATCTTTTGAGCATTTACAAGGCTGTCGACAAGATTGGTGTTAACCGTGTTGGTATTGCTGATACTGTTGGTTGTGCTAACCCTCGCCAAGTTTATGAATTGGTTAAGACTTTAAGAAGTGTTGTCAGTTGTGATATCGAATGTCATTTCCACAATGATACTGGTTGTGCTATTGCTAATGCTTATGCTGCTTTGGAAGCTGGTGCTACACACATTGATACATCTGTGCTTGGTATTGGTGAACGTAACGGTATTACTCCCTTGGGTGGTTTGTTGGCTAGAATGTACACTGGTGATAAGGAATATGTAAAGAACAAGTATGATTTGACCAAGATTCGTGAAGTTGAGAATATTGTTGCTGATGCTGTTGAAGTTACTGTTCCTTTCAACAACTACATTACTGGCTATTGTGCTTTCACACACAAGGCAGGTATTCACGCTAAGGCTATCTTGAACAACCCTTCTACTTATGAAATCTTGAACCCCCATGATTTTGGTATGACTCGTTATGTCAGTATTGGTCATCGTTTGACTGGTTGGAATGCTGTCAAGAACCGTGTTGAACAACTTGATTTGGATTTGACTGATGAAGATGCTAAGGCTGTTACTGCCAAGATTAAGGAATTGGCTGATGTTCGCCCTCTTTCTCTTGATGATGTTGATGTCTTGCTTCGTTTTTACCACCAAGCCAAAGCCGATGGTTCTCATACACACTTCTTAAACAGAATTGAAAATCCCGAACAAATTGCCTCTTTCAGCGCTGAAGCAACTGCATAAACACCACAATCATCATTACCCTTTTTAAAACTCATGTCATTATAAATAATTCCATCTCTGCAGAAAGAAGAAGAAAGAAGAAACAAATAGCATCCAAAACACTCATTTATACATAGATATATACTGTAAAGCTCTTTGTCTTCTTTTCTTTAATTATTTTGTACAAAAGCCCAATAAAAATTACCACTTTTTTTGTGTTCAGCATCTATTTCAGATTTCCTTACGAAGAAGTACCATCTCGTCTGCATTAAAGCGCAGCTGAAATGCAATGATGTTGTTTGTATCACCATCATCATATTAAAACCTTTATATTTTTATCTCTATTCATACCCATCAAACCTTAATTGTCAAATACAGAGAAAGGGAATCGGTATAGCTTTTTTTTCTTTAAATTCTTGAAGCTTACTTTGGATGCATATTTGCGTATCTAGATGTTTAACCCTGCTTTATCTAGTATGTTTAACACAAACATTGCCCTGGAACTCCCGTATATACGATTTTCTATGCATACCTGTATACAACTATGAGGCGTTTCTTTGAGACTCCTTAGAATTCCATATATACAATATTAAATTTTGTTTGAATCATCATCTTTTTCTTTTTCTACTTTTGAATAGAAAAAATTAAGGGGTTGTGTTTGTTTATGCCTTTTTTTTTTTTTTTTTTTTTTTTACATTTACTTTCAAGAAAAGTTTGGATCAAAGACACTTTGGATATGGTATCTTTATCATTATATGATGTGTAAGATGTATATAAGGCTAGATCGTATTCATGTATAGCATCTTCCAAATGCTAATAGTGCAAATGCAAATCAAGTGTTTGCACCTGACCATTTGCTGCTGCTGCTCTCTCTCTATATATACAAGCAACAAAGCATGTATATGCATACGGCATTTATAGAGCTTATTAAACGCAAAAAAGAAAAAAGAGTATAAAAAGGGCGAACGATTGAACAAACTATCTTCAACCTCCTTTTTTCTTCTTCTTCTTTGTGTATCCTATCTATAGAAAAAATGCCACTTTTGAAGCACTCTTTAGATGTCATGCAGTGTTTGTTACTACTGTCATTTATTCTGGCTTTCATGAATACAGTTCAATCTGCAAGCATCATGAAAAGTAAGACTTGAAAAATTTACGAATTTCAAGTTAATTTACTAATGAACTATTTAGAAAGAGACAATGATGAAAGAAGCTTTAGTTGCTCTTCTAAGTCAGCGGGATTGTATGCTTACCCTGGAGATTGCCACAAGTACTACTACTGTACATATGGTAGCTCAGAACCTACTATAGGCAATTGTGTTGGCGCTGCTTTTAGTCCTTCACTTGGACGCTGTGTTGCTGTTTCTCGGGCAAATTGTTAATAAAATGATAATAAATTTATTGTAATAAAGTTTTGTAATTTAATCGAGAAACACAGAGAGAAAGAAGCTTTCACCTTGGTTCGTTTTGTTATTTAAAAAAAAAAGAACTTCTGACCTATCAGATGTGGACAATGCATTGAATGTATTTTTTGAAAGCAAGTGATCACATTGTAGTTTATTTTTTCCTAAAAAAGTTCTATCCCAAGAAAAAAAAAAGATCCTCTGACATTGTATGTGTGGTATTAAACTGATTAAATTTACGCCTACTTTTTTGTCTTTAAATTTTGGAAATGAACTGATAAATTTACGTCTTTTTGTCTCATTTTCAAGAAAAAAAAATAAAGTTGATATACGCATACAAATATTCAGTACTTAAATTTACGTCTTGCTGCTATAATAAAGTTTTATACAACAAGAATCAAATTCTTTAAACATATGCGGTTGTAATTCCAAAATAAATTTCACGAAGGATTCAAAGTGATATAAAAAGACCAAAGAACAAGAAACATTTATCCGTTATTCAATCTAATTTGAAGTAATATCAACATGCGTTTTATTCCCGTCTTCCTTGCTCTTGTCTTCCTCCTCGTCAATGTTGCCAGTGCTTGTACGTATAACATGATCTTTTAAACTCTCTCTAATACACTTACATAGACAGACACGATATGTTCTACAAGCTCTGTTTGAAGAAGGTCGGTTTCAAGCCCACTTTCTTCGTTGGTAACCCTGGCAACTGCTACAGTTTCTATCGTTGTGATTACTCCAACCAAAAGCTTATTGGTCCCACTAACTGTGCTCCTGGTACTGTCTGGAGCCCTAACAAGATGTTGTGTGACTATGCTAGCGAGCCCTGTCGCCACCACAAATAAATCAATGTTTAATCAGATTTTGATATCCTTAATAAAGATTGTCTAGTTTTATTTATTAGCTTCAAAGAAATCCCAATGCTCGTTGATAATGCAATTACAAAACTTTCTCTCTTATTTTATGTTTTTATAATATGTAATCATACACTTTATTTGTGATTGTATAAAAAAGAAACCTAAAAGTCTGTTTTTTAGAGGGGTTCAATCATAATGCCTCTGCTTCCATCATGTAACTATTAGAGCTTTTTATGGAAGAGGAGCTTCTTTTTGTATAATGATTTCTCTGGCAAAGATACTCGGTTTATTTTTGTCTTTGTAAGTGCAAGCACAGATATCTATCATGCTCTGAGTGAACATCCTCTTCTTTTTAACAGAGATACCAACAATTCATGCAAATCCTTGTCTTTTTCTTGAACGTATAAAGGTAAAATAAAGTCTATTTGTATTCGCATAAATGCTCTAAATAGCCACAAATAATATTCAAAAAAAGCGACTGGTGAAAAATGGTCAAAAATGCCGTTTGACGAAAGGGTACTACTCATGAAAAAACCTGATTTTGACAGCCTCTGAACTTCTATTTAACGTTACAAGACAAAAAATAGAGCTATCGACAAGTATAAATACTCAAAATGACCGCCAAATGCTCTAGTTGTTGATAAAAGTGTTTGATTGCTAAGTGTGGCATGCAAATGGTGAGATATAGGCGAAAAACCTCGTAAATATGTCTGCCTCTTTGCTCCATATTTTAGCAACAACATTGTTGCGGGTTCCATATCAATAAACTCAGAAAGCAGAGATTTACAACTTTTGTCACTACAGCAAAGCCCAATAACTGCGTCTTTAGGCAGTTCACCGCAAAAGCTTGATTTTGATGTAGCAGAAAGAAGAATTCAATCCTACTTTTACTTTTGTATGTTTTTCAACACTCTAGAAAGCATGTAGTATATTCTGCAATACTATTGTTAACAGGTTTTATATAACATATACAGTAACAATGCTCAAAATACAGCTTAAATATACCAATCTTTGATGAGCCATTGCTCGACAACCAGACTACTAATGCGGCCTCTTTTTTCATTTAAAACATGTTCTTTCAAGTATAGGAATCAATTGGTATCATTGGTCTGGCTGCTAGGTGAAATTCATTTTTTGATCCATGGGGGATCCACGGAGGTTCGTAAAGGTGAAAAAAAAAGAACAAAAAAGACAAAACTCGACCAGAAATTTTGGAATGACCCAATATAGGTCTGATCATACTGAAATCAGGTAAGATCATCCATAGGTACTTCCAGAAAAAATAAAGTGACTTTACTAAGATGAAAGAGGCGAGCCAATTTGAGCAATGCCTTCAAATCTTCACATAAAGAGAAAAAGGCTTGATTAGGTCTAATGGAAAGCATGTATTGTTCACTTATTCCTAGGAGTGCATTATGTTATACTACTCAAACAATGTGTAGTGTTACATATGTCTCACGTATCATCTGTAAGCTAAAGAGGGTGAATGCTTGAATTCTATTGGACAAAGAGTCCAGACAATAAGCGCCTCGCAGTTAATTTTTTCACCAAAAAAAAAAAAAAAAAACTAGTTTCTTTCTTATATTCATAGAAAATATGTCACGTCATAGAGCTGTTCGAAACTTGGATATTGACGGTATGAAAGCCTTGCTCGAGATCATGAACTGACTTGACTTTCTAGACGTCCTCGAAGAAGACGACTACAACAGCGAATACGACGAAAACGAACGTATGTGAATCTCGAGTAGATCAGACTACTGACACTTTTTCTCTTAGTTGATGAGACACAACTCTCTAATGAAGACATGGATAAATTAGACGATGGTCTAGCTTATGTCTATAGTATTATTGGCTATGATACTTTTTTGACAGCCAAAGAAATTAAAGAAGCATTATGGTATTATTATTTTGATAGAGAAGAGACTGTAGATTGGGCATTAGGTAAGTTTCTACACAACTCGAGTTGTATCTTAATCGACCCTAGATAAAATCGCAGCAGAAGAAAAGAAGAGAGCCAAAGAAGAAGCAAAGAAAGGTAATGTGTTTATATTAGAGGGAAGAAAGAAATTCGTACTCCACGCGCACCACTTTTTTTTTTGCTTTTCTTTCATTTCTTATTGCAAACAGGGTACAGTATCTATGGCAAAGCACTTCAGTAGTAATAAGTGTGTTTAGAATATGTCGGATAACAAGAAAACAATACCCTCACTCTCGAGTTTATCAGCTGCGCGTCAAACAAACACAAGCAGTTTAGCACAGTTAAAGCAAAAAATGCAAAACCCCACTTCTCTTGCCTCACTCGCTTCTTCTAATGCACCCAAGAAGCCTCTCTCTTCACTACAAGCGCTTGCTCAAAGAAACACTACACAGACACCTTCACTCGTATCGCTTGCACAAAAGTCTTCAGCTACAAGTAATAGCCTTGCTCATTTGGCCTCTCGACAAACCAAACCAAGTCCTTTGGCCAGTCTCGCTTCAAAGCAACCTGCACCACCAACATCTTCACCAGCACCTCCACCAACCACCATGAAGCCAATCGAGGCATCTATCATGTCTGAGGAGCCATTGGAATCCGAATCCGAATTTGAGAACCCATTGTGTGCTAAACCTTCTGCTGCTGCTCAATTTCTATTTCAGTCACAACCCAAGGCCCAATTTGATCCACAAACTGTATTTCAACAAGCAAAGAAACCTACATCAATGCAAATGTTTCAATTTGATCAACCTAGCCCTGATGACATCGTATTAGCCGCACAAAGTCAACGCAGTGGTGCTAATACAAACAAAAAAGCGCAATAATCATTCTTTTCTTCCTCTTTCCTCTATACCAAAAAAAAAAAAAAACTTTTTTAAAAAAACTAACCCTTCCTTTTTTACATTAGCTGCTATTACTGAAAAGAAAGCTGCTGCTGCAGCTCAAAAGAAAGCTACACCCAAGCCAAAATCAAAACCCAAAGACGATCAAGTAGAATTTTTATCTGATGAAGAAGAAATGGCCCAAGATATGAAAGCTATGGGTCTAACTAACCCCAAACCAGCAGAACCTTTAGCCAAGATTCCTGCTTCAAAACGTGTGAATGTAGCTGAAGAGTTCCAGAAACGATCCGGTGAAAAACCGAAGCTCAACTTAGTTGTGATAGGTCATGTCGATGCAGGCAAATCCACATTGATGGGCCACTTTTTATACGATCTCGGTCAAGTGAATGAACGCACCATGCGTAAATTTGAACGTGATTCCCAGAAGATTGGTAAAGGTTCTTTTGCCTTTGCTTGGGTATTGGATGAAACGGGCGAAGAGCGTGATCGTGGTATTACCATGGACATTGCTACCAACTACTTTGAGACAGAACACCGTGCATTCACCTTGTTAGACGCACCTGGACATCGTGATTTTATCCCGAATATGATCTCAGGTACAGCTCAAGCCGATGCAGCTATCTTGGTAGTGGATGCCTCTACCAATGCCTTTGAATCCGGGTTTGATGCAGGCGGACAAACCAAAGAACATGCTGTGCTTGCAAGAAGTCTAGGTGTACAACAATTGATTGTGGCCATCAACAAATTGGATACGACTGAATGGTCCCAAGCACGATACCAAGAAATTGAAAGTAAATTAGGCGTCTATCTTTCACAGGTTGGGTTCAAGAAGTCCAAAATGACCTTTATTCCTGTATCTGGCTTGACAGGTGAAAATCTGGTCAAGAAATCCAAAGAACCTGCTCTGACAAGTTGGTATAAGGACGGCCCTACTTTGATGGAACAAATTGACAAGTTTGATGCTCCCACAAGATTGTTGGATCGACCTTTGAGAATGCGTGTCACTGATTTCTTTAAGGGTGGTATTGGTAGCAGTGGAGGTGTGTCTGTTGCTGGTAATATTGAATCTGGTCATGTACAAGTAGGTGAGCAAGTCATGATTGTTCCTGGAAATGAAGTTGGTTATGTCAAGAGTAAAGTAAGTTATGCTCCAACACTCGTACTCATTTTCTTTTTAGCCATGCAAGTGAATGAAGAGCCATCTACATGGGCTGCTGCTGGTGATTCTGTATTAATGACTTTGGTCAATTTGGATATTTTGAACCTAAGGTAAAATGTTTTTTTTTGTCATACCAATGCATATGGTTAAATTAAAAATATGTATTGTTTTCTAGTAATGGTTGTGTACTGTGCTCAGGCTCTAATCCCGTTCCGGTTACAACCACTTTTGAAGCACAAATTGTCGTTTTTGACATTCGTATTCCCATTACACCAGGTTACCCTATTGTGCTTCATCACGGCAGCTTAGATGAACCTGCATCTATCCTGAAATTAGTCGAGATTCTTGACAAGTCGACAGGTGAAGTAATCAAAAAGAATCCCCGTGTTTTGACAAAAGGCATGACAGCCAAAGTACAAGTGAAGCTATCTCAACGTCCAATTCCATTGGAGACATTTAAAGATAACAAACAACTGGGTCGCATCATGTTACGTAAGGATGGCGAAACTGTTGCTGCTGGTGTTGTGAATGAGGTAAATTCCCTTTTTTTTTTTTTTTTTTTTTTTTTTTTGCATAAACTAACCATTATTTCATAGATCTTGACTTTTGGCTCATAATAAAATCTTTTCTGTTTAACACATGAGGTAATGCCTCACTCATTACACATTGTGTAACTTGTAGTATTTCACTTTTTATTTTTTTTCTTCTCATGTAAAAGAACAAGAGCTTTTTCAATAAAACAAAAACAACAATTGACAGGACAAAAATGGAGTTGTGTGCAAAAATAGGTCTGGGCGTTCTTTGTTGTTGTTTTTTTTGCTTCACAACAAACAATCATGTGACAGAACTATTCTGCCGCTGCCGCCGACAAATAATCCCTTTTTGAGATATAAAACGGTCTTCTTTTCTCACTTTTTTCTTTCTTTTGAAAATTAATATTACCTTTAAAAAAAAACGCTTTATTTTCTCTGCTCCTTTTGAGAGCAGCTACCTTATTCGTCTTCAACCTTGTTGTTAATCGTGAATCAGTATGGGGAACGTCGACAGTATTCCAGAAAATAGAGAAAAAGAAGGTTTGTCATAAATCTATTTTTTTTTTTGTATTCTAATTTTAAGCAGAAGTCCAACTATCGCATTTTAAAATCATAAAAACACTTGGAAAAGGTGCTTTTGGCAAAGTCTATAAAGTACAGCATATCAAACGCAAAGAATTATACGCGTTAAAAGTCATTAACAAAGAGCAATGCATTAAAATGGATGCTGTAAAGAACATAATTCGAGAACGAACTATTCTAGAATGCGTAGATCACCCACTTGTGTGTAATATGCGATTTGCTTTTCAAGATTCACAGTCAATGTTTATGGCCATGGATTTAATGTGAGTCAACGAATGCATAAGACATGGACTCATTGTCTTTCTTTTGCAGGTCGGGTGGTGATTTGAGATCACATTTGGTTCAAGATCACAATGAAAATGTAATCAAATTTTGGATTGCAGAACTTGTATGCGCTATCAAATATTTACACTCTCAAGGCATCGTTCACAGGTAAGAAAAAAAGGGGGGAAGGGAAGAAGGGCAATGCATGTCTAATTCGATTTTTTTAGAGATATTAAACCTGATAATATCTTACTAGATCAACAAGGTCATGTACATCTTAGTGACTTCAATATTGCTTGTCATATTCCTGAAAAGAATGAAAGACCATTGACTTCTTTATCTGGCACTGCTGTTTATTTTGGTATGTTTGTGATCATTAAATGGCAATAACTCATGTTATCATAGCACCAGAAATCTTCAGGGGCAATGGCTATAATGAAGATGTTGATTGGTGGAGCCTTGGAATCACTTTTTATGAATGTGTTTATGGCACAGTAAGTGAAATATATATACATATTAGCCTATATTCATTCTTTTCGTTCCTTATTAGAGGCCATGGTTACACTGCACAAATATTGATGAGTTGAGTAAACAAGTCTTGCATAGAAATATCCCTTATCCGTACAAACAATCGATTTCGCCCAAATGTGTATCTGCAATTAAATGCGTATGTACACATGCATTGCTCTATACAATAATCTCATTTCTAGCTGTAGTTTTTAGAAAAAGATAGCAAGAAGCGCATGGGCCATGGTGTTATTTCAGGCTGGAAAAATATTGCATCTCACCCTTTTTTTCAAAATATTGACTGGCATAAAATTGATAACAAACAATGTCAACCTCTCTATGTACCATCACTTGCAAGTGAGGCAATTGAAGACGCTATTATATCAGACTACCTATCAAATCAAAACTTGATGACCGTCTTAAACGAGCCAGCAGCATCACCACCCGCTGAACCAAACAACGATGGCGTTATGGGATGGCTCTGTCGACAAAAAAGAAGATCTAGTCGAACATATGAAGATAACCGACATAGTCAAGATTTACGCTTACTTGAGCACAGATTCAAGCCGTTTGATTATACTATTTTTGAGCAGTATGAAGGGTTTCTTGATGAACATCTTATGACAGTCGGACCTCCACCTGATTGGGTTAAGCCTGCTTTTCCTGGTGCAGACAATGGTACTCTTTTGCCTGTGCGACAAATCTATCTTGATAATACTGTATTTGATGTATTCCAACAAGAAAATCCATACCACAAATTCCATGATACTTCTACCCTAAATACAGCTGCGTATTGGGCAAACCATACATTTATGTTTGAACAACAATGTAAATGAACTTATTTATTCTTACTGACGATTTTGCAGGTCTATTATTTGTCATTTATACATATACTTACATTCCTTTTTTTTCTAATACTCAAGTACATACACATCATTTTGCAATTCCTTTCATTTATACATATATTTCATGTTAATAAATTCCTTCTTACTAGTATCTGCATAAAAAGCCATCATCTTAATTCTATCCATATAAAAAAAAAACATTCCTTTGACAATCATGATTTACGGAAACAGATGATAAATTCTAGAATTAAGGAACGTCTTTTCCCCTTTCTAACATATTCTACCTATTGAAAACCAAACTAGAATTGCTTCTTTGGCATGAACTATACTTTAGTTTTAATTTGACAGGTGGCGGTGTATTAAAATACATGTTTAGAGAAATGAGGCAACTTTCTATTTTCATCCTGTTGTGTTAAAAGAATACTTTTTTTTTTTATAGTGAGAAGTAATCCTATCTTTATTTGTTAGTCTTGCACAAAAAAAAAAAAGAGACAAAAGTAAGCGACGTCACAAAACGAGTTGATTGATTTGCTTGCGTTCTGATTTCCTTTCTTTAGAATTCAACGTGGTGAAAGGTGTTCTTGTGTTACTCCTTAATTTTTGGTTTTTTTTTTTTCAGCAACTACGGCTTGTAAACTTTTCTTTTTTTTTTCTTACTTTCCTTTATTTTATAAACTACAAGGTAATCATCTCATTTCATCTCGACACGACCATGTACGCTAATAACTTTCATAGATGTCTGATACCAAAGCAGTTGTTAAGAGTGTTGATATGAGCGAAGAAATGCAACAAGAGGCTATTGAATGCTCTACTCAAGCCTTAGAAAAATACAACATTGAAAAAGATATTGCTGCACACATCAAGCGTGAGTTTGATCGTAAATACGGTAAGAAATAAAAGGATGTAAGGATATTCCTATTGAACAGAATGAAATAGGACCTACATGGCATTGTGTTGTTGGTCGCAATTTTGGTAGTTTTGTTACTCATGGTAAGACATACGCGTAAATGAACTCAGTTACTAATGATCGGTTAGAATCCAAGCATTTTATTTATTTCTATCATGGTCAAATTGCTATTCTCTTGTTCAAGTCAGCTTAATCTTTTTACCGTTGAATAAAAAAGGTTTTTTTTTAAAAAAAAAAGTGTCGTACAAGGGAACGATATACTATTTCTTTATTGTGATTTCATTATGAGAATGGAAGAGATGATGTTATTGATGAGTTTGGGAATAAGTACCGAAATAAAAGCTGATGAAGAACGATAACATCACCAGTTTTTATCAGTATTTGGATGCGAAACCTATCGAGTGTGTGGCAACCAAAATCAAATTAACCTAATGAGATACAAGTCAAAATACATTGAAAATGTTAAAAGACCCTTCTTTTTATCTGGTTCATAAGAAAGAATTGACACCTGGTAAAGCAGTTCGATATTGCTCATTACGTTGTCCACAAATAATACTAGAAAGATCAAGAAAGTTAAATTATTCTTGGAACAAGAATATATGGACTTTAGATCAGGCTATAGAGAATTTGACAAATGAGTTCAAAGATTGAGTTTCCAAGACTTTAGTTCAATCAGAATACCAGACGTTTTCAATGATATTCTCTTTAGCGATTTGAGAGTCTTTTGTCAATATTTTGCATTAAGATCTGAGGCCTGTCTCAATAAACACCCTCTTTAAAATTAGTACACTTTGTGCCAAGTATATATATTTATGTATGCTGAAGTTAAAACCACAAGTGTGCCAACAATTTCGGGAAATTGTGTATGTTATTATGAAATAATCGTAAATGATGAAACAGATCCAAATTGAAGGAATTAGAATTAGCAGATTTTTCTTTTTTATTTGGCCGTCAAAATGCTTATAAAAAGAATCTCTTTTTTTTCTTGTTTCTTTCCTCTTGTTTTTTACTCAACATTACTTCTTTAATATGCTTAACCTTATTATAGCAGCCATACAGGTAAATTATAAATGCTTTCTTCAATTGATTTTGACAAGGTGGATTAGGCTATCATGCAAGTCATGGTGGTTGTATTTTGTGGTAGTATCCTAGCAAAGTATGGATATTTCTCCATGGATAAACAAAAGGTATGTTAAAAGAGAAAGAGAGAAAGAAAGCGAAAGAATGACATAATGACATATATGGGTTAGTGGCTATCCAAATTAAACTTGGTCTTCTTTACACCCTGTCTTTTGTTCTCCAATATTTCTTCTATTATCTCATTTGAAAAACTTTTGGCTTTTTGGCCCATCCCTTGTTTCTATCTTCTTTATGCTATTTTAAACTATATGAGTAGCCAAATTGTGACTCGATTGGTGGGTTTAAGTCCAGCTTATCGTCGCTTTGTTTTGGCCTGTGTTATGTTTTCCAATTCGAATTCATTGCCGATCGCCATTATCTCCAGTTTGTCTGTGTCTGAAGCTGCCCATATTTTGTTCTGGAATACAGAAGATACGCCTGAAGCTGTGGCTGCAAGGTAAAGAATCATGATTTTAGAATATCGTATATTTATTTGTTGTTTATAGAGGTATTTCCTATACTCTGTTTTTTGCTATCTTTGGTAATTTGATTCGCTGGTCTTACGGCTACCAACTGTTACAGAAACACGAAGACGACGATGATAATTCAACCGTCCGTGGCCCTGACGAAGAAGAGCAAGTTCAGCCTACTTCTTACCAATCATTTGATAGACGTTTTTCTTCTTCTGCTTCTTCTTCTTCAAGTGGCGACTATCTTCAGACAAGTAATAGTATGTCTTCAAGACAATTAAGTGCAGTCACCATTTCAGTTGATGCAGATGAAAACACAAATTTATTGCCTCAAAACAAAAAACAAAACAAGAACACAACAGAACAACAACAACAACAAAAACAACAACAAAGCGGTCTGTTGAGATCTGTCGCTAAACGCATCAATGGTTTCATGTCCCCACCTCTTTATGCTGCCTTTTTGGCTCTTACAGTAGGCCTTTCGCCTCTTAAGCCCATCTTGTACAACAAACAATCCTTCTTGTACCCCTCATTCACAAAAGCCATCGAAGGTTGTGGTAAGGCTGCTGTTCCCCTCATCTTGACCTGTTTAGGTGCACAACTTGTCGGTATTTCTCAATCTGCACAACCAGCTTCTTCACAAATGAAGAAGCCAGTTGCAACTGCAATTGCTGTTCGTATGATCTTGATGCCCTTTTTAGTTGTACCTGCTGTTGTTTTGTTTGTCATGTTTGGTTCTTCTTGGTCGAGCTTAGCAAGTGATCCTGTATTTATCACTATGATGATCGTTCTTGGATGTACACCTACTGCCATCAACCTTGTACAAATTACTCAGGTCAACAACATTTTTGAAGAAGAAATGTTACGTATGTTATTTTGGAGTTATGGTGTTGTCTGTATTCCTGTCTGTACCTTTGTCGTCTTCTTAGCTTTGAATGTTGTGGATAGATTGTTCTAATAAGAAGGATTTTGTGTATAGATTTGTATGGATACCCCCCTCCCATGATGAAAATAAACTCGCATACATACAAACTCTCTTTATTTAGTAATTTGAGCTTGGAGGAGTACATGATACAATAGAAACAATATGATATTCTGTGGCACAATACTTGTGTTTGCGCTTATTTTTATCGTTTTCTGTGAGCCGAAGACAAACACTGTCTGAAACCAAATCGAAACAGTTTACCAATGAACTCGGCCTTCTTTGAATGTTTCTTTAAACACCAGCTTCTCCAATCATATGTTCTGCATGGACCTTTTTTCTTTTCTTTGTAGTTAGTTTCAAGACGTCGGTCAATTCAGGTCTTTTACATCATAAACCAAATGCCTGCAAAAAGTGTCTTATTTGTTTTTTTATGAAAAGCCCTTGTTTATGAATGCGGCTCTCTTTTTTATATAAATAAAAGTCTATTGAATGTCGATCGAAAAAGAATATAGCATTATAGACCAAGAGACGATCTGAGATTTCCTTGAAAAAAGCTAAAAACGGTTAGTAGAGTTAGAGCATACAACAAAGGTCACTCTTTTTGCATAATGGACCAATGAAAAGACTAGACGCATTTTCTATTGTTAAAAACTATGGTATTGGTTTCATAAAGCTTGTGCCTGCTGTGCCTTGTATGATTACTGAGGTCAAATAATTGTATTACGATCAAGAAAATCAAATGAAAAACCAAGATCTTTTCTTTAACTGACATCAGTATTAGTACATAATAAATTGCCTCCGATATAAAATCATTGGAGACTATAATTACTAAAGAGGAAACGCAAAATTACTTAAACTCTCGATCACAAAGACGAGTTTATATGTTTTAATCAAGCACAAGGCTTAGGCGTGTGGTTTCGTTTTGCAGGACAGCCAAAAGGAGTCAAAAATATAATAGAATTTTACCTAAAGGATTTTGATCAAGCTAAACCAAAGAAGTATTTCCAGTTGTGTGTAGAGTTGCAAGATCAGGAACCATTTGAGACTCGCTTTGTGTCATGAAATACTATTGAAAAACCTAATTCCATCGAGAAATTTAGTGCAATAAACCCGAAAAGTAGCTGGAACGCATTGCAGCTCATGATAGTGCATGAGATGTTTTGAAATTAAAGCCAATCGACTATAAATGAATTATTCTAGAGTTAATAGTGCTGTGGCAAATCCTGAGTCAAAGATCGTTAATAGTTAGCCAGATAAGATTGAGAAGAAGACACAGAAAGTGAGAGTACTCCTATTTTAATATATATAGCAAAAACAGTTTGTTGTACTCCATTTTTGAGCGAATCAAGCTACTATCAATCCGCAAAATACGTTTTCTAGCATCGGTAATTATTGAGAGATATATTTGACTGATACCCTTATGACTTTGCATCAAAATCACAAAATGATCTGTAGCTCATCATACAAGCAATTTTTATTATGACAATATATGGTAAAAAATAATTCTCTTGCATTACCAAACATGCTTCAAGTGTTAGATTTACAAAAGGCATAAGAAAATTGTGCACGGCCCGTGTAAAGCGCTATACACTATTTTACACGTTATCTCATAAATGCTTGTAGTAAACAGCGTGTTTTTATTGCATTTGTGAACTTTACACGTTAAAATAGATTAGTTTACTTGAGACATCAACTCGATTAGACTTTACTTTGGTGTGTTTTTAGATGACTTTTTGTTTTTTGGTCAAAATACAGCCCAAGAGACACTCAAGGCACCTTCAATATCAAAAGGTGCTATAAGAGTGATATTTAGATAGCCAATGTATTCTAGATACGTGATTTAATATTAACATGGTATCCAGCTTACAAAAATGGCAAGATGACTACCCCAAAAGACCAAAATTATGGCTTTTTAGCTGCAGAAATAATTTACTTGCTCTAAACAACAGTATCGTTTGCCTCGATTGGAGATTTAGCAACAATCAATCACATCACATTTAAAAGCCCTATTTCAGGTGTCTCTATCAACATGAATAAATCTAGATTTAGATTAGTATTAGTCGAAAAACCAAACATCAAAGGTCATTTAACAGCATGAAAAAAGCATATATGCTACATACGGCAAGTGGCTCAGGCCTCGAGTCAAGATTTATGGACACAAGTATAATATATTTTGATAGTCCTTTTGAAGCTTAATAGAATAGTTCAAATATATCTTGTATTGATTGAACAATTAAAAACTAAAGCCCTTGTCATACGACATTAATCGCTATCAAGTGTGAGAAAGTTTCTCTACTCAGAAAGTCCCTTGTTACTTTTAGATATGGTATAAATGTTCTTAATACAAAAACAATCAAATTAAATGTGTCTGTTGCCATAGCTACTCTCCAAAAAAAAAAAAAAAAAAAAAAAAGCTTAAACTTATATTACATTCTTCCGTTATATTTTCGTTGATATGAACTTGAAAGGTTTAAAGCGTCTGCAAGAAAAATGGAATGGCATTTTTAAAATGACAGAAATTCACTTTTAACAAACGTATTACATATGATATGCTCACAGATCTAATTTAGTTATACATCCAGCTTAAAAGATGTGTAATTTGATGGAATTAAACACATATGTTCTTATCAAAAGCCCCAACAATCAATGTTCATCTAAGCACTTAATTCATAACATTTCTTTCTTGCTGCTACATGGTTTTATGGTCATATTGTCGATTAAGATTTATAAGTGTATTATTTGTTTTCTGTTTTTCTTGTTCTTTTTTTGTTCATCCTTTCTTTGTTGAATTTATTCTTTTATATGCCATTGGGTTGAATGAATTAACAATATACATGTATGAGCTTGACGATTTTTTTTTGGCTAGTGTACTTTATTTACTCGCTTTTTGTGTTAGTGGTGCTTTGAGGAACTGACAAATCATGTACACTGTTATCTCGATCATCTAGCTTCTTTTGAAGTATATCTGTTGTAGGAGGATCTGTTACCACAGTCAACATATAAGCAGATGCTGCCTGAGCGATACCATAAGCAACGATACCCACAAAAGGTAATCGAATAATAAGATAGGCAATCGCAGAGAACCCAAACAAGACGTCCTTTCGACCACTAAACCATCTCAACTTTTCTTTATGCGACATTTTCATTCGAATAAAGTAAGGAGCGAGCAATTCACGCATCAATGAGCGCATCCCGATCAATGCACGGACTAATTTCATCGTTGCCCATTGTGGCAAGAAAAAGAAACAAATGCCGACTGCAACCGCTTGTGTTTTGCCTAGTGCTCGATACGAAGTATAAGCACCTTATGTGAATGGTAAGTGGTAAAATTCATGTGTGTTTAAGTATTTACCAGCAGCAGGGAATACAAATCGACCCACCCAAGGTAAAGTAGACAAGACCAATAAAACAAGACCAATTCTTAATTTCTTCCATGTTCGAAATAAATAGTCTCTCATGTCACGCCAGAAATGTTTCTTGAATTTCTGTTGAGCCAACACACTTGCATAAGGTGGTCGTTGAGGGTTTTTAGCATCCACATAACGTAGTGATTCCATAAACAAATCGTCCAATGGTTTTGGATAGACATATTGCATAAACAGTAACGCTAATAAAGGTACATAAGCAACTACTTCGCGTATGAATTGATTGGCTGATTCAAGCGCATTTTCTGCACGATCTGCTTTATCTGTTGTTAGCCATAGAATGCCCTTGACGATGTGTATGGGAATAGCAATAAGCACATTAGTTAAACCAAACAAGATAAATGACACAACAGAAAGGTAAATGAATATCTTGAGAAAGCGTTGTTTTCTAATGTTGGGATTCTGAAGCACAATGGCAATGCCTTCCACTGCATAAAATGCACCTTTTTTTAATCCTATCAATGTCCAGCGAGCCATTGAAAAAGAAAAAGAAAGAAAAGGAAAAAAGAAAAAGTCTTAGCTTACATCTTTTCTCGCATAGATAATTATTTTTAAATAAGCGATACCCAATGAAACTAAATACTGTCATTCCCCCTTTTTTTTTTTTCATAAAACAACTTGGCGCCTTTTGTTAAATGACTCAATAAAAACATATTGGCAGAGTTGGGTAGCCCAAGTACTTTTGTTTGACAGAATTAAGAAGAAATCATAAGCCAATGAATTATGCGAATGCAGCATTAACAAGGTACCATAGGTATAGAACTCCATTGCTATGGTTTTTCAACTTGTTATTTACAGGAATTTCGCCTTGATTTCTATTTCTGTTGTAAAGGGCGAGAAAGCAGAAGAATTGAGTTGTCTATGTTGAACGGATATGCTTTTCGACAAGTGCAAGAGAAGATAGAGAGTTTAAACACCTTCTTTTTTGTCATTGCTATGGCCACACTTCCTCAAGGCATATTATCTTTCAAAATAGCCACTCATCAATTCAAAGTCTATCATGCGAATAAGTCCAGTTTCTATTTCTTTATTCCAATTTAAACATTCAGTTGTTCCAAACACTACTCTATTTTATTCTGCCTTTTTCTTTTCCCATTCTTCAGGTGTATATGATTTCTAAATGACCATCAATATCTATGTTGGTTTGTTTAAAGCAAACATACCTGAGTAAAAGCATGTACCTTACTAATTTCTTCCTTGAGAGCTTCATTGACAAGCTTATGTCTGGCCAAAAGTCGTTTGCCTTCAAACACAGGAGAAACAATAATCACTTCAAACATTTGTCCACAACCTGCTGATAAATCCTCTACTTGCTATAGAAAAAAAGGGAGGGAGGAAGAAATAGTTCAGTATAGGTATAGTAGATTCAGATTTTACATACAACATATTGTGCTTCGAGACGTTCAATAATAGAGGCTTTGAGTGAGTCAGCAGTGATACCTGAGTTGGTAGACATTTTCAAAAAAAAAAAAAAAAAAAAGAAGAAAAGAAAGGAAGAGAAAAAAAAATCAAAAGGTTCATTACCAAAACGTCACATTTGAAAACCCGATATTCCAGATCCAAAAAGCAGCTTTTGTTTGTATGATGATGCATTTCAAATGAGAGCAAAATACGTCAAGAAAGCCACATGCTTATGACGTGAATAACTCAAGTGTGAGTGTGATACAAAAAATGCTTAGTATTTCTTGATTAAACGCATCAAAAAGTATATCCTTAGAGAGAGTTTAAAAAAGAACCGAGGATAATCCAATGTAAGACTTAGGTTCAATCATAACATCCGCTATTTCAAGTGTATATATATGTATGTGTGTGTGACTGAAATGGAATTAGCTTTTTTTTTTTTTTTTTTTTTTCAAAAAAAATATATATAATACAGTGTAACCTTTTCTTTATTTTCTTTATTTTCTACAGGAATTATGGCCAGAAAAACGTTTAAAACAATAGAGTCCAACGTAGATGCCGGCACACACGACGACCGTCTTTATAACAAGGCTTTTGAAGGCTGGAGAGCCAGTCTAAGAGGTCTTTTAATACCTCTTATTCGTCACGAAACACTCATCTTGGCTTCTTTACAAGTAAGTCTACCAACATCAAGTTCAGCCTATGCTTATGTTTAGAAAAATATACGTACACCTGGATTAGATCAGTATTTTGTATGGACAGCCAACTTGGGCACACATACTTTTTTCATGGTATTTTTACCTATTTTAATCTGGTTTGGCAATGTAGAATTAGGCAGAAAGTAATAAAGAGAAAAAGAAAGAGAGAGATCAGACAATGAGCTGATATTGTTATTAGTGTTGCTTTCCTGACAGCGTCCGGTGTATTTTGGTCGGGATTTGTCAAGGTAAATAGCTCACAATAAACAACAACAAGCTTAGTGAAGAATATAGGACTTCCTCTGTCTGCCTCGACCTCTCTCTCCACCTGTTCATCGATTGACCATGTCACCTTCTGTGGCACTAGAATATGGGTTTCCTTCTACACATTCAACCAATTCAATCTCAGTGGCTCTTTTTCTCATCTCGATTGCATGTGAAAAACTTTCCCCTGAATCACCCGCCCGATTGATCACTGTCATTGCCTGTACTTTTTATGCTGTCAGCGTTGTGTTTGGTCGTATTTATTGTGGCATGCATACCATCACAGGTAAAACATGATGGTCTATATAGAGGCTGATAGACTTATGTATTTAAATAGACTGTATTGGTGGTTCCATTTTAGCTTACATTGTGTACTGGTTTCAATGGACATTTAAAGAACAATTTGATGCTTTGTTTACAAATGATTCTTATTGGAGTAAAGTAACACTTATGTAGAGACATCTGTACTTATAGGATCATAGTCTTTTTAGGTATTCCCATCTGCTTAATGCTTGTTTCTATTCAGTAAGGATATATCATGTACTTATGCCCTAGATCACTTATTTCTCTTTACTAGTCCTGATCCTATGGAGAGATGTCCTTGCTTTGAAGACAGGTAAAGAAGACTTGACCAACGTACTTCTCTTACCTATCTGTGTAGTGTATGCTTTATGGGTGTCTTGATTGGATTAATGCCAGGTAGTTGGTTGTGTAACCGAACAAATGCTTGTTACACTGGCTTGTCTTCTTCTGTCCTTTCAACACAAATGGGCTTTGTTGCTGCTCTTGTGTTGTTACTCAAACTAGTGGTAGGTGTTGCATGTTTGTTTTTATGGCGCATTGCGTGTAAAAAAGTCTGCTATTCTATCCTGCCACCTATCTATCGTGTCTTTAACCTTCCCCACCGTAAATTCGAAATCGGTGCTAGGTAAACTTATAGACGGTTGTTCTTATGATTGATGTTAAACTATAGAACCTACAAGAGTTTAAGAAGAGAGAGTATTCACCCTGTTCCTTCTGTTCTTGACTTTCAATCCATGTCAAGTAATATGCAAGACAATGAACATGTTGGTATTCAATCTGCTATTGATTTAAGGGAAGCACAACATCAGAGTCAATTATCGTATCGTGGAAATACACAAGAACCATTCAAGACCAATGAAAAACAAGTGTTTGACCCTACTTCTTTATTGATCATAGAAGATGCACCCCTTCGATACGATGTTGATATTGTGACTAAACTGATTGTCTATGCAGGTAAAGTGTGATCCATACATGGCATTGGCTTATATTGTCTTAGGCATTGGTTTTGTAGCAGTCTATATTACACCTATTCTCTTTTATTTCATGTCCAACGCTTTTTGAAAATTATACACCTTAATACTCTTATTCCCCCCCTCTCTTTTTAATCAACAGAAGGCATCCACCTTCCACCATTCTCTATTAAAATAGCATTTACTCTTGATTTCAATGTACGCATTTGATCTGAATGATATTTGGATGCAGCAAAACAATCGCATTGTCCCTTTTTTGAATAAGAACAATTGGGTGCTTTTGAACTCACAAAAGCATATTTAGGTGGAGAAGGTAAATTGAATTTACGTTGTATTTCAGGCACCAAGACTTGAGTGATGCTTTGTTTTTTGCTTACGATATTGGTGGGTAATTTCAGTTGAGGGTGATAATCCACACGGGTAAATACCAACAAGACATGATGCCACCATGTTGTGGGTTGAAATGACTGCATCATGGTATTGAAATGGTCCAAAATAGCCATAATACTTGAAACTATCAGTGAATTATCAAGTCATCAGGACTTACTTGTTAGTAGGTGAATTACATTGAAAAACAAGCATAAAAGCATCAATGCCTACTCTTGATCCAATGTCCTGAATAAACTCTTTAAACACACTCAGGAACGCTTGATCTCGGTTCATTGAATCAGCAAATCCCGGTGTATCTGCTACTGTAATCAGTGTCTCTATCTGATCAATCACCCAGATACCCGTACGTTCTGTAATACGATCTGTGACAGACTAAGAAAAATATGAGCGTCTTCCATTTCCCTCATTTTGTTTACTTACTTTGGCAGCTGCTTTGGCAGTAAATTCATTATAGCCCAGCATGAGATTCAGTAGACTTGATTTGCCTGCGCCTGTCTTGCCCAGTGGCAGTAAGACTAAATGTTGCATTGGCTCCTCATCTGGTTCTACAATATACATATCTTGTGTTGTGATATCTTCTGTAGACATTAATGGTTCGTTGCCATGCATGGGTTGATAAGGAAACAGTGTGCTCAATACTTTTTGGTGTTCTGAACCACGACGAGTGGCATGATGACTGACTTGTTGATCCCACATGGTCAGATGACGACGAGGCATCTGAAAGGGTTGAGGTAAAGGCACCTTATATTCAGACTCTGAGTCAACAGCATGAACAACGGATTCTTTTGTGGGATGATAATGGTTCATAATAATAATAATAATAATAATAATAAAAAAGTAATGTGTAACTTTATTTAACCAGAAATAACAACTTTACCCTTTTCAAGGAAACCATGTTCACGATCCCCACCCATAAAGGTAGGGCATATACAGAACCGAACAAGGCCTTGATTTCTTCCCTTGACTTCTGTCATGGTTTCTTCTTCAAATGGCTGCTTATTGTTCTCTTCAATGGTCACTGTCTTGATCTCGACTTCTTGACCACGAATGGCAATGGTCAACTTGAGCGCTTTATCCACAATATCACAAATCTTGGCATAATATCTCTTTTCTTCATCCACAGCAGCATCGTTTTCTCTCAAGAAAGGATGATAAATCTCGGCTAGATCATCATAGATCTTTTGAGCCACAAGTTGCTTTTCTTTCGCAGCAGCCTGCTGGATCTCGCTCTCGGGCCGACTCTTGGCCACCACAGCAGCCATTTGTTGTCTAAGTCGAACAGAGAACTGAGACTGATGTTGTTGAAGCCAGTCAAACAAGGCAAAATAAGCATCGTTCACTTTGAGCCCAGGATAGATAGGACACGTAAACACACACTTCACTAAATGTTCATGCACCAATTTCTCGGCCAACACATTTATCAACGATGGCTCGAGTTCTTGCGTGGTAGGATCCAAAATAGGCAGATGAGGCCATGTCTGACAGAACTTGGTGGCTGCTTTGGCCTTGTCTGCTTTTTTGTTGAGTGTCATGATAAGACGAGCAATGGAGTATTTCAAGAGTTTAAAGGAGTCGCGAATAGTAGACAAGTCATCGTCTGTGGCTCGAATAGCACGTGTGTGTTCAAAAAAGCTGTGTTCAATAGCAGCATATTCCGTTTCTCGTTCTTTGAAAATACGGGTTGCTTCAGCCAAGTCTGCCTGAAGACGGTCTTTGTTGCGCTTTTCGTTTTGGACTTCGGTGGTGCGTTGTTGGATGAGTTCATTGAGTTGGTCTAGCTCGTGTTGTAGACTGGCTTGTTGTGTTTGTTGCTGAGGTGTAAAATCATTGTCCTCAGATGAAAGGATGGGTTTGATGACTTCTTCATGTGTAGGTTCGTTTGTCATTTCTATTGAAAAAAAAGGGAGGGTATCAGAAGAAAAAAGAAAAAAAAAAGAGATAAAACAAAGGGTTATTTATACCTCTTTTTTGATAAGGTTCAGTACTTGGACCACCATACGAGGCCGAAGAAAATAAAGGGGGTCTTGCTGAATCTTCACTCTTTTTGGTGTCTTTTTTATTTGTCTTGAACAATCCTCTCATTTTACTTCCTGCCGAGTTTAAGTTGCGTACTGTCTTGGAACGACTGATGGGTCTAGATGCTTCTGTGTCGTGTGTAGGTACTTGAGGTGGTACTTCTTCAAGTGAATTGCGCTTTGTGTCTGTCATTAGAGTTATTAAAAGTTAAAAGAAAAAAAAAGAGAGTGAAAAGGGGCAGCATTCAATTAAAATCGGATTTAATTGGCGGTATTCTATTTTTTAAGGTTCAGCAAGTTGCCCTGAAAGAAGATCATACTTGAAAAAAAAAAAAAAAAAAAAAAAAAAAAAAAAGTTCAGGCTTATGTCCACTTTAAGCGAGTGACCGAGATATGACAAAAGAAGAACTACTTTTAAACAGCTTACTTTGATAAATAGACTCATTTTATCATGGGAAAATGATGAGAAAAGTTGCCAATGTACTTTTTATTTAAACGCATCTTTTCATCTTCTTTGTTCCTTCATGAAGTTTTTTTTATTTCTCTATTTTGGTATGCTTGCTTATTTAAGCAGTGCACAGACATCTCATGATCCTGTTCAAGAAGCGATTCGAGTAGATGCAGGAACAAAAGAAACCACTATGTTTGGTCAAAAAGTGAATAATACAGATAGTCTGATTATTGGTGAAAGAGGCCCTACTCTTTTAGAAGATTTCATGCTTCGAGAAAAGATCATGCATTTTGGTTTGTGCCCTTGTTTGTTCATACAATGCTAACCTACTTTAGATCATGAACGGTAGAGACATGCCTACTATCAACCTATACTCATATCCTTATGTAGCATACCTGAACGTGTTGTTCATGCTCGAGGTGTAGGCTTCCATGGCTATTTTGAATCGTATGCTGACTGGTCTAACTTGACTGCTGCCAAGTTCCTTTCTTCCCGTACTCAAACACCTGTCTTTGTTCGTTTCTCTACTGTGCTTGGTTCCCGTGGTTCTCCAGATACTGTACGTGATGTGCGTGGGTTTGCTACTCGATTCTATACAGAAGAAGGCAATTTTGATTTGGGTAGAGTATCCAACAAGATAAATAGGTTATTCACACACTGATATTTAGTTGGCAATGTCATTGCGCCTTTTTTCATTCAAGGTAATTTTTAGGATATATAGATAAAAGTATTCACCATATACTAGATGGTATCAAGTTTCCAGACGTGATTCATGCTACTAAGCCTGAACCTGACCGAGAAGTTCCTCAAGCATCCACGGCTCATTGTACATCCTACGACTTCTTCTCACAACATACAGAGAGTATTCATACAGTTATGTGGGTACTTTCAGGCCGTGGCATTGCAAGAAGTTTTCGTCAAGTGGAAGGATTTGGTACTCACACGTACGTAATTTTTTTTTTACATTAAACTTTAGCCCATTGATATTGTTGGTTTTTGGATAGGTTTCGTTTTATCCGAGAAGACAAAAAAGCCGTGTTTGTCAAGTTTATTTGGAAGCCATTACAAGGACTTTCCAACCTTGTTTGGGTAATTCACCCTAACTCATACGTTGTTATTGACCTGTTTTCTACCAGGATGAAGCACAAAAGATTGCTGGTAAAGATATTGATTTCCATCGTCATGATATGTATTCTGCCATTGACCGAGGTGACTTCCCTCAATACGAGCTCTGTGTTCAAATTGTACCTGAAGAAGATCAATTCAAGTTTCCTTTTGACTTGTTGGATGCTACCAAGATTATTCCTGAATCGATTGTGCCTGTCACCAGACTGGGTAGAATGACCTTGAGCCGTAATGTCGACAACTTTTTCTCAGAAACAGAACAAGTGACTTTTCATGTAGGCCATGTTGTCAGAGGTAAACAGAACAACTATGAACATCACCTAACTGTGTGTGTGTGTGTGTTTTAGGCATCACTTTGACGGACGATCCTTTACTTTCAGGTCGCTTGTTTAGTTATTTGGATACACAACTGAACCGTATGAACTCAAAGAACTTTATGCAACTGCCTATCAATCAACCTCATGTACCTGTTCATAACAATTTCCGAGACGGATTTATGCAGCAAAGAGTATTTAAGGGCAAAGTTGCTTATTTCCCAAACACACTTCAAGGCAATACACCCCGTGTTGTGTCTGAAGAGGAAGGCGGGTATTTGGAATACCCTGAGCAAGTCAATGGTACCAAACGTCGAGGCAAATTTGGCAAATTCGCAGACCATTTCTCTCAAGCTCAGTTGTTCTATAATAGTCTGACAGTCCATGAACAACAACAGATTGTGCATGCTGCTCGTTTTGAACTTGGCAAATGCGACAATGCGACCATCCGTCATAACATGGTACAGGTCTTTAACAGGGTCGATCATAACTTGGCTGTTCGGATTGCTTCTAAAATAGGCGTGGCTATACCTGATCAAGTGGTTGAGAACCAGAACCAGACCACAGTAGGCTTGTCGATCGAGAACTATCCTTGTCCAAACCATATTCATGCTAAACGCGTGGCTATCCTAACTGCACCTGGTATTTATACAGCGCAGGCTCAATCCATGTATGATTTCTTGACTCGCCAAGGTGCTTATGTGGATATGATTGGGATGGACGGCATGAGCCAGACTTACTGGACCACGTCTGCTGTCTTGTACGACGGTGTGTATGTACCTTCTGGAACTAAAAAAGCATTTGAAGTCTTGATCGAGAGTGAAGAGCCCCTTATGTTTGTACGGGACACTTTCTACCATGGAAAACCCTTGGCTATCACTGGTCGTGGTCGTTCTTTACTTCAGGCTGCTGTACCCAACATAATGGAACATGGCACAGCCTATGGTGTCTTTCTGGACATGACTCAAGACCAGTTCAAGAAAGGATTGATAAGACAAAGATACTGGAATCGTTTACCACTTGATCCAAATGCTAAACCATCACCTACACTCAGTAAACCATGCAATGAATAATAAAAGAATTTATTTTCTCTAAAATAATTTTCCCGACATAGTCTTCATATTTACAAGAATAGAAGCAGCTTCTAACATTTGCACTTGTTGGTGCTTTGTTAATGGAAATTTAGATATAAGTTCCCATTGGGTAGAGTGTTCCCACTGATGTTTAAAAAGGCAGTTGGAACTTTTGTAAGTCTTGCCACAAGTATCACAGCGATGTATTGCTGGTGGTGTATTGTCTTCATGCGTAGAAAGGGGTATATTGTCATGCTGTTGTTGTTGTTGTTGTTGATTTTGATGAGGGTTATATGCTGTTTGGGTATGATGATGATAGAAAAGTGCTGTTGTAGATGCCATTGTATATATATAATAATAAAGAAAGAAAAAATAATAATAATAATAAAAAGAAGACCGCTTTTTTTTTCACGCGCACAAAATACACGTTGACGGAGATTGAATTATTGCATGGCAACTAATCCTCGGAAAAATTTATTTCTTTTTCATTGTCAAGCCTTGATCCTCTTCCTCTTCTTCTTGTATGGGCGTTGATTGGCCACTTTGAGATTGAATTTGAAGGATCCAAGACAAGAGTCCTCGAACAGAAGGACGAACCATATGTCTATTTTGATAGACAGCATCCACAACAACCATTACAGAGGCAGCAAAGACGAGATGCTCAGCAAAGATAGCACTTGTTTGTTCCCACCATCTTCCCTTTTGATGTGGACTCAAGATACGCTCTGTAAAAGAATAAAGAGCACGGGGAACAACATACAATGTCATCTCACTACGACGATGCTTACTTTCAATCAAAAGAGATAGACCACAGAGCATACTGCCTATCAAAGGAGCTAGTGTATTATCCAGCCTTGTCTGGTTTACACCGAGCAATTGGTATCCAATGCGAGTTCTTACTAAACAGATACTATACCATATAATAGCAATATAAGTACCTAGAAAACTAGAGGAACGCACAGACGCCATCAGGATATGTAACATGGACTGCATTGGATGAGAGATGAATTGAGATGTTCGAAAGAACAAGGGAGGAAACAAATGAACCGAGAAATAAACCTAATGTGTGTTAATTCTACTGGATTGACATTTCAATGGATTGGCTTACTGGAAAAATCTTGATAAATCCTCTATAGAATCGTAAAAGAGCATTTGCTTCACAACCATAAGGCTTGCCTTCATGTACAATCGTACAAGCGATCCTTCCAGTACATGGATCACCTAAAGACCTGGGTATACCCAATTGAACACAGTAATCACCCAACAGGCTTTCAAAACCAGTGTCTTTCTATGAGTAGATGGATGAGCAAGTATATATAGACAGACAGGAATTACTTGCACCATAAATCCAATCCCCTTGACGAATGGCTCGAAGGGCTTTTAATAACCGATCATCAATGCCCGACATGTGTGTGATCCAGCCTGCATAAGATTTGGGTAATCGTTCTGGCTCATAAAACCACGAAAAGATGATTTCTGTTGATGACAGCATAAAAATAGCAATGTTGCCATACTCCAGTGTCCATTCAGGCACTGTTTTTCGAACCCGAGAAGAAGCATAGATTCGATGGGCAAATACGTCCAATGCTCGTACAAACACGAAAAAAGTCAAGTCGAGTGTCTTGGTGCGAGGAAATAAACGACGTGTGAGCCATATACTGACCCATGAAGACCAAAAGACTATTGATTTTTTGTATTTCGCGAATAATTGATGACAACTAAGTGAGGTCGCGAGTAACAAAGGCAGTCCATTTTGTGCGATGCTGTTCTTTAATACTAATGTCAATGCTTTTTGTATAGCGCCCTTTGATTTAGTAAGTAAGAGCGCTTTGATCATGACAGATAGAATGGAAGGTGCTGTTGTAATAGTCCAACCTAGTCCATAAGCACGCACAAATGTACCGAGTGCATTCTTTTGTTGCGCGTTCAACGACATGATGGCAAAAAAAAAAAGAAGAAGAGATGAGAAGAAGAAAAAAGAAAGAAAGTTACGCAAATTGTCATATGAAAATAACTTTATTATTTCCAATAATCATAATACTTGTCAGCATATTTCTTCATGTTGTCACTCATTTCATCCCATTTTGAATGAGGTAAACCTGTGGCTGGATCTATAGGCTTCTGATTGCGAAGTCTTTGTCTATCTTCTCTTAACCAAGAATAGCAAAGAGCCATCAAGGGTGAGTCTACTAAATTTCTTTCACGGTGTTTTTGCTTGATAGCTTCAAATTCAGGGAAATTGTTGACATCATTTAACGAAAGCACTTTGCCATCAGCAACATGAGCAATATGTGTTGCCCAATCACCTAAACCATCAAAGATATGTGTAGCATAGACCTAAAAGACGCGTATGAATATCCTTTCAGCATTTGTTTCTCTATTTACAATAGTACATCCTCTCTCTTCTGTTTCTACTCGAAGGAAATTTAAGAAATCAGCTCTAGCAAGTACATCCAAATCAACAGTGACTTCATCTAACAATAACAATTCCCAAGGATGCAACAGTCCCATCACTAATTGTACACGACGACGCTGACCATCCGAGATTTGATGCATGCGCCATTTGGTGTCTACATCAAGCACACGAAGCAAGATTTCAGTACGTTCTGGCCAGCGATGACTGCCCATACTCTTGAGCAGATATTCAACAGATAAATCAGACTTCACTACTGGGTTATTGGCCCATTCAGTGCCTAAATAAGTGACGCCCTAATCATGTAAGTTGGTTTGGGATATCTAAATCCTTACTTGAGGTGCATCTAGAAACGCATTCTTGCCAAGAACAGAGACATGACCGGGAATCATGCGTTTACCAGCCAAGATCTTGAGCAATGTTGTCTTGCCTGCACCATTAGCACCGACAAGAATACAACGTTGACCTGCTTTTAACTTGAGATCCAAGTGATCGATAATAGTGGGACCACCATAAGAATAACTGAGATCAGACACATCAACAGAGTATTTGTATTCTTTATTCAATACCATCGTATATATAAGAAGAATAATAAAAATAAAAATAAAAAACTAGGGCTCGAAAAGGATCGCGTATCGACAGATGAAAAAGCATTAGCCAATAGGAACCAAGCTTAATTTTTAAATGGCGTGCTTTATGCATCCATGTCAATGTGCTCGACATACTTGTCGTTTCTCTGGTCTATACAGAATCAAAGCTCAAGCCGTGTATCAGTTGATTCAAGAATGATTATATTTAGTGTTGATTTTCTGAATGATACAATCCAATGACTGCAGCTACAGGGTCATAAGCACCATTCGATCTCTTTTTCAAATCCAAGATAGACTAAGGATACTGAGTCATTGTTCTGTCAAATAAAGCGATGTTTGTTTGATTATCTACAAGTATCGCGTTTGTTTCTCATTTTCCGGCTTATTATTAAATCGAGATTAATAGTATTTTTCCCATTCACTAAATTTCAAATTTATATGTACTACACACCATGCGTGTGTATCTATGCAAATCCCTATTTTCCCTTGTCTTTATCTAGCTTAGTATCAAATGAAATGCATATGTACAACACAAACATTGTCCCGTGCAACTGTTATAAATTTGTTCTTTTACAATCTATGTACATGACTAAGCATGCAATAAAGAACATTGATTGGCTGAACACCTATCAGCCTGCTTGATCGCCAGTTACTTTCAACTCATGCTTACGAAGCAAAGATATGGTTCAATCATTTTTTAGGAAAAATTTTGGGTTTTTGGTCGTACATAAATCGCTGTTTATCTACAGCATAGAAATAATGCTTCAAGTAGATGTATAATGAACGCGCATTATTGTTGTTAATATTTTCCAGTCTATATATATATATATTCATTGAACCTTTGGAAAATACATTACTTTTTAAAAAAAAAAAAAATAGAAGTTTCTATAAAAAGTAAAAAACGATATTTTCTGTTTTTTTTAAAAATGATCCGTTGCAACACCGAAATTCAAAGTTGTAACAAACAACATTCTGACGACATCTGCTAGATTCCTTTTCTGCTTCCGAAACATGAATATATAAATAACACCATTGAATTTCTTCTGTCCTGACTTTTTTATTCTTTCTTTACTTACATTAGCCCTAAAGAATCATGAAGATTAATGCATTGGCTTCATTTGTCAGTCTTTTTATGGCTGCACAATTAGTTGCTGGTGATGGTGCCTGTGCTATCTCTGGTTTCGATGAAAATGACAACCGTAATGCAAAGAATGAGCAATTAGGCCAATTCATTGTGAACGATGCTGGCACTCAAGAAACAACTCAATTTGGTCAAAAGATCAACAATTCTGACAGTCTTAAGGCTGGATTGGATGGTCCCACTTTATTAGAAGATTTCATGTTGCGCGAAAAAATTATGCATTTTGGTAAGTAGCCATGGTTACACTTGTTGTACTGATTACATCAAACATAGATCATGAGAGAATTCCTGAACGTGTGGTACACGCCAGGGGTGTGGGTGTACACGGCTACTTTGAATCCTATGGCGATTACTCAAATATTACTGCTGCTAGTTTCTTGGACAAGCAAGGCAAGCAAACACCTGTCTTTGTTCGTTTCTCTACTGTGCTCGGTTCTCGTGGTTCTCCTGACACTGTACGTGATGTGCGTGGTTTTGCTGTTCGTTTCTACACAGATGAAGGCAACTTTGATTGTGTGGGTAATGCCATTGCTCCCTTTTTTGTGAATGATGCCATCAAGTTCCCTGATCTTATTCATGCTGCTAAACCTCAGCCTGATAAGGAAGTGCCTCAAGCTGGCACTGCTCATGAAACCGCTTATGACTTCTTTGGCGAGTTCCCTGAATCAACACACACCGTGCTTTGGGCTCTTTCGGGCCGTGGTCTTCCTCGTTCTTTTAGACAAGTAGAAGGCTTTGGTGTTCATACGTTTAGATTGGTCAACGATGATGGCGAGTCACACTATGTCAAGTTTGTCTGGAAGCCTAAGCAAGGTTTGGCTAACTTGGTCTGGGACGAAGCTCAAAAGATTGCTGGTAAAGACATTGATTTCCATCGTAACGATCTCTACACTGCCATTGAAAAGGGAGACTATCCTGAATGGGACTGGGGTGTTCAAATCATCAAGGAGTCTGACCTTGACAAATTTGACTTTTCTCTTCTGGATGCTACAAAGATCTTACCTGAATCCTTGGTGCCCTTCACACCTCTTGGTAAACTTGTCTTAAACCGTAACCCTGATAACTATTTTGCTGAAACTGAACAAGTCACCTTCCACCCTGGTCATATTGTACGTGGCATCGGTTTTACTGATGACCCACTCTTGCAAGGCCGTCTCTTCTCTTACCTGGACACTCAATTAAACCGTATGAACAGCGTCAATTACTTGCAATTGCCTATCAACCGTCCTATTGTTCCTGTCCACAACAACCAACGGGACGGCTACATGCAATCTCAAATCCACAAGGGCAAGGTTGCCTATTACCCCAACAAGTTACAAGGCAACACACCTTCGCTTGTCTCTCCTAACAAGGGCGGCTACATTGAATATCCTGAAAAGATCGATAACGCTAAGAAAGTCCGTGGCCGCTCCGCTCAATTCTTTGATTACTACTCCCAATCCCAACTCTTTTATAACTCTTTGACCAAGGCTGAACAACAACAATTAGTTGACGGTGCTCGTTTTGAGATCGGTAAATCCAAAGACATACAAGTACGCAAGAAGATGATTGATGTCTTGAACCATGTCGATAACAACCTTGCTCGTCGTGTTGCTTATGGTGTCGGTGTGGAACTCCCTGAAAAGCTCTATGAGAACCTTAACAAGACCTCGGTCGGTCTCTCGATTGAAAAGTACCCTAAGCCTGATAACATCAAGACCCGTACTGTGGCTATCTTGACTGCTCCTGGTACTGATAAAGACGAAGCCAAGGCCATGTACTCTTTCCTCGAGTCAAAAGGTGCTTATCCTGAATACGTGGGTGTTCGCTTGGGTACTCAAGACGGCCTTAATATTACCAATACCTACTTGACCACGTCTTCTGTGCTTTATGATGCTGTCTATGTGCCTGGTGGTGAGAAGGCTATCAAGTACATGACTTCGCCTACCTCTTTCTTCCCTATGGAAGAACCCAAGGTGTTTGTGTTTGATGCTTTCCGCCATGGTAAGCCTATTGCTGCTACCTCTCAAGGTGTTGAGTTATTAAAGTATGCTGGTGTCAAGATTCCCTCTGAAAGTAAAGGTACACACGAAAAGGAAGGTGTTATTGTAGGTAGCTCTGAAAGCGGTGTCGAAAGTCCTTTTGAAGAAGCATTGAAAAAGCAACGATTTTGGTCTCGCATGCCTACCGATCCTGAATTATAAGTTATTTATTTAGACAAAAAATAAAACAAAGTGTTTTTTGAATCACAAACATCGATATTTGCTTGTGTATTGAAGTCGGGTGAACGTATGAAATACATTAAATAATGCTTATTTAATTTGACTTTTAGTATGAAGGTATGCCTGTACTTGTTTAGGATAAAACGCATACATGCAAGTTTATTTGACGTACAACATATTGATTTACCGATTCATGTAACAGCGACGCCAGACAAATACGGTCTTTAACAATGAAAAATCTTCACCTTTTTGTTAGATACATAAAGTTAGTAAAAATCATGCCCATACACGAATATAAGTTTTAAGTAGCTACAAACTATGTTTACTAACATACAGGGCACTTTTGGAGTTGGACCAAAAGGTACTTACTACTCATAAAAAACCTGATTTTGACAGCCTCTGAACTTCTATTTAACGTTACAAGACAAAAAATAGAGCTATCGACAAGTATAAATACTCAAAATGACCGCCAAATGCTCTAGTTGTTGATAAAAGTGTTTGATTGCTAAGTGTGGCATGCAAATGGTGAGATATAGGCGAAAAACCTCGTAAACATGTCTGCCTCTTTGCTCCATATTTTAGCAACAACATTGTTGCGGGTTCCATATCAATAAACTCAGAAAGCAGAGATTTACAACTTTTGTCACTACAGCAAAGCCCAATAACTGCGTCTTTAGGCAGTTCACCGCAAAAGCTTGATTTTGATGTAGCAGAAAGAAGAATTCAATCCTACTTTTACTTTTGTATGTTTTTCAACACTCTAGAAAGCATGTAGTATATTCTGCAATACTATTGTTAACAGGTTTTATATAACATATACAGTAACAATGCTCAAAATACAGCTTAAATATACCAATCTTTGATGAGCCATTGCTCGACAACCAGACTACTAATGCGGCCTCTTTTTTCATTTAAAACATGTTCTTTCAAGTCTAGGAATCAATTGGTATCATTGGTCTGGCTGCTAGGTGAAATTCATTTTTTGATCCATGGGGGATCCACGGAGGTTCGTAAAGGTGAAAAAAAAAGAACAACAAAAAGGACAAAACTCGACCAGAAATTTTTGGAATGACCCAATGTAATTTGAATCGAGAAAAAAAAAGTTTGGCTGTTCGGTAATGAGTAATTTGTTCAATAGAAAAGTGCACAAGCAGTGGCTTTTGTGGTAAAAAGGATCTACAACTCCAAACTTTGTCTTCTATCTTTGTGGTATAAGATGGCTATTCTTACTTTTCTAGAAAAAGAAAAGCGCAAAGAGTGTAGTCTATCTATCTATAGCCTAAATCTACATTTCAACAGTAAAAATGACGCTATAAGAGAAAGTGAAGGACATTTATTTTGTGGTCCAAATAACATAAAATGATGATAAGTATAATCAACGTTATAAAGAAAGAAAATATATACAATATGCCTTGAGAAATGCATAAATATTTAAAGAGAGCCAGAAGCACGTCTTAGTTTCCTGGATAGATCACCATCGATTTCCAGATCAAATAGACGCCAAATACCATTTTCATCCTGGAAATCGTTATGAACAATGTTGACCAAATACCAGTTTTCATAAATATCTAGGATCACTTCAGCAGCTAAGCTTTGACGATCATAGATACGAGCCCATTCATTCCACAAGCCAAATGCTTCATCCTTCCAAGCCATAAAAGCAAGAGGTTCAACGATAGTAGGTTGAACAATTTCTTTACCGGGAAAGACACCCCAAGTGACAGCATTGGGTTCATCGTTGACTGTGTTTGTCTTCAAATCTCCCTAAAAATCGTATTATGGCCTATTCAAAGACAAGTACCTACAAACCTTCTTATTGACAGCAAAATAAGTCACTTCTGGATCTTTTTCAATCTTCTTTATCAGGTCTTCCAATTGACGAGGAGGGATAAAGAACTCGATATATGCTTTTTGGTAGACATAACCGTGCTTTGGACCCCAACCATAAATAGAGTCACTGCTCTTGGCACCATTCACAGCAGGTTGAGAGTTGATGGTCAAGTATCCCAGCAAATTAATAGCAGCCAAGCGTTGTTTGATTGTATCTGTCTCTGGATCCAATTTCTGAGCACTCCAAGGCAAAGCTTCCAGTTTACCCTTACAATACCTTGCAAACAAAAGTGCAATATCATCAGGTGATTGAGGTTCTCCCCACATGGCCAATTGCTTTTCTACAGGGTATTTGATAGATACACCCCATCGATCAAATTCACCATAAGCAGGTGAACGTGCATCACCCCAACGACCATTAGGAAATTCATCCCAGGATTCCGTACGACGAACATAGCTGTGTGCACGGTTCTTCCAAAAGATAGGACGCACTGTTTCTTTTGTACGCTTTGGACCAAGTGACTATCAAAGATAAGCAATGCTGAACATATACACACAAGGTCACTTACTGGGTTCCAAGGTAAAGGCTTCACTTGTTCTTGTTCAGGTACTAAACCAAGCTTTTCCAAGATAATACGTGAAGATCTTTCAAGGTTGAAGGTATAAATATGGAATCCATGAATGTCGGTTTCTTTTCGAATTCGGTGTATAAACTGAACAGCCAAATCAATACCATAATCCTTGACAGCTTGATCGTCTTCCTTGATCAAGGCTAAATCATCCCAAATCTTTTGAGGTACATGGTTGTTATTAAACGAAATCACTCGACTAAGACCACCATAGCTTTGAATGGGGAAAATGCCTGGTAAGATAGGACAAGTGATGCCAATGTCACGACAACGTTTCACAAACTGAACAAAGACATCCACATCAAAAAAGAGTTGCGTAACAATCAAATCAGCACCCGCGTCTACTTTTTCTTTAAGTCTTCTCAAATCGTCTTCTTCGTCGTCATTGTCAATGTGTCCCTCAGGATGACCTGTATTGCATTAATTACCTTGTTTGAATGCCTTTCTTTTACCTGCTACAGCAATACAGAAATAATCACCGTATTTCTGTCGAATATATCGTACTAAATCAATCGCATGACTAAAGCCATTTTCGCAGGACTCCCAGTTCAGCTGACCTTTAGGAGGATCACCTCGTAAAGCTAAAATGTTTTGACAACCACATGCTTTAGCAGCCTATAGCATGAAGTATGAGTACAATATCCATACACACACATATATATATATAAGAGGATATTTCAAAAACTTGCCTCTAAGGCTTTATCTATCTGCTCAGCAGGCATGTTGGTACAAGTCAAATGCATCATGGTCTCTAAACCATACACAGACTGTGCTGTAGTCACAATATTCATGGTCAAATCAGCAGAAGTACCACCAGCACCCCAAGTAACATCAATGAATTCTGGTCCATAACGTTGCATCCTTTCCATACGATCATACAAGTTTTGAACACCCTAGATAGCTTAATATTTGTTTATCACAAAATAGTTTACCATTTCTGTCTTGGGAGGAAAGTATTCAAAAGACCAATAGGTGCGTCCTTCATTTTCAGCCTTGTTTACTTTGTCTATTATCTTCATTCTAAGTTAAAAGAGTAAAGAAGCAAAGAAAGAAACGGCGTTTCAATGTAAAGAAATAAAAAGAAGATGATGGTATTTGATTGGTGTAAAAAAAAACAAGATCATCTAAATAGTTTTCGCACGTTCATTTATTGTCGGGTATTTTATACGCATGGACCCTCTTTTACTGTTGAACATGGACTCTCATAGCGTTTCTTCACTTGACTGAGGAAGAAACAATGGCATTGTTGAAATGAGAGCCATGCATTGTTTATTCTATGCCTAGAAGTTACCATTCAAGTGAAGCTGTTATAAAGTAGTTGTGTTTAATATCTATATTGAAATGCAAATAAAGGCCCTATCGTTTCACTAGATTACCTAATAGAAAGCAGAGCTTGATCAATTGCTATTTTGCTGCTTCTTTGATATGTAGTTGCATGAAAAACATGTCAGCATATTGAAAGGCCGCATTGAGCAACCCAATCACAAGGATTGCTCTTACAGACAAGAAGCTAAAGAAATCAGCATCTATCGAATCATTTATACGTATATTCCCATGCTAATAGTGAAACCCCTATCTCGATTCACTTATTTAACAGAGAGGTCTACAAGTCATTTCGTTTCTTTACTCTACAGCCTACACATCATGTATCTAGGCTTTCTGTTCACATTATTCTCGTTGGTTGTACATTTCATTGCAGCTCAACAGCAACCAAATGGAAACCAAACCATTCTTCAAGCACTCAATGATACAAATGCCAGTCCAGCACTCAAGTTTGTAGCACTTTTGCAGTCATCTCCAGATTATCAACCCATTGTTGATTTGTTATCAGATCCTTCAAGTAATGTGACCCTGTTTGTTCCATCAGATCAAGTGTATTATAATGCTACTGGCCAAATGCCTACAACAAACAATACTGACATGCAGAACTCAACCACAGGCGGTAATACTGATTCCTCGGGATTCTCTCCTACTGGTGCTGTTGGTGTATTCTTTTCTTCAATCATTTATGGTGGACAATCATCCGCTACGTCCAATGCTGAACAGCAACAACCACCTACTAGTGTTACTTCTGCTGGTGCTACTAATGCTGGCGCTGCTCCTGTTGCTACTAGTACACAGAACGACGATGCAGCTGCTACTGCGCTTCGTAGTGTCTTTTCGCCTTTCTTCCCTGCACCAACCTCATTACCCAACATGGCCAAATACGTCCGCATGTCTAATGAGGAATACTTGCAACCTTATCACGATAGCATGTATTCTTTCAAACCGGTTTCTCTTCAAGCTGCTCTCCCTGACAATGATACAAGTGGTTGGAATCAAGTGATTGCAAACACGCCTTTTGCAAATCAATTCAATCTTATTGACTTATTTAGTTATCATGTTGTGAATGGAACAACACAGTTCCAAAACAGTACGAATATCTTGAATACCTTGTTATCTAACAATTCTATTGATAAACTTGGATATGGTCTACCTTTAATTGTTCAACAACAACAACAGCAGCAACAACAGCAACAGTATCAAGTTTATCATAAAAGACAAGAAATGACAAACAATACTTCGAGTGATTTTATGTGGACAGTAGGAAATGGACTTGATAATAGTGCTCATATCATGATGAATCAAACTATTCAGGCCTCCAACGGTATTGTATACGTAGTTGATAAGAGTAAGCAAAATATATACGTATATGTAAATTCTAAAAAAAAAACATAGTATTGGTCCCTCCATTAAGCCCTAATGATACTCTCAGCGCCCTTCAAAATGTCTCTTCGTTTGATGCTTTGTTGGGACAATTGTCTAACAATTCGCTAGATTCAACCACAAATGTAAGTGAAAAAAAAAAAAGAATAATATATAATTGAATGCTTTTTAGGTTACTCTTTTTGTTCCGGTAAACGAAGTCTTGCAAAACTTGAATGCTACAGGTCTAGATGCGCAGACATTGGATACTATTGTTCAAGCACATATTGTTCCTGGCGTTTATTATACTACTAACCTGACATTACAGCCAACTACTGTTTCTACTATTGCTGGTACAAACATTACTTTGACGAACGCCGACCCATCTAATAACATCAGTGTACAAGGTATCTATGCTTTTGTCATGAAAGCAAGTATTTACTTATTTCATAGTGAATGGTACAAATGTTGTTCATGCAAACATTCTTTTAAACAATGGAGTTATGCATTTGATTGATGGAGGTAAGAACATGATTGAAATTCATCCAAATAACACACTGCAGTCTTAAATTATACGACAAACCAAGCACAAGGAAACAGCACGAATGGTAATTCAACCGATAGTAGTGGCAATAATGGTGGCTCCAACAACGATGGCTCCAACAACAATGATCCTAATAACAATCCTTTCCCACCATCTGCTGGCTCTTTTGCCAACAAAGATTTCATTGTATATATCTCAAACATTTTGGTTTACATGACTCTTGTTATCTTTTCTTACATATTATTCTAATTCTGAAATACACAGCTTATAACTATTAATAAAGTTTATTTACTGGTACATGTCTTTTTGATAATTCTCAGGTTGCTGGACCACAGGTGCTTGGTGGTTCATTGGTAATGAGCTATGGGAGGGATAATAAGGTTGTTGAGCTGGATAAACATGACTAGGTGAGCTAGTATAGGTATAAGGAGAATGGGGGTATGATGAAACAGTATCATTGATTGATACTGGATATTGAGGTGAACCAAAGCCAACTTGAGGTACTTGTTGTGGGCTCATCAAATTACTTGGGGTGAAAGGAGCAGTAATCGTTGAAACAGGATTTTGTACACCACTGTAAGGGGAAGTAGGCTCATGTATCAATGGAGAGTATGTTGCAGTGTTGACTTCTGCTAAAGGAGAAGAATAGCCATTCGCCATAAAAGAAGTCTCATCCGAGACAGGACTATGGGCTTTACTCATTTGTTTGTCTTGTTCAATCCTACTAGAAAAAGGAGACCCACTACGGTATGATTCTTTGTCTTTTTCATTTACAATAGTTTGAGCATCTTCATTGTATTCCGCAGTAGAAGTAACAGTATGGTTTTCTTGATCCTTGGCTTGTTGGTCTGTATTCTTTTCTAAATGTCTTTGCTTTTTTTCATGCCATAAGAGAATAGCGCTACATACGGCTGTGCCAAGCCATGCAAAAAACAAGAACCAGCTAAAGGCTGCTACAGTCTTTGCACAGTTACACTAAATTGATACCTGTTAGCATTGCTTGCCTTTTTTATATGTATGTTTACACTTTACCTGATTCTTCCAAGCATTAGCGTATCCTGAGTGTTTCTTTATTAATGCTTCATCTAGATTACAATTTGAATCATTTGTTGAATGAACAGTCATGGCGATCATGACAATAAACCAAGTCAAAGAGAAGAAGCAAGTAAAGATAAGGCTTGTACGAGGACGTAAAAAGAATGCCCTTATTTTTGGATAGACCCCATTGTTAAACTTAGGCCAGGGAAACATGGCCAATGCCACGGATACAAATAAGCTTGATAGAGTGATCACCAGTGTATAGTTGGGTGCTCCTTGGCTTGAGCTCTATACACTAATTGGTTAATACTATATTTCCAAAAAAAAAAAAAAAAAAAAAAAAAAAAAATACTTGCATAATAAGTCCTTTCGGTCGAAATTACTGACGCTGTCAAGCACATTGTAAGAAATCCAAAAAAGACTTGTATCAAATGTAACCCAACTTTGTAAACACCAAGATTAGGTAAGTTAGTTGGAGTATCAAACTCGAGCTCAAACTTATCAGCCAAAATCATTTTTACACTATTAAACAAAAAACAAAAAACAAAAAAGATGCAAAAGAATTGCTTGTGAATTTAAAATAATAGGATGTTTACGTTTGATGTTTTGATTTTCTTTGCTAATTTAGGCAATGTTCTTCGTACTACAGTTATCCATGATGCAAGTTAGTTGTCTTATAAACCTGTATCGTCAACATACCACGCTTTATTTTGTTAGCATGAATTACCTTTGGTTACATTCACACCGCTAACAAAACGCTTTGAAGGTTTTAAATGTACCTGAAGGGCTCTTTGAAAAAAAAAGAAGGTGATACAATATTCTAAGAAACTCTTGTGGATATCGTTTGTGTAAAACTCTAAAGAAAAGTAGCATTAGGATCGTGATAATATTTATCCGTGCGCTTGTTAAAGAATTGTTCAAAGCTTCAATATACATTTGCTTAGCAAGGGTCAGTCAACAATAAAACATTCAATAAGTGCCATATCCAAATTTGTTCTGTTTAACCTCAGAATCATCGGTGTGTTGTGGTAAGTTTTTCTTGTATATATACTGTATATTGAATGATGTAGAAACAAGCACTCATTTGTTATCCAAATTCTATTGAAAAGGAGCCTCTCTTGTACTAATTACAATGTACAATCAAGTTTTAATGCAGATTCGAAGCCAATGCTCAAATAAATCAGCCTTTTTCGTCTTGCTGAACTCGTCTTCTTTTCATTAGAAATACCTATGGATGGTCTTACCTGATTTCGATATGATCAGACCTACATTGGGTCATTCCAAAAATTTCTGGTCGAGTTTTGTCCTTTTTGTTGTTCTTTTTTTTCACCTTTACGAACCTCCGTGGATCCCCCATGGATCAAAAAATGAATTTCACCTAGCAGCCAGACCAATGATACCAATTGATTCCTAGACTTGAAAGAACATGTTTTAAATGAAAAAAGAGGCCGCATTAGTAGTCTGGTTGTCGAGCAATGGCTCATCAAAGATTGGTATATTTAAGCTGTATTTTGAGCATTGTTACTGTATATGTTATATAAAACCTGTTAACAATAGTATTGCAGAATATACTACATGCTTTCTAGAGTGTTGAAAAACATACAAAAGTAAAAGTAGGATTGAATTCTTCTTTCTGCTACATCAAAATCAAGCTTTTGCGGTGAACTGCCTAAAGACGCAGTTATTGGGCTTTGCTGTAGTGACAAAAGTTGTAAATCTCTGCTTTCTGAGTTTATTGATATGGAACCCGCAACAATGTTGTTGCTAAAATATGGAGCAAAGAGGCAGACATGTTTACGAGGTTTTTCGCCTATATCTCACCATTTGCATGCCACACTTAGCAATCAAACACTTTTATCAACAACTAGAGCATTTGGCGGTCATTTTGAGTATTTATACTTGTCGATAGCTCTATTTTTTGTCTTGTAACGTTAAATAGAAGTTCAGAGGCTGTCAAAATCAGGTTTTTTCATGAGTAGTAAGTACCCTTTGGTCCAACTGCATTTTGGCTATTTTTTCGCATGTCGCTTTTTTTTTTTTTTTGGTCCAAACCAACTCCAAAGGTACCGTATACATTACTAAACACGGTTTGAAGGTATTTAGAGCATTCATGCGCGAACAAAAAAAAGATTTATGCTCCCCTTATGTGGTTGTTCAATCCTGTCTAGATGTCTGTTACTTTAATGGATCATTAGCTAAATCAATGCATCGAGAGAATCTAAGCGCCTGGCTAATCGAGAAACAATACTCATTTCATGCATACAGAAAAAAAACTTAGGCTGAACTTGAATTACTAGAGTGACAAGCAACACAAGGGTGGCATCGACTTTTTTAATTTTTTTTTCTCGATCGATCATGTTGTCTCGATTCATTCTCTCAAGACGATTGAAATCACTTGTGTTTTCTTCACAGTACAACTTACGATCTTTTGCTTCAAGGTAATCATGCATACATGATAGGACTTCATTGACTGATTGATCTAGATCGGGTCTTCAAGAAGATCGAACCAAGCAAGTAGTGGAAGATATCAAGCGTTTAAAATACCAACTTGAATCCAAAACAAAACAAGTAAGAGAACTTCATATTGCACTTTGTATTCACAAGGTATTAGAAGTCTGCTCCTTTTGAAAAAGTTGATGATCAAGACATTGCTGCTATTTATAGTGAATTGGCTGCGCCTATACCTGTTCGACCTAAAATCAGTTCTGATTACTTGGAAAGATTACATGTCAAGTTTTTAGACACTCGCTCATTATCAGGAAATACAGTACCCTTATTAGAAGAAGGTGAACAAGAGAACGTACCTTCTATCAAGAATGATCAGACAATGCAAGATTTGAATGTTCATGATTTTGAGCAATTGATCTATGCTAATGCATTAGCAAAAAGGCCTTTAGAAGCACAAAAAGCATTTGACCTTATAGAGGCAAGTAAATCAGTACATAGTGATAGTGATTGACCATCTCAATAGAAATACAACATGACACCCAGTATAAAAGCAGTGAATCATTTAATGGATGCTTATGCGAATGTCAATGACCTTGAGCATGTCATTGCTTTATTTAAAAGACTGGATACATTGGGACTAAAAGCGGATATTTACACTTATGGATTACTTGTCAAGGCTTTTGTGGCTAATCAGCGTATGGACGATGCTTTTATTTTGTTTGAAAAAATGAAGGATAATTCCATCATTCCATCTCAGGTATATACAGTATGTCTATATATATATATATATACTTAAAGTTTTTTTTCTATTATTATTAGCCCATCTTTTCTAATTTGATCAGTGGTTGTTTAAAAGCAAATCAATATGATAAAGCATGGCAAGTGTTTGATTCCATGCGACTTTCTTATCATCAACCAGACGAAGTTAGTTTTACACTCATGCTTCATGCTTGTGCTAAAGTAAGTAATTTTAGCTTATAGACAAGAAGTACTAAGAAATGGTAGCAAGGAGAAGTAGAGCGTGCCCTCAATTTGTTTGAAGATATGGCAGGCTATCATTTATATCCTACCGATGTGACATTTAATGTGCTTATTCATGCTTGTGCTAGACGCCCCGATTATTACCATGAAGCATTCAGTCTACTGGACCAAATGCAATCCACTTATGGATTCCAACCTGATAAAGTGACGTTCAATACACTCTTAACAGCCTGTGCTAGAAAAAAGGACTTGAAAAGAGCAAGAGAGATTTTGGAATGGATGTGGAAAGATGTAGAACAACATGGATCTGATTCTTTACTTTCGCCAGACCATCAAACCTATACAAACCTGTTTTGGTGTTATGCTAGTTATCACCCTACTCCCACAACGCACAGAGTATCCAGTGTGTCTGATACAACAGCTTTATCCACAGAACATCATTTGCTTCCTATTCAAGTCCCTCATAAACGATCTCAAGTGGTCAAAGAAGCACAATGGTTATTTCAACAGCTCCCCTCTCATGTTCAAAGAACATCGGCTCTTTTGACTGCTTATTTAGCCCTTCATATCTCACAAAAGCAAACTGCGCCTTGTGTTGACATTTATACCCATTTGTTTGACAAATGTCATGTTCAAAGAGATGGGTTTACGTTCCAGCATATGCTTCAATTATGTTATCGAACAAAAGATGCTTCTTTGGCTTGGAAAGTATGGGAAGATTATCAAGACTTTTTAGAAAATAGAGAAATACAGTTCGATTTAAAGCCAAACTCAGTATCTGAACAAAAGGCTTTGGATATTAAACGACATACATTAGCCACAAGCGAAGGATGGACAGAGACACAACAACAACAATTGGCTATCTTGATGGCCAATACACTGGGAAGGTAAATATAAAAAAAACAAAAAAAAACTTTCACTAAACCATACATTAGATGTGATGATGTAAGAAATGCCATTGGTATCTTATCCACTGAATTACGTCGCTTGGCTCTAAATCCACCAACATTACGTGATGTGATGCCAATCTATAACAAATGTATTCAACTAGAGAATCAAGAAGCCAAGCAAGAACTAATGCATCTGTGTACTAAAGAACAAAGACGTACGAACATGAAATTCAAACGAATAAACACAACTGTCTAATTTTTATTTTATTTATTTACATTGAAGAGGGGCGGGTATATATACAAGTTTAAGTAGAACAAACATCATGATAAGCGGGTGGTTCTACAAATTTACGATCGTATTCACCATATACAACTTGTTCATTTTCAAAAGGAGGTGGATTATCATAAGAAGGTAATTCCAAAGCATCCAGATCACCCACTGTCTTGTCCAATACATCTATATTGGCTCTAAAAGTGACCATTTTATGCGTCCTTTGACTTCCAAACCGACTTTGTGTTGAACTAGGCACTGAGAATCCAATGGAAACAAGTAAGTAATGATCCACATGAAAAGCAGAGTAAGGTCGAGTTGAATGTACCATGTTTTTACCAGCCGGGATACGATAATGAACTGTACCTTCCCATGCATCTTTTAAGGGCTCTGTTGGAAATGAGACGGTATTCTTCTCACAAGGAGAAAGTGTATAGACAGAATGACTCGTATAAGTTGTGTCTCGATAAAGGTGTCTACGTTCCAACATTTGAATTGAGACTCGGTCGATTATTAACCCTTCTGTTGTAGGCAACAATCGAAATGTGATGGGTAAAATAGAACCCAATGCCACTGCCTTCTTGTCAATCAGTAATTGATAACAGAGCCAAGTGGATTGGTGTGCCCGAGAATCAATCGAATTGCTGACATCGCCTGTAAGGATGCCTTGGTAAGGTAGTCGAGCAACACAGATGTCTTGTTTGGCTATATCTTGTGATGTAGTGGTGCCTCGCAATACAGAGTGACTGATGTACTCCATCACAGCACTGACTTGATAATGCACCTTGATATCTGAGCAATCGATCGTCTCTGGTAGTCCGGAAGGAATCTGCATTTCAAAACTGAAAGGCGTTGTACCGGCGTTTAAAACTTTAGAAGGAGTTGACTGAATTGGGAATAGTTCAAGTTGTTCTTGGGCAATCGATTTCTTTTGATCGCTTTCAAATGAGTGACTCTTTGTTTCCATTTTGCCATGAAAGCGAATGTAAATCCGTTGTACTTTAGTTGGTTTAGGCACATTGATATAGACTGTGCCACGAATGACACTGCATGTATCTGGCTTTTGTTCAGTATAGAGTGTAGGTTCAAGTAAACAGAGTGATACAAAAGAAGACTTTGACAACATGATATAAAGAAGAGATGGATAAAAATAAAAAAAAATAGAGGACTCTCATTTATAAAAATTATTAGTTTCAGGGCATGTCAATGATATCATATATCCATTTTAATCTTGTTTATTTTATTCATGATTGGAGATTGAAATTAGAGTCTAAAAAGACAATGTCTCATCCATGTAATGTTGATAGCCTGCTCCAAATCGATCCAACATCATTTGTTCTTCGGCCTGAATACGTATCTTATATACTACAGTAAACAAGACAAAGATCATCAAGAGTGCAATCCAGTTATTGACAGTCAATCCAAATCCTATCCAGCCTAATAAGAAACTCAAATAACCAGGGTGACGGATGTATCGATAGGGTCCATTGGTACATATGAGTTGATCGTCTGTAGTTGCCATGGCACGCAAATAAAAAGGATTGGCTAACATGGTCCATCTCAACAGTATCATAGCAACCATCATGCAACTGATGCCTATCCAGGGTGCTACAGTACCTATGGTTGCTATAGGAACAAATATTTCCCAACAAGGAGACACAACCAAAGACAACAGACAAGAAAGAACTAAGAAGCGAGTCGATCCTCCGTCATCACCAGAGATCTGAATAGTAGTTGTTATGCGGGAATACTCGTAATGATACTCGATATAAAAAAGTATGGCGATTAAAAAATAACTTGTCAAATAATACATTTAAAAGAAAACACAAAAGGGAAAAACAATAAACCGGAAATACTTTATTCCTCCATCCTATCTTCATCCTCAGATTCATCAAATTCATGCTTTGGAAATTCAATATGATCGAAATTAATATCTTGAATCACATTGACAGATAGACTGAAATAAGAATATAAATACGCAATTTCATTCTAAAATAGGAAACTTACTTGAGTGAATTTAACAGATTTCTACTTGGCACTTGATCATCGAAATATTGATCAGACTATAGATTTATTTAGTCCATCCAAACTATGTCTTGTTTACCTTCATGACGGATGATTGTTGTTCCTGTTGCAAAGTCATGGATTCATCTAAAGAAAGCATCCTAACTTTGGCCTATAGATAGAACATGAGCCATGTTTAATATAGTATCTACTTTGTTTACATGAGGTTCATCATTGGTGTGTTGGATGTAACAAGGACGTTGAAGCATGGATAAAGAAGGCCTTTTAGACTGTCGTTTTAATAAAAGGCTATTGGATGTATAATGATAGGATGCTTGATGATTGGCTAAATCCACAGATCGCTTTCTGGCTCCTTGATGCGGTGTGAGTACTGACATTTCATCTAATTTTTTGGTGAGAGGACACTCCAATGGGTTTGTATTTTCTGCTGTGATTTCATCCAATGAAGAAATTGTGCTTGAATCAAGTAGTAATCTATCAATCATATCATTTGTCTCTTTTAACTTGGCTCCTTTATCAGGCAATGTATTCACCATGGACCTAACAACATCAACCAGGTGTTTATGATGAGAAATACCTACTGGTTGCTCAAGAGTTGAAGATTCTTTTGTCTTAGTTGCTTGAGTTCTGGTCTAGTATATTGATTTAATTTCTGTACAGTACTACTAGACTTGGAGTCAAAAAAGTAGTATGGATGAGGATTGCGCATCATAGAAGTAGAGTTCATTTGCATACAGGTCTTGCGGGTGTTTTTATCATGCAAACTATTGGAAAGTTGAGTGGAGAAAAAAAAAAGAACTTTCGGAGATTTAAAGTATGAGTCTACGTCATCATACGTAGTCCTTTTTATTTTTTATTTTTTCTTTATTCCTCTATTTGCTTTTTTTTTTATCTTGTTATTCATATCAATCATGGGTAAGTACTTCAAAAAAATAGACAAGAAAAGTAAAGCTTATAATATGACTAGATTATCAAAAAGCTATGCTGGAAGAGCTCATGTCTCAATATGTAGACGTGGACAATAAAGATTTTTGGGATGATAGTGTAAGTTGAGAAAAACATACCAGGTTATTTAGTTTATTAAATCATGTTTTGTAGGTATGCAAACACTATCTTGTTGCCTTTTGTCCTTCTCAATTATTTACCAACACGAAATCTGACTTGGGTGCCTGTGACAAGATCCATAATGACCGCTTAAAGGAAAAGTACCAAAAATCAGATAAGAGCAAGTACCCTTATGAAAATGACTTTTATGACTACCTCACCAAACTTATTGCTGATCTCTCTCGCAAAATCCGTCAAGGCAATGGTCGTTTGAACATTCAGCTTGATGATAGAGTAAGTCATGATAAAATAAAACATGGATGTACTTACCATATCCATAGGCTGCTGAACAACGTAAAGAAGAAAGAGAAGAAAAGATGGTCTTGATGGATGTCAAAATCAAAGAATTGATCCAAAAGGTGGAAGAAGCAGGTGAAGAAGGCCGTGTCCAAGAAGCCACTGACTTGCAAAACCAAGTGGACAAACTCCAAGAAGAACTGATTCAGTTCAAACAAGTAAGTCACATGATTTATTGTATCAATCCATACTAACTAATGATAGAACGCTGAGGGTTTAACCAAAGCGGAAAAGCGTATGGAGGTATGCGATGTTTGTGGCGCGTTTTTGGTAACAAACGATTCTTCCGATAGATTAGAAGCACATTATCAAGGTAAACAACATCAAGGCTATCTCAAAATTAGAGATACCATTGAACAAATGAGAGTAAGTAGATACATAACGAGTGAGAATCATACTAACATAATCACAGCAAACGCGTCAACAAAGACAACCTACTACTTACAATAACCATCCACGAGATTATTCTCGCTCACGATATGATTATCATGAGCGTCGTGATGGAGGAGGTAGGCATAGAGAGTATCGTCGTTATTCTGACAGAGGTTATAGTAGAAGCGAACATCGTAGTCGTGATCGACGTGATTACGACGACGATTTTGCTGGTGAGATGGATCGCTATAACAGACGATCTCGCAGAGACTATGAGAGATCTTCTCGTTCACGCTCTCCCAATAGAAAATCGAGATATGATTAAGTTTGTACACACTCCTCTGTATCTTGTATTTATTTTTTTCAATGAAATAAAATCAAGTCTTTTTTTATGCAAAATAGCCATGGTTATCTGTGATTGTTTTTTTTCTAATGAATAAAAAGGAGGAGGGTTTTAGATGCAAAACTGGTTGCTTTTTGGAGTGAACGGAGTGTTTCCCTTTCTACGCGCAAGGGGGTGGGTGGGGGAGTAAAGACACATGATATACTGCCTAGGTCATGCAGTTGAGGTGGCTGAGAAACAAAAAAAAAAATTACGCCCACGAAAGCCTATTCAACCTTAATCCTTATTTCCTTACAAAAAGAGACCTTTTATCTTATTCTCCGCACACACACACACACTCTCTCTCTCTTTTTCTCTTCAAACCGTGTTACTTTATACAAATAACAAGAAAAAGTATCTAAAAAAAGAACTGTCTGAGGCTAAATTTTCTTTTTGTCTGGATCTCAAGCTACTTTCGAAAAAGGTAATCATTTAAAGAAATCAACTGGAGCCTTTCATTGTCCGCCTTTAAAATATATACACACATCGATAAGAAATAACAAAGAAATATAGAAAAAAGAAATAAAGAAATTCAATTGAAAACCATTTTCCGAATAAGTCTGATTTAGTGTCATTCTCTCCTCGCTTCAAAAAACAAAAGAAGATATATATAAATATATATATATATAAATCCCCTTTTTTTAAACCCCCCTTTTTTTTTTTCCTTTCCCTCTCTCCCTCGTTTCTTTTTTCTTTTTTTCTTTTCGCCCATTTTCTTTCTTTTTTTTTTTTCTCAACTTTTTTTTTTTTTGGTCAAGAAAAAAGAGAAGAAACAAAAGAAAAAAAAATAATGAATCATAGATATCATGTCGATCTTCACTCTTTGGAAACCAATTTGACAACATCGAATGTATTTTCGACAACTTCACTTCAAACTGACCCTGATCTCTATGCATTAAAAAACAAGAAAAAACCAAGCCGACTTGACTTGAAGAACCTCCTTAAAGATCCATTACCTCTACCTCAAAGCCACCTTGTATCCACAAATAGGTTGGCGTATGTCGAAGCTCTTGTTGGTAAATATTTCTTTTGTTTCATAAACACATTTATACTAATACATAATACAATTTATATAAATTTAGACATTAATGCAGTTGTAATTGAATCCATTTGGTACCCAACAACAACAATGAACGCCACACATCATACACATTACCCTCATCCTCAGCATCATCCTCAGCATCATCATACCAAAGAGTCCCGAGTATCGCCGGTCGTACCATTGCGGACTTTTATCCAGGAGGTTCTTAAACGCTCTCGAACGACTTACAGTACACTCCAAACAGCCCTATTTTATATCTTTCGTGCTCGTCCCGCCATTCTTCAACACTTGCAACAAGAAGAACTATCATGGCAGCATAGTGCTTATGTCAGTTGTGGTCGTCGCATGTTTCTTGCCAGCTTAGTGGTTGCGTCTAAATTTGTGCAGGACAAAACGTATCGTAATTCAGCTTGGGCCAAAATTGCTGGATTGCCAGTCCAGGAGATCAACACAGCCGAACGTTACTTCTTGGAATTAATGGACTATCGACTCTATATTGATCAACCTATTTTTGATCGCTGGCATCGTTTATTACACATGCGTACACAAGCCAGAATGCATCATATACCAACTAGTTTGCGTGACCTTGCTTCTTGTTTATCATTCGCACCACCACAAACGACATATCATTCTCCTTCGCCCATCATCTATGAATTACCCTCCTCACATTGTGTCACGACAAGTTCAGGATGCCATCATGCTTGTATGTGTTCTCAATGCTCACCTCTTAAAGCACCTCCTGCTTTATCACTCTCCCTTCCGAGCTCTATTTCTTCTTCTCCCGCACAAACACCCATTCAAGTATCACCTGTACGTACATCTCAAAAACGAAAGTATGAAAGTAAGGAACATACCACTCTTTTGGATAAAAAACATTGTAGATTTTGGCAATAAGCAAACCCTTTCCTCTCCTTTCTTTTATATGACTTCCATATCTATTATTTATCTATCTATGCTTATTACATATTAAACACTTTAAGTATCTATTTCAAACCTATGAATACATAGATTTATATAAAAAAACAATAAACAAAAGTAAATGATATACAAAGTGTCATTATTAAAGTGTAAAGGAATGTTTAGACATTCTCCTGTGTTGATACAATCAGATCAAATATAAACAATGAGATAATTCAACTGTGTAACAACTAGAAAAAAGAAAAAGGCGTTTTTGAATACATAAACAGCTGCCTTAACAAAGTAGGAAGACATCTTGAATAAATAAAAACATCAATTTTTCATGTGAATTCATCAAATACTAATTTATTCGAAATTCTATTGTGGAGACCAACAATGCCACTAACTAAACCAGACAATTGGTCACGGGATGCAATTGCCTTTTTGTGCTTTACTTGGACAATAAAAAAAAAATTTTGCATATTTCGTTATTCATGAAACACGAATCATGAATGTATCAGTTTATAAAGACAAAGTAGCAATGCAAAGTATACTTTTGTGAGTATGAAAAGATACATTCTATTACATCGTCAGCATTTTAACTGTGTTTAAGATGACCGCATAAATCTAGTTTTAGAGAGTACAGCACATGTGAACAAGTTGTAATAACCAACGACCCTATTTGCTAATTAGTAATATCAAGTCGTAAAGAAAAACGTCTTTTTTTTTTTGTTATTCATAGGAGGTTGTTGAAAGATAGCGCTTCAATCAAGACATTCTTCCAACAGGCCTCTCTTTTTCATACCACCTGAATGTGTCATCGTCAGGCACTTTTTATTCTTTCTTTTCTTCAGGGTTTACTGAACTGTCTTTGATCAGCCTTTTCGGTAAATAAAACCGCGGGTATCCTTGACAGTTTTCGTTTATTTTTAGGGAGGAGAATATCAAGTCAGCCTTATCCAATCAACATATTCATGTCCAGAAAGCTGGTTCCGAGGTCCATAAACAACCTTTGCTTTAGTGAGGCATGAACACTATCGTTAGGTTTTCTTTTTATGGTGTACTTGAGTCAAAGCAACGCGTTTATCAACAACTAAAGTGTTGCTTAGAATCTTACTACAAACATAAGCAAACCTTCAAGTGTACTCATAAAGCTTGCTAGTGTACAAAGAAATTTTAGTATATTTATCTTGTACTGAAGAATAGCTAAATAAAGACCATGACGCATCAAAAGCAAAGAAACCGCTTGCGTTTGAAGACCACAAACTTAAGTGGCAAATAAAGTGCGCTAAGGACGCAGCAGATGTCAAATTGAATCACAATTCAACCAAAGCCAGTAAGACAAGACAAAGACATACTAGACAACATTCTCTATACTTGTCTTGAAAACCAAATGTACAAAGAAACACAAGCCTATCAAAATTCAAGTGCAGCCATCAAAACCATATAATTCACACTTGCTTTATGATATGATTATGTTAATGCTTTCTCCAGTACATAGCATATTTAGAGATAAAGGCCCTTCTTTTTTGTAAATGCCTCTTTAAACGAATTAAGTTGTTATCAATAGCAATGATAGATACCAGTAAATGTACCCAGCTTTTTACAGGCGAACACTCGGTTCACTCCAAAGCAACAGCTTCTGTGTGAATATATATCTTTTTACAGAGGAAGTCTTGTAATTATTTCATTGAGAAAGAAAAGAGATTATTTATCAATTGATCACCTTATAACAACAAACAAGTTTTTGTTGTTTATCACACAAAGAAACCAGCAATTCATCAAATAAATTTAAAGAATATTGCTAAAAGAGAGATACTGTAAAAATAATAGTCAAAACCTATAAATTTATACTTCTTTTTAAGATGAAGATTGGAGTGGACGGAGTGTTCCCCATAAACTGTTTCTTTTCAGCCATGAGGTAGCATTGATTTCATTGAATCATACAAAGGCATTGTATCTTTTGAAATGAATGCTGCTTTTCGATCAGCCAGGTGCTTAGATTCTCTCGATGCATTGATTTAGTTAATGATCTACTAAAGTAACAGACATCTAGACAGGATTGAGTAACCACATAAAGGGAGCATAAATCTTTCTTTGTTCGCGCATGAATGCTCTAAATACCTTCAAACCGTGTTTAGTAATATATACGGTACCTTTGGAGTTGGTTTGGACCAAAAAAAAAAGCGACATGCGAAAAAATAGCCAAATCCCGACAAGCAGCTATTGTACGGTTGTACTTCAATTCTTCATTTGGTAATTAACATACACTTTATTTATGCTCAATAAAAAAAAAAGGTTTCTTAATTTCCAAAGTTATAAAAGTTGTATCTTGTCCAATCTACGTTAGCTTCCAACAGCTCAGAAGGAATAGGGACAGCTTGTTTTTCAAAATCTTCGCCAGGAATTTCTTGACCAACAGCATCAGATGCGCCTGCGATAAGTTTAAAGAGCTTATGGTGCTCTTCTGAAATAGTAATGTGTTTCTTATTCTCTTGTTGTCGAAATCTTTTAGCAAAAGTATCAAAAACAACTTGAATATTCTTTTTTGATTGTAAGTTGCGACGAGCTTCGTATTTGTCGGTATTGTTTCCAACAAAATGACTTCCAATTTGAGGTTGTTCATTTGCTAGGAGCTGAAATTCAAGGCATTCTTCAAATTGAACTTTTCTGAATTGAGAGTAATGGATGTCATGCTATAAATAATGGTAAATATGATTAATAAGACAATTATATGGAATGACACACCTTTTTATCCAAAGCATCTTTCAGTGTTTTGACAGAAGGATCTTCAGGGTGAAGCACTTTCCAAGGATCACGACAGCTTTCAGCACGACAAGACTTTAGCACGATAAGAAGAGCATCTAGTCGATTCACTAGTTGAGTATTGACATTATTATACAAGTTGTTGACTTCGTAAGGATCATTTTTTAGATCATAGAATTCGCGTTCTCCAGTACACCAAACAGTATACATGTCTACAAGAAAAATGGGTAAATATTACAAATCATTATATTTCTTGTTCTGTTACTAACAATTGTAGTCTTTGGAGATCACTCGTAGCGTTTTATATGTATTTGCACCATTAATTGTCACATCAGAATAACCTTCAGGCATGATGCTAAACCCCCAAAACTCAACAGCAAAACTTTCTTTAGAGATGGGTTTAGGATGTCTTGTGAGCTCTTTTGTTAATGGGATGACACCACCATCAACCCAAGAAGGAACATGCTTATCACCACCGGCTAAAGCAATAAAAGTAGATGCCAGATCATGATGAGAACTAACAAGGTCGCTTACTTGACCTTTAGAAACACCAGGTCCACGTACAATAAAAGGAACACTGTCATAGCAATTGAGAAAATGGACCAACTTGGTAGGAACACTTACTTGATATCTTCTTCTAAATTCGTTGTCTTACCAGGATATGCTCGATGTTGACCAAGATGATAGCTGTAGACCAAAAAGAGCAGTTAGTCTAATAGCTCTTTTTTTTTTAGATAACACACCCATTATCAGCACTATAGAACACATAGGTATTTTCGAGTTCGCCTGACTTTGCAAGTTCTTCAAATACACTACCAACGATTTCGTCTACAGCTTGTAGAGCACGAAGGCGGTTTCGGTAAGCTTCATCAAAGTCTTCAATTAGAGTTGAGTTTAGCTTTTCAAGATGCTTCCAATATGAAGCTGTTTTTGATTGTTTATCAGGATTGAAGTTGGGTTTACGAGGAACTATCGATCATGAGCATACTGATACCATTGTATAGTGTTTGCTTACTCTTGACATCCTTGAAGAGGTGAGCATGACGGGCTGCTGGAACAGCAGGCCTTGTAGTGATCTGTCCACCTTCTCCAATAATAAACTCTCCGTGAGGAGCCATGGGGGCAACTAGTTAGGTTAAACATCAGCATTCTATAATAAGACTAAACTTACTCCAAAGAAAGAAAGGATCATCTTGATCTTGTATTCTTTTGAGAGCAGCACGGGTTTTGGCATGAATAATGTCTGTTTGATAAGCATCTTTGTAGTAATAAGGAGCTTGACCGTTAGTTGAAAACACAGCCGTGTTATAGACATAGGTATAAGGATCAACCAGTTGATCTATATAAGACAGGTAAATAAACATGCATTTGCAACAGCCTCATTTACCTTGATAATCAAATCTGTAACATTTGAGACACTTTCTTTAGTCATTCTGTGTATCAATTTTGTTTCAATGACTTACCCTTTTGGAGTAGGATTGTTGTAGTTATTGACGCTGTAATGGTTCATTAACTTGCCAATGTAGTTTGTATTGTAACCAGACTATCATTTGTGAATCAGGCTCTTTCTGTTTAGCAAAAGTAAACTTACCTTTTGTAGCCATAAGGGCAAGTAATCTTCGCCTAACTTCAAGGCATTAAATCGATCATATCCGCCATAAGGAGGAGACACATCTGTGATACTGAAGGCTGTGAATATCGACACATGATCAAAATGAATAACTTTACTTTGTATTGTGAGCATATTGGCCTCTTAACAAGCCAACTCGACTAGGACAACAGACAGCAATAGTAGCATAATGGTTTTTGTATAGAGTGCCTTGCTGAACCAAATGTTTTTGAACGTTAGGCATATAGTCCAAAGAATCCAATTTGTAGTCTTGATCATCCGTAAAAATAAACACTATATTAGGCTTCTTGGCTTCAGTGGTTTGATGTAAAAGTAATGAAGCTATAGCAATTGTACTTAATAATAAGGTTCTCATCTTTTGGTACCTTTTGTAAAAAGAGAGAAAAGGGATGATAGAGACTATATTTATAGCAGTACTATTATGCATAATAGCTTTAAAATATGTCGCAATTTGACATCTAAAAATGTAAGTTGCACATGGATTTTCGAAATGTCGCAATTTTCGAGATAAAAAGATAATGGTTAAAGGTATATCTGCTCAAAGATAGTGTATATTAGAGGTACAGACGACGAAAAAAGGTTGGCACAATAAAAAAAAAATAATTGGTCAGCTTGAAATGAAAATGGGCCACCAATAAAGAAATGCAATATGAGGACTAGCCAAATTTTCTCTTCTTTTTCTCTTCTTGAATCTTTTATATTGCTTAACATGAACGAGGAATACAATTTCGACAGTGAGACAGTACCTGTGATGATACAATCATAAATGGACTGGGAAGAGACTGCAGCAGTAAATGCAGCACAAAAAGAAGTCAAGAGGAAGACCAAACCTCACTCCTAAGAGCTCCCACCCCTTGATGTAGTAAAAAAGGAAAGGGGATCATACATCACCAAGAACGAAGCAAAGGTAGTCAATTTAATCAATTTGTTGCAAGAGTTTGAGAATATGTCTATCAGTGAAGCGAGTAGAAAGGTAGGGCTCTCCAAGTCAACAGCTGCTCGTAAACTCAAGTAGTGGAATCAAATGACAAGCGAAATAGTTGAAAAGGGATTCCCTGATTCTATCGCAACCAAAGTAGGAAAGGGACGACCGCAATACTCAAAGACGAACATACTGTATTTACCTTTGAGCTGCTGGCTAATGAGCCAACATTGACAATCGAAGCTGTTACAGACAACCTGTCAAAAGAATTTAGAGATATACAGATCACCCTTAGATCAATGGAAAATCATATGAAGAAGAAGTGTCGCCTAACCTACAAGCGTATCATTCCTAGATATTATGGCAGGAACACGGATGAGACTGTTGCCAAAAGACAAGATGCGGTAGCATACTGGGTTAGCCAGAACATAGATTTTATGAATGAATGCGTGTTCTTAGATGAAGCTGGATTTGATAGGAGTATGCATCGCTCATATGGATGATCTGAGGCTGGAACACCTTGCAAAATTGATGTTCAAACGAAGGGAGCAAATGTCAGCATCTTGGGTGCTATTTGTAAAAGTGGTTTAATCATATTATCCAGAAAAGAAGTTACGCTTGGTGCTAGGAGTGGAAAGCGAACTCGAACTGGTGAGAAATCTCAGGCCCTCAAGAAAAAGGGTACTACCAGCAGTGACTTCCTTGAATACATAGAGCAAGTCCTCACAACACTGGATGCAGCTAACATGAGCTACAAATATCTAGTTCTTGACAATGCATCCATTCACAAGGCTGCACGTATTGAAGATTGGGTTGGCCAACGTGGCTATAAACTTCTCTTTTTGCCCACTTATTCTTCTTTTTTTGAATCCAATCGAAGAGTTTTGGTCCAAGCTGAAGACTGTTGTAAATAACGATCCCTCTTCTGTCAGGCAGAATGAAAAAGTCTTTGATCGTATTCGCAACGCATCATTTTGCATCAGCAGAGAAGACTGCGAGAATTTGATAAAGCATTCTTTGACGTTCTGGCAGAGATGCTTGAATTGTGAAAAAGGATTATAAGAGGCAAAATAAAAAGCATGCATTAAGTTTCTTTGTTGGTGACCCATTTTCGTATTAAATGATCCATTTTCGATATTTTGACCGATGCTCGACACTTTTCATTTGCGGATCATGAATTAAGGGGTTTATGCCACCCAAATGATTTTGTATGTATAATTGCTCTGCCCAACACAAGAAACCCCTACTAAATAAGAACATTCATCATCTCAAAAGCGTTTCTAGCTTTATTTTTTTTTCTTTAATAATATGAATGAGTTACAGAATGAGAAATGTTGCAGATCTAAAAAAGATAGAGAAATGAACCATATACTAATATACATCAAGGTTTTGTAGAGTCCTAATCACATATCTCTTCATTTTGCATGCATGTGTTCTAGTTCTTGGTAGGCTTTTTGGCTATGTAACGATGTAAGTCATTAAATCTATCAATGCGCATGTACACTCACTTCCGTATTTAGATCTACTGGTAGTTCTAGTAGCAACACCTTGAAGATCCAATGCACCACGCACAAGATGATAACGCACACCAGGAAGATCAGGCACACGACCGCCACGCACTAAAACAACAGAGTGTTCTTGCAAATTGTGTCCTTCACCAGGAATATAGGCAGTGACAACCTTACCGTTTGTCAACTTGACACGGGCTACTTTTCTAACAGCTGAGTTGGGCTTCTTGGGCTTTGTTGTATAGACTTTATTACAAACGCCTTTACGTTGATAACATCCTTCGAGAGCTGGTGTTTTACTCAACTTGGCCTTTGATTTACGGCATTTTTTGATGACTTGATTCAAGGTGGCCATACCAGCCTTTTGTTGTTGTTGAATAGGTGTCCAAGTAGTAGGCTTTAATTGACTAAGAATAGTAGATTGTGTCATTAAAGATCGGGTTGGCAATAAGCTATTTGTGCTGGTCAAAGGCTTCCATGCTGTCTTTAATAATGAGCGAAAAGCTTGCATCTTTTTCAAGTAATGTCAAACTAGCGAAAAAAAAGAAAATTTTGTGAGAGACTGACCAGGGCTTTTGTTTTAAACTCCGTCTCCGGGGATTGGGACATCTTCCTAATGTCCAAACGTTTCAAGCTATATTGAATAAAATCTTTTTGACAAAGTTGATTTCTAGAGTTGTTGTTCGCTTGACGCCTGGCTTTCTTTGTTTATCTTGTACAGCTAAATAGCTTTCATATAGTCAGTACGAGAAGGACGCAGTAGAACAAAAAAAAAACCTGTTTAAAGACCGCTTAAAATGTTTGGACATAAGAGGGATGCCTTATTCTTGAACTGTACAATACTCTATTTTATTTTCAAAGCACGCCACTTCAATTATTTTTGGTAAGAGATGCAAGTGAAGGTGATACTTTTATCCAATCAAACCTCACGTTATTCGGAAGCAGTGACGCAAGACTTCCTTCCTTGAGAAAAATTTTTTTTCGCTTCTCTTCTTTCCCTCGCTTTGCTCTCTCTTCTCTTTATCCAAACTATGACAGATAACTGGGATAGAACACTCTTCGATAAAGACCTCAAGGCTATTCTAGAAACCAAATTACCTGTGTCTGCTTCTAAAATAACCGCCTTGCAAACCTTGGCAACTGCACACCCTCAGGTAAGGAAAATAGGGAAAATAAAATTCAAGTTTATACAAGATATAGCATCACAATTATATCGTTCAATGTATCACTCGGTTCATTGAAAAAGCACCACCAGATTACCGCTTAGCAGGTTTGTATGTGATTGATGCTATATCCCGCGCAGTGCATAAGCAGCAAAGAAAAAGAGAAGAAAACAATGATGGAGGATCAAGTGAATTAGATGGATATCTCAAGCGATTTGCTATTGTATTGAAAGACGATGCTTTGAAAGGATGTTTTGAACCATGCACAACAAAAGACAAGGTGAGTTTATTTTTTATTTTTTATTTTTCTCAAGCAATACTGTGTGTATTGTTTATACTTGTTTATAAAGAAGAACAAGACTCGTCAGAGGCAATGGTTCCCTCTCCCTCCTCCTCTAAAAAGAAGAAGAAGAGAACAGAGATTATACACTGTAATGTAACTTTAATGGTTGATTTGGCAAATAATAAACCTCATCTTTAACTACTATAATGTCCACCTCTGTCTGTCTGTCTGTCTGTCTAATACATGTGGCTCTTGTTGTTTTGTTTGTCTTTTTTTTATTGCCTCTGTCTCTGTGTGTCTATTGTTCTTCTTTATCATAAATATGTCTAGACCATGTTATTGACAAAATACGTATAGGAAAAAGTCAAAAAGACACTCGACTTTTGGGAACAAGGCAATGTTTATTCAAAGGACACTGTTCAATACCTGAAGCAATCTTTCTTGAACAAGAACACTCCAGAACAAAAAGGTTATTATTATTACCTTATTAAACTAATCTTAAATACTCGCCCTCTCTTTTTGTGCTGTCAATTGTTTATGAATGAGCTTTACTGATCTATTTTCTTGATAGTTATGACGCCTCCCCCTCCTGTAGACACAGCAAGTCTTTTGGCCACACTCAGTAATATCGGTAACGGTACTCTGGCTAACCTCAATATCCCAGGATTGACGCCTACACCACCCCCAGCACAAGCACCTCCAGTAGTAGAAGAAGACAAAAATGTACTTCCTCCAGCCTTAGCTAAATTACTAGGCGGTCTTGTCTCTACTCCCTCTACTACAAACTCGCCTCCTTCGCCTACTACTGTTGCTGATCCCCGTGTTCGCAACGACCCTCGTATGTCCAGCAATGATACAGAACGACTCAAGAACAATTGGCCACCACCACAAGGACCTTCTGTTCCTACTCGTACTTTAGGAGAAAGGAAATCTAGATGGGGAACTAATAATAATGAGGCTCCTGCACCCAAGCAACAAGATGCATGGTCACAAAAACAACCAATCCACGATCCTCGTATGGGAAACCAACACTTCCAAGCACCTAGCTATCAACCTAGTTATGGGCAACACAATATGAATAATTATCAAACACCTGCATATCATCAGCAACAAGCATTTCAACAACCTTATCAGCATACTCAACAACAACAACAATCTTCTTTGCCGCCCCCACCGCCCCCACCACAACAACAAAAGCCCATGTATTCTAAAAACAGAGGTGCTGAACCTACGAGTGATCCTTCTTTACCGCCTGGATGTATTAAAGGTAACCAAAAGCGCTTGTCATAAAACACACACACACACACGCACACATAACTCATGTCTATTAGTTCTTACTCGCACATTATTCGTGGGCCCTATTCCTGATCATTATGAAAGAGATGATGTGGCTCAACTGTTTACTCAATATGGTGAACTTGCTAGTGTGATTGTATCCAAAAAACTCAAGGGAAGACATAATGCTTTCCTCAAATTTACAACAAGAGCATCTACTGAAGCAGCAAAATACAATTCAGCAGGTCTTGTGGTTCAAGATGTTCCTGTCAAGGTCAACTGGGCATTTGGTTTCGGTCCTAAAAAACACTTTAATTATGATCGTGGAGATTCTATCATTCCTTTGTCTGAACTATCTGCAGAAGAACAAGACAACTTGGTCACTGCTCCTGTCGGTGGCTTTCAGGGACAGCCTGTACGTGACAGAATGGTGATTGAAGAGCCAGAAGCACAGTATAGACCTGAATGGAAGAACGATAACGATGTTCGTGGTGCTAAGCGTACTCGACCAGGAAATGGCGCTAACTTTGAAGAGATCAACAAAAAGCGAGGCAGGTTTTATCATGAAGACAATCAGCAGCAAGGTTTTTATCAGCCACAGTTTCAATATCAACAACAATATGATCCTTCTATGATGATACCTTACTCTAACAATAATTAAGTCGAATAAATATTTACAGTTCAATTTTCTTATCTATACTTTACTGACCCACTCTTTTATGACACACAAAATCTATACTCAACTCTTTTAAATGTATGTGAGAGTTTGTGTAGTAGAAAAGACTTGTCTGATGTTATTAATATGATCAACTGATAAAATACTTTTTGATAGACTATGTGCCCTTTACAAAATGTTTAGAGTAATTACCCTCTCAAAATCAGGATACTTACTTGTAAGCTATCGCTTTCAGAAGTACCGTACCTTTTTTCTTCAAATAACTTGATTTCCTAATACAAAATAAAAAGTATGGTCTCATTGTCATAGATTTGTCTTTGAAGATCATATCAGATTTAGCACCATTTGAAAAATGTTAATAAATAATGTAACGCACTAAAATGTTCTAGTAAATTAATAGAAGATTGAGCTCAGGATAACAAGGCAGATTTTGTCAAAAAGGTAGATAGATAGCATGCGAGCTTTCTTTTTTTTTTTTTAATCAATTTAATCAGGACCTTTCTACTCTAACAATCAAGTCAAATAAAGTATATAAATATTTACGGTTCAATTCTTTTATTCATTTTATAAAACTGTACAATAATGAAATGTGTATAAAAAAATTGAGAGGGTAGAAAAAGGGGAAATCACTTAAATACAGAAAAAAAAGTATATATTAAATAAAGAAATGCATATTATAATTGAATGTTGTATGAAGTGGCTTAAGAACGTTCGCCACGGAGACGACGAGCCAATTGGATATCCTTGGGTTGGATAGTAACACGCTTGGCGTGGATAGCAGCCAAGTTGGTATCTTCAAAGAGAGAGACCAAGTAAGCTTCAGAGGCTTCTTGAAGAGCACCAATAGCAGAAGATTGGAAACGCAAGTCAGTCTTGAAGTCTTGAGCGATTTCACGAACAAGACGTTGGAAAGGGAGCTTACGGATCAAGAGTTCAGTAGACTTTTGGTAACGACGGATTTCACGAAGAGCGACAGTACCGGGTCTGTAACGGTGAGGCTTCTTGACACCACCAGTTGAGGGAGCAGACTTACGGGCAGCCTTAGTAGCGAGTTGCTTACGGGGGGCCTTACCACCAGTGGACTTACGAGCAGTTTGCTTAGTACGAGCCATTTTTGATTATGTTGTATATATGTATAGGAAAAGAAGAAGAAAAAAAAGGTAAGAAAAACCTCAAGTATTTATAAGGTTTTTTCAAAGTCACACAGACATGTCTACATTACTTTATTTGGATATGAATGAATACTTGATTTTTTTTTATGCGAAAAATTTTTTAAATTGAATTGCAATTGAAACGCGGTACCGCGATCCATAGTCGGAAAACATGTAGTTTTTTATCATTTGTA